CGGTCATTTTTTTAAAAATTAATTTTTTGTTAGAGATAAGAGCTAAAACTCGGTAAACAACTTCTTTATGTCTAGAAAATTCTATCTTGCCTTTTATTTTTTTCTCGCTGTGAAACGTATTCGGTCATTTTTTTTAAAATTAATTTTTTGTTAGAGATAAGAGCTAAAACTCGGTAAACAACTTCTTTATGTCTAGAAAATTCTATCTTGCCTTTTATTTTTTTCTCGCTGTGAAACGTATTCGGTCTTTTTTTTAAAAATTAATTTTTTGTTAGAGATAAGAGCTAAAACTCGGTAAACAACTTCTTTATGTCTAGAAAATTCTATCTTGCCTTTTATTTTTTTCTCGCTGTGAAACGTATTCGGTCTTTTTTTAAAAATTAATTTTTTGTTAGAGATAAGAGCTAAAACTCGGTAAACAACTTCTTTATGTCTAGAAAATTCTATCTTGCCTTTTATTTTTTTCTCGCTGTGAAACGTATTCGGTCTTTTTTTTAAAAATTAATTTTTTGTTAGAGATAAGAGCTAAAACTCGGTAAACAACTTCTTTATGTCTAGAAAATTCTATCTTGCCTTTTATTTTTTTCTCGCTGTGAAACGTATTCGGTCATTTTTTAAAAAATTAATTTTGTTAGAGATAAGAGCTAAAACTCGGTAAACAACTTCTTTATGTCTAGAAAATTCTATCTTGCCTTTTATTTTTTTTCTCGCTGTGAAACGTATTCGGTCTTTTTTTTAAAAATTAATTTTTTGTTAGAGATAAGAGCTAAAACTCGGTAAACAACTTCTTTATGTCTAGAAAATTCTATCTTGCCTTTTATTTTTTTTCTCGCTGTGAAACGTATTCGGTCTTTTTTTTAAAAATTAATTTTTTGTTAGAGATAAGAGCTAAAACTCGGTAAACAACTTCTTTATGTCTAGAAAATTCTATCTTGCCTTTTATTTTTTTCTCGCTGTGAAACGTATTCGGTCATTTTTTTAAAAATTAATTTTTTGTTAGAGATAAGAGCTAAAACTCGGTAAACAACTTCTTTATGTCTAGAAAATTCTATCTTGCCTTTTATTTTTTTCTCGCTGTGAAACGTATTCGGTCTTTTTTTTAAAAATTAATTTTTTGTTAGAGATAAGAGCTAAAACTCGGTAAACAACTTCTTTATGTCTAGAAAATTCTATCTTGCCTTTTATTTTTTTCTCGCTGTGAAACGTATTCGGTCTTTTTTTAAAAATTAATTTTTTGTTAGAGATAAGAGCTAAAACTCGGTAAACAACTTCTTTATGTCTAGAAAATTCTATCTTGCCTTTTATTTTTTTCTCGCTGTGAAACGTATTCGGTCTTTTTTTTAAAAATTAATTTTTTGTTAGAGATAAGAGCTAAAACTCGGTAAACAACTTCTTTATGTCTAGAAAATTCTATCTTGCCTTTTATTTTTTTCTCGCTGTGAAACGTATTCGGTCTTTTTTTAAAAATTAATTTTTTGTTAGAGATAAGAGCTAAAACTCGGTAAACAACTTCTTTATGTCTAGAAAATTCTATCTTGCCTTTTATTTTTTTCTCGCTGTGAAACGTATTCGGTCATTTTTTTTAAAAATTAATTTTTTGTTAGAGATAAGAGCTAAAACTCGGTAAACAACTTCTTTATGTCTAGAAAATTCTATCTTGCCTTTTATTTTTTTCTCGCTGTGAAACGTATTCGGTCATTTTTTAAAAAATTAATTTTTGTTAGAGATAAGAGCTAAAACTCGGTAAACAACTTCTTTATGTCTAGAAAATTCTATCTTGCCTTTTATTTTTTTCTCGCTGTGAAACGTATTCGGTCATTTTTTAAAAAATTAATTTTTTGTTAGAGATAAGAGCTAAAACTCGGTAAACAACTTCTTTATGTCTAAAAATTCTATCTTGCCTTTTATTTTTTTCTCGCTGTGAAACGTATTCGGTCATTTTTTTAAAAATTAATTTTTGTTAGAGATAAGAGCTAAAACTCGGTAAAACAACTTCTTTATGTCTAGAAAATTCTATCTTGCCTTTTATTTTTTTCTCGCTGTGAAACGTATTCGGTCATTTTTTTAAAAATTAATTTTTTGTTAGAGATAAGAGCTAAAACTCGGTAAACAACTTCTTTATGTCTAGAAATTCTATCTTGCCTTTTATTTTTTCTCGCTGTGAAACGTATTCGGTCATTTTTTTAAAAATTAATTTTTTGTTAGAGATAAGAGCTAAAACTCGGTAAACAACTTCTTTATGTCTAGAAAATTCTATCTTGCCTTTTATTTTTTCTCGCTGTGAAACGTATTCGGTCTTTTTTTTAAAAATTAATTTTTTGTTAGAGATAAGAGCTAAAACTCGGTAAACAACTTCTTTATGTCTAGAAAATTCTATCTTGCCTTTTATTTTTTTCTCGCTGTGAAACGTATTCGGTCTTTTTTTTAAAAATTAATTTTTTGTTAGAGATAAGAGCTAAAACTCGGTAAACAACTTCTTTATGTCTAGAAAATTCTATCTTGCCTTTTATTTTTTTCTCGCTGTGAAACGTATTCGGTCATTTTTTTAAAAATTAATTTTTTGTTAGAGATAAGAGCTAAAACTCGTAAACAACTTCTTTATGTCTAGAAAATTCTATCTTGCCTTTTATTTTTTTCTCGCTGTGAAACGTATTCGGTCATTTTTTAAAAATTAATTTTTTGTTAGAGATAAGAGCTAAAACTCGGTAAACAACTTCTTTATGTCTAGAAAATTCTATCTTGCCTTTTATTTTTTCTCGCTGTGAAACGTATTCGGTCATTTTTTTAAAAATTAATTTTTTGTTAGAGATAAGAGCTAAAACTCGGTAAACAACTTCTTTATGTCTAGAAAATTCTATCTTGCCTTTTATTTTTTTCTCGCTGTGAAACGTATTCGGTCATTTTTTTAAAAATTAATTTTTTGTTAGAGATAAGAGCTAAAACTCGGTAAACAACTTCTTTATGTCTAGAAAATTCTATCTTGCCTTTTATTTTTTCTCGCTGTGAAACGTATTCGGTCTTTTTTTTAAAAATTAATTTTTTGTTAGAGATAAGAGCTAAAACTCGGTAAACAACTTCTTTATGTCTAGAAAATTCTATCTTGCCTTTTATTTTTTTCTCGCTGTGAAACGTATTCGGTCTTTTTTTTAAAAATTAATTTTTTGTTAGAGATAAGAGCTAAAACTCGGTAAACAACTTCTTTATGTCTAGAAAATTCTATCTTGCCTTTTATTTTTTTCTCGCTGTGAAACGTATTCGGTCTTTTTTTTAAAAATTAATTTTTGTTAGAGATAAGAGCTAAAACTCGGTAAACAACTTCTTTATGTCTAGAAAATTCTATCTTGCCTTTTATTTTTTTCTCGCTGTGAAACGTATTCGGTCATTTTTTTTAAAAATTAATTTTTTGTTAGAGATAAGAGCTAAAACTCGGTAAACAACTTCTTTATGTCTAGAAAATTCTATCTTGCCTTTTATTTTTTTCTCGCTGTGAAACGTATTCGGTCTTTTTTTTAAAATTAATTTTTTGTTAGAGATAAGAGCTAAAACTCGGTAAACAACTTCTTTATGTCTAGAAATTCTATCTTGCCTTTTATTTTTTTCTCGCTGTGAAACGTATTCGGTCTTTTTTTTAAAAATTAATTTTTTGTTAGAGATAAGAGCTAAAACTCGGTAAACAACTTCTTTATGTCTAGAAAATTCTATCTTGCCTTTTATTTTTTTCTCGCTGTGAAACGTATTCGGTCTTTTTTTTAAAAATTAATTTTTTGTTAGAGATAAGAGCTAAAACTCGGTAAACAACTTCTTTATGTCTAGAAAATTCTATCTTGCCTTTTTATTTTTTTCTCGCTGTGAAACGTATTCGGTCATTTTTTTTAAAATTAATTTTTGTTAGAGATAAGAGCTAAAACTTTGCAGACAACTCCCCATGTCTAGCAAATTTAACATTCGTCCCCCATTTTTATATTTTGGTTTAGAATGTTCGAAAATGCGTAATATGGTCATTAATATTAATTGAAAAGAACCTTGAATTAATTCAATCTGATCTCACAAAATATTTTAAATTACAAACTTTGTAGTTTGAATAGATAATTAGTATTAAACTCAAATAACTAGTTTATTTTTGAATAAAAATTATTTGAATTTTTTCAATTTTGTGAATTTTCCTTCAAAAATCAAGTTTAAATATCTTATTTGCCATATAATTATAAATACAATGAAACATATTTGAAATTGAAAAGAATGACTTTTTCTGTTCTTTCAATCATTCAATTTGCATTTTGCAATATTGGATTTCTCATTAAATAGCTATTAAAAACAACAAGCAATTTAACTTACATTCAAATTTATTTGTGTTATATTCAATCTTCTCAAAACTTATAATTTTCGGCTATAGCATGATTATATGCTATATAATATAATAAACCTATAATAGTATCATTCTTTCAATTATTTGAAGAGACAACCGAAAAAATCTATTTTCGGTCTATAACATACGAAGTTTGATTTCGGTTTTGCAAAGGATTTCAATGAATCTGAGAAGACTTTACCAAAATTTGATATATAGGGAAAATACTAAAAATGATTTCGGAATGTTAATTCTCATCTTCTCAATTTTTCAAAAGGTGTGAAGTGAATTGTGAGGTTACTAACGTAATATTTATATAAATAAATCGGAATGTTTATTATATAAGTACCCCACGTGTTGTTTCAATAAGAAGAATTGCATTAAGTTAGAAAATATTTTTACAATAAAAAGAATATTCAAACAATGATAATCGTAAAGTACAATTGAAGTTAAGTGATGTCTATCACTTGTCCCATTTTGCCATTCAAAAAAATAATTTGAACAGATATGTCAAATAATACCTTTAGTACTATTTCACAATTGTATTAATGCGGTAAAAAAATAAAACTAATTCTTTCAAATTTTAAACCAGGAATGATTGTCCATTCAAATTTGATAAAGCGGACACTTTTCTGATTCACCTCACATTTGATTTATGGCTGTAAACGCTGCGGACTACTTCATATCGTTCCCAAAACTCTCTCAGTCTGAAGTCACTGCTGCTGCAGATCACTTCAATGCCCTCCAGGACAACGGAAAGATCAACGAAAACGCTATCATTCGTCTTTTCGGCGAATTAGGCCAGACAATCTCTGTTGCCCAAGCTAAAAAGGACATTGCCGACTACGATGCCGATGGTGATGGCACACTTAACTTCTCTGAATTCCTTACAATTTTCTCCGATGAAAAGGAAGGTAAGACATCTGATTTCTCAGAAGGCCTCAAGAAGCACGCTGCTATGATCAAGGTCACAGGCAAGGGTGGTGCTCAGAGATCCTATGCTCAGGAAGAAGTTACAGGTTTCGTTAATCACATCAACTCCTGCCTTGCTGATGATGAGGATCTTCAGCAGATTCTCCCAATCAACCCAGAAAATGACGATCTCTTCAAGAAGCTCGGCGATGGTCTCCTTCTCTGCAAGATGGTCAACCTTGCCCAGGCTGACACAATCGATGAGCGTGTTATTGTCAAGGGCAAGAAGCTCAACACATACTCTGCTGCTCAGAACATCGACCTCGCTCTTAACTCTGCTAAGTCCATCGGTATCTCCACAATCAACATCGGTAACACAGATATCCGTGATGGTACAGTCCACCTTGTTCTTGGTCTCACATGGCAGATTGTCCGTATGAGCCTTCTCAAGACAGTCAACCTTACAAACCACCCAGAACTTTTCCGTCTCCTTAAGCCAGGAGAGACACTCGCTGATCTCCTCAAGCTTTCCCCAGAACAGATCCTTCTTCGTTGGCTTAACTACCACCTTGAGAACGCTGGCTCAAAGCGTACAGCTAACAACTTCACAACAGATCTCTCCGACTCTGAGATCATGACAATCGTTCTCAACAAGGTCGCTCCAGAGTGCTGCACAATGAAGCCAATGAACGAGGATGATCCAATGCAGCGTGCTGAACTCATGCTTCAGGAAGCCGCTAAGATCGACTGCCGCAAGTTCGTCGGCCCACGCGAAATCGTTAAGGGCAACCAGCGCCTTAACCTCGCCTTCGTCGCTACAGTCTTCAACACACGCCCAGGCCTCGAAGCTCTTTCCGAGAAGGAACTCGCCGCTCTCGATGAAGCCCTCTTCGCTGCTGGTGGCACACGTCTTGAACGCCAGTACTGCCTTTGGATGAACTCCTGCGGTGTCGACCCATTCGTCTACAACCTTTACGACGGCATCGCTGACGGCCTTGTCCTCCTTCAGATGTTCGACAGAATCGAACCAGGATCTGTCGACTGGAAGAAGGCCAACAAGACAAAGCTCAACAAGTACAAATCTGTCGAGAACTGCAACTACTGCATTGAAATCGGCAAGAACCTCGGCCTTTCCCTCGTCGGTATCTCTGGTGCTGATATCAACGACGGAAACCAGAAGCTTTGCATGGCTCTCCTTTGGCAGATGATGCGTTACGACTACCTTAAGGTCTTCAAGAAGCTCGGTGGTGGCGCTCGTATCAAGGATGAACAGATCGTCAAATGGGCTAACGACAAGCTCGAGGGCAAGTGCCACATCGACTCCTTCAAGGATGTCACAATCAAGACATCCCGCCCAATCCTCCACCTTATCGACCTTCTCAAGCCAGATAAGGTTGACTGGTCCATCGTTATGGACTCTGAGGAAGATGCTGACCTCCTCAAGAACGCTCGCTACGTTCTTTCTATGGTCCGTATGTTCGGTGGCACTGTTTATGCTCTTCCAGAAGATATCCTTGAGGTTAACCCACAGATGGTCATGACTGTCTATGCCTCTCTTATGGCCATGGATCAATAAGCATACAATAATTTTAATCACTAAACGGTTATATTTCAATTCGAAAATATTTATAAATCGCATCATTTTTATTTACATCTCATTTTTGGTAAATTTGTAAACTGTTTACATGTCAAAAAATATTACTGACTAACATAATGAAATTCACTAATTATTAGTAACTAACATTCGAAATGAATCTGTTGTTATGTAATATCTCATGGTATTATAGCTTTTATATGGCGTATGATACATAGCAATTTGCTAATTCTTTATAATCTAATTTGTAATTAGAGGAAATCTTATAATTTTAAAAAAAATACAGCGCAAACTATCCTATCCCTTTCTAACTATCACTCATGTATAATGTCATTCAGGAAAATCTATCAATTTTGATAAAGTTGAAATTTGATTACACCTTAGTTTGGAAAATTTGTCATCAGGAAGATTATTTTTACTGTACATAGGCCAGCAATTTTTGATCCAAAATAAAAAATATAAAAAGGTGATCGGGCACAATACAAAAAAATTGATCGGGCCCATCACTTTTCAGAACGATGAAATTTGAAAACGATGAAAATTTCTATAGAATTTGAGGTGCTCTGTTTATTTGCTTTTTTAAATAATGACTCTTCAGCATCCTGACTCTTGCAAGGGAGGAAACACAATCCCAGTCGATAAGGACGGTCGCCCATACCACTTTGGTGCCAACAAGGATGAAGTTTCCAACGAGTTCCTCATCACATCAGATTACTACTTGGCCGAGCAGATTTCAAAGCTCTTCGAAGAGAAGGAGCCATTCTGCTTCCGTTCTAACCGTGGCTACACAACATTCACAGGCCATTACAAGGGCAAGCGCCTTTCTATCTGCGCTTTCGGCATTGGCTTCGCTATGATCGATTTCCTTGTCCGTGAAGTTCGCACAATCACAAAGGGCAAGCTTACATTCATCGCGCTTGGTGCTGCTCCTTCTCCAGCCGGACATGCACTCGGCACAGCCATCAATATCAAGGATGCTGTCGCTTACGAGCTTGATTTCAACACATTCAACGCTGAGAACCCAACACCATACCGTTTCTTCAAGAAACCAGTTCCAGCTGATGAAACTTTATTCAATGCTCTTAACGAAGGACTTAAGGCTGCCAACATTCCACATGTTGAGGGCAGAGTCGCTTCAAATCCATCCTTCATTTCTGGTGTTAACTCAGCAGATATCAACGGATTCAACTTCAAGAAGGAAGGATTACTCCAGAAGGTCGAAGCTGAACTTGGCAAGATTGATACACTCGAAATGGATACATATCCACTCTACTGGACAGCTCTTCGTGAGGTTAACCACGATATCAAGACAGCTGCCATCTCTATCGTTAACTCAGACGCAAATGGACACGCTCTTCCTGTCGAGGAACTCCGCAAGCGCCAGGTCGAGGTTGCTGCTGTTATCCTCGAGCAGCTTGGCAAGCTCCAATAAAAAATTAACCAAAAATTTTTAAAGAGAATACATTCGAAATAAGAAATCTTTTACATTTTTACTTTCTGATTTTGTTACTATATGTTTTATAATGAAATTTTCTCTTTTTTGCATTAAGATTTACAAATTAAAGAGTAATTAGCCTTTCGGACATAAAGTATCATTAAAAATGACAGGCTCACAAGCCGAGGATCTGTTACTTAGGTGTAAATGATGAGCGAATACTGATGAAATTGTTTCAATATTCCTTATTACATATTGAATCATGTGCTTTGATAGAGACACATTCTATGGTGAGAGTTTTATAACATTTTCTAATTGTTAATAAACCTATAGTTTGTGAAATTGGCATAATTTATTCCAATGAATGAGTAAATCAATAAATTCAAGCAATAATTTTAAAAGAATCATGAGATAATCTTGAAATTTTGATCAAATACTTATCCAGATGAATGAAATCCATAAAGATTAATAGATCGTTTTTTTAAATATTTCTTTAAATATAAAGATTTATAAATCAAAATGACAAGTATGAATAATTATGTTCATCTACCGATTTAGTTTTATGCCTTTATTCTCCAAAAAAATTTCAAAATTGATTTTTTGATGAAAAAGTCAACATTTTTTGAGTTCATTATTTTCCTTTTCTGAAAAATTTGATAATTCGGTTCCCCTAAACTCCACATGGATAAATGAGTTGAAGCTATTTCTTAAGGGAATATAGGGCAAACCCAAATTTTAGCTAAAAGTGACAGGAAAAAAAAACGTTTAGTATTAAAAAAAAAGACCGATGAGAGCTTCGTTCGAAATATAGAGGGAACTGAGAATGCGCAACCATTCTCAGGGAATATTGGATGCTATTCCTGTTCCCTCTGTATGGAAAATTGAGGTTTTCAAAGGGAGTTAAAATAATATCAAATTTATACTAATTTACTTCAAAATACAAAAGTATTTGACAGCTGAAATTAGTTACTTTAGCAAGCCTATCAATACCCTTTTATGATTATTGTTACTTTTTCGAAATAAAAGTAAAAACAAATTTATACTAATTTACTTCAAAATACAAAAGTATTTGACAGCTAAAATTAGTTACTTTAGCAAGCCTATCAATACCCTTTTACGATTATTGTTACTTTTTCGAAATAAAAGTAAAAACAAATTTATACTAATTTACTTCAAAATACAAAAGTATTTGACAGCTAAAATTAGTTACTTTAGCAAGCCTATCAATACCCTTTTACGATTATTGTTACTTTTTCGAAATAAAAGTAAAAACAAATTTATACTAATTTACTTCAAAATACAAAAGTATTTGACAGCTAAAATTAGTTACTTTAGCAAGCCTATCAATACCCTTTTACGATTATTGTTACTTTTTCGAAATAAAATAAATTTATTATCAAAAACCTTTTTTTTCTTAGTAAAAATAAACGAAATTTTTTACCTTATGAACTTTTGATGGAAATATACAAATTTAAAATAATAAAGAAAGCCGCGAGCGAAGCGATCGGCTTAGTTCGAAGATTTTGATTCAAATCTTTGCTGATCTGTAATTCGCGGAAGCCGCGAGCGAATCGAGCGGCTTAGGTCTAAGATTTTGATTCAAATCTTTGCTTATATTCCTTAAATTCTTTATGAAACTCGCAACAGTTCCATAAAAAATTTTAAATTCTAAACTGTCGAAATTACCGATCGGTAATCACACCCTTCACGGGTGTGTCACTTTTTACAGGTGTGTCACTTTTAGCTAAAATTACCCCTACTCAATTGAGAGCTGCGAGAAAAAAATTTACAAAATGTCAGGTAAGGATTTGAGCGAGTTGCAGTTAACAGTTCCCCAATTCGAAGAGCTGGCCTCAAAACTTTCCGAGCCTGGCACAGATTTTGAAATGTACCATACAATTTTACAAGAATATAAATGCACTTTATATCCAGTGGAGATTCTGGAACCGATCATTACAGGATCACAGAATATCTATGCCCGAATTCAAATTCTTAACATTCTCAAAGAAATATTATCACGAATTTGGGATTTAATCGATTCCGGAAAGAAATCAAAGCTCAAAACGTTTTTTTTCAATGCTGTAGCCACAATCGAGTATGGTCCTGACAATGATCCCGAATCATCTTTTGAAATATCATGCCTTATTGAAATACTTAAAAAAGAATGGGCGGATGACTGGCCAGAATTCTCACGACTTCTAATCCAACGAGCAAAAGCAGACCAAGGCGCTCCTATCAACTGCATCAATTTGTTTAAATTTCTTACAGAAGATATCAAAGAAACCATAAACTCAGGTATTCCAATACTGAGGCATCGCGAACTCGAAAAAGCCATAATTAACGACTCCCCGCTGATCATCTCATATATTTCTGATATTCTGACTGAAACAACAGACCCAATTTTGATTAAATCGGGTTTTGAGTGTTTAAAAGTCATGTTGAAGTATACGAACGTGGCAATCGTTACTAACCAGGTTTTCATTAATTCCATCAAAAACCTATTCGCAAACGACCTTTTTAAAGACCCGATTTTGAGTTGTTTTGCAGTTATACCGAAAACGAAATACCAAGACTTACAATTACCCAAAATTGTTGAAGGATCGTTTTCATTCATGTTTGAACTCCTTTCTTCTTGGATTGACGATAATTTTAATTTTTACGAATTTTGTAAATCGGAAACCGACTTACCGCATTCACTTTCTCTCTGCCTAACTGAATACCTGAGGTATGGACAATACAGAATACTACTCTATATTACGTATAATCAAACTCCTTTTTATCCGATATTTCAGTGGTTGCTGAACCTCTTCGCTTTCTCTCAGGTTCCAACATACGACATCTGCTTGGAATTCTGGGAGGAAATTACAAAGCAAATGGTCCGAGATTCATCTGAAATTCGATTATCAAAACACCTTATTCACGCTTTGATCAAAATTGCAGTTGAAAAGGTTACACCACCTCCACAATTCCCATTCAAACAATATGATACAAACGAAATGCTGTTTAACGCTCTTACAAGTTTAATTCACAATTTATCTATAATAGATTCAGAATTTATCACAAAGGTTGTTACAGAAGCAATCATGCATCAATCAGGCGAAGAACTTTTCTGCAGAGCTTTCGCTTTTGGTGCAATGAGCTGCGCATTACCAGAACCACTCAAAATAGAGACAGCACATGGAATTTTACAGCACTTACTTACGAAAGCAACCGAATTACAGGACTTTGCAATAAGTTTGCTCATTGTTGCCCCTCAATTTGTTCAATATCTCAAAAATAATTTGGAAATGCTACAACTTCTACTGAAATATACAGTTGAATGGCCACTAGGAGCCACAGATTCGCCTGAATTTCAGTTATTCAGCATTTCCGCGTTAGATAAAATTTGTTCTTCGATTCCACAGCAATGTTTGCAATGTGGAGCCCTAGAAATCATTAATAACTCATCCCAGATTGCTTCTGGTATATGTCCGGAGTGCCATCCTCCACTTTTCCATGCAATAACTTCGATAATTCACGCAGCTCCTTCTTCTGAGAAAAACAGCCTCATAGATGCAGGATATGCCTTTACTACATCGAATTGGAACGAGGCTGTTCAGAATTTGGACACAATTGAACCTTTAATTTTCAAATTTTCTGTTTTGAGCCTTTCAGAAATCATTGCAATCAATGATCCCGACATGAAAGACCTTATTAGGTCCATTACAAGCAACGTCATGGATGTCTTCCATTCAATACCTTCCGATGACAATCCAAGAAACAGACAATTCAGAGACGCAATTTTTGAATTCTTTGAAAAAGTGGCAGCAAAAAGTGACACCGATTTAGCCGGGGATGTTGTTTCATGCATTGTACAAGATTACTCGGAATCGTATATTAGCTATAGGTATCCACAGGCCTTAAGGTGCTTTGCTACCTTTGTTAGAAAAGTTACAGTTGACAATGATCTTACATTAAACTTATGCGCTGAAGTTATTACTTCAACGGCCGAGACAATCATCGATTCAGGTGAAGAATGCCCTGATGTTGAGATCTCTGTCTTCGAATTAATCAAAGCTGCCGTTGCATGCGCTTCATCTCTTGAAGTCTTTGATACAGCACTTTGCTTACCACTAGAACAAGTCGTAGAGTGGGGACTTGGTCGAAAGAACACACAAACAGTCTCCGCAGCCTTGAATACGATATGTTTGATCGTAGATTCACCTGATAACCCGTTTTCTCTTGCATTTCTGAACCAGTACTTCCTACAACTATGCGGATCCATCATCGAAGCGATGATTCCGACGATGGATATGGCACTTTTGACTCAATTCACTCGTACAATGCATTCCATGATGAGTTTGCAGAGCAGGGTCGGTGTAGAAGACGATTCTCTCACAGAAGCTCTTGCAGGAAGAATCCAAGAGATTGCTCAAGATATCGACCAAAATATCATCCAGGATTTCGCAGGCGCCATCGTTTCTGACTACGTAGACATCGAAAAACTACAGACACACATGGTAGAGCTTGTAAATGAGCTGAGATGCGTTGTTTTCAAGAATGAAATAATGAGACAACAATACGGCCTTGAAGGAGGCTTTTTACTCAGTGCTCCTTATTTGGTTAACATCGGATCTGTTCCTGAGATCCAAGAATTTTGATATTTTTATTTTTTTGTTTGATTTTTTGCGAATTTTTTTAAGTTTCTTTTATTTACTTTCTTTGTTTGTTCGGAATAAATTTTTGTTGTTCTTTAAGTGTTGTTTTATATCAAATTAACAAATTTCAAACAATTTTTGTTTTTTTATTTAACTAATATGAAAAGACTACATAGTTTTATTAGGTTAAGCTATGTCATCTCTATCATTACTAAGTATTACTTCATATATCAAATCAAATATTAAATTTTGAATATCCTATGATTGAAGCTAATGCCTATAAGTTTTTAATCCTCAAACTTATTTGTGATGATCAAATGCTTCATTCTATCTCTAAATGTTATATTCATGAAGAATGATTTGATAATTGCATTTTCTAATGAATATCATTGAAGATTTTTTAGATTCATAAAGGTATCCGATCATTTTGGACTAAAATTTCATTAATTTTTGAAATTTTTTTGTTGAGATTTCAATGAATGTTGGAAAATCCAGAGAATTATTTACGCATTACACTCCTTAAGGAGGTAGCAAATTTTTATTAACTAACAAGAGATAGGATTGTCATCGCACTTAAATTTAAATTTAAAATACGATGAAATCAGCGAAATCGCCTACAACAGTATCATCCTCGATGCTGTTGTTAAAATAAAAGTCCATTTCTGAATAAGCTTTATTCATTTCTGGAACAGTAATTGCGGTTTCAATATTTGGAATTGAAGGAAGAGGAGCTGAAGGTACAACTGCTGGTTGCTGATATGTCTGAACAGATTTGATGTAATCTGCGATGCTTAAGCTTTCCGGCAAACAAGAAATTTTCTTGGTGTGATGTGGCTTCAGTTCTTTCTTGTTGACTTTGATGAGCTCTCCCCTTTGATCGAGTTCGAAAAATGTCTCGTCTTCAGGACCCTGGAATGTAACCCACTTAGCTTTCACGCGATAAGTTGGTCTTCCAGCTTTCATCAGAAGTGAAATTAACTTGATCAAAAATTTTTAGAGTTCAAAATTTTTATTGAAAAAAATTATTATGGAATTCAATTAAACCGCAAATCATGACAAAAATGTGACACAACATCATATAGTTATGAGTTATTCTTATATATTATTGCAAAATTTTGCCTTGATAACGCAAAAGTGACAATTTAAATTTTATCATTAACCAGGACAAACATTTGCAGCAGTATTTTCTATTCATTGTCACTGACCACGCAGCCACGTAATATCGAAATTCTGTCCTAAGTCTTTGAACTCATACTTCTTAAAAAGAATGCTTTTTTGTTTAAAATTCAAACGAAGTTTCATTGACCAAACATTGGTCAGTTCATTACATTTGTTAAAACGAGTCATGCTTAAATTCATACCATATGGCTTTATTTCTTTTTTCTTTCTACAATATTGACTTATTCCTTTGGTGAAAGATCATTATCATTATCAGTGAATGTAATATAGTACTACTAGCTAAAAAATCAATTAAATATTCCTTGATTTACAACTTTATATTGAGTTGATTTGACGTTTTCTTGTTTTAAACGTTTTTTATTTGCAGATTTAGCAACACATGTCAATCTATGTATTAGAACTATTGAATTTAATTTAAAATGTATTGGTTTAAAAACAATACAGATTAAATGATTCAAATCTTATACAGTTCTAATCTTATTGAGAATTATATGGTATTCTTGTTGAATTAGCTAAAAAAATTTAATTTGATTCATAAAATTAACTCCAAATATAAAGAATTTACTATTATCTGACATGAATTAATACAAGTTCCGGAATAAAAATAGTTTCGCCTTAGTTTGAAGACATATTTCTTGTCAATATCGAATCCTATATAATATTTTAATACTAGAAGATTCATTTATGTGTGCTCTTCTCAGAAAATGTTCAAAAGAATGATAACTGAAAGGACTTTGTTCTTTTATACACTTACTAAAGCCTTGGTTCTGGAAAAAGTGACAATGCCCTCAATTAGCTTGAAAATCACAATATATCTCAGATTCTTGTTTGTACAGGCAGAAATAGCTTTCAGGTCAGAGATGAGGAGAGTTAAATGATATTGCTATTCTGAATAAAACAAATATTAATATTGCATTTCCAAATAGCCATATATTGCGTTCTGTATTACATACTCAGGATATATTCTCTTTGGTTATTTACGTATGATTGCGATACTTTCGGGTTTTCACTCTTGGAACCCTGGAATGTGATCTCGACATATTTGTTGATACTTTTCGCTCCAACTCAAGCAATATTGTAAATGGTAATGATCCAAACAGTAAAATTTCGATATTCTTGAAGATTGGACAAAGTTTTTTTTGCAAAACATAAAAAATTGTATCCTAACAAAGTTCCTTATGCATGATTTAGCCCTTAACAACAGGAAGCTGATTCGGAGACACCTCCAGTCATTGGAGTACCTATAGATGACAAATTTAGGATATTTCAACCTTATTCAGCGATTATGATTAATTCGATCTTTTTGACTTAATTATAAGCTTTGCAGAATCCATATATTTAGTAGGTTCTCTTTTTAACAAAATATTCTTTGGTGATGCGATCAATTAATTGAGAGGAAAATAATCACACCACTCGAGAATTTTGTACCATTTTATTAATATTTTTGTGGCATATATGCATACACCTTATATTCACATGAGATCATAAAAATAATAATGATCGGTTAATATTAAAAATTCAGAGCATTACAAACTTTTTATTATAAGGTATTTTCATAGTTATGAAAAATATAGCAATATTTTTCTAGTTCTAGAAAAATTATTATTCTTACAAGCTCTCAATTATTATTGACATATATCAGAAAAAAATTTAACTTCTATCAAATTTGGAAAACTATCAAAGTTATTTATTACACTATAATCTCATTTAAATTTTATAAAATTTTTGGAAGGTTGAACCTCTTTTTTTTTTTTTCAAAGTTATCCATGATATGGAGCTACATCTCTTTATTGTTTTGCTGTGCCTTTGTCTTATCAGAATTATACATAGCAAGCGAAATTTCAGTTGTAGCCAATGCCGATGTTTGGTTTTGTTCAGTAGAAATTAAAAGAAAGTTTAGTAAAACGAAAAATATACTAAATTCTAATTTAATTCGCGAATACACGTATAATATAAGCCAAAAAGTCTTAAATACAAATTCATTGTTCGTGATTAATCAAAAATCTGATAATATCGACTACGAAATTGAACCAGATCATCATTATCAAGTATTTAACTTCGTTTCCGGGCATTTTTACCATCTTCGCAGTTCATATGTACAACATTCGCTTCATATAATTTCAAATAGAAAAGAGATCGTGCCAATCGAACCAAAAATAGTTTCATTCATTCACAGACCATCTAATGGCCGAATAATAGGTTCTTATGAACACGTTATTGCAACTGGCCATCTTTATTCATATAATTACGGCCATTTTATCGGCGACTTCCTTTGTCCTCTCATGGCAATGCCAGATGAGATCCTACAGAAATCCTACATCTTTGGAAAAGCTAGATTAAATTTTGTCAACGAATTCTTTAAATGTCTCGGATTTGAAGGCAAATACATCGAAGCAGGCGATAGAGAATGGATATACGCAGAGAACTTATATGTTACTGCCAATCCAAATCCTCATTGCGCCCACTTTGGCCCATTATATAAAAAACTTGGCGACATCATCAAAAAAAGTCTCAATATATACGATGTTATACCAAATAGATACATTGTTGCCAACAGAAAGTCCCATATGAGAGTTATTCACAACGTAGAGAACCTGACAAAAGCATTACAACAATCTTTTCCTGAAAATAAATACGAAATAGTTGTTGACGAAAAAATGACATTAGAAGAAAGTGCAAAAATATTTGGATACGCGAAATTCATGTTTATGGTTGTAGGAAGCAACTGTTTCAAGAGTCTTGTCATCAATCCAAAGGCTGTAATTGTTCTTGTCGGCACAAAAGTATATGATAATAGTGCTATAAATGTGATTGGTTCAAATGGAAACAAAATAGTTTTCTATGTAGAACCAAAGGTAGAACACGCTGGTTATTCGTATAATATATTTAATATTTCTATGGCAATCAAAGCTTCTAGTATTGCAAATTATTATATAGAGCATGGATGTTTTCCTAATGATCCAGTTGGATCTGTTGTTGTTTAGATTTAATAATAAATATTTGTTTTGTATTAGAATCATAAGTATTTTTTAAGGGTGCACTTAGGCCCATCTGACATCTGGTGAGATACGTGATTGAAAAATAACCTTAAAGACTAGAATTGAATACCATGTCATATGGCGATAAGTGTGCTGTCACTTTTTGAGATGTGTCACCCCTTTATTTGAAAATTTAAGGTTAATGACAATTTTGAGTTGAAGGTAGATGAAAATGAATCACTATTATCAATATTTTTTTATCTATTGATATAGTGTGTAGTTCATGCATTAGTTGAGTTATTTTGCCACCACTGGAGGAATGAGGTTAACTAGAATCCACCTATTAATTATGAAATTCAAAATCTCAATTAGGTGCGGGGATTCGGGCTTAAGGAGAATCTGACAACATTCTCATAATGAAAAATACAGCATAAATAACATAGTAATGATTTATTAAATAAGACTTCACTTATGCAGAAACTCAAATTATCTATACTACGATTATTTTTGATTCAAATACTGATCGGTATTAGAAGCAAAAATAATCATAATCAAGATAAGCGCCCGTAAAAAAGTATACAAAATTGTTAATTTGGATGATCATTTAATTTTGTTATTTTGGATCTTCCTAAACGATTATCCGAATTAGCAACCAGATAGCTATCTAATTAAAGAGAAATGCTTATGTATTCCAATAGTAAAATCACTATCTTTACAATTGTTGATTATTAAAAAGTCTTCTTCAGTCGGCCTTTTGCAATACAATTTATGGGTCATTTATATAAATAGAATGGAATAATCAATTATAGTGCTGAATATTCTAGATTCCTCTTTATAAATAATTCTAATTTCACCATCATTGAAATTGCGGTTGTATTCTCAATTGGAATATATTTATGAATAGGGGTATTATTTATAAATAAACTTTTTTTATACATAATTTTTTAAGGCTGCACTTTCGCCCATCTGACTTTAATTCAAATTTTTGGCAACTGGCGTGAAGCGCCATTGAAACTTAACCTTAAATATACGAATTGAATGCACTGCCATAGGGGCGTAAGTGCACCCTTAAAAAATTTAAATGCCATTTTTTGTCACTTTATTGAACAGCCATGAAAATTTGATGCAAATAATCAATTATTATTAACGGATTTTACTTATAATCGATATATTGATGCATGTACACTTAGGTAAAGCCATAATTTCTTATAGAAACACGGCATGCCCTATGAACTTCAATATAAATTTAATAATCTTCATGTATTATTATTAATTCCGACAAATCATCAATATCAAAATAAACTGCTTCGGGAAATTCTCATGGGATAGATACTTTTTCCATGATACAATTGATGACGAAAAATCAAATGATGGAACAGCGTTGTTTGATACTTCAAGTTCTTCCAATTATTACATTCATCATTGTTTATTTGAAAATTGCAAAGAAAAAGGTGCTATTTACATCCAAAGGGATAATAAAATATGCACATTAATTGAAGAATGTGTGTTTTACAACTGTAGTTCCACTTCAAATGGTGGATCTGTTTTCTATAACTGCCAAGGTGATGGACAGATTGTTCAACAGCGAACATGCTATTATAAATCAATAGCAAAAGACTATTTCATGGCATTTGCTCAAGCAGTTTCACCTTCTCCTTCTCATTTGAACCTCACTTTTGATGTTTCTATTTCTAATTGTGGAGAAAATGAAACAAAAGGAGCTTATACATTTTCTGTTGCATGGGGTGCTATAATTATTTCCCATATAAATAGCACATACAACAAATGCAGTCAATATTCATCAATAGAAAGTGAATTCACTGAAAATGAATGTGCATGTGAATACTCAACATTCAGAGAAAACAACCAAACTGAAAGTAATTCACTTGGATTTATTTGTTTTGATGAATCAATTAATCAAACAGTTTATGGTTGCAATGTTATTGGAAATAAATGCGAAACAAATGATAACCAAGTTCTATTTTATTGTAGATACAAAGTTAATGTTGTTCGTTGCATATTTAGAAATAACATTGCAGCTTACATGTTTATGCAAGAATATGATGGTTACCCTTTGACTATTTCAGATTCATATGTTGATAATAATTCAACAACAGGAACAGGAAATGTTATATTTATAAATGAAACACAAAATTCCGATTTTAATACTTTTTCTTTTTTTACAAAGAAAATTGTTTTATTAATTCAAAATTATCATATACTAGGTCAAATAACAATCCTTTTTTACATAAAATACACAGGCGAAGATAATTTAAACAATCACAATTTTTCTTTTATTTTTTTTGCCACTATCAATATGGGAATAAAATGGTCTATCATTATTGACAGATTCTATTGTTATTCTATATATTATTGAATCAGAAAATATTTTCAAACCAGAGGTATGCTGACTACCCTTGATACAGGCCAAATGCCCCCAAATTTTGAATATAGCTTCTATGCATGCTTGTGAGCAATGTTTGTATGACCATGAAAGAAAAACTATCAGCCAACATAGTAATTTCATATATTTTATGTTCAGATTATTTTTGCCATTTTTGAATTTTTTAAATTTTTTACATATTTAGCTGATTTATTCGAATTATGAATCGACAAAAACTAATTATTTTAAGTTCTAAAATAATATTAATGCTTAAATTTCATATATTACAATAATGAATAAAAATATTATATTAATCATCATAAAGTATGATTGAAATTAAACCATTCAGATTGTAATCCCAAGTTTATAATAATCTCACATATCTTGCATGTTTTAATAATACTTTCTCAATGAGCGAATAAATGATGAGTTAATACCAATCAATTAGGCTTTCTGAGCAAAAATATCTAAATTACATAAATGTGTGAACTATTTATTAGTATTAAGATAATTTATTCCTAATAATAAAAAAAAATTTATAAGCCATACTAAATAGTTAAACATTATGCATACCATGATGCTATAAATCATTATCGTATTATTAATTTTGCTATTTTGAATAAGTCAGTAATTGAATATACGGGTAACTTTTTTTTGGCTGATAGTTTTTAAATAAATCTATTCTAAAGGTGATACTTAAATGAATCTATATGTTTAATAGCTATTACAAGGAAAACCACCTGTACAAAAAAAAGTTAATAATTTAGGATTTTAACATATACGTTTGAGTAAACTCCCATGCGAATTTCTTAATGATATGGCGTTTCCGTAAAGATGAACGAATAATAACATATATGATAATAAATTTGATAAATCTTTTGTATAAAAGCCAAAACATCTATATTGTTACAATCGAAAACATAATATATGAAGTGCTTTTTCGAATGACTTTACTTGTTTCTAAAATAATGTTATGCTTGGCTCTAGACGTGGCCATTAAAAATGACGTTAAGAGAAAAAATTAACCTTATTCCAGTCAGCATACCTCTTTCAAACCTAATTTCCAACAGAATTTTTTGTAAGTTGACATTTTTTGCCACTTTATTGTGATGAGAACTACTATAATTTGTGAATCTAATAGTCAATTTTTATTGATGTCTTCTTTTATATTCTATAGATTTATACATATGTAGTTAAGTTATTACCTTGTTTCATTTTTATTCACCAAATTCTTTTCAAATTGCAATTTAAATCTTAAAATCTTCATGATTATATTATTAACACCAACAAATCATCAACGATAATATAAAATGCACTTGTGAATTCTCTTGGGAAGAATATTTTGGCAATAAAACAAATTTCGAAAAATCATATAATGGAACAGCATTGTTTAATGAAGCAAGTTTTCACAATTATTACATTCATCATTGTTTATTTGAAAATTGCAAAGAAAAAGGTGCTATTTACATCGAAAGTTATGAAGAAATATTCACATTAATTGAAGAATCTGTATTTAATCACTGTAGTTCCACTTCATCAAATGGTGGCGGATCTGTATACTATAAATGTCAAGAAGAAGGCCACTTTGTTCAAAAAAGAACTTGTTATTATAAATCAGTAGCGCAAGATTTCATGTCATTTTATCTATATTTAGACACTGCCATCCAATATATTTCGTCCACTAAAATATATGTATTTGATATTTCAGTTTCCGAATGTGGTGATAACGAAACTATAGGAAGAAGCACCTTTTGTATTAAAAGTAGCATTATCAATTTTTCGAACAACAACATCTCAAACAACATCTCAAACAACAAATGCAGTCAATGTTCATCATTGAACAGTTATGTTCTTGGAAAATCAGGTACATATAACTTTTCAACTTTTAGAGAAAACAATCAAACTGACAGCGAATCACTTTCCTTTAGTAGCATTAATGACTCAAACCCCAAAAAGTTTCTTATTGCAATATTATTGGAAATAACTGCGGTACAGACATTTACCAAGTTCTATTTTATTGTTTAAATACAGTTAATGTTGATCACTGCATATTTTTAAATAACACTGCAGCTTACATGTTTTATCAAAAATATGAAGATTCCATTATTACTATTTCAGATTCATATGTTCAATCAAAGTCAACATCAATTATAGGGGGAACTGTTACATTTACTGATCTAATAGAAAAGTGCGATTTTAATGTTTTAATCCATTTTTATACAGAAAATTGTTTTATTGAATCGAAATTGAAATTTACTAAACTCTATAACAATGCTTTTGTAAATAGATTACAGCACCGTCGATAGTTGGCTTTCTATATCTTTATTTAGAATGATCATACAAAAAGAATAATATATTCTAATACTTTATGAAAATTATTGAAATCTCCTTGGTCAAACGTCAGATATTAGGTTGGTATATATTGGAGATTGCTCTACTTCTATTTAATGATAAATTAAGCTTTTCTTTACTCAAAGAATAAGAAAAAGAATAAGAAAAAAAAGTCTACATAATAAACTGCTCGTCAAAAAGCGCAGGCCCGATCATAAACTGCGAGTCAAAAGGAGTACCCACCTATTTGAGAGAACTCATACAATTAATTATATGAGTTTCTTTCAAAAAGTCGATTTCTGCCAGGTACGCCTTTTGGACCGCACAAACTATTCGCTCTAATTCGATATAATAACAAAGAATCATAAAATATGCATGCATATAGGATGAACTAATACGATTCTTTTGAGTTTAACCTCAAAATTTGAGATTTCGAAATTTAATTCAAGCTTCAAACCAGAAATTTGAGCATAAATAGAAGTTTTTATACTACTTATTGCATGTGCAGCTTATTCGAGCTCTCATATTGGATAATTTTCTCTCACTCTCAGTGAAGGAACCATTAGCATTAAAAATGTAAACTATTCAAAAATTGAAAGGTACGCCTTTTATTTGAAGTTTGACATTTTTTGCCACTTTATTGAAAAGTAAAATAACAATAATATATGATTCAAATTGCCAATTATTATTAACAGATTCTATTTTTAATATATATACTGATGCAAACGCAGTTAAAACATTGCAGTATTTCTTTTTTTTATTCACAACTTTTTTTCAAACTTCAATATAAATCTAAAAACCTTCTTAATCATACTAATAACTCCAACAAATCAGTAACATTAATATAAATTGCGTTTGTAAATTCTCTTGGGATAACTTTTTTAATGATAAAGCCAATTACGAAATTGCATATAGTAAAACATCATTATATGATAATGCAAATAATCACAATTATTACATTCATCATTGTATATTTGTACAATGCAAAGAAAATGGTGCAATTCACATCAAAAGAACTAACGAAATATGTACATTAATTGAAGACTCTGTGTTTAATCACTGCAGTTCCACTACAGATGGTGGATCTGTTTTCTTTTACTGCCAACAAGAAGGAGAATTTGTTCAAACACGAACATGTTATTATAAATCAATATCAAAAACTTATCAAATGGCATTTAAGCAATGGGTTATACAACCTTCTACTTATAAAAATTATGCACGTGTTGTTTCTGTTTATAATTGCGGAAATTCAAAAGGAAGTAAAACAGTTAGTATTATATCTGGTTATATTAGTAGTACAAATATCAATATCACAAACAACCAATGCACTCAACATTCGTCATACTTTACTGACCTTCGAGGAAGTCAAGGTAAATGTGGTTACTCAACATTTAGAGGAAATAACCAAACTCATACTAATTCATTTTTTTTTGGTGATTTGATTGGTCCATTTAATCAAACAGTTTCTTATTGCAATATTATTGAAAATAAATGTTGAACAAATGATAACCAAGTTCTGTTTTATTGTTGGTGCACAACTAATGTTGATCACTGCATATTTTTTAAAGAACATTGTAGCTTACATGTTTGAATAGGGGACCGATGACACTTTAACTATATCAGATTCATATGTTGATCAAAAGACAATAATTTAAAACAAAATTACGATTTTAACACTTTTTCTCACTTTTACACAGAAAATTGTTTCATAGATCCAGAATTAAAATATACTAGACCATATAACAATCTTCTTGTTCATATAAATCACAGACGAAGATAATCTAAAAATTTCAATTTTTTTTCCTATTTCATTTTTTTATTGGTTTTCCATACTGTACTTGAGAGTGAAGTTGTACTAAAATATTTCTATGGTTTTTGTATACTTATGAACAAAATTTTGAGATTGAAAGAAATTTTTTTTCTGGAGCGATAATTTTTTTTTTATAAAATGCCTTCGAATATTTCTCTTCTTCATTTATCGATAAGTAAACTAGTATCACAATCACCTATGTTTACTCACGGATTCCATAATTTAGATATTCGTCATTCTTCTTTTTCATCATTTTCTTCAAAATTAATACATTCATCTTCTTTTTTCAATATAAATCTCAAAAACACATATCTCACGAATTTTACAACTACTGCAATACAATCAGACAAAAAGATATACAACTCACAGATTTTTACTTCTCCTTTAGAAGCACGAACTAAATCATTATCAATATCGAACTGCAGATTCGTCAATGTCCAGTCTTCATCCGGCTGCATCGTTTATAATGACAACAGCGGAAGTCTTGCACTTTATTCAACTTCTTTTTCAAACTGCCATTCTATTGACGGTCCAGTAACACTCTACACAGTTACATCTACATATTCTATTGAATATTGCTGCTTCCTTGATTGTTCTTCCACTACTTCAACAAAAACAAATATTCTTACACAGTTTTCGAATAGTGGCAAGCTTAGTTCGGTCTCATTCTACAACTGCGAATGCAAAGCGAGTTCTAGTGCCGGAATTTACATTAAAACAGACTCATTCAGGTCAAATATGTTAAATATCTCAAAGTTTACAACAATTGGGACCTGTCTTTTTATCATGTCAAAGAATTCAGACATTTCTAACGATGATGAAATACATACAGCCATTTTTGATACTGTAAAAAGCAAATATACTCTTGGAATCTATAATTTTACAAGTTTTAAAGTTACACAGACGAGATTCGAAAATAATACAGCTCAGTTTATAATGGATGTTGCTTTAAACACTCTTGTTCAAGTTTCATTTAGCGAATTTTATTTATTAGACGCTAAACTATTACATGGCTCTAACTCGAGCATAGTATTCAACAACTGTAACTTTGACAAGACATTTACATTCATAGAAGGACTTCCTCTTAAAAATTGTAAATTTAATTACGAAGGAAAGAAATTATTCGAAAAATTACCGGATTATCAAGATAAATGCTGGAGTACTATACAGAATGACCCAAGTTCTAGGGATAGAGTTTCAGCAGGAAAAGTATTTAATATAATTATTTTGTTGATTGTGTTTGTTGTTGCTATATTATGTGCTATTCGTTATATTAGAATTAACTATTTCGAGGATCACGCTGGCAGAGACGTTTTAGAGCGTTTGAACGTTTTTGAGGGTGAAGAAAACCCAGAAATCAAAATGATGCTCATGGATATAAAGAATGGAAGGACTCCTGATAAAGGAAAGGATAATACTGAAACAGATGTTCTTAAAATCGATGTTGATGAAGATGAAATCGCAAAACAAGTGTAATATTATTAATTTCTATTGAATAAATACTTTATATAAATTAAACATATCATTTTTATACATCAGACCATTCTGACAAAAGAAAACCATTTAATTTCGAAATTAAATCATTATTGCAACACTAAATTATTAAAATTTCTCTAATTCTAAGTCTTCACACATAGAACCAAAGCTCCAAAACCATTCAATATTTTATCAATATAATATTATATGATTTCGAGATGCGATTATAGATTTATTTAATTTGTGTTCTATTGAAAATCAAAATTATTTTAAAATAATTGTATATATTCATATAATCTCAAATAATTTTCATGAATCAAGGGGTAAAACGATAAATCGATTGAATTTAACATACTTAATATAGATAATTAGCTTTATAATTACAAGATAGTATACAAATATTAACATAAAAATATAAAAATAAAATTAAAGATGAAGGAAGTCGATACTGATCTTTCTTGAAGATTGCCTCCTCATCAATGGACGTCTCTTCTTGCTGGAGACACTCTGTCCTCTTTCTTCAGCGTATTTAGAAAGAACATCCTGGATATAAGTATTAAATGACTGGGAATTGAAAAGTTCTTCAAAGAAAGTACGTTCTTCAGGTTCTCTCATTGATAAGAATATCTCTTTGTTGAATTCTGTGGTCACATGCTGTTGATTTATATCAGATATGAAATAAGGATAAACTTCTTCAGTATAAAGACAAGATAATGGCTTTCTAAAGATATTAGATATCTCAGAAACTGTTGATTTGGAGAAAACAAGGTTCTGACGAAGAGATGATCGATAAAAGAAAGGAAAAGAAAGAGAATGGAGTTTAGACCTCGCACTGTTTGATACAAGTCTCTTAAGCTTCCTTAATATCGACTCAGAACTTGGATAATTTGGTAAAGGAGTCACAAATTCAATTTGTCTGGCATCCATGTTAACAAACACAGCTGTTTCATCAAATTCTATGTTTGTGAGCTGGTCACAAGTTTTACAACCGATAATAAATGGCGTTGGAGCTTCAAGAAGTGTCAAATAATTTGATGAATTTGGCAAAGCAGGAATTGCTGTTCCTACATAATTTACAGGATGAATTAGTTGTAGTAATGACAAAACTACTAATGAAACTTGCTGGAAGTTCGATCCGAAAACAACAATTTGTCTGTCAAGTAATAAAGCAGTTACAAGAGAGATAATGTTCTCAATTGTAAGGCTGGAGAAGAAAGTATCGAATATTGCGCAATTAAGGAATTCGCATTGTTCCTTTGGTATAGATATCGCAAAATTTGGTGCCAACTGAAGAGGCTCTGATTCAATTGCATATTTGCAATAAGCGTGTATCTGGTCAGAGAAGAACATAAGTAATGGCATGTCTGGATGATGAGCCATGTAATTTGTAATTTTAAAACCTTCATTTTGATCAGAAGGATGATGTTCTGGTCTTAATCTCGGGCTTAATATGTTAGGATTTGGTATTTTGCCCGCTGAAAACAGAGCCAGAAATGACAAGAATGTTAAATGTGAAGAAATATATTCATTTCTTGAAATGATAACGAATGCAAATAGTGTATTCTTTGTAAATTCTGAAACGTAGAATGGAAGAGGCGGTTGAGTTGGATTGAGAATTAATGTTGAACCGTAAAATCGATGCTGGCATGAATTTATTGTAAAAACAAACATGTCTGATATGAGTTTTTCACAAACTGGTTGTTTTTCTGGCTTGGTTCCGTTTGGAAGTGCGTAATCAATCAGAACACCAAATGGTAGACCGGAAATTTCGCAAGGAGGAAATGCGGCAAGTACTGCTGGCTTATCATTTGGCGTTCCTGTTGGTGGAATTCCTACCAACAGGAATTGATCGAACATCTTATTTTCAAACTTTATCATTTTGGAAAAAAATTATGACAAAGTTCAATAAATAGCAATATCGGAATGCTAAATAAATTGCAACACTAATAATTCAAAACGTAAGTGTTCAATTTTATTCAATATGTTCATTGGAAGATATTTCTATGAGATTATGCATTAAAATTTCCATCAGTTTACTAAATAAGAGCTATCGAACATATATATTACAAATAAAACAATCGAAGCAATTGAATCAAGAGTTTGAACTAGGTTACATTCAGTCTTAACATTCAGATGGTTATTAAGTATCAATACCAGCATCTAATCTTTATATATTAATATAAAAAAGAAAGGTGAAAGATAAATTAAGGCCAAATTTTATGTTAATGTAATATAACTGTGTTTTATGGTCTGTATGCACAAAATACATAGAATGTACTTCCGAATTGGCTCTTTATTTTGGTTGGTAAAGAGAATATCTTTTGTGAAAGAATATTCAACCATATTCGGATCAAATTTGCATAACGCATAGTGATCAAATTGCAAGACGATTGCCTAAGTTTTGATACAATGACTAATTTTTTCAATGAAAAGAGAAATAACCGTAAATTAATTTTTCATTTATAAAAATATTAAATAATTTCATTTTGCTTGTTTCCATTCTTTCATAAATTGAGAAGCCTTTCACAATTTTTGTGAACACATTCACGATATATAATTGAAAAAATACGGTCGGAGTAAGATAAATATTCCCAAAAATATATAATGAATTTCGGACTCACAATTATTTTAAGATAAACAGTTCTGTGAATCATGATGCTCCTCCTTTTCGTCATGATTCTTGGCGTTAAATCAAAAGACGAAGAGGAGGATGAAGACTTCATCGAAAATATTACGAGAGATAATTTTTTAGAAAAAAATATGCAACTTATATCCGAATTCGTCGATAATCCTCCAAAATCAACGTATGCATTCGTAACCATTTACTCAAACGATATACCACGACACTTCGGATATCTCCAGATGTTAGTTGTTCTGGGTTATTCTCTAAAAGTGTTTAATCCAACAATTGATCGAGTCGTAATCTGTCATGAAGCATTTAGAAGAGACGCAGCAGTAGTAAAAATCTTAAATAAAGCTTGGACTCACGTGTTATATCGATCTCCAATTATATGGCCCGATGAATTTGATCGAGATCAAGTTATTAACAAGAAATGGTTTAAGTTTCATGCATGGACGCTCCTACAGTACAAGAAAGTTATGCTAATAGGTGCTGATACGATGCTTTTAACAGACCCATCGCCATTATTTCGATGGCAAACACCTTCATCATCTTATTATTTCTCAGATTTCAAACTAAAAGACGAAGGTCCCATGATAAATCCAGACTTTATGCTAATAGAACCTAATCTCGACGACTTTTGCCAACTTTTAGAGCAGACTTTGCCTTATGTTCTAAATCCTACTAAAGATCAGCAAATTTACGGAAGAGATGAATCAGCTCCTATTAATATAGTGTTCAGGAGCAGAATATCTCTCTTTCCTATTACTTATAACCACGAAAATGGTGGTTACAAACACACAATTTGCGGAAATCCTTTAACAGACAAATTTCATGAGTTAAGATGCGCATTTATACATTTTACAGGCGAAGGGAAGCCGTGGAAGAGATGGTCTTTGTATGCAGCAATATGGACATGCTTTGCAAGGATATTTAATGAAAGATTGGATTTACCTTTCAAAAACAAAGAAAAAAACGAAAAAGTGTCAGAATCTGTTTACAAACTTTTTTTCTTACAAGCCGATCAAACAAAAAAATATTTTCAAGTCGAAGAAGATGAATATGATGAAGATAATGAGATAGGAGATGATTATTACCCAGAACCGATCAGATCTGGCGCAAGAAGAAATTTTACGATGCTATTCTTGCTTCTGTTCGCTTCTTTATTGATAGCAAAGAAGATTATATACATGCAACACCATTTCGCTGAGTTATTAATGAGATTGAAGGATAACGTCAATCAATTTATGAGAATTGAGTTTAATCAGTATTATAACCAAGAATTGACAGAAAATAAAGAACAAAAATACGCTGAAAAGAAGAGAAAAGCTAGGAAAAGGAAGATTTATTATGAAAATGCATAATTTTCTTTAGTATATTTACATATTAATTGAAATATATATTTTGTTTTTAATAAAGTATAATAGAGTTTATATAGTTTTTAAAATGAACAATTCTTGCTTGCATATATTTACTTTTGAAGACATTTCAAATGGAGATGAAATCGATTTTGATTAATCTGTCAAATTGGTGAATAGAAATAATGACTTATTACACAAACATTGCACATTAGCGCAAGTTTGACCATTCACATAAAACTCCACTGTGAATTTTGAAAGGAGCGCATATTTTATTTCTTGAAGTGAAAATATTGGGACTATAAGCTGCTTACAGATTATAATCATTCTGAAATATATAAAAAGTGAGTGAAAATTCAGATAAGTTCATTAATTATTCCGCAATATGAACATTTTTGAGAGCTTTTTCTAGTGGAACACGGAAATAAAAATAAATAAGAATACATTTCACATTGCAAACAAATGCTTAGAAAAAAAGGAGGTTGAAGCATAAACTTCAAATCTTCTTTCAAGATTTGTTTTCAAGGGTATTCTTTTTAATCTGATAATTTCGAATTTGAAATCTGACTAAAAATAAATATGTGATTTAAATCCACGTCTCATGAGTGATATATATTTTAAAAGAAATGGATATCATATATAATTTTTAGTCTCTACACTATTTCAATATAAGCTCCATTTTTAAACAGTTTTTAAAAATCGAGCATTGAAAAGTGTGATGAGACTTATTTTTTTTTCTAAAAAAAGCGGTTATGCATACCATTTTTTTTGTGTTCATAAATATTAAATGTCAGAAGAAGAGAAGTTTTATTTTATGTTGCCTGCACTTGTGAAGGATGGATTAGTCGAAGACGATTCCATCCATTATGCGATGACATCTTATCCGCAAGAAATCGCTTCACAAGCTGCAATTACAATTGTTACAGATTATACTAACAGAAATAATAAATTAGACACATCAACAAAGAAGCGTGTCAAGACAATCATGGAATATCTTGCAATCGCTCTTTCTTTGCCTATGAAACACACGAGATTAATGACTACAGCCCGAAACAAGTATCGTGAATGGCTTGAAAATCCATCAATTTTCGGGGCTGTTCCTCGCCAGAACAAATACCTTTGTCGAATAATCAAGCAGCTTTCTCTTCCTTTTGCTTTTAGAGAACCCGTAGCAGATAACTTTAAATCCTCTTTCAATAATTTATTAAATAATATTCTTAACGATATCAAGTTCTTCCACACCACAAGCGGATCATGGTTTACGAAGGAAACTTGGTATACACTCTTGAATGTTTCAATCGGCATCGCTGACGCTGTATTGAACTACGACTTCGGCCAGTTCCTTCCCAAGAGCGATATCACAAAACTTCGTCAAAAAGCAGTCGATAATTATTTCAGTATCTTACAGTTGAGCGGCCTTAAGGACGATGACGTTTGGAAGCGTTTCAACGAATATTGCAGAAAATGGACAAAGCATTTCGACTTCATTCGCGTCTGGGGAAAGAGCGTAACAAAATTATTCGTCTATTTCAACATTCGCATTTACAAACCGAAGCTTGAAACACAACAGGAACCCTTCCAAGAGGGTGTCTACAGCCCAGAAAATCCAATTTCCGATGAAATGGTCGGCTTCATTTTCCATCATTTTGTTTACGCCGTTGACCACCAGAGACTCATCGAAGAACCCGCGGAACTTCTCAAGGAATTTGCAATCAACATGCTCGCAATTACAGAAACCGCTCAGGCTCTTGGAGATGTCACATCCGAATTTTTCATCAAGAGATTCCCAATTATTCCATTCCTCAAGATCTTCGGCGTCTATCTTACATTTTGCCCAATTCTTTCCGACAACTACGATGAGCCAGTTTCCTCATTTGTCACTGCCATCATTTCATTGCTCTCAAACTTCCAGATCGACAACTACGACAACCCATCCATCAACCGCCTCATCACCTACGTCCTTAATCGTACAACTCCTGAGCACATGCTTCCTTTGGCCGCATTTTTGAACACAGGATACAAACTTTACCGCCACAACAACAAGATTCTTCCATACGTCTCCATCAAAACTCTCGACATGATCATGCAGCTCAATCCTGCCAAGGCTCAGAAGATCGTAAACGAAGATTTCTACTCTCCATGTACATCACTCTTCATTTCAGCTACAGAAATGATGTCCAGGCATCCGAACATATTCGAAAAATACCAACCAGCATTCCAGTTCCTCTGGAACAACACAAATCGCAACGAAGTCCAGTTCCAGTTATTATGTTTCGGATCTAACATCGACGTTGACATTACAGAGAAGATTTTCCTGCATTTCCAGGAAACAACGTTCAGACAAATGACATCGGATGTCCAAAAGATCGCATTCATAGCTGGTCTCATTTATTTACTTTCCGCCCGATTAAGGTTTGAGCCACGATCAACCTCAGAAGCCATCTGTTCGAAGCGCCTTATTCCACACATCACGACATGCATTACGAAAACTGATCCTTCCCACCTCGATAACTTCGATATCCTCGCCTGCGCACTTTTACAGCTTTTCATCACCGCTCTCGAGTGGGGTGTCAACATCTTCACAGACAGAGAGAACTTGAAGTACCTTTACGAGTTCGTTGATTTCGTCAAAGGATCTCTCAAGGCTTACTCCAAGTATAAGAAGCTCAAGAAGGAGTCCTCCGATAACGAGAAGTCGGAGAGGTCCGAAAGATCCGATAAGAGCGAGAGATCAGACAGTTCTAAGTTCTCTGGATCAGATCAAGAGAACAAACGCCTTATTAAGGGCAACGGAAGATGGGTTGAGCACTCAAAGTCATTCATCAGAGCTTGCTACGAAGATATCATGGGAAGAATCTCACTTCATTATCCAAACTCAGAATTATTCACTCGTAGATCAAATTCGGTCGGTGAATTGAACGAAGAATACATCGCTAAGAAGCTCGGATTGACAGACTACAAGATTAACTACTTCGCAGTAAGACATAATACATTAATTTCATTTGTTGAGAAAACAGATGGAACAGGACCACTCTTCCTTTTGTCCCGCGGTACACACGGCCGCTGCGTCTTTTTGGTTGAAGAAAACTTAAGAAGAGGAATCCAAGATCCACAACTCGCTGACGTAGTAAAGAGAGCACCACTCAATAAGGCTGAGAAACTCCAGAATAGAGAGCCTATTATCAATACGGTCGATGATCTCAAGCAGAGCCCAACAATCAGCGACTTAGAGGCAGATGATGAGAGAATCAGATCAGTTTACGCAAAGTCTTTCGACGAATGGCTTGATATCTCAGGTTTGAGCTACGTACCAGACTTCAACCAGCACCAGCCTTACCAGAGACCAAGAGTGGCAGATTTCATCTCAAAGATGGGACTTTTGACACAACCGTCAGTTTACGATGTAACCTACTTTACATCCGATGAAACTGTCAGAAATTCAATTGAAAAACTCGACCAAGTTGAGTTCACCACTGTTGAACCAGTCTTGATCAAGCACGTCCTTCCATGCGATAAGAGCATCGAGGATACCAACGTCTGCAAGAGAATGACACCTCTTATGTCCCAATTCTTGGAGCAAGTTGGCGAACCAATGCAGTTGTCTCCAGAATGCTGCTCAGCAAACGACATCTTCATTCTCAATACACCAGTTCCAGCCGTTCCGATGACTCGTGGACATATTATTTTCATGTCCAGCGCAATGGTCAACTCGGACATCACAGCTAAGAAGATCAACCAGACAGAAACACTCGTTACTATCATCTTCAACGAAACTGACTTCGATTTGAAGATTGAACTCGAAAAATCTCCGAAATCTTTACTCTTGGTCATCAGACCAAAAGGCAAAGGTCTCTACCACGTCACACAGTTGCAGGTTCCACTGGAAATGTACTCTCCATTCTGCGAGGAACAGTGCATTTCTGCAAAGACATTAGCATTCAACATCTCTGTCTGCATCGAGCAGTTTGTCCCGATCAAGGAGAACCTCTTCCCCAACACAGTTCACCAACGCAACAAAATCCTCAAGGAACTCGAGGAAAAGTGCGGAAAGAAGGTCGATCCAGCTCTTGTCGCGAATACCTTCCATTAATTTTTTTATTTTTTATTACTTTCTTTGGTAAATTTAAAATATTATTTAAATCATTTTATAAAATCCAACCTTTTAATTCCAAATTATTGCAAATCAATTCAATCAGAAACTCATGAACGAACTCAGTTTCAAATTAAAAAAAAATATTATTTTTTTTCACATATGAAAAATAAATAATAAGGTATTGAATATTATGTAAGGGTTTCATTTTGCGAAAAAAACGTACAATACGCAATTTCGCTAAAAAAACATTTAGCTAGCAATTTCGACCTTTGACTCCACTCAAGACGTCACTTTTTTAATTTTGCGGTATCATATTTTTGGAAAATCTTTATGAATATTATATAAAAAGTCTCTTTAATATCTATATTTCATATTTTTATCGATTTTTAAAGTTTTTGCGAAAAGTATTCAATTATTTTTGCTATTTGGTCGGGTAAATGTCAGATTTGCGACATTTTCTGATATGATATTCAGACTCTACGTTGATAATAATGCTTATAGAACCCTCTTGCTATTGTGTCAAAATTGCGAAACCGATAGCAAAAATATCTCGCAATATCAAAATTGAGATATTGAGTGAATTATGCATTATAGAGATTAAAAATCTGATTTTTGAAAACATCTCATCAGTTTCTAGCTAATTCAAAAATCTTTACTATCTTATTCGATTAAAATGAAAAGGGAATAGTTTCATTATGCTTTAAATGACAGCCTTATAATATAATCATAGTTTTCGCTCAATATGAAGCATTTTTTTTTCGAAATCTATGGTCAATATCCTAAATACTGATTGATTTGCATTCATATCTCTTACATTTTCTATACCCACATCACTATTCATTGCTATTCCTATCTTTTTCATTTTTGTTTGTTTCTCATAATTTCTCAAAAAACACGATAACTTGATATTTGTAAATATCATACTTTATAACGTAAATAAGAACTTGACCTATTAAGAAAAGCAGTAATAAAAAGAAAATCTGAAATTCATAAAAATTACAAGTTTCTGATGACAATTAGCTTAATTAAACCAGGTACAAGATTATATAATTGTATTTTCTATCCAATTATCCATATAATATCTTATCCAGAAAAAATAACTTGATCAATACCAAATGATTTTTTAACTAGTAAATAAAGTATTTTCTTTACACACACATTGTATATCATAGTTTTTTTTTTTTTGGTTTCGCAAAACATCCAAAAACAAATATGCTATAAAAGTGACAATTTTAGCAAAACGAAACCCTTATATTATGATATCAAAAGAATAGACAGAGTGATTTTTTCTAGCATTCAATTTGAATTTCCACTGAGAATTTGATTTGATTTTTTTTTTTATAAAAGGAGCTGATCGCAAAAGGATTCATATTGTAATATGTAGAAACATTGTAATTGCAGCAAAACTTCTTTTGTTGGTCTTAATTGTTAATTTATATTTTGAATATACATCCCAAAAATATAAAATATATGAAGTTTGGTATCATATGATTATGTTTGTAAGTGTATGGGATATACTCACCATATTTTATTAAATTAATACCTAATTTCGATTTACATTTTTTTCAAATTATAAATAAATGATGATTCTGCTCCTTTTCTTGTTACTCCCATTCATTTCTAATGCCATACAGACCAATTATTTTTCTCATAAATGATGTCGGAGGAAAAATTTTTTGATTGGTTGTCAAAAATTTACACGATTTCTTTTTATAATGAACAAATTTAATATATTAATAGCTACATTTCATATTGAATTTATATGAAATCGTCACTTTGAGAGGCATTGATTGTAAATTTTTCTAGATCTCACACTCAATATAATTGATATGAGATCCGTTATTGTAAAGTTTATCGTACAATTCTAAAATATTTTCCTCATACATTTTCACTTTTTCATCTTTCTCAATTTTGTGAGCATTGGGTAAATTGTATTCAATTTTAAATAAAGTCATAGAAATAATTTAAAAATCATAATTATGGATACGGGATCCAACTCAAACATGCTATCAACACGATGCAAAGCTAAGTTCACCCCAGAGGATGATAAAAAGTTATTATATTATGTTGACAAGTTAGGAACGAATAAATGGTTCGAAGTTTCCATTTGTATGGGCAATAAAACAACAAGACAATGCAGAGAAAGATACAAAACATATCTTGCACCTAATATATCTCATGAAACATGGACGCCTGAAGACGATCATTTGCTAATGAATAAATATAATGAGTTTGGATCTAAATGGAGTGCAATTTCGAAGTTTTTTACTAACAGAACAGGCATTGCTGTTAAAAATAGATGCCATGTTCTTTTACGTAAGATCAAAAAAGAAATAAAGAAAGCAACAATGATTTCAAAGGATAATATTTATGTTCATCAGGAAGATACAAACAAACAATTAGTACCAGAGGAATTTACTATTGTTTCTTCACCTGAATCATCTGACCATTCTTTTGATGACTTTTCCTTTGATTATGAAGATACATTCAGCTCAAACTTCCCATTAGAGTTTTAATTGTAGCAACTAATTTACCTACTTAGTATCTTATTCGTTTGATTTGAATAAATTATTAACGAAAATTGAGTAATATATAAATATTCTCAGTATTTTCCATTTAGAATTTCAGTATTTCATATAAAAATAAAATAATAGATAATTTTATTTTTAATTTTTGCTTTAAGGCGTTTTAATTTACAAAATATTCTATAAAATGACATGAAAATGTTAATTGAAGTGAATTTCAAATGATTAAATGTTGGATATTAAAATTCTGTAAAAAAATCAACAGAATGATGACATTATAGGAACATGTGATAAATCACCTGGATTTTAAAGAAATAGACGATCCATGCCATCATCTTCAAATTAACTTAATGCAAAAAAATTAATCTTTTTAATTATTTTTATACTAATAACATGAACTTATTTGCGTTAAGTTATATTGTATATTTTCCCATCTAAATCACCAAAAATTCAAATAATGAAAAATTCAAAATTTATTTCCCGATCAAAATTAGACTACATGCAGTTCACTTAACTCACCTTACTGAATACATTCCAAAAACAAAATAATTAGCTTCGAAATACTGAATTGTTTTTCTCATAATGAGAATCACAAAGATATTTTATTCGGCAAAGATATAAGGTCGATAAGAAATTGAGGGTTTTTAAAAAACCGCCGTTTGAGAGGAAAATTGAGAACCTCGATGAATACTTTTTGACATCGTCAAAAACTTTGAAAGGACAAAAATTTTTTTAGTGTCAGAAAATTTACAAATGTATACTTTCTGACGAACAGACTCTCAGAAAGTACTCAAACTGCGGTTTTTAATTTCCGCACTTTTTTTGGCGACCTTATTTAGAACTTTTAAATTTTTATGACCGATCAAGACATTCATCGAAGTAAATACAGCGAACTCAGAGATATCTATAAATACCACATTGACTCATATATTGCCTTGTATCAGCTAAAAACAGGAAATGACGAAGATTTTAACTCGATTTACAAAATGATCAAAACAGAATTGATTGATTCAAAGAGATATTTCCTCAAAATTATTATCAAGGATATTTTAAATGTCATTAAGTATAACAACCGCTATACAAAGTCATACTTGAAACTTGCAAAATTCATCACTGATGACTATCATGTAACAAATGTACCCGACATTGAAGATATTCCTAAATACATGTTTTATAAAGAATATGGAATTAAATTAGACTATTCTGACGCTTACAAAAATATGAAATTAGTAAATTTCAACCTACATTCAGAAAACACAACTTAAAAGGCGTTATGGAAGATGACTTAGAAAAATTCATCCCATTCTCAGAAAGCGATGAATTTGATAAAGATCAAAAACTTAAAAGTTATTTATATCCATATTCTGATAAAGGATATTCATTACTTGAATTATGTTGTTATCATGGAGCAGTTTATTGTTTCAAATTATTAAGAACAAAATTTAACTCAGAAATAACTCAAAAATGTCTAAAATTCTCATTTTTGTGAAGAAACAAAGAGATCATGAGTGAATGTTTGAAATATAAAACTCCAAATAATGAATGCATGAGATATGCTATTATTTCACACAACCTTGATTTTGTTACATTCTTGATGAATGAATACAATACAGAGATCGATTCAAATTACTGCAGAAAATTTAACAATCTTGAATCATTTTTTGTTTATTTTGATCAAATAAATGATATTAACAAATGTTTTATTTATTCAGCAATGCTTGGTATCCCATCCTTCAAAAAAAGTTTCCTATCACATGATGCAAATATCAATGAAAAAGTTCGAAATGAAGAAACTGCTCTTCGTTATGCAGCATGGAAATAGTAAAAAACAGTCGAAGTTCTTATTTCATATGGTGTTAATGCCAATAAAGAGAGTCATGATTGAGAAACAGCTGTCATTTAAGCAGTGTGCAATAATTGTAAAAAACTGCCGAAATTCTTATTTCACAAGGTATAAACATCAATCAAAAGAATATAGGAGGAGAAACCGCGCGTGAAGTAGAATGAAAATTGTGAAGAAATTATGATGCTATTAAAGCAAATCTAAAAATACTTCTTGCTTTAATTGAAAGGATTTTTGGACTGATGTAACAATCTTCTCTATGAAAATATGAAGTCAAAAACAAATTGTAATTTTCTTTCTCATTAAAACATGTAATAGCTCATCCTGTACTTGTTTTCAAAAACATTTGAATTGGACATAAATCAATAAATTTCAAACAACATCACTTTTAGAGAATGTAGTAGCAATTTAATTTAATTTTTTTTGTCTCGAAGAATTTTCAAAGTAATCTTTTATCAAATTATTTCAGTTCTATATGGGAAATATACACTTGTTACCTTTATTGCAGTCCTTATATGTCTATTTGTGAAATCCATAATGAGAACTATCATCCAAAAATTATCAAGGATTGTCATAATTTATCAACAGAATTGATGCATTGAATCCATTGTTTATGCATTTAAAAATATATCCGCGTAAAGTAGTCAAAAGATGTATGTATTTTTTCTTTTATATTTTTTGCATATGCAATTGTTGCTATACTTTATTAGTGTATTTTAAGGTGGTCGTTTCTGGTTGATAAACCCAAAATCTGGGAAAAGCCAGTGGCGAAAAAATAATTTTTGTAAAAAAATCGGGCCTCCGGCGGCAGCGCTAGCCCTTCGGGCGCGTCGCCGCCTCCGGCCATGAACATCACAAAGTTAATGTCGCCATTTATGAAATATGCCCTATATTATTTTTCCTTTTTCTTTCCTTTTCTCCTTTTTCCTTTTATTTTCTCCTTCTCTTTCTGTTTTTTTATTCTTTATTCATTGATTTCCTCTTGGTATTTCGAAATTTTATTCAAATAATTTAATAACTTTATAAACCAAATAGTTTAATAATTTATACATTATCTACCAATTTTTCACTTCAAATATTACAGTTTTTTAAAGTGGATCAAATTTCATTTTATTAAGATATTAAAGTTTTGGAATCAGTATTATTTTGAAAAAGCACCTAAGTTATTTAATTAAAATGGTATTATTCAAATATTGAAATTTAAATATAATTTGATTTGCTCAATTTTTTAAATCTGTAAGTACAGTTTTGTTTGAAGTAATAAAAAAATGATATATGCAGTTAGCGAAGTAAATTTACTAATAATAAAAATAGTTTGCTCTAATTCAATTAATTTAAACCTTTGGTAATGATAGAACATGCATAATATTTAAAATATGGATGAAATTCTTTGTATAAATGTAAGTTGATGAGTTTTTTTCGAATCTGGGTTTAAAATATCTGAAGGTAAACAATTGATCTTAAGTGTTTATGCTGTATACCAAGAATTACATTAGATTCATTGTTGACTATTTGTTCAAATCTTTCCCATTCAATCACAGGATACTGAATCTGATGGAAAATCATTATTACTGTGAAATTCGCATTGATATCATATGATGATCCATTGCCCGAGAAGTTCGGTGTATCCCAAGTATATGAGGAACACGTATGTTTTTCCCCAGATTTTGGATGAGGTATTGTGAAAATTGAGAACTTTTGTAAAGAAATTGAGAGATTTTGTAAAAAAATTGAGAGGAAAATCTGGTGAAAGAATCACAGATGTGGTGATACCAGAAGGTATGGGAATTGGATGAATACAGGATAGTATGCTCCTATATGAATAGTAGAAACATAATCCATTATCAAATCATCTGGGAAACAACTTTTTCTTCTCCAAAAATATTTTGAAAATGAAAAAATGAAAAAAAATTTATTACCATAAAAACCAGATTTTATTACCTCGGGGAACGTTTCCCAGCACTTTCCCACCAGAATCGGCCACCTTATGTATTTGATTTTTTTATAAAAAAAAACTCCAAATTTTTTCCAATATGCAAAAAACGTGAAGTTTGAATGCAAAATAATCGTTTTTGCACGTTTTTTTGCACTCCATGTAAAATTTGAATTTTAAAACTATATAGCTTAAAAATCATTAACTAATAATAGATAAATATTTAAAACGATATATAATATATAATATGTTTAATGATATGAAGTGAATAAATCAATCAATTCTTCGATATATTTATTTTTGTGATTGGCATTATCATTTTTGAGTGACTGTATCCAATATTCAATTTCCTCAGGAAGTTCATTGACATTTGCTCCATGCTGTATTAGATAAATTGCATTATTGAATCTACGATCACGCAATTGACTACAAAGTGGTGTAACTCCATTTTTTTGACTTTTTATTCGGATCAGCTCCATTATCAATGAGAATTTTTAAATTGTATATATTTCGACATTGATGCAAAGCAGTGAAACCATCTAAATTTTCGGCATTTGGATCTGCTCCATACTCCAATAAAATTGTGATACAATTAGCATTAGTCTTGTAATTTTTAGCAGAAGAAATGATTGGCGTGTTTCCATATTTATCCCTATGATTGACATCACAACCAGCTTTGACAAATAAATCAATAGCTTTTTTACAAATATCATATGAATAATCAACATTTCCTTCGATTTTGCTAAGCATAGAGTTTCCATCTTTATCAATAAAACTAAGATCACAACCTTTATTATACATGTACTCATACTTGTCCAAATACTTTAAATCGAAATACTCGCTGATGATTTCGATTACATGTTGTCTTTCGCTCTTATCCATTGCATTAAAAATCATTTCAAAGTATGGATATTCTAAAAATAGGATGTTACCATTATTCATCCAAGTGCGCAAATATAGGGTGTCCAAAGGTGCGTTTAGCACAGCGCTCTATATGAGACTATTAAAGGAGATATATGCTGATTATAAATATATAATAAAAAATATGAATATATGTATATGATGAGTAAGTTGTATTTTGGCGCCATGCCGGAATATAAAATGAATTTTGAGACAAGAGGCGGTTTCGCGGGAAATTTTGGCGGGATTTTTTTCATTTTTTTAATGAATCATAAAGAAAACATCCTCGCTCTTGCAAAAAAATGCAAAGACTGTAAAAAAATCTACGAGACATTGGTAAAATGCTTCGGTATGGATGCTCCTAGCTATTCCACTGTAACGTATCATGTTAGGATGTATCACTTCATGAACAAAAAGGCGCCCATCATAAAAATTGACAAAAAATCGCCGGATCAAAGAAAAATCAAAGCAATTCTTCAAGCGCTAGATGAAGACCCAAGAGCATCACTCAGAAGGATAGAGGAGATGACAAAGATACCACGTACAACAGTCAGTTATTATCTGCACAATTATTTGAACTACAAACTAGCGTATACACGTTGGGTTCCGCACAACCTTAATTCAGTTCAAAAAAAATCTAGAGTCCAATCTTCGAAAGAGCTCCTCTCTATATTGGGTGCGTATCAATCCAAGAAGTTTCGCTTTTTAGTAACAGGGGACGAGTCTTGGTTTCAATATGCAACATAAGCCAAAATCATGTGGATCCCGAAGGATGAAAATCCGCAAACATTCCCGAAGAAAAAAATTGACACACCAATGATGATGTTGTCGGTTTTTTGGGGCGTGAATGGCATCATCGCAATTGATATTCTTCAAAAACCTAATACGATGAATGCTCAGTATCTAATTGACAATGTTCTTACTCAAATTATCAATTCTGATGAGTTTGAGAAATCCAAACAACAAAAACAAAAGTTTGCAATTCATTTTGATAATTCAAGAGTTCACAAAAGTCATAAGGTAATGAATTACTTGTTGGAAAACAATGTCAAAGTTGTTCCAAACCCAATTTATTCACCTGATATTGCACCCTCTGACTTTTATTTATTCGGCACGCTAAAAAAGAGAGCTGAAGGACGCGAATTCGCGAGTCCAGATGATCTTGAAAATTTTGTAAGAGAGCAATTTGAGCAATTTTCTCATGATGATTTAAAGCGTGTCTTTCAAGCCTGGATCGATCGCTGCGAACGCGTGATTGAATCCAATGGTGATTATATTTAAATAAACTTTATATATATGTAACTTGTTTATTTCTATTCGCAGTATTCAGGTTTGTGCTAAACACACCTTTGGACACCCTATATTTGATGCCTTTGAGATGATTTTTGAATCTTCCCATAAAAATATCGTGGAATTCTTTATGTTCGGGTTCGTAATTGTTAATGAACCATGTAATTATATAATTTTTGTCTAACAATTCTATGTCATTAACATCTTCTAGAAGTTTTATAGCACATTCTATCAGATAATGTGAACCACTCAACATCTCAATCAACCTATTTTTTACGATAATTTCTTGTGAAAGTTTGAATCCGCAACTGAGAATTAAATTAAATTGTTTCTTATTCCGAATGTATTTGAATGGAGTCTTTTCTTCACAAGATAAATCTGATATAAATCCTTTTGTTTTGCATAATTTGCTAAGGAAACCATCTTTTGGATGTAAATAGTCTGTGTCAAAAATTTTTTTGGAAATATTTTCTGGAACATCATTAAAACTGATGTATTTTTCAAATATGTGATTAACCAACGAGAAATTGCAGGGTTCCTTAAGACAATCTTCTAAGACTGAATTTATTTCAATCTTGATTTGAAAGTGATTAATGATTATATCGAAAATTGCTGGAGAAGTTTTTGGAAGTAAATCTTTCTTTGACATTTTTGAAGAACCTTTCATCAACAAATATTGAACAACTGAGTCTCTTCTCATAAGAACAGCACATGAAAGTGCATCATAGCCATCACTTGTTACTATATCGATTCTAACACCTTTATCCAATAAATATTTAACGATATCTAAATGTCCTTGTGTTGCAGCTTCAACAAAACAGTTGTATTTTCTGCGCGAAAGATTAAATAATACACCAGCTTCGACTAGAGATTTCACACATGAGAGTGATCCTGATCTGGCTGCAATAACAAGAGCAGACAGACCGGCATCTGACGTTTTATCGAGATTAACATTCATTTTGATGAGGAAGTTGACAACATCAACTGATCCGCTTTTCACAGCTCGAATTAATGCTTCGGGGTGAGCTTTAACAATTCTGGCAAAATTGGGACATTGGCTGTAGATGAATTCGACAACATCAATGAAACCAGATCCACAAGCATCAATAACATAGCCTTCATTTTCTGAAAAATCAACGCCTTTCGACCACATATACTTGACGCAATCAAGATTCCCATATTGAATTGCAACTCCCATTGGATTATATAAGGACCATCCTATTGCAATTTCTTGAAAATCTGAGAATTTGTGAAGAATGGAAACTTCACCACCAGCTGCAGCATAATAACAAATATCTAAAGATTCTTCGGCACCAATATTAAAAAGATAATTATAACATTTTTCAGCGCCAAAAAACGCTGCAACATGTATTGGATACACTCTGTATCCAAATAATTTATTTGGATATTTGTAATCAGTTGGTTTACAAAGTTGAATGTTTTCATTTGTATATTTTGAAATTATCGAAGCCAATTCTTCTTCGTTATCATCAACAAGAGCTCTGAAAATGCCATTAGAATCAGTTTCACTAAAACGAGCTTGATTGTTATTATTAAACATCATGAGAAAGTGATTTGATAATGACTAGTCGAAAAATTTTCGATTTTATGAAAAGTGACACTGCTGAACAATTTGACTAGTCATTTCGAATTTTGATCCCAAAAATTTCTAACTATGAAATTTGGTGTGACAATATATTATACTATCTATATCCATGGTCAGATACAAAAGTACGATTAGGTCTGTCCTCTCAATTTGCTACAGTCTTCGACGATTATTTAGAAATTTTTTGCTTATTACATATCAACAAAAAAGTTTTTAAAATCAAAGAGCCTTTTGCAACTCAATATGGAGAAATTTTTTCAAATTATAGAACTATTTGAAATACAATAGAGACCAACACTGATATGGAAGTATAGGATATCAAAGAGCCTTTATAATGGTGATACTATGATGGACAAATGCTAATATTTGACTCAGTTATAATCAAATTTTTGATCTCAGGGATATTGAAAAAGTAAAAATTTGAAAATATTTAATCACGACTCTTTAAAAATATTTATATATTAATAACATACACTTATTTGCGTTAAGTTATATCATATATTTTCCCATTTAATTCTCCAAAAATTCAAAAAATGAAAAATGCAAAATTTAAATCCCGATTAAAATAAAGGAATATACTGAAAAATATCCAAAAAACAAAATAACTAGCTTCGTACTACTGGAATGCTTTTCCTCGGAATCTTTCAACTTATCCCCTTTAGTCTTTATTTTCTCTCATAATAAATTACAAAGATATTTTATTCGGCAAAGATATATATTTAGAACTTTTAAATTTTTATGACCGATCAAGACATTCATCGAAGTAAATACAGCAAACTCAGAGATATCTATAAATCTCACATCGACTCATATATTGCATTGTATCAGCTAAAAACAGGAAATGACAAAGATTTAAGGGTGCACTTTCGCCCATCTGACTTTAATTCAAATTTTTGACAATCGGTGTGAAGCGTAATTGAAAATTAACCTTAAACACCTGAATTGAAAGCCATGTCATAGGTGCGCAAGTGCACCCTTAAACTTGATATGCAAAATGATCAAAAAAGAATTGACTAATTCAAAGAGATGTTTCCATCAAATATATCAAGGACATTTTAAATGTCATTACATATAGCAATCGCTATACAAAGTAATACTTGAAACAAATGAGATTTACAAATGTTTTGTTTATCCAGCGCATTTTGGTATTCCATCACATTGTAAATATTTCATTGCACTTGATTCATATGTCAATGAAAAATTCGTAATGAGGAAACAGCCCTTCGTTATGCAGCAGAAAGTAATATCACAGACACTGTTTAGCTTCTTATTTCAGATGGGATAAAAATCAATGTAAAGGAAAAAAATAGATAAATTGCTCTTTATTATGCAGAGCATAAAAATAACGAATAAATTGTTGAAATTTACACTTTTCCGACGTTTTGTCAGCGGCACGACGCGACCCAAAAATGTCGGAAAAGTGTAATTCTCATGTATACGATTATTTTTGCTTTTAATGCCGAACAGCATTTGAATCAAAAATAATCGTATGTCAGAGAATTCTTATTTCACATTCTGCAATTTCCGGTTAAATTCAGCATCTTCTTCGGTTAATAGCTGTCGGACTCTAAATCCATTTTTGATTCTAACTCGAATACTTTTAGACGAAAAATGCAGAATAATTCTTTAGAATTTGTTGATTTTTATGAAATCATATACAATTTGAAGTTGAGCTTCTATACTAGTTGTTATTCATTGTCAAGACGTGTTTCACAAAATTAGTTTCTCTTTTCTAGAAAATAGTGTTGTATTGTTGATAAAATTTTCTCCCATGATAGTTATCAATTAAACACACATATTTATATTACAAACAAATAAGAAAATAATAAAATTATCATCTATTAGCGATTTTTGAATTAGAAAGGAATATTTCACACAAATTCTCATATTCGTGTGTTCCTTTAAGTCTTTTGAAGTAATTTTCAAATCCTTTTGCAGCAAAAATTCTGCAAATTTCCCTATGATAACTTAATGAGACAATTATATGGACAGAATACCCAAACAACTGTGGATATCGCAAGAACTGAATAAGAGGCTGGATAATATCAGTGAATTCTGGATAGAAATTGAATCTACAGAGTGAATCGACGCAAATTAAACAGCTTTTGTTGATTTCGGAGTCATTTGAGAAGATACCTCTTTTGATTATCTGAGAAATTACTCCGTTCTCATGAAATGACAGAATAATGCTCGAATCTAATTTAATCCGTGTCAAAATCGAAGGAATTGCCTTGTAATGAGCATCATTCTCACTTTCAGCTAACCCTAAAATGAATATTGGGAAATATTCTGATTCACAGAGCTTCTGACGAAATTCATGATTTTTGAAAATTATTAAAAATAATTTCAACGATTCAGATGGATATCCATCCGAAAATTCCATCCAAGATGGATCTTGGACAAAGATTTTATGGTTTTCTGGGTGTTTTGAGATAGTTAAAAGCAATGTCCAACAAGAAATGCTTTCATTACAATGGAAAATGGTTTCATTGATTATTTTAGGAACATAGATCTCATATTTATCGTAATAAAGTCGAAGTAAAATGGAAATAACTAAATCCCAAAGATCTGTTTCGAAATATTGAATTAAAAGCTGCAAGTCAATGTTGGAAAAGTCCTGAGAAATATTAATATACCCAGTATAAGCTTCCCTTAGGACATTTATATTTGATGACTTCATACAATCAAGAAAAACAGGAATTGCGTCATTATATCTGCCTTCATTATATAGAGGATACTTTGTAAGCATGAAATAAAGGATTCTAAGGAGATAAACTGCATTTTCATCGTTAATTAAGTTTTGATAACTAATTACGAGGACATCAATGACCGGCCATGGATTTTCGATCGAATCAAAGCTCAGGATGTAGTGGGAATAAAGAAAAAGCACTTTTTGAGGTCTCAAATTTAATAATTGAGAAATAAAATATGAATTCTTGTCAGTAAAGATCTGTGGATACAACATGAATGGATAAGAATATAATTTGAAGACAGAATCAGCAATTTCATCGGTGATTTCCTTAAAACAAGTAAATAAACCTGCGCAATCAAAATAATATATGTAATCTTTGTTGCTTCTGATGAGATTGATTACAGTTTGGATGCTAAAGTCGATTTGGTCTGGATCTTGGTTTTCATAAATTAATTGAGCGAGAGGGAAAGAATTTTCAACTAAATTATCAATAGTAGAAGTTTTCAAAGCTCCAATCATCTCCATGAAGTTATTTTTGAAGTCAATTGGCTTTGGAAAATTTAAAGTTGGAGAAATCTTTTCGTTTTCAGGAAGGATAACGGTATCATCATTAATATTATCTGTATTCATTATGAAATCAACAAAAGTTGATGAGTCTGTTCCTACTATTAGATCAGAAAGGTTAGATTTGATGAATTCACTAGCTTCAAGCGCTGAGCTATTAATGGGTTCCATAAATGGCTGTTCTTCCCTTAGAATTTTAACGAATTCATCAATTTTAGCTTGATCTGTAAGTGGAAATTGAATTTTATGAGAAGAAAACTCTTTAAAAGCTTCTTCAATAGATGGCCTTCTGTGGGGATTCTCGGACCAACATTTTTCAATGAAATTTTTAAGATTTTCTGGTTTTTTTTTGGTTAATTCGGGTCTTCTACCTCCTTTTATGACAAGATCAATAATTTTTTGTGGAGAAAGATCTTTAAATGGCTTTTCCATTTCTGAAAGTTCATAAAGAAGTAATCCATATGAATACATTTCAGATTGAACTCCATATTCATTTCCTAGGGCAACTTCAGGGGCTGTATATGCAGTAACATCTATTTTCTTTGTGTTTGATTGCAAACTATCAATAAATTGGGCAATTCCGAATCCAATAATTTTCGGAACAAAGTCTTGATCTAAAAGTATATTATTAACGCACAAATCTCTATGAATGATCCCCTTTGAATGTATATGCATTAATCCCCACGCAATACCAATTGCAATTTTTGTTTGATATGTACCGATAATACATGCTTTTCTACAAGGGTTTATAGAATAGATGAAAGTGTCTACTGTTTTATTTGGTTGATATTCAGTAATGATTGAATATGGTTGAAAAATTGTATATCCGATTAATTTGTTCACGCAAATTGAGTTACATCGTGCGAGAGCTCGAACTTCTAGATTAAAACGACGCAATTTATCTTCACTCTCCTTGTTTTTTGATATTTTTCGGATGATAACGTTCCGATTTGTTGTTTTTTCAACAGCGAAGAACAATACACCGGAATTAGTAGGTCCCATTTCAGCCTTTATATCAAAATCCCTCAGTTTGACTATGAAATTAGGTAGTTCTTGCTTAAGTTGCTTTAAATATTCACTTTCGTATTTCATATAATATTTTTTTGGAAGATTTTTATAAAAATTTTGAAAGTTCATCTTGGTCATCTTATTTAAAAGATTTTTCTTATTTTTAAGGTTTTATCTCAAAATCGTCAGTTTTTCCAAAATTTACATCCAAAAGTGCCAATATAAAAAATTATGCTATCGTTATTCCTTCTGACTTTTAAGGGTTCCTATAAATTATCAACGAAGAATCATTTAGCTATTCCATTAATAACTGCAGGTCTTAATGCTGGTGCAACATTCAACGTTACAGTTACTTCTTCTTCGATTGATCGATTAATGGTTGGACTTCTTACTGAAGCTGCATATAATGCCATAACCGAAGATTCGTATAGATCAACATGCATTAATGGAGACCATCCAAATTTCTCAGATTACCAAGAAATTTATGAATTTTCAAATACTTCAAAAACAGCAACATTTACAGGTACAGTTGTTCATAAAGCCATTTACTATCAGTTCTTCTATGGTTGTAACGCTGATTCATTTGTCGTAGAAGTTTCTTGCCACTTCAAAAATCCAAATTCTTGGATTGACTCCAGATACGATCCTTTGTTTACAGTTTTACCAATTATGGCCGCAATCATGGGTCTTGTTCTCATTATTTGGCTTATTAATTGGTTCATTAATTTCAAAGTTCAGATTTATATACATTATTGTTTTACAGCTACATTATCGGCCATGGTAATAAGTGCTATTGCCTATACCGGGTATATCTCTGCCTACAAACGTTCAGAAAGCCCACTTGGAGCAAGTATATTCTATTTCATCACTTTAATCATCAAATACGTCATTGTCTTCTCTACAATATTACTTGCAGCCAAAGGCTGGTGCATTCTCGTTGATACAATCAAACTTTGTGAATTTTTCCTCGCATTTATCTACTCCGCTTGCGCCGTCGCATGTTTTATCCTTATTATATACACAAACTTCACTTTTATTGTTCAGGCCATCGTTCTATTGATCGGCTTAGTTTTTACCGCATTATACATGCATAATCTTATTGTTTCCATCAATAAACTGAACCACATGATGATTGCATACATGCTTGTTATACAACAGCATGGAATAGACCCAACAACGACTCCAATTCAGCATAAGAAGAGAATGTACCAATTTTACAGCGGTTTCTTGATTTCATGTGTTGCAATGGTTATTATATACCTTATTGTTCGAATGTTTGTTGACATGGGCTTATGGATTCCAGATTTACTTTCATATTTGTTTGAATCATATTTCATGATTGGAATTCTTTCTATTTTCTTCATCCGTAACCAATATGCAAATGGTTATACATCAATTAATGACACCAATGGTCCAACCGAAGAGTTTTCACTTGCAGATATCGAAAATGCCGGTGCAAACTTCACTCCGGGCCAAGGAACTCAGTGGAGTCCAGGAATGACACTTCCTTCGCAGCCAGAAGTAACTGAAGGACCGAAACAGATCAGCCTCGAATCTCCAGACGGAGTTGAAGAGATAGAGATTGCTCCAGGATCATACGCTGACCAACAACAGCAACAACAACCATAACTTGGTATTTTTTATTGTATATATCTTATCTTCAATATATTTTTTTCATTGATAAAATAAAATTTAAAAATATTCATACTAATACTTATTACAGTAAAATTAACACTTTTCCGACGTTTTGTTAGGTACGCGAAGCGACCCAAAAAATGTCATAAAAGCGTAATGCTCTATTATATATGATTATTTTTGCTTTTAGTACCGAACAGCATTTGAATCAAAAATAATCGTATGCTAGATAATTTCATTTTTTCCTAATGCAATAGGGACAAAGATTGAAATATATATATATTATTTGAGAGTATTTCATTGTGTATTTACGCCCATCTGACTTCAATTTAAATTCATGACTTCGTGCATGATTAATGATTTACCATATTGAAAATTGGGAAACTCTTCATCATTTTTGGAAACCGCTATTCAAGTGTTCAGAAAGCCTGATAGTAGGGCATAAATGTGATTAGGAGAGATCTGACTGTCTAATTTGTTCATTAGCAGCAGGTTTGAAAATCAACTGTTCTTCTAAGAATGAGATAACTATTTGTTTTATGTTTGAAATATCAAAGCATTTTTTAATAGATTATCCAATTAAGAGAGAAGTAATTGTTCTCGAGATTTGTTGCTTCTTCCACAAGAGATTATTGTTTTCCTTCAAATGAATTCAAAAATAAAGTATAGAATTACTTTTTGCTTCAAATAAACAGTTACAATTTGTCAGATTTTAAATATTTTGTCACTTTTTTAAAATTTCATAAAGACATATTCTCCACAATCTACCTTTACTAATGAATGCACTGTATTATCAACAAAATAAATCTAACTCACTTAACCCTATAAATTCAAAGATCGAGCACGAAAATTGCAAGAAAGTTCAGCTGGAGTAAATATTATGATAATGAAAATAAAGTTGTACAAACACAGAATGGAACACAGCTATATTTTGAAGCGTTAGAGAATAATTATTACATATATTTTTGTTTCTTTGAAAAATGTAAAGAACAAGGCGCAATTTTCATCAAAAGTTCGAATGAAATCTGTGCATTGCTCGAACAATCCACATTTAATAATTGCAGTGCTATAGCAGAATGTGGTTCTCTTACCTTTGACTGCCAACAAGGAGGACAATTTGTTCAAGAACGAACTTGTTATTTTTCTTCAGTAGCAAGAGCAGACCAGGCATTTGGCCAAGCTGTTACACATTCTGCTTCTTATAAAAACTACGCTCTTGAAGTTTCAGTTTCTAAATGTGGAGAAAGTGAAACTAAAATGGAATATACATTTGGCATTGGAATGGGCGACCTAATTATTTCCAGTATCAATAGTACAAACAACATATGCAGTCGATACTCATCAATAGGTTGCAGCCTTGATGGAAATTCCGGTATATGTAATTTCTCGACATTTAGAGGAAACAATCAATCTGAAAGTTATTCATTGGAATTTTATATTAATTCTAATGAAGGAACTAATGATGATATATTAACACATACAGTTTCATATTGCAATATTATTGAAAATAAATGTAGAACAGATGATAACCAAGTTCTATTTTATTGTAAATTCACAACTAACGTTGATCACTGCATATTTTTAAATAACACTGCAAAGTACATGTTTTATGAATATAGTAAAGGTTACACTTTGACCATTTCAAATTCATATGTTGATGACAAATCTATAAGAGAAGTTGAAGACGAATTTGAGGGAGGTCTGTGTCATTTACTAATGAAAAAGAAAATTATGATTTAGCATATATTTCTAATTTTAATGGAGAAGATTGTTATGTAAATCCAAAAGATATAACAGATAAAATTCCTTACCTATTTAAATTTGCAAAATGTGCTTCACCTCAATTATTATCGTCAAAATATTAATACTTGCAGATATTTATGAAACTCTTGATAAAATAATGATAGCATAAAATTTACTATTCGACAACATGGATTAGACCCAATAGCTTCTCCAATTCAGCATAAGATGAGAAAGTACAATATCTATATCTAATGGATTCAAGATTCACTTTGTCATCTGCAACCAAGATGCTAATGGCTATTCTTCTATTAATGACATTAATGACCCACACGAAGAGTTTTCACTTGCAGACATCAAATATTCTGGTGCAAACTTCACTCCAGACTAAGTAAAAAAATGAAACATAAAGAAATACTAAGCTTTACATTTTACTTTAATTGAAAGAGTGTAATTGTAAAAGGAGAAAAAAATACATTTCAAGTAAAAAAAAGTATGTCACGTTTATCAAACTTGATTAAAGAATTTTTTCTGAAATTTTTCATGTTTCATGTTTATTTCTTATGTTTCAGAACGAAACAAATGCACTGGAATACCAACTAAATAAATCTACCCCTCATTAAATAAAATAAATACTTAGATAAAATACGAAAATTGCAAGAAAGTTCAGTTGGAGCGAATATTATGATAATAAAAGTAAAATTATACTTACACAGAATGGAACACCATTATATATTGATACATTAGAGAACAATTATTACATTAATTTTTGTTTCTTTAAAAAGTGTAAAGAAAAAGGTGCAATTTGCATCAAAAGTGATAAAGATATCTGTGTATTGCTTGAGCAATCTACATTTTATCGCTGCAGTTCCACATCAGAAGGTGGCTCTGTTTTCTATGATGGCCGTTCTGCAGGGCAATTTGTTCAAGAACGATCTTGTTATTTTGAATCAATAGCAAATCAAGAGACAGCATTTTGTCAAGTAGCTAAATTTGATTCTTCCAATAAAAACTACGCGTTTGAAGTTTCAGTTTCTAACTGCGGCGAAAATGAAACAATAGGAGAAATTACGTTTGAAATAGCATGGGGTGATATTCGTTTTTCTAATTTCAATAGCACAAACAACAAATGCAAAAAATATTCATCAACAGTTATTCCTCTTTATGGAAGTCCAGGCTTATGCAATTTCTCCATTTTCAGAGAAAACAACCAAACAGGAAATTATTCATTTGAATTCAGTAGTACTTATAGATCAAACATTCAAACATTTTCTTATTGCAATGTTATTGGAAATAAATGCGGAACTGACAATAACCAAGTTTTGTTTGCAAGCTTCTACACAGTTAATGTTGATAACTGCATATTTTTGAAAAATATTGCTAAGTATATGTTTTATAACGATGATTCTCCAGAAAAAGGCTACATTTTGACTATATCAGATTCATATATTGAATCAAAGTCAACAAGTACAGGAGGATCTATTACATTTAATAATGAGAAAAATAATTATGATTTGCCACAGACTTCTAATTTTCATATAGAAGATTGTTATGTAAGGCCAAAAATCCAAACAGTCAAAGCAAGAAATATTTTTAGATTTGCATTAGTAGTATCATCTTTATTGTTTTCTTGAGAATTTTATGATTTACCAAGATAATTTTTTATACTAAATTCTATTTTGTTTTTATACAAACATGTGCAAAAATGAGCAAGAACAATAAAAGACACACCATGAAGCGCCCAATACAAACCATTTAATTCTCAATTATGGTAATGAGATATTTTTGTGTAGTGTCATATAGAATTAATATTTAACAACAGAATTGAATCCCATATCATTTATTGTTACATGATAGTCATCAGTGATGAATTTTGCAAGTTTCAAGTATGGCTTTGTATAGAAGTTGTTATACGTAATGGCATTTAAAATATCCTTGATAATAATTTTGAGGAAATATCTCTTTGAATCAATCAATTCTGTTTTTGATCATTTTGTAAATCAAGTTTAAATCTTTGATATTTCCTGTTTTTAGCTGATACAATGCAACATATGAGTCGATATGGTATTTAAAGTTATCTCTGAGTTCACTGTATTTACTTCGATGAATGTCATAATCGGTCATAAAAAATTTAAAAGTTCTAAATATATATTTTTGACAAATAAAATATCTTTGTAATTCATTGTGAGAGAAAAAACTAAAGAATAAAGGAGATAAGTTGAAAGATTCCAAGGATTAGCATTCCAGTAGTACAAAGCTAATTATTTTGTTTTTAGAATATTATTCAGTATTGTGAATTAAATGAACTACTTGTAGTCAAATTTCATAATATTATATATAAGACATGATGAATATTACTTGAAAACCGAAATTATTCTCAAATTATGTATTAGTTATGGAAAAATAGCTTTAACTCAAGGAAGGAAAAGAATTTGATGACAATATTAGTAATATTTCGAATGAGAAATCGGTCAACCTTTATGAATATAGATTAAAAATGATTTTTCGCTAAAAGTGAAAGGCATAGTGGTATTTAATACAAATATGCTTGATATTTTAATTAACTTAATATGTATTTGAATTTAATAAAACTTGGCTAAAAATAACAAAATAATTATTCGTCGCTATCGCTTAATTTTGAAGCATAAGCATTAATTTCTGCATCTGTAAGCGTTTCTGGGTCTGATATTACATCGTTATCATCTACTTCAGCAGCAGGGGCAAATAATGGAATATCTGAGTCTGATTTTGAGTCTATTGGAACAATATCTATCGGGTTTGCTTTTGGAACGTGAAGATTTGCATAGAAGTCATTTTCTTGTGGAAATCGAATAGAACAGCAATTACCCATATTTAAATAAAAGTGACAACCTCTGTGATTTTTTTTTTCAACTCATTTTTCATACTGCAACCATAGTATATTATCTTGTGTTACTATAGTTCTACCATCATCCTACTTCTTTTGTTCAAATTGCTCTCATATACTTCTCTTTTGGAAGTTTTATGCCATGTGAGAGATAAATTTGCCAATTGTCACTTTTCACAAAAAGTGATATTTTAAAATTAGGAGATTCATGATACGAGAGATACGAAGTTCTCGCGTATGACACGAGAACATCAAGCCTCCAATAGCGAACACTTTAAAGAGATTTTAGAGAAGCCCTTTTTCAAAATAACTCCATTTTTAAAGGATATCTCTAGGGATAGAGATATTAGAGTTCCAAAGCTCAACATTTATAAAATTCTCTTTGTTTCCATATTTATTTTTTCATATGAAGCATATATTAGTAATTACGTAGCTCTAAAAGTTCGATGCATAATATATTTAGAAAATCGTTGATTTTTCGAATAGCGTGATTGACATATGTTGTATTTCATGAATAATAGTATGTTATTTATTAAGGCTGCCCTTACGCCCATCTGACTTTAATTCAAATTTTTGACAACCGACGTGAAGCTTCATTGAAAATTAACCTTAAGCACCTGAATTGAATGTCATAGGGACGTAAGTACACCTTTAAATATGTGATAAAAATATAAATATTATTCAATTAAAAAATAATAATATAGGGTGTCCAAAGGTGCGTTTAGCACAGCGCTCTATATGAGACTATTAAAGGAGATATATGCTGATTATAAATATATAATAAAAAATATGAATATATGTATATGATGAGTATGTTGTATTTTGGCGCCATGCCGGGATATAAAATGAATTTTGAGACAAGAGGCGGTTTCGCGGGAAATTTTGGCGGGATTTTTTTCATTTTTTTAATGAATCATAAAGAAAACATCCTCGCTCTTGCAAAAAAATGCAAAGACTGTAAAAAAATCTACGAGACATTGGTAAAATGCTTCGGTATGGATGCTCCTAGCTATTCCACTGTAACGTATCATGTTAGGATGTATCACTTCATGAACAAAAAGGCGCCCATCATAAAAATTGACAAAAAATTGCCGGATCAAAGAAAAATCAAAGCAATTCTTCAAGCGCTAGATGAAGACCCAAGAGCATCACTCAGAAGGATAGAGGAGATGACAAAGATACCACGTACAACAGTCAGTTATTATCTGCACAATTATTTGAACTACAAACTAGCGTATACACGTTGGGTTCCGCACAACCTTAATTCAGTTCAAAAAAATCTAGAGTCCAATCTTCGAAAGAGCTCCTCTCTATATTGGGTGCGTATCAATCCAAGAAGTTTCGCTTTTTAGTAACAGGGGACGAGTCTTGGTTTCAATATGCAACAGAAGCCAAAATCATGTGGATCCCGAAGGATGAAAATCCGCAAACATTCCCGAAGAAAAAAATTGACACACCAATGATGATGTTGTCGGTTTTTTGGGGCGCGAATGGCATCATCGCAATTGATATTCTTCAAAAACCTAATACGATGAATGCTCAGTATCTAATTGACAATGTTCTTACTCAAATTATCAATTCTGATGAGTTTGAGAAATCCAAACAACAAAAACAAAAGTTTGCAATTCATTTTGATAATTCAAGAGTTCACAAAAGTCATAAGGTAATGAATTACTTGTTGGAAAACAATGTCAAAGTTGTTCCAAACCCAATTTATTCACCTGATATTGCACCCTCTGACTTTTATTTATTCGGCACGCTAAAAAAGAGAGCTGAAGGACGCGAATTCGCGAGTCCAGATGATCTTGAAAATTTTGTAAGAGAGCAATTTGAGCAATTTTCTCATGATGATTTAAAGCGTGTCTTTCAAGCCTGGATCGATCACTGCGAACGCGTGATTGAATCCAATGGTGATTATATTTAAATAAACTTTATATATATGTAACTTGTTTATTTCTATTCGCAGTATTCAGGTTTGTGCTAAACACACCTTTGGACACCCTATACAAAAAAAATTAGTTACTATCATCCTCCAAATCGATTTCTTCTGAGTGAGGATCATCACCATCGAGCTGATCATTCTCGTTTTGGTTGTCATCATTGCAGTCCATCGTTGCTGTCTTCTCGAAAATCTCTGAAGTTCCATCTGTTGTGTACATATCAGTTGTATCCATTCCACTCATCTTCTTTGCCTGTTGTATCATGTATTCCAAGCGTTGGGAAACTGTACTCATTCTCGGTATCTTCTTTAATTCTTGGAATAACTGATTCATCTCGTGATTCATTCTCTGAGAGGTCAAACCGAGAGAAGATACATCTTCTTGTGGTAGACCGCATGTCTGAATCTTAGGATGCTCGTTAACACTCTTCCAGAACTCAAAAAGTGGAGTTGGAGTCGACGGTTTGAAACCGTCACCTGAAACTTCATTCAAATCCGGTAATTGTTCGATGAGTTTCTTGAAGGCGACTAAGCCTGCATCACCTGCTGATCTGCATCTAAGAGATAATCTACGCAATGCTTGGTCTTGTTCAAGAGATTCGATGAAAGGAACGAATTCTGATGCCGGATACTTTCCCATTAAGTCCAAACCGAGTAAAGGAACACTTACGGCCAGTTTAGATACGTAGGAAAGGAATTGCGGTGGGTCTTCTGGGTGACATTCGTTTAATGTAAGAAGATGATTTCGTTTTTGAGTGAAAAGGAAGGCAAAGAAGTATCTCATGGCTTCTGATGGAATGTTATTGCCACTAAAGTCGAATTCAGCGATATTTGGATACAAAGCGCCGAAGTTTAATTCTGCCAGGCTGTTGTAAACTTCAGGTTTTATGGCCAATGATACTCCATGGAAGAAGAAAGGTACTTGGGCTGGTTTGGAGCAGAGGAACTCGAAGAGTGACTTGAATGTCGATGGCTTGAACGCGCAGTTGCTGACATTTATGGATAAAAGTGTATTTGGTGGTGCAATTCCCAGCGGAATGTCGGATTTGAAGGTCATGTGAGTTAAAACAATGGCCCTTACATGTGTTGTAGCGTTGCAGATGGCTCTAATTACGCTGGATGCGTCGGCATCGACATCTCTGAAAATAAAAGATTCTAGATAGTTAGCAACGGAGAGAAGTCTTGAAATATCATGGAATGGGAATGGTTTTATCTTCAGCTTTGAAACGAAAAACTTCTTTACTTCGCTTGCACTTTGAGATTTTGTAATTTTCTTTACGATATCTGCAAATTCTTGAGCTCTGAATGCAGATTGTGAGATAACTATTTCTTTCATTGGCGTTGGAAGGTTCTCTGATGCTTCAAAAAAGTTGATAATCGTTTGAGAATTACATCTCAAAAACCAGAACCTTCTGATGTTCGTAGAATCGATATTTTCCATCTCGAATGTAGGAGTATACTTGTCATTGTAATCTGTGAATGCGATTCTGTCGATTGTTTGAGAATTTTGCAATAAAGCATCCAACATTCGTGGGAACTTTAAGGCTGTGAATTTCTGGAATGTTACTGTATCTAAAAATGTTTCCCAAGCTATGGCGTGGCCGAAAGGTGCGGCATAGTTGCCAGGATGCAATCTTCTGCTGATGACAAGATTCTTTGTTGGCTTTTCATCAAGTTTCTTGAAGTAATCTTTGGATACAAGCATCTCTCCATCAGTATTGTAAAAATGAGATAAAAATAAAGCTCTATTAACTAATGAGTTTTGAACACGCTTGGTAACTTTGTAATCAGGAATTGAAATGTCTGTTTGAATTTTCATAAACTCAACTTCTTTGCAATTAAATGTCATCTCTGAAAAAATTCTCAGCATTTTTGAAGCAACTTCTTCCATATTCTGCATTTTCAACTCGACGTTGCATGTATCATATGTTAAAACAATCTTGTCGCCTTGGACATGGAATTTATTACAGTCAAGCAAATGGAAAACAAACTTGAGATGTGGTTTATTCAGCATCTTTTGTTTATAAATGTAGTTTGTACCATATGTGCATACCAAAAAACCATTGGTAAATTTTTTCTTCTCTCTTTTGTATTCGCAAGGAACTGCAACCATGATTTCTTCTGTATCTATCCATGTATTCTGTTTGAAAGAGTTTAGTTTCGAATCATTAACTGTAATAAGCTTTTCCATTTTAGAATTTTAGTTTTGATTGTACAAAAATTTGAATTGGCTTTCAAAAAAAAGTTTTGTACAGGTACAAATCAATTCGACTCCGTCATTTTTGGAATCAACCGTATTAAATAATACGAAGTTTTTCTTAGAAAATCATTGTGGAAATGACGAAATTGTGTGATTTGACATAAAAGATCGTTGTGCACGTTATTTGACACGATGGTATTCAAATAATGATCGCTATGACACTTTTGTCTTTACAATATTCGATTTGCCAAATAAAAAATGCGATACAGAAAGAATAATTATTCATCGTGTTGCGCAAGAAATAATAATTTTTTATATACAATTTAAATTTTCTAAATATAACGTAAACAATAGCTAATAACATGTTGTAAAATGTCGATTTTGCATTATCCTTGGTTTCGTTTTCATTTATAGTTTGCGTTTCATGTGAAAAATCCACGCCTAACTCTAAAACTCCTATAAATCAATTATATACTCTATCTTTACTCGATTTCAGGGTTTTTTGTTCTGGATAATGAACATTTTTCAACATTTATGCAATACCTTTTTGGACAAAATGCGGTTCAACTCGAGAATGTAGCATAACTCCATATCATCTCTGTGTCGAATTTAATTTTGCCCGGTGATGATTTAAAATTAAAATTTAAGCCAAATCATGAAATACAAATTATTTTGAACCAAAATTACTGCAAAACAAGCAGAATAGTAAGAATAATGACGGTTTGTGATTTAGTCCGGCGGTTATGACAAAATGGAAAGCTCGGAAATCCTAATCAAGCTTTTGATTATAGGTGAATCCTCTGTCGGAAAAAGCTGTCTCTTGCTTCGTTTCGCCGAAGACAAGTTTAACGAAAACTTTTTGACAACAATTGGTATCGATTTCAAAGTTCGTAAAGTTACAATTGATGACGCTAAAGTCAAGCTTCAGATCTGGGATACAGCTGGCCAGGAAAAGTTCAGAACAATCACCAAGGCATATTATCGTGGCGCAAACGGTATCCTTCTTGTTTTCGATGTTACAAATCGTGATTCCTTCAACAAAACAAAGCAGTGGATGAATTCAATCAAAGAATCAATTACCGATCCAGTAGATATTATTCTTGTTGGTAACAAGGCTGATGGACAATATTCAGACCCAAAGATCAGCCGCCAGGTTACAAAAGAAGAAGGCGAAGAAATGGCTCAAGAATTCCAGATTCCTTATTATGAAACATCTGCCAAGACTGCTTTCAATGTCGAAGAAACTTTCATGAAGATTGCTACAACTGTTAAGCGCCGCAAAGATAAGGAGCCATCCAACCAACAATCTAATAACAATGGCGGCCGTAAGGTCGACCTCCGCAAGGAAAACGAAGACAAGAAAGGCGGATGCTGCAAGTAAAGTCTATTATTCATTACAAATTACGAAGAGATATTTTATTATATAAACCTTCCTTTATGCCTTATTTTTTTAACAAGCCGAGTTATTTCCGACTAAGAAATAAATATGGCAGAAAGGAAAACTTGTGATTTCTTTAATTAAATTTGATATTTAAATGATTCTCCCTAAAAATTTCATGTTCCTCATCTTCATGGCTCATAAAATTGAGTTGAAAACTTAATTTTTTCTTACCGGGCCTGAGTTATAAAATAATTTATGAATATTACCAAGAATTCGTAGAAAATGATAATCTTAGCGTAATAAGATAGAAAAAGCTCATAATCAAATTTTATTGAAAATATCATAATAAGAGTTGATGCGTGTAGATGAATAAACATGTAATTAAGAAAACAAATATACTAATTTTATAAAATCGGACAATACAACTTAAAGGTATATTAAAAAATAAAGGTTGTAGCAGATTTAGCAGCAACCTGACTTTTGCTTTTCGGCATCTAACTGCTTGGATTCGACTTGCTGACTATCTTTAATGAATTTGTAAGCTTCTTCTGAAGCGCATCTGAAGCATTGATCAACTTCCTGTCCAGATAAAGCAGAAGTAAAGAATATACCTGCAAATAGCGGTTTATATTTCTCAATAATTTCTTCCTGATTTATAACAGCGTCTGGTAAATCGATTTTATTTACTGCAAGAACTAACGGAGGCATTTTTTCTGATGTAGACTTTACGATTTCTATCCAATTTTCTATTGATTCAAATGATGCACGTTCGATTATAGATGCAACTATAATCACAGCAGATGATGAGCGAGTATACACTGGCGCAAGAGATCTGAATTGCTCTTGGCCAGCTGTATCCCACATGAAAACATCTAAATTATTTCTGTCTATCTGTACTCTCTTTCTTTGATGATTGGCGCCAATCGTGGGCTTAACTGAATCCTGCCAAACACCATTAATCCAGCGATTGGCTAAACTTGTCTTACCTACCCCAGAATCGCCAAGAACTACGATCTTGCAGCACATCACAACATCCTGATCTTTCGGCATTTTTTTCTGAGCGGCAGTTGCCTTTACAAAATCCTAAAGCGAAAAATTTGATATGAAAAAAGACTGTTATATAATGCAATTAATGATGTGCATGGAATGTACATCCTAATGGTTTAATAAATCTTACAATAACATGATGTAAATTAATTGACATTTTAATTATTGAATCAGTATCCATTCCTAATGAATCTCATCCAATTAGAATTCTTCTAAAATTTGAATTTTTAGTATTCCCATTAGTCTATTTTGCGTTATTGTTAGGAATAATCTAAAAATTTAAAGTTAAATAAAGAAAAATAAAAACAGGATTTTATATATCGACAGTATCAAACTCTTTGAGTTCGCTTTCATAGCTCTTCAAGATGCTTGATACAGATAATCTTGGATTTTCTTCAATCCAATTGCTGGCGTCAATAGACAACTCTTTTAGTACTTCTTCACCTAGTTGAATGTTCTTCTCTTCCTCATTAGTGAAAGTATCCAAATAATTGCCAAAACAAGAGCAGCAATTTTTAATTTTTGCCCAAAGGTTGAAACCAACAAAAATTCCAACAATTATCATAAGTATTGGTGAAAGATAGTTCCAATAATCGCCAATAGAACTGACATCATCCATAATTCCCATAACTTCTCCAAACGATGTCTTAGGAACACCAATTTGTAAGAGATAATGATAGCCTATTGTTGGGCCAAGACGACAAATCAAAACTGCCCAATAATTTAATGTATTCGCATTTGTAGCGTGAGGAATAAATCGATAGAAGGAACCAACTCTTGCATTGATGAGAGTCCATCCTCCTATAAATAAAAGAAAGCTTATATAAGGAAATGTAAATAAAGCTTGTTTTGTGCCAATTGGGATTCCAGAATTAGTAATTGCATACAAAAGATTGATCTGTGGCTTTGAGAAAACTAATGTGACCTCGCCCCAGCAGCAAATTATAACAAAAATAACAATCAAAATAATACTTAAAATTTTCTTGAAAATTTTTGTTATTTTTGGCTTGATTTTGTTTGAGAACGATGATTTGTAATCGTAAAGTGCTCTTTCTGCCTGTTTCGATGTTGCTAGAACGAAGTTTTTGCATTGATCTAAAGCTTCTGCTGTTTGATCGAGTAAACATAAGAAATCTTCGATGTTTGAGAGTGTGCAAGTACTCCAATCTGTTTTTCTAACAACATTTATCATCTTATTCGTAGGTTGTGATGAATAATATTTATCTGGAATGGGAAGAGATGATTTTAAGAGATTTATGCGATCTGCTTTGTTTTTACACAATGAAATGAACTTAGAGATCATGTCGTGATTGATGTTTTCTTCAGCAATCCTGTAAATATCTAAAGATGCATCTGCATTCGCAACAGATTCTGCGCAAAGATTGATTTCTTTGTACATTTGGTTTAGTTTGATTCTGTATCCATATCCTGGATCAGCTGTAAGCCAAAGTCGCCTTGGTAATTCAACAAATCCGTAGCCAAAAGCAATGCATAGTAAAACTAAGCCATATCCATTACTCAAGGCAACAAATAGGGAAGGTATCGTATTTATCTTGAGTTTATGTGTCGCAAGCATGATAATAATTGCAATTGCAAAAAGAATTCCAGCAATACCGTAAAAGATCAAATTTTCACGTAGAACCATCCATAATCGATGCTTTACTGATAGGTTATGAGAATAGTTTAAGTATGAAACTAGGAAAAGAACTACTGCCCATGTTAAAACGAATGAAATCCAATACAAGATTTTGAGAGAGATTAGTACATAGTTCGATTATTGATTTGGATCATTGCTGATGGCTAATGAGATATCATACGGTAATATCCCACTTACCATCACTACTGGAATACATGCTGAGATTATCATGAAGAAATTAACGAATGCTGGATGCCTGTAAGATCCGTAGTATGAATAAAAGACTATCACGATGATTACTGCAAGAATGCATCCAAGGATACAAAGAGAAGCAATAGAATTCATAAAAATTTTTGATTTTATCGTTCCGTTCAGAAATTTCTCAATATCGATTTTATTGTTGAAAAATTGGAACCCTTCATAGTTCATTATGTAGGATTGGATGGTCAAGTAAAATGTTTAAAATTAGCAATTGTATAATTTTTTATAAATTTATCCGTGTAAATATTTCAAATCAATTCAATTTTTGAAAATTTTGCGTCAACATTTTGAAACTCCGGTGAGTTTAGCTATAAAGAAAATACTTCTTTATTAAACTGAGGATAGATGACTAATATGATAATAAAATTAAATCGAACAAAGGATTCAATACTTTGATCAATACTTAGTAGTGATGATTAGGGAAAGTTAAATTTTCTTGGTAAGATAAGTAGGATTCATGGTCCATCATAGGTCTTTCTTCATATGAACCAACTATTGTCCCATTATTCATGGATGAAAACATAAAATCATCATCTATGTCAACTGGTTCAATTTCATCATCTTCCCAAGATAAGGAATGTTGAAGGGATACTTTTGTAGGTATTGCAAAAATAAATGGCTTCAAAATTAATGGAATTTGTGGAATGAGTTCATCTCCGAAGCCAGATGGCAATTCAGTAGAATCACTTGGTAGTATTGGTAATGATTTAGGGAATCCTATTGCGAATTTAGAACGGCATGTAAAAATGTAAAATGTTTGCTTGCAGGATGAGCATCTGAGGCCAAACACTTTTGGACCTCTATTAACTGGTTCTATAAAATTCTGATTATGAACGATTATGCCGCAAGCTTGAAGCGATGAGAAATTCAATGCATTTTCGTGCAGTAATTCAATAGTTTTTCTATGGATATGAAGTATTTCGGGTGCTTCCTTAGAAATGTCTCTGCATTCGATGTTTCCGCATTGGCAGCGTACACAATGACTGCAGGACTTCATATTGGAGACGTTTAACAAAAAAAGGAAAAGTGACTTGCGGGTAGAAAAAATTCATTGTTTCAAAAAAAATTTTACATTTATGCGAGTCGCAATGAGAATAATATCTCCTATAGTGATATCGTCTAAAATATTGTGGAAAAAATGTATTTCTCGAAATCGAATTTTATTCCGGAATTGTTCTCAAAAACCTAGCGAACATTATTCATAAATTTAAATATGCCAGATGCAGTAAATACTGTTATTTTCATTGTAGCAGAATAATTGTTTGTAGGGTAAGAGAAAAATAATACACTTCTTCTATAAGTTACGGGTGGGTAGCATTATTGGGGCGAATGCAAAAGCTATTCTTTCATAGTTAATCATACATCATTAGTGGGAATTCGTCTGAAAGATATTAACTCATTCAATTAATGGAAAGTTTGTATGCTGATTTCCATAAGTTAGCAGTCAATGTGAATCAGTTGAATCGAAATGAGGACTTCTCAAACATTTTCTCCGAACTCTAGGTTACCTATCATAAGTGGCTACCCTACGCTGTTATATTCAATAAAAATATAATAGGTATGAAAGGAAAATTATAGAATTCGAGAAAATTAATGATTTCTATTGACGGAAGTCAATATCATCAATTCTGTAACATTATAGCCTTGAATCTAGCTTCTAATCCTATCCCAAAAAATCCAGATATTTAAATTTAACTTGAAAAAAATATATAAACAACTTTAATTTCTGGCTTTCCATGATATTTATTGAAAAATTAAATGTGTAAATACATTCTACTTTTAAACACACATACAAATATATTCTTTATTGCCCACAATTCCTTAGAGAAAAATAAAAACTAGCAAAATTTCAAATTTTGTTTAATCATACTATCAAATTTATTATTTACTATCCAAGTATTAGGTAAATAGCAAATTTTAAAATTGAATAGATAATTTTTATTTTCTCTCAAATATCGTAAAAATTGTATCGATGATAATCGTTGTTGATTCAATCAATATTATTTGATCGAATGATAGTTTTTAATAAATATTAATATTTAATATATTTACATCCGTTTCATCCAAAAAACATTGTTGGCCGGCCAGTATCTCTGATTTGATAAGCACTTTTTCCCAAAGTGATTTGACACTTTTATACTATCTATGAGTGTTGTTTTTACAAAACCTCAGATCAATGGCCTTATGTGCAAGAACAGAATCATGAGATCAGCTACATATGAAGCTCTTGCTGATGAGCATGGCTTTCCAACACCTCGTTTAACATCAATTTACACAGCTCTTTCTCAAGGCGGCTGCGGATTGATCGTTTCTGGTGGTGTTTATACAGAAATGCAAGGAAGAACACACAGAACACAACTTGGCCTTATTAATGATCAGCAGCAAGATGCTTTAGCTAAAATGGTTGAAGCAATTCATGAGCACAAGGGATTAATTATGTTCCAGCTTAACCACGGTGGCGCCTCCACAAAGAAGGAATTCACAGGTGGATTAGTTCCTCTTGGTCCATCTAAGGTTAACAAATTCACAGAAGCCATGACACACGATGATATCATGCGTACAATCGAATGCTTCATATCTACAGCCAAGCGTACATACGCTACTGGTGCGGATGGCATCCAGCTTCACGCTGCTCATGGATATCTTCTTGGTGAATTCATTTCACCAATCTGGAACAAGAGAACAGACGACTATAGTGGTTCTGTTGCTGGCCGCTTCAGAATTGTCAAGGAAATCGTTGAAGGCATCAGATCCGTCTTACCATCACCATTTGCTATCTCTATCAAGATGAACGGACATGATATCGAGCCAAATGGCGTTACACTCCAGTCTGCCATCGAAACAGCTAAGCTTGCCCAAGCTTGTGGTGTTGATATGATCGAAATCTCTAGTGGCAGTGGAAGGAAACCATACTCCCTCTTAGGAGAAATCGATTTCGATTACTCCTTCAAGGATCCAAAGAAGAGAGAAGCAATGAGAAAGCGTTTAAGCGATATCCACTTCAAGCCAACATTCAACTTAGAATATTCTCGCGAAATCAAGAAACATGTTAAGATACCAGTTGCCTGCGTTGGTGGCTTCCGCAAACTTACAGAGATGGAAGATGCCATCAAGAGTGGCGCATGCGACATCGTTTCTCTTTCAAGAGCTTTCATCAGAGAGCCAATGCTCATTAACGATCTTAAATCCGGAAAAATCAAAGAATTATCATGCATTTCATGCAACAGATGCTTCTTTGAGGCAATGGCCGAGAAACCATGCAAATGCCTTCAACCATACTAAATAAATTCAAAACCATCATACAATTTGAGTAGATTGATAATATAGAATTAGAATAAATTTCCCATTATTTTTTTTTCCAAAATATGAAAACAAAAGATTCGAGATGCAAAATTTCGATGCGTTTCCAATATCGGAACACCATTCCAATTAATAAATATACCAAAACGTGCTTTTAATCGAAGAGTAAACTATTCAATTATATAATTAAATAATATTATATCTGCATCAGTAATAAATAATATTTGAAATATACGATCCATTTCAAAAATCGAATTGAATGTAAAATAATGCTTTCAAAATGTAAATATCTAACGCCGATAACTTGCAAATTTTAAAGTCGTATTATTCTAACTTTTTCCAAGTCATTATAGATTAATCTATATTTAGAAAATTGAATGACGTAAATATGTAAGAAACGTTCTTTCTCAATTTTGTGGCAATTGAATCTGAATATTAAAAGATCAGCTCAATAGCAAATTATTAATAAAAATTATCAATTAGAATTTCAAATATGGCAGTAATTTTTGTGAAGAGTTACTAACACTCCTTTATTACTTTAAATTCCTGCTTGTTACTATCTGTCTAGTAATGTTGCTTAAATTATTTTGATATTTTTGAATACCAGCAGTAATTTCAAAATATTTTGATTTTCACGCATGAATCGTGGTCCACAGACATTCGGTGCAGGATTTAATGGTGCAAACACAGAAGGAAACGCATCAACTCCATCAAACACCATATATTACGGTAACAAACAAGACTTACCTAAGTTTGGTACACCAATTCAGTCTCAAATGTCTAATCAAATCTTTCATAATGGACAACACCTTAATATGAATGCGGGATATATTATGTCTGACTTTGTTGACAACAAATATATTCCTGGTTCATTTGACATTTTGCAACGAGGCAATCTCCCTTCAATAAAAGTGAAGCAGAATGAAGTTAAATATGAGTACTTCACAAAAGAGGAGATTATTCAAGGGTCTAGCAAATAAGGTCTATAATATTGTTTTAAACACTTTCATATGCAATTTTGATTAATTTAATACCACATAAATCATTTTTAAATTACATTAAGCACGGAATGCTAGTATGTTCCGCTGATGTCTGACACTCTCAATAAATTTTTGAAAGTTTGCGTTTTCTCACTATAAGACAGTTGCTTTTATAATCTATATAAATACGCTAACTACTTTGATAAACAATTGGCCATTGAACCTCATCGAGCTAAATCCTTTGCCGTATGACAACCTGTGATCAATCGATTCTCCATGATTTCATACATTTTGAAAATATTTCAATATCTCTTTTGAATGATTTCATTAATTATGTCTCTTTAGTCATTCTTAGAAATTTTTATTTGCACCGTTCAAATTATCTTATTATTTTCTTCATACATACGACACATGATACAAACTAAAATTAAATTCATCATAAAGGATCTCCAGCAAGACATTTTTATTTTACTGAAATTATTTTTAAAGGTTTTTAAGTCTCAAAGCAATTTATGAAATTGCTTTGAGACTTGAAAGGAAAACAAAGGAACTAAATTATTTCATGCTTCACAACTTTCTCACATTTATTAGCTCTCAAAATAGAAGGACTTAAAATGGCATTTTAATGATCTCTTTTTCCCGCCAAAATGAAAATTGCCATAATTTAATAACAGATGTCTGGCCGCGGTAAAGGTGGTAAGGGTCTTGGTAAGGGTGGTGCTAAACGCCATCGTAAGGTTATGCGTGAGAACATTCAGGGTATCACAAAGCCAGCTATTCGTCGTCTCGCTCGTCGTGGTGGCGTCAAGCGTATCTCTGGTGATATCTACGAAGAAGTTCGTGGCGTCCTTCGTCACTTCCTTGAGAACGTCATTCGTGACTCAGTTACATACACAGAACATGCTCGTCGTAAAACAGTTACAGCTATGGATGTTGTCTATGCTCTAAAGCGCCAGGGCAAGACACTCTACGGTTTCTAAAATGTCCTATTTTATTAATTTCTCAATCTTCATGCTTTTTTAAAAATTAATTAATTTTACTCAATAAAAATAGTTTTTTCTTTATTACCACCATATTGACATACACATTACCTATCATTTTTCTTAGTACTGATAGCAGATTGCCACAATCAGTTGATTGCATGTTCTCATCGGAATGTTGAAACCCAAGAAAAAATATTGCTTGATATGCACAAAGAAGAAAAAGAACATGCTAGTTATCGAACCATGCAACCATCTTGTCTGCTTTGACTGTTTATCAGTTTGGATTGCAACGCATGAAATGAACTGCCCTATTTGTCGAACAAATATTAAATGTGCATACGGAAAAGAGAAAAATGGAGAGATCAAAAGAAAAATTATATTACAAAATCCTCCCGAAATCGATTACGGATCTTATTCTCCGCCCAAAGGCACTGATGAATGGCAAAAGAAACTTGCACGGCTATGGAATTATATTCCAAAGAGAGTTTGGATTGTGTTATTTCAATATGGCGTTGAAAATCAAATAATTTATTCTCTAATTATGAAAATCTTATCTACAAAGTCAAAAACCGACGCAAAGCATGAAATTGATAAACTAATAGGTGCAATAATTCCTTCATTTACCGACCAATTGCTTGACTTCGAAATTCCTGCTCCCAAGGTTGTAGAAGATGAAGATGATGACTATCCAAGCAATTAAAATAATTAAATAAAGCGTCTCTTCGAAAGGACACATTTTCATTATATATTTTTCAGATCCGAAAAATTATTAACCAACACAAGCTGAATGTGAATTAAGGGTATTAAAAATATTTAATGTATTTAACTAAAAAGCAAAACATACACAAACATAGATTTTTAATTTACATATCAAATGTATTGTGAATAGACGTTATTGGCATAGATTTCCTAAGGACAGATGTTTGATTTTTCATCTCTTGAGCTGCAATTGAATCAAAATGCTGAAGTTCAACTTCAACTTTTCGATCAAACTTTTGCAGTTCAATTTTTTGTGATGATATTAACTGGCCAAGTTTCATCTTGTAGGCTCTTTCAGCTCGTGAAATTCTGTTTTGAGCTGAAAATGATTGTTTCAGATTGTCTTGCATTTCCTTCATTCTTGGGTCACGGTTGTATCTTAGAACAAGAAGGTTAGCTAGTTTAGCATCCACTTGATCGACTCCTCGTATTTTATTTTTCTTCTTAAATAATTCCATTTCTTCTTCTTGCTTTTCGACAATAGACTTACGCTGCTCAGACCTAAGATCACGTAATCTGAGTCTTTCAGTATCATAGTAGTTCGCTAAACTATGTGATTCTAATTCCATTGGAGATGCAGTTGATGGTCTTGATAGTTTTGGTAATGGACAGTTATTTGGATGGTATCCAATATTGTTCATGATTTGCTCTATTTTCTTTGTCATTGTTGAATTATTTTTAAACGTTGCTTCCTTCTTCATTAGTGCTAGGGCCATTATTACCTCGGATTTACTAGCTTCCGGGGAATCAGATATGGAAGCACCATTCATAAGACCATCCACAACATTCTCCATTTCCCTTACAAATGTTTGATTTTGAATTGTTAGTTTTGAAAACAATAGAGCTCTAACCAATTCAATTTATTTACAACCGAAATGATATTTTCATCCAATATTGTGCTTTTATTATAAAATCGGTTTTCAATTGAATTTTCATGAAATTTTTTTTATAGTCATCAAGAAAAAATATATGTTGTTTTTATTTGTTTATGCTGTTACTTCCAAAATAACATATGGAATTGGAGTTGATTGCGGGAGTACAGGTAGTAGGGTGTATCTTTACCAATGGGACGATGATGCGAAATGGCCAGAGGTAAAACCATTTTCTGATTCGTCAAAGGCTGTAATTAAATGCTCTCTGAAGCTAGCAGATGCTGCACAATTTGATGAAACAATACCACAACTTGTTCAATATATTAAAGATCATATTTATGCAATATTAAAATTAGATGATATTAAAAGAGCGAAATTTACTCTTTATGCAACAGCAGGTATGAGATTACTTGATCAAAAAACGCAAAACGATATTATAAAGCGAACAATTCATGTTTTAAGAAAAGAAACTGATTTTAATTTCCCAGACTCAAACATCAGAGTTATATCAGGTCAAGACGAAGCATATTTTGCTTGGATTTCAGTTAATAATCTTTACAGTAAGTTCACAGATGATGTTGCAGTTGGAATTACTGAATTAGGTGGCGCTTCATTCCAAATAGCGCAGCAGACAGATGAACGTGATAATTCTGAGAACTATAGGACATTCAAATATAATGGAAAACGTCATTATGTATTCGTTTATTCATTTTTAGGATTTGGTGTCGTAGAATTTTACAAACAAGTTGCGAAATCATTCATTAAAAAAGAAAAAGAGAAAACAGACTTTCCATGTTTGAACACAGGCTACTTATATTACTTAGATTCGACACCTTTATACGGACAATCAGATTTCGACAAATGTACTACAGCTGTAAGGAATATATTATTACCCGAAATACAGAAAGCGAAAATTCCTCCACGATCACAAGGAACAAAAACCTTTTTTGGTTTAGGAGGAATAACAAGTTACGCTCAATTCGCAAATCTGTCAGATCATTCTACTCCATCAGAATTCCTTGATAGCGTCAAACACATTTGTTCTATGACAAAAGAAGAAATGGAAGAAATAGCTTCACAAGATTCTTTCAAATACTACTACTGCTTGAATGGAATACTCCAATACAACTCTTTTACAGATGGATTCGGTATTGGTAATGATCCTACAATCATTAGAACAGAATTAATCAACGGTGTCAATACATCATGGACAATGGGTGCAATCCTTGATGTAATTGCTAATCCACCAACTAGTAAGACTGTTATTTGGATAGTTGTTTCCGTTGTTTCTGTTCTGTTAATTATTATCATTATTATTCTTGTTATTTGTCTTCTCAAGAGGAAGAAAAGCAAGAAAGATGAATCCGATATGTTGAATAGTCAAGCCCTCTTAGGTGCTTACTAATATTTTTTTTAGAACTCAAAAAATTTCTATAAATTTAGTAAAAAAATCTATAATAAAATATTCTTATATTCATAATATTTTTGTTTGTATCATTTAATTTTTTCACAACTCAAACATGGTTTGAATCAAAAATAATTGTGGCTTTTGTCATTTTTTTAAGGGTTCACTTACGCCCCTATGACATGGCTTTCAATTCAGATATTTAAGGTTAATTTTCAATGATGCCTCACGCCAAATATCAACAGACAATCGGCTTTCCTTTTCACAAAGAAGTGTTTTCTGCTAAAGAACAAAACCAAAATCCATCATTTCCATTATAACACTATCATATTCAAACATTATAAAAATCAAGTTCAAGTTTGACAAATTCAAGAAATTATTCATGGTCAGAATAGTTAAACAGACCATTAATCGGGTGTCACTAAATAATACAACATGCGATAACAATTTTTACGTATTCAATTTCTATTTTAAAAGATGCAAAGATTGTGATGCGCTTCTCACTTTCTGTTCTTCTTGATCATATTAATAATTACAACAAATCATAAATATTAATTGTAATAAAATAATGATAAATATGAAAAAGAAAAGAATATCATAAAACAATGATAAATATGAAAAGAAAGTGCAACCGATAAAATACTAAGGAATATGAAAAGAAAGAAAATTCTATAAAACAATGTTAAAAATGAAAATAGAAACAATAAGTTTCATTTTAATATCAGCACCATGTTCAACTAAGAATTTAACAATTTCTTTTGAATCCCATTTGTTTGCAATGCTAAGAGGGGATTCATTAATATAAAAAGAATTGTATTAAACAATGATAAGCACGAGACAAAATAAAATTTCATAAAATGATGATAAATATGAATTGAAATTAAATTTCATAGAACAATGATAAAAGTTAAAAGATAGAGAATGCAATTATATAATAAGGAATATGAAAAGAGAAACAATAAGTTTCATGTTAACATCAGCACCATGTTCAACTAAGAATTTAACAATTTCTAAAGATTTCGCTTTGATTGCAATACTAAGAGGAGATTCAATAATATCAAGAGAATTTCATTCAACATTGAAAAATATGAAAAGGAAGAAAATGAGATAAAATAATAATAAATATGAAAAGAAGGAAAATCCAATAAAATAATGGCCAAAATGAAAAGAAAGAAAATTCTATGACACAATGATAAATGTGAAAAGAAGTAAAATTTCATAAAACAATGATAAAAATGAAAAGAAAGAAAATATCAAAAAGCAATGATAAATATTAAAAGAAAGAAAATAAGTTTCATATTGGCATCAGCACCTTGTTTAACTAAGAATTTAGCAATTTCTATTGAATTCGCTCTGATTGCAATACTAAGCGGGGATTCATTAATATACAGCGAAATATATATAACAATGATAAATATGAAAAGAAAGGAATTTCTATGACAAAATGATTAATATGAAATGAATGTAAACTTCATAAAACAATGATAAATATTAAAGGAAAGAGAACATCATCAAACGATGATAAATGTGAAAAGAAAGAGAACTACATAAATCAATGATAAAAATGAAAAGCAAGTTAATGAGATAAAATAAAAAGAAATATAAAAAAGAAAGAGAATAATTTTCATGTTAACATCGGCACCCTGTTTAACTAAGAATTTGACAATTTCTAATGAATTCTCTTTGATTGCAATGCTAAGAGGACATTCATTAATATATGGAGAACTATATATAACATTGACAAATATGAAAAGAAATAATATAAAATAATGGTAAAAATGAAAAGAAAGGAAACACAACAAAACAATAATAAATATGAAAAGATGGAGAATGATATAAAATAATGGTAAAAATGAAAAGAATGGAAACACAATTAAACAATTATACATATAAAAAGAAAGAAAACTCCATAAAACAGTGATAAATATGATAAGTAAGAAAATTCTATCACACTATGAAAAATATGAAAAGAAAGAGAATATCATAATACAATGACGAGCATGAAACGAGTGAGAATGTGATATAATAATAAGGAATATGAAAAGAAAGAAAATTCTATAAAACAATGTTAAATATGAAGAGAAAGAGAATAAATTTCAGATTGACATCAGCACCATGGTTAACTAGGAATTTGACAATATCTATTGAATTTGTTTTGATTGCAATGCTAAGAGGAGATTCATTAATATACAGCGAACCATATTTAACAATGATAAACACAAAACAAAAGAGAATTTCATAAAATAACAATAAATATGAAAGGGAAGAAAATTCTATGACACAATAATAAAAATGATATAAAAAGAGAATTTCATAAAAGAGTAGGTGACAAAAGTGCATACTCTTAAACAACCGTCGGATTTCCGGGTGAAATTGTGACACACTTTCGTCTTTCGTAGGCAGTGGTGGTTGTTACAAAAGGTAACTTCGAATGTAGCGTGAAATCTGCAAAAAAAATTCTGAAATTTGAATGGAGAACACAAAAATTGAATAGTTTACGTCAATAAAAAAGAGAAAAAATTAAGCCATGTATCTCGAACCTAGGACGTAGAGTAGCAATCACACTGTTTATCCCATTACACTACATGCATCTCTCACCTCAGTAAATGAGATCAACTATATGATAACTTTTTCCCCATTATATTCTTGTGGAAAAGTGACAAATAGCAACTTTGACCCTCTCTCTTTCATAAAACAACGATAATTGTGAAAAGAAAGAGAATATAAATATCGTTGATATTTGCTCCATTAGAGAGTAAATAAGATGCAACATCATAATTTCCAAAATACATGCTTTGTGCTATTGAATCAGGAGTTTGTCCAAAATTTGATTGGAGGTACTCAGCAATTTCATTGTGTCGATACCTCAATGCTATATTAATCATTTTATCAAATGATTTACCTTCTTCTATCATATGCATAAAAATGCTTTCGTTTCCACCTTGAACAGCATATTTTTCTGAGTTATTTGTGTATTCAGCTCCTAAATTTTTCAAGTAATTGAAACATAATTCTGATCCATAATTAAGAGCGCAATCAAGTGGAGTGAATTCATCTATATTTTTATTGATGTCGAGATTTGGGAATTTTCTTTTGAGATCATCAACTTTATCCCATGCGATATAATATAATGGGGACTCAATTGAATATAAATTGAGAATTTCTTCTTCTTTCTTGTAAGGTCTGAAATTCTCAAACCTGAAACCTTTATAATGCAACAGAGATGCTAATTTATCATTTTTCGGTTTGATCATGCATGAAAATTCGTTTGATATCTTTTGATAAAGTTCGGTAAATAATTTAATATCTTTTTCACGAATTTGTGAAAAAACATCAATTAAATTAAGTGCCATTTGGATAGGTATTTGGCTAGTTATAATAAAATCAATAATTTGGGATGATGATTGTAAAATATTATTGGAGTTGACATCCCAAATAATTTTTGAAGCTTGACTAGGGTAGTCGAACACATTAAGTGTTTTAAGGTTTCTTAAATCGCATTCATTTTCATTTCTGAACAGTCGAAAAATGCTTTGGATCACTCCCATTAAAAGAAGCACTTTTTTTCAGTGATTCCATCGGCGCTGCGCGCCGATAGAATAAATTATGAATTAAGGTTGCAACTAAATCTAAGTAGAATAGTTTTGAAGTGCCGTGGAAGTTTAAATTCATAAAATTGAGACGTCTTCACTACTCGAATTAGAGAACGGTTTATAAACTTTTATTGATGAAAAAAAAAACATTGAGAATCATATAACACCATCATTTTTCATGAATGAATATCTAAAAATTGCGAGCATTCAAAAAATGTAGTGTTTTGAGGAGTATTATCAATCTGGTATCTGGTTCTGGTTTATTATCTCCTTTTATAAATATATAATAGGATAGTTATTTTCTAGTTAAATTTAACGAAAACATAAAAGTATAATAAAGCAATTTTTATTACATTTTTGTTTGCCAGAATGATGTGAAGAATTTTCACAATATAATCAATATTTGAATAAAAATAATCGTGTTTTCTCAATTTTTCTTATCTCATTACGAAGATATGCCTTCTCATTCTGGATGAATCAAAAATGTATCATTATCAAGTAAATAACCAAAATCTACTCCAAAGTATTATAAAAATAAAGCTCAAGTTTGAAAAATTCAAGAAAAAATTCTTGGTCAGAATATTATGGAGATACTTTACAAGTTAAACAGACACATAATGGAGAATCACTATATAATACCACTAGTGATAATAATTTTTACGTTTTCAATTGCTATTTTAAAGGATGCAAAGAAAGTGGTGCAATTTATATCGAAAGAACGAACAAAATCTTCACATTACTTGAAGAATCTGTATTTAATAATTGTAGCTCCACTTCAAGTGGTGGATCTGTTTTCTATAATTGTGAGCAATTAGGACAAATTGTTCAAAAAAGAACATGCTATTATAAATCATTGGCAAAAGATAACATGGCGTTCTATCATCGGCCTAAACTTGCTGATTCTAAAAATTATGCATTTGATGTTTCTATTTATAAATGCGGAGAAAATGAATCAAAAGGAAGCTATACATTCAGTGCAGTATATGGAGAGATACTTATTTCGAATATCAATTGCACTAACAACAAATGTGGTAGCTGTTCATCATATTATAGTAGCATTCTAGCGAATCCTGTTATATGTAATTTTTCAACATTCAGAGAAAACAATCAATCAGGAAGTAAATCATTTTATTTTAACAGTGGGTCTCTTGCATTACATCAAATATTTTCTTATTGCAATGTTATTGAAAATAAATGCCGAACAACATATAAACAAATTCTATTTTGCTGTAAATACATAGTTGATGTTGATCATTCGATATTTTTAAATAACATTGCACCTTTCATGTTTTATCAAGAAACTTATATGGCCGGTTTGACTATTTCAGATTCATATGTTGATAATAATTCAACAAGTTCAGGAGGATATGTTGCATTTACTGATCTAAAACAAAATCACATTTCTAGATCATTCTAGAGTGAAAATCGTGGATTGGGCTACTTTCTAGAATATTTATAATTACCCGTTTTTCTTCATATTGCTTTTTTTTAAATATCAACAATTAATACAATATCATTAAACTTCATTTGTTATTTTATTAATGCTGTTTCTCTTTTAATTGATACTTTCTTCGTCTAAAACAAAATATCAACTATTAATACAATATCATTATACTTCATTCGTTATTATACCAACGTTGTTTCTCTTCTCATTTCTACTTCAATATAATAAAACACAATATTTATTCTCTTCTCATTTTAAATAAAAACAATATCAACAATTAATAAACTTCATTCGTTATTATATTAATGTTGTTTCTCTTCACATCGTTAAATAAAATTAATTAATTAATTAATTAAAGATTTATTTTATACATCTAAAAATCAAAGCAAAAAAATACCACAAAAAATATAATAATAATATATAAATAACAAAATAATAAAATAAAAAAAATAGCTAAAATAAAATTCAAAAGTTACTGTGAATCTTCTTCATGAATGATTCTTCCTTTCTACAAATAGGACAAGTGTTGTTTTCAGAGAACCAGTTCTGAACACACTTCGAACAAAGTCCTGTATGTCCACACGGCAGAATCACAACGTCTGCCTCGTTTTCAGCACAAATAGAGCACAAGTTAGAGTCATCATCCCATGTAGAAGTGTAGCTGCACGTGAAAGAAGCGATTGGAAAACGACAGAGAGGACAACTTTCGCCGTTTTTGACTGCTTCTTGTCCACACTCGTCGCAGAAGATCTTGTGACCGCATGGAACGAGGAATCTTGTTCTTGGCTTCTTGCGGCACTTAAGACACATGCCTTGGCAAGGATCTTGATATGGAGGAATGAATTTTATTTTGTCATTTGACCTTTTCTCGTCATTTGTGATGTTTTCGTAGTTGGAGTTACTGTTCATGAAGATGACACCTGTTGTTTCACCTGTATATTGGACATCGCACTCTGTACAAGTGTTTTCTACAAAATCTCCGCTTCCGTGAGTGGAAACAAGGATCATTGACTCATCAGGATGTTTGATCTTGTTATTACTAGCATTAAGGAATGCTCCGGCATAGCACATGAAGCAGTATTTGCCTGGATGATCAAATTCATTATCTTTAACAGTAACTTGGCTTTCGTTGTATGATTCTACACCTGCAATTAAACAGTTCATGATAATATTGTCATGGATTCTAACATCTGTTGAGTCTGAAACTGAAATTCCGGTATCTTCCGCTCCATCGATCTTATTCTTAAAGATTTCGACAGTCTGAGCATAGCGTGCGCATATGGCTGCACGGCTGCACCCAGAAATGTCGTTTTCTGTAATCATAGCTGAAGATTTTTGTAAAACTGCGACAGCGGGGAATTCGATCTTCTTTGTGATGTTGTTAGCGATGTATCCGACTGATTCTTCTGTCATGATGATCGCGTTGCCATGGATGTCCTCGAAAACGTTGTTTATGATTTTAATCGGAACAAACTGGTTTATGATGGAAATTGAGGAAGATCCTGTGTTCTGGAAGTAGGAATTCTGGATCACAGCTGGCTGTTCGCATTGGTAGATGTTAATTCCGTTCTGTGTTGTATTTATTAATTTTAAGTTATTTATGCTAAAACAAGCGTTGTTTAAGTTGAGACCAAAGCCCTTTGAGTCCTTGATAGTAGTATTTGTGAGCTGGATGGCTGATTCGAAGATGCAGCAAAGAGCTGTGTCATTTGTTTCTGTAAATTCACAATCTGTTACTTCTGCCTTGCTGTAACAAGTAATGAAGACATTCTGAGAGTTTATCTTGTTTGTCTTCACGTTTCGAATGACTGCTAACGCGCTGGCTTCAACAAAAATTCCACAAGTCTGAGAATCGTGAATATAGCAATTTTCAATAAGAGATTTGTTTGCACGGGTAATGACAATACAGCCGCCACTGCCAGTATTGCCTTTAGTGAAGGTGCAATTTCTAACAATGAAATTTTCAGCGTTTCTGACAACGATTGAGCCTTCAACTGATAGGCCATCCCATTCTGTATCGCATTCTGCTATTACTATACGGCCAAGATGCACATTCGAGTTACATTTGGAAATAACACGACATGGAGAGTTGATTTTGAACTCTAATCCTGATAAATCATATTCAGCTTCTGTTAGTTCAACAATACGAACTCCGTCTTGCTCTGTAAACTCAAAGGTATCAAAAAAATCTATCAAACTGCTCATTTTTAAATGTCACGTTTTCATAGCTTGTCAAATTTCAACTTTTTATTGTGATCAAAGAAAATCTAAAATCTTTTAGCTATTTTTAAGTTGAATTTGAGATACTGTGCCTGTTGTACGAAAAATTATGAGTGAAATATTTGAAAATAACTCTTTTTTGAAATTTTTTCAATATTGAATTTCAGATTAATAACATTAAATTCAATAGGAATTGCTTTGTTATAAGCCATTTTATGTGTGTGCAAAATAAAATGGTTCAATTATTAATGTTTGTTCAATTTCAAGCACCAGATGCTCATAATCTATTAATTACAACCCACGAATCAATTTTACTACTTTTTTGATAACTCTACTACCACATATTTGTGCTATATTACAAATTATCAAAATATTTCAAAATAAAGTCATGTTCTTTCGCACAAGATTGGTTTTATTCTAATTAACTAAAAATGAAGAAATGGAGCATTCTTGAATGAGCATTACCCGTAAAATAAGACGTTCAATTATATTTTGTCAAATTTTTTGAAGAAAAAAGTTCTGCATTTGATATTTGATATATTACAATTCAAAAACCTTTGAATCTTTTTTCTGAGGTTATAAAATTCAATGGCTTTCAAAATAGTTTTAATATAGATCCCAATGTATTCATTTAAATATTATTTTTGGCAAAAAAAATATGACTGGAAATTTTTAAATTTATCATTCCATTTTGGCATGAGCAGAGCAGAATATATCAATAAACTTAGGAAGAAAATCATGGAAGATACCAAGAGTGGAGCTATTATCATTGCGGAGCTCAACAAGCTACTTTCAAAAATGAGTAATCATAGAATTTCACCTGAAATGCAGAAACTGATAAAGAAGTATACAAAGGATGAATCAGTGAATATTGATGATAGAAGGATCATGTCTCAACTTGGAGATTTTAATTACAAACAATCTGAAGCTTACAAAAAATTTATTTCGAGGTTCGGACGTGATTTTCATCACGTCACATACAAAACTTTGATAAACGTAATGGAAGATTATTATAAAAATCATCCAGATGATCCGATCTACAAAAAGAGTGACAAAACCAAACCTAGAGAAGCAAAGAAGAGCACGGCACTTGCTATTAAGTATTTCCAAGATAATTATCCATTATTCGAATATTTAATCAATGATCGGAAAAATTTTGATGTAACAATGATTTTCTAACAGATTATCGAAGTCAGCGGCAATTGAATTTTAGTGTTTATTTATAATCTATTTAGTATTTTGTTTAAACATTATATTCTATAATTTCTGAAAATTTTAGTAGTGCTTAGGCGTTAATTAGTGGGATAATTACACAAATATCTGAATTTTAAACATTTAACGAATCAGTTGATGATATTATGTAAGGATTGAGAATTTATTAAATAATTGTGAATTCTATTGATTTAAAGTTAACATGTTTATTCGTAGAAATAAAATGATGTGTTTTTTTATAAAAAAAATAAAAATGTTTCATTTATTGTAAGCTAGATATTACTAAAAAAAGAAGTATAGTTTATTTTACTTAGAGAACTTAGCATCAGTCTTTGTCATGATGAAGTCTTCTGTAAATGGTGCCTTAATAGAGTCTCTCTCTGCTTGTGCACAGATAACAATCAAGTCAGTCTTACCTGTATTCTTGATGTTTCTTGAGACACCTGGAGAGATACGGACAACACTTCCTTCGGAAACTTTGACAACTTTGTCATTGAGCTGGAACTCACCAGCACCGGAGACAATGATGTAGACTTCTTCATGATTCTTGTGATCATGGAAGAATGGAACTGCAGTTCCTGGTTTGAACTTTGTGATGGAAACTTCCATAGATGTAAGACCGAGAGCCTGACCGAGGAATGCTTTGCCATTCTCGAACTTGTCGAGGCCACTGAACTTGCCAACTTCACCAACAACATAGTTATCTGCCTTTGCAACTGTGTGGATACTCATCTTTCTTCTGCTTGAGTGAAAAATGATATGATCACTTGAAATTTACACTCCTGTCAATTAAAAATTTTTATCTTAAAAATTTTTTCTTTGTATTGTTGATGAGAATCATATAAAAGATTTAAAAGATATATAATATAACATATAAGAATTCATATTATAATGTGCATTATAAGTCCGGTCAATTCAAATTGATTTTCTTAGCGTGACTACCGTTCCGAAAATTCTTATCAATTCTCTCAAAATTTTGTATTTGGCAAAATGGTCAACATATATTCAAAAAAAGTATGCATCGTTTATTTTCAATGTATTCATAAATTATACATAATGTAATCTGTTTCTATATAGTATTAATTGTTTAGAAATGCTATTTGTGTTATATTTTTTCTTTTTTGAGAATGTCAAGAGGTTAAGGGACCACTGCACGGCCAAACAAGACCTATCGTCTTTTAAAAATCTTCAACGAGTTGATGTTTTACTAAGGCTAAAAATTCAAAAAAATCGAAAAAATTAAGTTACGGTCATTTGAATCCCTACAAGATGCTTGTCAAATTCCCTTATTATCAGCATTCAAATTCTCTTTTCATATTAAATATTAAAATTATTAACGATAAAATTGGAAATTTATCATTAATAATAGCTGTTAACTGCATATATTCATCATATACGACCATTTGATTCACAAAGAACTTCAAAATTTCTGTTATTCATTTATTTTGTAGGAGATTTTTGTTATGATTGTAGAACATATAGGAGTAAAAACGAACTGTATCATGAATTAACAAAGTTTGAATATTGATACACGTAAAAATGATAAGTATTCAAAGGGATTATTTTGATAAATTCTATTTGGAATCATATTCTATGAATAATGATTTACATCGATATAATTTGAACAGATATCTATTCATATTCAATCAGACCTAATATTTAAAAATAAAAAATATTTGAAATTAAATTCAACTAAAAACTTAATGATTTGCATATGGAATTGACATAGTTATCATGTAATACTTCTAACAAGACTTTTCTGAAAAAAATTGTATATAATAATGACTTTTCTCTCAATTTAATTTGCAATAAAATTCGCAGATATTAGATTTTAATTAATATAAAAATATTGGCCAATAAAAATTTTTGATCGATCCACTTTTAAAATCAGAAAATCGTGAATTTTTAAAACATGCTTCGAAAATAGAAAAACAATCGAAAAATGCAAATCATCTCAAAACTCGCCCATTTCAAGATTTTCCTTTAATTCGAAATGACATGATGCTAAAGTATCATACCAAAAGGTGTGTATATTGGTGAGAATTCAAAAATATCAATCTGATGAGTAGCAAAATAAGTATTTATAATTGAGGCGAAAACGATAAATCTCATTTTGCCTCTCAATTTTTCTGAGTCTCTCAATTTTTGCAGTGGTCCCTTAAATTTGATATGATAAATCAAAATTTTTAATTATAAGTGGTATTGTCATGCATATTAATAATACATATCAACAATACACACAATATCAATTAAATAAGATATGTATTGTCGTATTTCATTAAATGCAATTCTATAAATAAACTGCGCAAATATTGGTGAAACCTTGAAATATTGATGTTACATATGTGTTAAAGTATATATTAAGTGTGCTTTTGTTTATATATCAACATGTTTATTCGTAGAAATAAAATGATGTGTTTTTTTATAAAAAAAATAAAAATGTTTCATTTATTGTAAGCTAGATATTACTAAAAAAAGAAGTATAGTTTATTTTACTTAGAGAACTTAGCATCAGTCTTTGTCATGATGAAGTCTTCTGTAAATGGTGCCTTAATAGAGTCTCTCTCTGCTTGTGCACAGATAACAATCAAGTCAGTCTTACCTGTATTCTTGATGTTTCTTGAGACACCTGGAGAGATACGGACAACACTTCCTTCGGAAACTTTGACAACTTTGTCATTGAGCTGGAACTCACCAGCACCGGAGACAATGATGTAGACTTCTTCATGATTCTTGTGATCATGGAAGAATGGAACTGCAGTTCCTGGTTTGAACTTTGTGATGGAAACTTCCAATGTAAGACCGAAGGCCTGACCGAGGAATGCTTTGCCATTCTCGAACTTGTCGAGGCCACTGAACTTGCCAACTTCACCAACAACATAGTTATCTGCCTTTGCAACTGTGTGGATACTCATCTTTCTTCTGCTTGAGTGAAAAATGATATGATCACTTGAAATTTACACTCCTGTCAATTAAAAATTTTTATCTTAAAAATTTTTTCTTTGTATTGTTGATGAGAATCATATAAAAGATTTAAAAGATATATAATATAACATATAAGAATTCATATTATAATGTGCATTATAAGTCCGGTCAATTCAAATTGATTTTCTTAGCGTGACTACCGTTCCGAACACTTGATTTATTTTTTGTACTTATAGCATTAATCCTTCCAATTATTTGTCATAGTGAACCAATAGGCTAAGCTACTAATGTTGGTAAATACTTGTCCTAACATCGATGTATGAGGAAGAATTATTCACTTTAAATAAAATATAATCATTCATCACAAGTCATTAAGAAAATTTGTTTGATGCTATTACAATTTGGACTTTATATGTATCTTTATGAAATGATACATACATTATTAGTTAATTAAATTTGAATTTAATGTAGAACACCGCTGGCCTAATTCTAGAATTTCAACTTGCAAAAGAACAATTCGCTCTGCAAGGTGGGGGTCCGGTTTCGATTCCCTGAAGGTGCAATACTTTTTCAATAAGCTAGATTGACTTTTTTAATAGGACGAATTTCCGGTCTTAAAATTTCTGAAATTAGTTAATGAATCGTAGATTAAACTTAAATTTCTTGAAAACTTGGTACATTTTGCAATAACTTTTGAAAACTATATGAAATATAATAGAAACAACATTTATTTTTACATCAGACAAAAAAATATTAGAAAAAAAATTAACCTTCAGGAAGAGCACCTTCATCATCTTGAATCAACTTAACTCCTTTTGCTTCAATGAACATGCACTTACATTTGTCATCGGTGTAAATTCCAATCAAAATTATTTTATTTCTTGCGTGAATGATTCTTCCTTCTTTGCCAATAAACTTTCCATCTAGTATCTTAACATAATCATCTATAAACATTCGCCTATTCTCAGCATCTCTGCATGTTCCGTCGTCTCTGAGTTCTTTCAGCTTGTAATTTACAGGAATTTTGATGAGTTTGTTATCATTCAAGAGAACTGTCAATGATCCTATGTCAATCTCTGTGATTACCCCGTAAGTTTCCTCATCAATTTCAATAAGTTGATAAAGATAAGGCATTGAGATGTATTTTGGCTTCACATCCAATAAAATATTAAATTTAGGCTTGCCAATAAGCACTTCTCCATGCATCCTACTTTCATGTTTAAATTTTAACTTTAAAGGCTTTGCTTCTTGCTTTAAAAGCCTCAATCCAGGAATTGGATGGTCGAATCTCAACTTTTCGGAAGGTTTTATATAGGATTTCCAGATATAAAGTTGTCTCATGTCGATTTTGGAAATTTTGTACTCGCCAATAAACTTTTCACCATGGAAAATAAATCCTTTATCGCTATAACGAGTTTTATCAAATGAAATTGATACTTTTTGGGTTGTATTTAACGCTTTTGAATCAGTTACTGTATATTCATCGATTGGTGTTGATTTACTCTTATCTATATTCGACCACGACCTGACAATTGCTTTCTTTTTGACGTAATTGATATCTAATATTTGACAAGGTTCATCTTTCAAAGGATCGACTGAAATTCGTGCAAATAGTTTGCTCTTATTGTCATAGAATCTGTAATAAGGGAAATTAATCAAATAAGGAGCAAACTTTGTGATTTCTATTTTGGATAATTGGAATTTGCTGCATAAACTAGTAATTTTATCAGGATCATCTGTTTCTATATATAATCTGTTACGACAGTTTGGTAAATACGCCATTGAGATGATATTATTTCGCAAATTTTCGTTTTCGCTTACTTCGATAAATAATTGTAGAACAAATTCATCGAAGCAAGGCGTTTCATATATAAATCCATCACTTGTCAATGCATTGATTTTGTCTATTGTGTATTTCGAATATGATTCCGGAAATTTATCAGCGGAAAAAATGACCATTTTCGAAAATACGGAGTTGCTTTCTTCTATAGGATCATTGTCTAAGTGACTGATGCCGTTATTTATGAGTTTTTCCATATTTCTTTGAAGAGTTTATATAAAATGTCACTTTTTTAAAAAAAATTGTAATTTTTTTTCATTCAAGACATAATGAGACTGTTTTAATTGTTTATTTTATTCTTCATCTTCCTCGTTAATGTGGAAGACCTTATGGTGCATGAAACCATTGAAGAATGATGTTGGCGCGTATGTGTAAGCACCAAATTTCTCAATCATGAGATAATCTCCGACTTCGAGCCTTGGCCAGCTGAGTTCTTCGTAAACGAGATCTTCTGAGTCGCATGTCTGTCCCCAGAGTCTTGTCTTGATCATCTCGCCTTCAGAAGCGCCTTCAGTTCTGATTAAGAAATGAGGCTCAGCGTGATCGTAGTTTAGAGCGTTGAAAGCTCCGTAAATACCTTCAGCTATGAAGACTGCTTGTTCGTCACCATCTGGATCGTGATGTTCCTTGACACATATAACTGGCATAACAAGATCCATGAAATCCGAAGCAATAAAGCGTCCTGGCTCAGCGAGGAACTCAATCTCATCTCCGTCGAAGAGCTCATCAATGGCTGTATTGATTGCTTCAGCAATTTCTGCGAAAGTGTATTTGGCTTTGATTGATGGAGGAAGGAATCCACCACCGATATCAATGAAGGAAACGTTCAATCCGAGCTGTTCTGCCTTGGCCTTGAGCTCTGCAACGTATTCAAGAGCAACACGGAATGTCGTAATATCATCACAAAGAGAGCCGACGTGGAATGAGAATCCAATGAAATTGGCACCGAGTTCGGAGGCTAATTGCATGAGTTTAGGAACTTCCTTTGGGTCTGCACCGAATTTGTTGGATAATTGGATCTTTGCATGGGTAAAACGTGGCTTAATACGAAGGAAGACTTCTGCTTCTGGATAATAACGAAGAATCTTACGTAATTCACTCTCTGTATCGTAAACAAGGCGTGTAACTCCATTTTCTTTGGCATATTTAATCGAATCGATGGATTTGATTGGGTGAGCAAATACAATACGATTTGCATCAACACCCAAGGCGAGAATACGACGGATTTCGTCTTCTGAAGCGCAATCATAGGCAACACCACGGTCAGCAAGGAATTTAAGAAGTTCTGGTTCATCACAGCATTTCATTGCATAGTGGATATGAAGTCTACTTAAATTCTCTTCCCAAAGAGCAAGAGATCTGCGAATGCGATTGAAGTCTGCAATCCAGAAAGCCTGATCGTTATCCATTTGCTCAAGGCACTTCTGAACTGTATTATCAAGGTTCTTGATGATGGTAAAATTATCATGCGGCGCTACGTGATGCATAACAACTAAAAATTAACATAAAAAAATTCAATTTTCAATTCACCATTTTGCTCAAACTATATCAATTCTAGATGCTAAATAAAATAATAGATGAGATTAAATTTCCATCGTTAGTTTTTATTGAATTTATTTTTTTCACAAGATGACGATTCCTTCAATCAGTATTCATATATCGATTATTTCGAAAATTTTTATCGTGCTTTATTTGAAATTTTCTATCGTAAAAGTGACATAATAATGGCAAATTTTGTGTGCGATAATGGAGAAATTCGGTTAGAAACACACAATTTATCTATAAATTATGACATAATTTTTAATACAGATAATATTAACCTGATTTTACGATAAAGCAGTAAAAAAAACCGACGACTCTTATTTTATTACAACTTTCTTTGCTGAAATCCTTAGCTTCTTCTACATTTCAATATATTTAGATATAAAGTATTTAAACATACTATTCATCACTTCATGCGATATTGGCTAGAATAATTAATTTGCTGATTCAAATCAAATTATTGCGATTCAAAGTGGAATTTCATTCACTAGAACGGCTTGTTTCGATAATTAATATGTTATCATGAATATCTTTTTGAAATTGCAAAGAGTTACGCATCATTTTCACCCAAAGTTCATACCCACATTTCTTGAAATGCTTGTAATTCATAGTTATTCCTGGAAAAAACATACCAGATTGTTCAACATTCCTACTGTGCCTATTTTTTATGATATTAGGCATAATGAAATTGATATTTTGATAAATCATTAGAAAATCAAGATATATAGTATAACTACTGCTTTAGATAATTATAACTGTGCTTATTATTTCAAATTCACTGTGAAAATTCGCATTATTTTTATTCAATCAACTAAATATAAATTTTCAAGAATAATTAGTAGGAAATTTCTAAACAGAAGTGATGTTAAAGCACACCATTTGACAGGTCCATAGGTGTTCAAGAAAACACATTAGATATGATTGATACGTATATGAAAAGAGTCTTTTGAATAAAATTTCATATGAATCTAAATCCTATGCATTCGGATTCATTAGATAAGAACTTGGGCATGTATATACAGTGTTTCTCCGATTGATATCTAGCAAATTTTTCTGAATAATTTGAAAAATTTCCAAGATGCTTATAGTGAAGATTTACTAATAATTTTTTTTGAAACAGTTCCGAAACAATTTCTTCCATCTCTCAGAATTTTTTGTCAAATTTGAATTTGACGAAGATTGGTCTTCTATAACTTTCTTCGTATACAAATATATTCCGAATTCTATTTTTCGAATAAAAGTGACATCCCCGCATTATTGAAAACAATACACAATGAGTACTTTATCTTATAATGATTCATTCAAAGTAATTAAAGACTCATGCCATGCAAAACTTACATTTTTAGATGCTGTTATCAAGCAATGCAATTCATTTATCGAATCGAATCAGAAGTTCATTAAAAGTATCAGCCAGATTCCTTTGGACATCCCAAGCAAGAGATCAAAAGGCCTTACAAACTTTGTTAACAATGTCAAAGGGCCAACTAATTTTAAAGGAACTGAACCAGAATTCATGCAAAGATTAAATGAAATCTGCCAAATAGTATTTTCATCGCCTCCTGGACTGCAGAAAGAAGTCCAATACTTCCAAGATGCCTTTGTTACAAAGATAATTGAAGCACGAAAGAGATTTGAAACGAATTCGAACAACATGATTCAAATGGGCAACTATTGCGCTCAGATGCTCGTCAGCATTACGAATGAATATAATAAAGCAATGTCTAAATACAAAGATCTTTCTAAAGAGTTGGAAAACTTATATCCGAAAAAAGATGATCCGAAAATTTCATCAAAATATAGCTCAACTCTCGATGCATTTTACGCAGCTGAAGAAGAAGTCTTTAATCTCCACAATAAGCGAAACGATGCTGAAGCTTCTTGGGCTGCAAACATGGAAGATATCTTATACAAATATGAAATGCTCGATAGCCGCCTGAACAACGAAATTTCGGATGCTTACATTAATTTCTCACCTTTCATCGAGGAAATCAAAGAAGAAAGAGATTTGATTACTAACCGATTAAAAGCAGCCGGCGAAACCGATCAATTAAGCTACGACTTAAGAGATACATTGAGAGAATGCTCAACTTCAAGCGGAGAAACAATTTACGCGGAGTTAACCTTCCCTGGTTTATCTTTCGATCCAGCAAAGTATTTAACGCGATCGACATTCGAAGCAGTTGAGTCCTGCAGAGTCGCCATTCTCACACAGGACATCCAATCCACTGCTCCAGAGATTCATGATCTTAAGAAGGGCCAAGTTGTTCTTGCCCGGCCAGACTCCAGTGGAATACTCTTTGCCCAGTCTGGAGATTTCATTGGCGTCATTCTTGAGGGTTCTTACCAATCTTTAGTTTCAAGTTACATTCCAAAAGTCGGAAGAGCTGTTAAGAGCTTCGCTGGACCACCAGAGATAAATGTTGATGATGCAGTATATATTCACTATAAGAGCGGTCCAAAAGCTTACATCACAACAATGAATTTCGAATTTACAGAAATTCCGGCTGAATTTGTGGAGTAGAGCGTTATTGATTTTATTTTGTTTTTTATAGATTGATTAAAATTCATGCTTCTCGTTATTTTTCAACTTTGAAATGTTTTGAAATTCGAAATTTTTTATTTAATGTCTAATATTAATGGGAAAGGATAACTCAAAATGATTTTATGCATGCTACCAATATATCCTATCATAGAGATCATCTTTAATATAAGAAATTGATCTTCACATTCTCTGGATAAAGAGTAATTTGAAAAATGGATTGATAAATTTATGACTTTTCCTGCAAGTATCAAATATTTGGGTGGAAATCATCATCTATTGCTTTGATTCAGATATTTTTTATTCAATTTGAATTTGACGATAGAACGTTATTATTCCCGAAATTTATTCTTGAAATTGAACTCAACAGTACATAACGTGCACATCCCAAAAAAATCGATTTTTCTGACAAAAATTTTAGAATTCATCAATGTCTGCCTCAGAAAGTACGCCAACAACTGCGAGGCGCCAGACATGCCGATTTTCTCAGATTAAAATAAAGCCAAGACCACATGGTATTGGCACTTACACATCGAATTCATCATCAGAATCTCCAAGACAAAGAAGTATTTCAAAAAGAAGAGTTACTAAGTATAAAGACGAGAAGCCACCTGAAAAGATTCAATCATACATTAAGGAATCGCCACCAAAAGAGAAAAAGAAGGAAGAAACGGATAATGATAAAATCGAAAAAGTCGCAAGCCAGCTTCTTGAAGGCGAATCTTTAGATATTGTCGAACCGAAAGATCGTGCTAATGTAATTTCTTTTCTTAAACGCTACTCTTCTCACCAAGCACAAGCTCGAAATTACGTCGAAGCTAAAATCGCTTTAAATATCATAGATGGGCTTCAGCAATACGGTAATGTTGAGGAAAAACCAGAACCTGATACATCAATTGAAGTTGAAACGGCTCTTGCAGAAGAAAATCACGATACGTTACAACAATCTCAGCAAGAAGAACTTAATTATTTTGATGAGCAGACTGATATGAAACGAAAAATGCTAGTACTTCAGCAAAAGAATAAAATGGACGAATTTGAAGAAGAATGGGTACATGAAAAGCCAAGAAAATACAGAAAACCATCTTCAACACTACTTGGATATTCACAAATTGAAAAACAAGTAGCTTTGGCCGGTGATTATGATTATGCTCAGAAAATTAAAGATCAATCAGAAGCTCAGACTATAAAAGAAGCAGAATTAGCTCAGAAAAGACTTAGACAAGATTATTTGAACGCCAAGAAGAAACTGAAACAAGATCAGGCCCAGCAAATGAAAATTTTTGAAGATACAAGGGCAAATCAAAGAGATATCATTGTTCAGAGACACCAAAGAGAATTAAATGTGACTATGAAGAGAATAGATGTTGTTTACCTTCGTTCTATGGAAAAACATAGACAGGCAAAAACATCAGCTAATTCTCCACGAAGGCAAGCTGATAATGCTGGTTGTCGCATCCTAAACTTAGGGCAGAATAATAAAACAATTCTCTTACCAGAATTAATTCCTCCAAATGACCCTAGAATGAAAGAGATCGAAGATAAAGAAAAAGAAGCTAAAAATAAGAAGAAGGAACAAACAGAGAAGAAGCTTAAACAGAAATATTCTGTTTTCTCACGTTATTATAGAACTGAAATGGATTCAAAAAATTAAATTAAAATTGTTGTTTTGTATTATATAAAGACAAGTTAATTATGCTGTAAGTTTACATCAGAAGCAGCTTTTTCCACTTAATATAATGATTTAGTCAAATTATTAGAGTTACCACTTATTTCGGTGTTTACAACTTAATTCACAAACTACATTTTTTTTCGTTGATATCTGCACCATGTGAAATAAGAAGTTCAGCTGTTTCTTTACTATTACATTGTGCTGCACAATGAAGGGCTGTTTTTCCATATTTATCTTTTTCGTTGATATCTGCACCATGGGAAATAAGAATCTCGGCTAATTCTTTACTATTATAAACTGCTGCAACATGGAGAATGGTTCTCCCATCTTTATCTTTTTCGTTGATGTCTGCACCATGTGAAATAAGAAGTTCGGCTGTTTCTATACTATTATATTGTGCTGCACAATGAAGAGCTGCATATCCGTAATTACCTTTTTCGTTGATATCTACACCATGTGAAAGGAAATATTCGCAAAGTGATGGAATATTGAGCATTACCGAATAAATAAAGACTCTATAAACATCATTAGTTTGATCGAAATAAACTAAAAAAGATTCAAGATTATTGTAAATTCCACAATAAAATAGTTCGATCTTTATATTGTATTCATTCATCAAGAATGTAACAAAATCAATGTTGTGTGAAATAATTGCATATTTCATGCATTCTTTACTTGGCTTTTGATATTTCAAACATTCACTCATGATCTCTTTGTTTCTTCCTAAAAATGAAAAATTTAGACATGTTTGAGTTATTTCTGAGCTAAATTTCGTTCTTAATAGCTTGAAACAATCAACAGCTCCATAATAACAACATAAATCAAGTAATGAATATCTATTGTATAATCCTGGATATAATTTGCTTTCAAGTTTTTGATCTTTATCAAATTCATCTCTTTCTGTGAAAAAAATGAATTTTTCTAAGTCATTGTCCATAATTGCTCTGTAAATTGTATTTTCTGCATGAATTTCGTTGTTTTCGGATTTAATTTTTTCGAAATTATCAGATTTGTGTAATTTAATTCCGTATTCTTTATAAAAAAGGTGTTTGAAATAGAATTAATATTTTTGACCTCTGAAACATTATAATCATCAAATATATTTTTGGAAAGTTTCAAGTATGACTTTGTATAGCGGTTATTATATGGAATGATAAATAAAATATCTTTGATAATTTTTACTGGAAGAGATTTATTTGAATCAATCAATTCTGTCTTGATCATTTTATAAATCGAGTTTAATTCTTCTTCATTTTCAGTTTTCAGCTGATACAGCGCGTTATATGAATCGATGTAATATTTATAGATATTTCGTAATTCACTGAATTTATTTGGATGAATGTTTTGATCAGACATTAAAAAATTTAAAGTCACCAAAGTAGTATTTTTGAAAGAAAAGAAAATTTAACCAGAGCTAGAAAATTTAAGTCTTTTGATGCAACAAGACTTTCAAGTTTGTTTTGTCAATTAATTGAAATTTGTAAAAATCTATCACTTACATTAGTATAATGTCATTATGGGCTTAATCAAATCTTCACCAGTGCTTAATTTTATATTTGAATGACAAAATTAAAATCAATATAAAACTTGAAATGACTTCAAGTATTAGAAATATTGGTATTATATTTAAAAAATCATAATAAACAAATTTTATATTAATAACATAACAAAAAATAAATAAAAATCTAATTAATCAATTCTTCTGTTTCTTTGTAACTCTAATACAGCTTGGAGGACGTTTCATCAATGATTTGACGTCGATACCATTGATATCTAGCTTGAGTGGTTCTGTTTTATATCTATACCTTTGCATTGCCCTTTGAGTTGCTGAATCTTTTATTGAAATTGGAGTTGAAGCTTCAGAAATATCTCTTGATCTAGGTTTTGTCTTTCCATTCATTAAGCGTCCGCTGTTAATGTTATTCTGGAGCTTCTTCATTTGCATTTCTAAAGGTAGGAAATCTTTTCTCATTTCTTCTTTCAAAAATTGTTCTGTTCTTTTGCTTTTTTCAAGGAAACAATCTATTTCTCGTTGGTGTCTTGCTTGCATTGCTTGGTGTGCAAGTACCATTGCATCTACAGCTCTTCTTTGTGCTTCTTGGCTCTCGATTTGTTGTAGTTGTTCTACTTCTGCTTTAACAGATTTAGCTTCAGCAAAATTCCTTGCAATTGCAAGTGATTTTTGACGTGATCGCAACTGAAGCAATTTTGCACTAGGTTTATTAAAGTAGGCAAGGTTTTCTGGGTTTCCCCATAAAGATGCAAATTCATCTTCTTCATCTTGATGTCTTTTCAATAATTCGTCATGCTGAACTTGTGTTTCTTCTTTATATTGTTCAAAAATGTTCTTCCATTCAGCTTGTTTCTTTGAAATTTGATTATTAATATTTTGTTTACGTTCTTTGAAATCTTGCATCTCGCTATTCTGTCTTTCTGTAAGTATGGCTTCTTCCATTACTCTGGATGTTGTGCATAAAGCAGAATCAATTTTTTCTGATTCTTCATAATCTTCGTTTTCTAAGCTCCTAATATAGTTTCTTTGTAATTCACGTTGAATGGGAATGTAGAACATTGGTGGTGGCGGTTTATTTTTCTCAACTAAATCATTATATGCTTTTTGAAGTTCTTTTTCAGATTGATTTTGAGGTTTTTGGTTCTTTTTACGTATTTTAATTTCTGGTTTGGCATCATATTGTGAGGATGTTGTTTTCTTTGGAATTTGAATATCTTCGTTATTTTGATTTTGTTGACTTTGATTAGAAATAATAGAATTTTGATTAGAGTTGGGGTCTTTCGATTTGTATTTTGTTGGTGGCATTATATCTACTATTACTTGTTGCTTAACATCTCGAAATGGAGGATCATCCGAATAGTAAAGATCGGAATACTCATTTTCATCTGGTAGTTTATCGTTTTTGGTTGGTTTGTTTTCTACAGGTTGATTTTGATTTTGTGATTTTCTTTTATTTTTATTTCTTCCCTTTTTACTTTTTGATTTCTGCTTGTATACTGCAACGTTTTCATCATTATAGTATTGATCACTGGAGTTGATAGATTGCTTGTCATTGCCCATCTTACCATTCATCTTATTCTACTCCAAATGATAAATGATAGCCTAATGTCAAATTTAGGAAATAAATTTTAAATTGCTAATACATCAAATAATATTTTATTCAAAATAAGTTATATAATGATTTTGAAATATTTTAATTTGCCAATAACTTTTCACTATCTATTAAACATAAAAAGCATCATTATATGTTCCTTTATTCTCACTTGCAACTTGCATTCGCAAGGAAATAGATATTATTTTTTGGACTTTTACTTCATCTTATTTCGTAAATGAAATAGAATACCTAATCGGGAGTTTGATAGAGTTTTTTTATTTTTTTAATTTTTTTGAAGGAAATAATAATGATGCAGAAGTAGTTTTTGCAAATTTAGAAAAATAATAGAGTTTATTTGATATTTCTTTCAGATCTATGAAGCAATTTTCTGTAAAAAAATGAGAAAAAGTATTCAGATCGTAATTTTCAGTAAGATCAGTAAAAGTAACATTTCCTGTTCCTGTTGTCGAATTTGATTCAACATATGACTCTGAAACAGTCAAAAGATATTCTAGAGAATGTTGCCTAAACATGTAATTTGCAATATTTTTTAAAAATATGCAGTGATTGATACTAACTGCGTAGACACAAGAAAATAGAACTTGATTTTTGTCAGTGCCGCATTTATTTCCAATAACATTGCAATAAGAAATTGTATAAGTTAATGATTTATCATAATTAATCCAAAATCTTAGCGAATAACTTCCAGTTTGGCTATTTTTTCTGAATGTCGAGAAATTACAAACACTTGAACTCGCATCAGTGAGGCAATATACTGATGATTTTGTATTACATTTGTTGTTTGTGCTATTGATATTCGAAATACATAGATCACCTGATGTAATTTGAAATGTTTCTCTTCCTGTTGATTCATTTTCTCCACAGTTAAAAACAGAAACATAAAATGCATAGTTTTTATTAGAATTATTACTTTTAACAACATGGATAAATGCCATGCCATAATCTTTTGCTATTGATTTATAATAACATGTTCGTTGTTGAACAAACTGTCCTTCTAGATAGCTGGAAAAGTAAACAGACCCACCACGTGAAGCGGAACTACAGTTGATAAATACGGAATCTTCAAGTAGCATGCATATTTTGTTTTCTCTTTGGATGTAAATTGCACCTTTTTCTTTGCATTTTGCAAAAAAACAGACAAAAAAGTAAAAATTGTCAGTACCTGTTTCATTATAGAATGATGTTCCATTGTGTATCTTATAAATGCCATCGTTGCTTTCAAAATATTCTAACCAACTGAATTTTCTTGAATATTCCAAGCTCGTTCTTCTTTTTTACACGTGGAAGTAGTAAGTTAAAGTTGTTCACTTGGTAATGATGTCTGGATAATTTGTTCTGGATCTGTGAATTCAATCTTTCAAAGATAAAATGACATAAATTTTGAGGGGAACTTGAAAAATTTAATAGTCGTAAACTTTACATTATATCTAATTTTCCAAAGAATCCACTCAAACATTGATTATATATGAAAAAAAGTGATTCATATAAATAACAAAAAAATATACTTACAATTTAAAAGAAAATGGGAAAATACTGATTTGTGCAGTTTCCGTGATAGCCATAGCAACATTCTGTTCTGGAAATGCTCGGATGTACTTGACTTTAGATTTGCATCGGTAAATCACAGAACCTAAATTCAAGAAGAAAACTTCGAAAACAAAAACTTTCCCGCGATCATCTGAAAGCATGACAATGTCGAAACCTTCTGGAGTTCGCCACGTGTCCCAGGCACGAACACAGTTATCGATCTTGACTTCCCCAAGTTTAAGTCCATTGATGTTGTACAAATGAAGATAATGATGAAGACGTCCATCATACAACTCATCACACGAAACAAGGATAAATCCAGAACCTTTAGTGATTGTAACCATCGTTGGTGTTCGACCATTAAGATCAACAACTTGTGTGACTTCGCCACGAGAAAGAGAACACAATAACAATGAACAATCTCTTGTGCCACAAACAAGTTCGTCGAATGCTGATGAAACAGCTAAACATTTAATGGAATCACAAAATGTAGGAACAGAGCGCTGTTTCTCGTAATTACGGAATAATGAAACACGTGCATCTTTTCCTGCTAATGCAATCCATTGTTGGTCACATGCAAGGCCAACAACACCGCAGTTGTGTAATATAACTTGTTGACATTGTGGAATGTCCGTTTTAATGTTGAAAATGGAACATCCGTCTTCACCGACAAAAACAAAATTATTGTTGTTATTTGTCATAACAATATTAGACAAATTACAAATTTTAGTGGTCAAATCAACAATTGTTTCACTTTGTAATTTGTATCCTGATGGTTTGTTATTATTATTGTTATTGAAATTATTTGTAGTGTTGTTTGGAATATTCTTTTCTGGTGAAAAACTACTGTTCATGTTTTGGAGATCTGATAATGATTGTGATGGTCCAGTTGTCAATGATCTGTTTCTTCGTTGTGTCTGTGTTGACAAGTTGAAATTAAATAGTTTTCGGAAATTGACACGACATTTGTGACAATTTCCATCTCGACCGATCAAAACAGCAACAGCTTTCTCTGGACCACCAATTGTGCAGCTGAAAACAAGATCTTTCATGCCAACTTCAAGTGTAATTGGTGGTAACTGAATGACTGGAGTTTCGAATTTTGGTTGACGACGTGGATGTGGTTCTGTAAATAACTGTGGAGGAATTTGACCAACATTTGTTAAAACAGCTTCAATTGAATCTTTTTCTTCTTGTGAAATGTTCGGATGTTTATCCCAAACATCCGAATACATCTCTTGCTTGTAAAGATTGTCTGGATGACGCTGTTTAACACCCCAAATCAAATCAATCCAGTTGTTGATTGACATGGAAACAAATTCACTCTCAAGAGCTCTTCTGTTCATATAAACAAATTCTGCGGCACTTTTACACCATTTTGGTAATGTGACGTCATCAACTTTTTGTTCATTGAACTTGCCAAGATCGAAGCCATTCAAGTTCATCAAAAATTCTGGACAGAAAAAGAATTCAGGACACAATTCGCGGAAGTTGTTTTTATGTGTTGTAACATTGTTGTAACATTCTGAAATGGAATAGAAAATTCTTGCTGTGTGATCAAATCTTCCGCCTTGTATTTCGATGTGCAATGTTGCAAATGGTTCCATACGCATAAGATAAAGATAAATGGCCAATGGACAACTAGGACCACTTGAGAAAAGATATGGTTCTAAGCCCATTTTGATGAGTTCATTCGTCTTACTTTTAAGTTCTGTTGCATGCTTTTCATCAATTAATCCAATTGGTTTGTCAAGACGACGGAATGTTTTAGGATTACTCAAATCAAGTTTATCTGATTCGTAATCAGAAATGATCCATGGTAAAAATGGATATTGCGATGTAGAATTGAAAGATCGACCGGAAATCATGTTCAAAAACATGAGATATTCGAAGTTCGAGATCTTCCTGTTCAACCAAAGATTTGTCTTGTTAGATTCAATAAGAAACTGGATAGGATTTTGTGGTGCAATGTTTCTAAACAAAGGAACAATTTTGTCAATGTTTTGGGAGCTTTTGAAATCAATGAAATAACTAGAATGATAAAATGTGAAGATTTCTAAAGCAGTTGGATGATGACAATATGTGCGTCGCATAACTAATTTGACATCTTTCATAAGAATTGTTTTGATGCGACTATCACTTTTAGTAATTGTCAAAATTTCTCCTGAGATCTTGAATGTGATTTCTTGGATGTTGTTCACTTTGACTAATGCACATTTTTGGATTTCAATCGTTTTAGAAATCAAATTAGAAACATTTCCATTGTTACTTTTCTCGTGAACATCTTCAACTTCTAAAATTCGTGCAGGAGCAATTTGTTTCATCAAATCTGCAGATTGTTGTCTGTATTTCTCAAGACGTTCATTCGCATCGTCATCATTTCCTGTGTCTCTGATGAATGATGCTCCCATGTGGTCATCGAAATTATAATTCCTTCTGACTTTAAATGGACAGAAATATTCACACCATGAATTATCTCGTTTATAATGTAATACTCTCATATCTTTATGAAGTGATGAATTCCAAGGAGCTCTTGTTGTCGTCATTTGACGCCACAAACTCTGCCAATATTTAGAATTAATTTGGTTTTGTTGTTCTACTGAATTTTCCATGTGATTTCGATGTTGGAATGTAGCAGGAAATCCATTAAATATTGACATTGCTCGTGTCCAATTTTGGTTAGAATCATTCAAACAATTTTCCAAAACTTGACATGACAAAACCGTTTTGAATTGAGAGAAAAATTTTTCTAAAGCGTCAAATGAATTTTTTGTGTATTCAACAGGCGGCATTTCGGTGATACTTGGAATTCCCATCATGTGTTGTTCATATGTGATCAATCCTTGGAGCTGTGGGTTCTGTAAAACATCGGGAACACTTGGAACATTAGTTGCTGATGATCTAATCAAGAATGCACATAAAAGAGATGCCGTTTCAACTTCTGCTGAGTTATTACAAAACAAAATTGAAACAATTTTCTTGGATAATTCAATATCCGCCCATTTGCCATTCTTAAAACGCAAAATGGACTTCGATTTCATGTCATAATTAGGATATTCTTTGACAGGACATTCATTGAAATTAATTTGAAGTCTTGAAAATTTTGTGTCACTTTTTATGTCACTTTTAGGATCAATTGATTCTGTTGAATAAATTTTAGCAATTTTTTGATTTTCTTGTGAAGTTTGTCGTGAAATTTTTGTTGTTTCTTCATAAAATGGTGATTCAAGATATAAATTATACAAAGGAGTATTTTCTTCTGTGAAATGAACAAACATAAACTGCAATGACAGTTTAATCAAAGTGTCTGTGTTCAATTTATTGTCTAATGCGAAATCTGCGCATTTATTCAAATAAATTGATTTGACATCATCTGGATTTTTGTTTAAATTACGACCAACTAAATCAATTGATCCGTAAATCAATGTCATGTCATCATAAAATGTTTGCACAAGGAACTCAATGATCTTCAATTGTTTGGATTTGCTAGCTTTGTATAATAATGGAATTAAAAGATAAAAATTGACATTTTTCGATTTGAAATTGTCACTTTTCAAATAATGAGTCAATTTTCCAATTGCCAATTTACCAAGATTGAAAGCAAACCTTGCGCAGAAAGGCAACAACTCAGGGATATCTTTAAGGAGTTTGAGAGATGACATGTAAACTTGTTTTGACAAAAATGTTTGTGGCAAATTTGACAAAATTTTAAGGATATGATCTGTTTTTGAGATGTCAACAAGTTTTCTTTCGTGGCAGGTCATCAAACACTTCATTGTTCTTGTGAACAAATGTGGGTGAGGGACATTAAAAAGAACATGAAGTCTCATCATCTGTTTCAGTATGAATTCGTGTGAAAAACTCAATAAAATTGATGATTTGATGAAATATGTCAATAAATCAATCAAATCGTAAATTTGATTCAAATCATTTGTTTTTGTCAAAACGGTTATTAAATATTTCAAATCTTCTTCAGTGAACTGAAAATTAGAAACAATTTTCGCAGAATCCAACAAAGGAATTCTCAAATAATGCATCTTTGGCTTCATTCCTCGGAATCTCTTGATGTTTACACTCAATTCATTCGTCAAATAGAAATAGAATGAGCAGGAAACATCAATCCACCATGTGAACTGTCTGTGATTCAAAACAAAACTTGGAAGTTTTTTGAAAATTACGTCTTTCCAATGTATCAATATTTGGCGATTCTCTGATGGTGTCGATCGAATCCATATGAAAGGATTGAAGACGATGTTCAAAAAGATTTCAAGTTTAAGTTCAGATGGCTGTAAATTAACAAGCAAATCGTAAAACCTCAAATATAATTTGTATGTTATATTTAAGTCTTCCGAAGCAGTCAATAAATGACAAATTATATTCGAAGCGTTGCTTTGAAGGAATGTTTGCACATTTCCATTGGAAACATTCAATGCTTTCTTCGTCAAAATGATTAATTTGTCTATGAAATTTGGCGGTTTTTGTCCGTTTTTCTCTGCCATGTCAATTTGGGCAAAAAGTGGCAATAAAATTGTCAATTTACAAGAATCGAACAAAACATTTATGAAATTAGTTGTTTGTTTCATTCCGCTCTTGTTATATGTCAATTCCATTCCTTCTTGTTGAGTAACTTTGACTAATTCGAAACTGCCATTTTGATCTTCTGGTTTATAAGCGAAAATAACATTGAAATTGTTCGGTGAGCTGAATAACCTTGGTCCATTCAGATAGATCTGTTCAATGTAATCGCCATTGTATAAAATAAATGGTCCAATTTTACAAAAAGTGACATTTGATGAAGAATTTTGTCTGTTTTGGTTAATTATGCATGTCAAATACGATTTCGTGAAGTGGAATGCAGGAATATCACGTGAATCATAAACAATTTTGTCATTGAATGTCAAAACACTTTCTGTAAAGTTCTCAAAAATTTTAAATGAGAAATTTACGAAAGTCCACTTGTTAAACTCGATGTATTCGACTACTGATGTTTGCCACTTAAGATCTGGTGCGTTTAGTTCAAGTTTCAAGCTTTCTCCTGTATAAACAAATGTAATTTTCGAATCATAATTGTCTGTTAGCAAAAACAAGTTGATTGGACTATCGGTTTTAACAGGAAGGAACCAGAATGAAAAGTTAAAACCGTATTGTACCAAATTAGCATTAATAAACTTAATTTCAATCTGCGAATTTGATAATAAAGTCCAGGAAGACTGTGGAGTCTTATAAGCTGCGTCAATCTTCTTTTCGATAAAATCTATACAGTTCATATGGAACTTAGAGAGGTATCTACCGTCGACAGGACAGAATAAACTGATGAAAGACTGTACAACGCCAACAGAGCAACTTCTCTCCGTGATTCTATCGATCAAGTCTAAAAGCGCATCAACTAGATTAAGATCTACGTCATCATTTGACTTCTTTTCGAATAAATAGTTGATACAAAACAAATCTAGTTCTCCTTCGTGAGCTTTGATACTGTTATACTGAGAACTTGAGATAATACTTGCTAATTTTGAGATGCAATCAAAAATTTCTTGAGAATTTAAATAAATATTGAGGAATAATGTCAAAGCATGAGGTTGTTGAACGGTGAATGAGCCGTATTTAACCGAAATTTCCTTTCCCGCTATCAATTGGACGATGGCTCTCGAGAGATTTGGACTTGGATCTTTGCAACCGAGTTGGGAAGAAGATTTGAGCAATGCAGCTGCTTCATGTGGTCTAAGTTGATGAATGGGAGATATTATGACTAAAAATAATATGAATTGGACTAATAATTCTTCATGATTTGATTGTTTGAGAGAAATTAAGGTATTTAAGATTGGATCTACGATTGGTTCGAACTTGGTCATCAAATCTGGTATCGATCTTAAGCAGGAATTCATACAATTTAAAATGCCAGTTGGTATTTGCAAAATTTCTGGGTTTCCTGAGTGAATAAATTCGCAATTGAGTGTTAGAATGATATTAGAAATAAATTGGTCGATGATTGGATTCTTTGAATTGTTCTGGTCGCTGAGAAAAACCGTCATGAAAGCGAAAACATGTTCTCTAAGGGGTTCTTCGAAGATTAAGCAGTAAAATGTTTTCGCAAAATAATCATTGGATAAAAATAATGATAAAGAACTTGTATTTGTCAATTGTATGAATAAATAATTTAATATACTCTGTCTGGCTATTCTGATTTCTGATAAAACTGTTTTGTCTGTATTCTCTGTAAACGACTGATAGAACATCATGGGTTTCATAAGCCCTGGAGCTATGTTTTGTATGAATAAATTATCAATTAAAATTTCTTGTTGGGAAAGTCTAAGAACTAACTCAGCATATAGTAATGGTGATGTATAAGCTTCTAAAAGAACTGATCTAATCATATACTCAGTGCTCTTAATTCCTCTGTCATTTACAATCATGTTCATTGAGACATCCCTGAGGATATTGAAGATACTAAAGTAATCTTTGTTGTCAAATACGACAATATTCGGGTCAAATATTTTAGAATTAAATAAAATTTCTTTTGATATCGGAAGAGAAAACTTTTTGAAGATTTGGAATATAATGTAAAGGAATGATGGAAATGAATCTAAAAAATTGGGCTTATCTAAACAGTTAAAAACAAATGGCGGACAAATATCTAAAAATTGTTGTGAAATTTCGATTTTGCTAATAATAAGTTTCGTAATGAATTGTATTTGTGATTCTAATGATTTCGGTATTAAGCTTTCGATGTTTTTCTTTGGCGGAAATTTGATATCGAGATTTATATCTGAATTTGAAAGGCAAGAGAATTTTATTGGCTGAAAAGATATTTCTGGGACATCTTTGGAGTTAAGCTTAGCATGAGAAATGTCGCCAACTGAAATTTCCCCGATTTCATTGAGTTTATCTAAATTTGACATTAAAGCTGGAGAAAGAAGATATAAGCATTCGAAAACTGATTGTAAACTGATAATTGGAGATGCATGATAAAGAAAACTTAAAGCGGAAATATCAAGTTTTCTAATCGCTGTAAAACTTCGTTGTATTATAATTTTCGCTATTTCGGGTGGAAAGTATGTCTTTATTTGTTGTATTAATCCATCCGCTACTGTTACAAATTGAATTTGAACATTTTCTACTTCGAATTCTTGAGAAGCAGTGAAAATAGCAGTGGCACAGAGTCCGAGAAGGTCAAATATGTTCTTTGGCAAGTCGTTATTGTAGAAGAAAAAATCATTTAAGTGAGGTAAAAATAATAAAATTGCGGCAGGCGAAGGATTTTTGAGGAATGTGAGATAGCTGTGATATGAGCATGATAAGGCTATTTTTCTGTATAGAGGATTTACGGAAAATCTGTTTTCTTGGGCAATTACATTAAAGAATCCTAAAAATTCAGTGAGAATACTAGCATCTGAATATGACTTAAAGATTATTTGAAATGATAAGTATGAATGGAATATGTATAACGCTAAGAATGGTGTAAAATCTTGTGGAGCGTTGGGTAAATATATAAATTTTTGAATTTCCTCTAACATAAAGGTAAATGAGTAGTTATGCTTCTTCAGTACTTCCGTAAAGTCCGCATTTTTATCTGTTAATTCCTTGTTGATTCGACGCATCTCCAAAGTCGAATAACTAGGAAATTGAACCTCTTTGATGAGAATTAGATTCTCTTCAGGGATTCCTTGGTAAGTACTCTTTAGTTTCACCTTAAGAGATAAGATTTCCGAACAAATCTCATTTGGTGATAAGAGTTGAAGCATTTCAAGTTTATTTTTTTATTAGAAATTTGAATAGAAAAATTTCAATGGTAAGAATGCCTAAGAAATAATTAATAATTTGATATGACGATCAATTTAACGATTATAAGATTTTTGTTATCCAGCCTTTCAATTTCAATTAATGTTGGATTTTCCTCATATCAAGCTCGTAGACATTAATTATGTTGGTTATAAAGGCATGTCATCGCTATATTTGATGAAGGCACCAGATGGAAGTGGTGCAATCTTCGATACTGGCTCACCCAAAAGATTTAATGTAATATGCGATGCGATAAAGGAAATGGGAATCAAAAAAGAAGGTTTGACACATGTTTTCTTGACACATTCACATATGGATCACTCAGGAAATGTCTCTTTATTGCTATCGAATTTTCCTAATGCAAAATTATACGCAAATTCAATTACTCTCAAACGTTGCATAGATCCTAAACCACTAATTCGTCATATGAGTAGTGTTATGCGGAGACATTATAATTCTGAATTTGGAAACAACGTTAAACCAATATCAGAAAGACGCTGTGTTGAAGTTAAAGATAATCAAATAGTTAATTTTGCTAAATTCAGAGATATTAAATGTATTGACACACCTGGTCATACAATTGACCATGTCTGCTTCTTAAGCAAGCAGGACAAAGTCATTTTTACAGGTGATGCATTTGGAAACCGCTATATGGATATTACTCTTCCGATCTTTTCATGTCCATTCATGTTTGATTACTATAACTCTGCCAAGTCAGTTATCAAAATCCTCAAAAGCGGCGCTACAGTTGCTGCTCAAACTCATTTTGGCTACATTCAAGATTTTGAATACTTTGGAAAGACTATCCTTGAATGGATCAATAGATTTGGAGAAATCGCTAAAGATTCAAAGCATCCTAAATTTGAAGTCCAAACAGAGTTTGCCAAGCGTTTTGGAAGCAACTGGGAACATAATGAAATAATTCGAGGTCATTATAGAGTTGATCTTCTTGGCGTCACTTCATATAATATGCAAATGCATGGAAAGAAATTTCATCTCTCCGATTTTTTATTACGATAATATAAAAAAAGAAATTTTCTAAAATCCTATTTTAAAAATCGTTATTATAATAATCAATTTAAATCATTCACACACTTCTAATAGTTTGGAAAATATATTTAAAAAGAAATTAAATCAAACCCTCAATGAAGATTTTTTATTTTCTTCTGCGTTGAATTTCCTGCAATTTTTGGTAGATTGGTATGTACTTATACCAAGGAATAAAGCCAATGTTCTTCTTTGGAGCTACAACTGGCTTAGCACCGAAGAATGGGCGAAGTGGCTTATATGGTTTGAAAATTGGTGGGGGAATTGGGCGGAATGGGCGAATTGGATGTTCCTTCAAATACTCTTCTAACAACTTCCTCAAACCCTTCTTAGGTTCGACCTTCTTGTCTTCGTTGAGCTCGAGATCGATGTCAACTGGGCCCCATCTCCAGCGGAAGTTCATGTTGTCGTCGTCTTCTTCGGCGGCGTTGTGGTATTCAAGGCGGAACTTGCCAATAGCTGTCATTAATTCAGCCCAAGCCCTCCAGTTCTCATCTTCCTCTTCTTCAGCAGAGTTGTGGTATTCAAGGCGGAACTTGCCGATAGCTGTCATCAATTCAGCCCAAGCCTTCTAGTTCTCGTCTTCTTCCTCTTCAGCAGCATTGTGATATCCGATGTAGAACTTGCCCCATGGTGAATGATATGTGAAGCCGATGCCCCAGTTGTCATCATCTACAGCTTCGTTAGCATCAAAGCCAAAGCTTAAGAGGCCCCACTTTGTTGGGATTGGGAATGGGAACTTCCAGTTGTCATCGTCAACAGCATTATGTGCTGTGCGCAAGGCAATCAGAGAAAGCATTAAAATAAATGAAATGAAAATTTTCTCAATTTCAACCTGATCTCAATTCTGATAATCTGACTGTCAAATCCACATATAAAAAATGTAAATACGCCAAAACCATATTGTTGATGTTTTATGATGTTTTATTTTTGTTATCCTTATGAATATTCAAAAATAGAATGAAACCGCTGTATCAGACTGGCAGATTAGATAATTGAGTTCGATCTGACAGGCAGTTTAGACCATTCTGATTAATCTGACAGACATTATTTAACCGATTATAATTATTGAATACAATCTCGTTATTCGTTTTTTTATCGAAAAAAAGTGCCCTTTAGGTATTTTATTATTTAATTTATTTGTTATTAACATTTCATCCACCTAACAAATTTGGATAGAATTGAGAAATAATCACGAGGCATTAACGGATGATGATTATATATTTTAAAAGGTGATTATTTATCGAATGATATATAAAGAGAAATAACAAAACATGATTTAATAAATACAAACAATTTATACAAAAATATTATTAAAATGAAGTTCAAGAAGTTCATCAGCAAAATTAATGGAGAATGAAATGAATTCATTCTGTAGAATCTCACGACAATTTGTTACTAGTGTTGGTATTGCATTTTCTCGTGTTATTGTTCTTTCGCCAAATAAAGATCCGACGAAATAGACAAATCTTTCACGTGAAATACCATTTATATCATACTTGCAAATTGTCTCATTAGCAATATCAATTATCAAGGCTGCATATTCAAAAGGAATCTTCCTTGGTCTTTCAATCTGTTCATCCAAAATAATAAATTCACCTTTACGAACAACATTCTTCCAGATATCGTGAGTAATACTAGAGTCAAGGAATTTAATGATATCAGTATCTGATTTCGGAACTTTAAATTTGGGAAGTTTCTGTTTGAATTGTGGATAATCTATTAAATTAGATTGAGGAAGTTCTGGAGAAACGATTGTATTAATTGATTCATCAATTTCTGAATCTAATGTCGGTAAATAATCCGGAATTGATTCAATTATTGATGAGCTCATCATTTTAATTTCGCTTGTTTGATCTGATATAGAAATAGTTGATGTGTCTGGAGAGCTATATTCATCCGATGACTTATTAATTCTAATATCAAGAATAGGGGGACGTCTATCAAGTAAATAAAATTCTTCTGTGGAGAAAACGTGTGGAATTTTAGGCTCTTTTGATTGAAATTGTTGAGAATTAGATTCACCCTGGTTTGAATCGTGTTTTTCATTCTTTGGTTTATGAGAAATATCAAATTCTGGTGGACACCATTCTTTAGGTCGTGGCATATGAGGAGATCCATTAGGATATTTCTCATCATCAAATACTTTTGGAATTGGACGTTTCCTAGGTGGTGTGATGAAATGATCTGAAGATTTCTTTTGAGGAGTTTGTGTTTTCTTCTTACCTTTAGGAGTATATTGAATAGACTTGCTTTGTTGATCTGGTAATAATTTTTTATGTTTAATATCAGGAGTTTTTGAAACAGATTGTGAATATTTTCGAGTAATATTTGATTTCTTAATAGGAATGAGGCTAGAAAATGACTGATTGCTAGTGTTATTTTGTTTCTTTGGTGAATTATTAGGACTTAATTGCTTTTCGACTTCCGAGAATAATTCTGTTTTTGTTGGGTAATAAAATGCAATTCCTGTGCCATAATCTATGAGAGCACGTTGTATATATCTATTGAAGAAGGCAGTTTTCCACTTTAAGAAATAAAACAATTGCACTCCTTTTTTCGTCGCTCTGAATGAAAAAGTTTTACTGGGCGACTTACTTTCTGTAGATTGTCTATGTTTTGGCATTATGATTTCATTTTTGGATGTTTTTGATTGTTTCGGAATAAAATCTCTTTTTTCTTTGATTGGAGAAAGATTAATACTTTCTATGCTAGAATTTACTGATTCTCTTGACTTTTTTATTAACACACTAACAAGTTTTTTGTTCCATTTTGTAAAATAAAAACTTAAACGAAGTGTTAGAAAACTATTAGTTAAAGATGTCTCAATGGTTTTATCTGATTTAACTCGTTTCACTGTTTTTTGTGGTGATTTAGGTCTTTTTTTAGGACTGGGATGATTCGTTATATTCTTTTTTGCGGTTCCAAGAGATGTGTCGGTAGCCTTTTGCAATGTTTTCACTATGTCATTGGATTTCTTTGATACTTTCATCTTAATTTTAGAGTTTTTAGTAGGAGATTTAGTTTCATATGTCTTTTTAGGGGAGTTCGAAGGTGATTTGTTAACATGAGGAATAGGTTGGTCCATTAATATCATATTTATTGCGTTCATTTGAGATAACGCATCTTGAATCAGATCCAAACTATTCCTCATATGAAACTTTAAAAAAAGTTAATTCCGATTGCAAATAAAGTATAGAATCGATATGTATTGTCCAATAACTCAATACTCGATTAAAAAATTGGCGGAATAAAAGGTGGCAGATAAGAAAAAAAAATTCACTTTACAAAAGAAAAAAAAAATGATGAGCTCAATGTTCAACAAGATCAGGACTTTTCCTGAATATCATGACTCCAATTCTTCCATTATGGAAAATAGAAAGCAGGAACAGAATATCCTTGATCAAACAAAATTAGCTTTTGGTGCCGATTTTGATCAATTTATCAAGAGCCAACCAGAGCCACTCAAAGACCCATTAACTGGTGTTAACCAAAATGGTAATGCTTTGGCCGCCGCAATTGAAGAATTTCATTCAATCGGTGCTGCATTGCCAGCTGATTTCCACGTCTTTCTTGACTACTACAACGAAAAGAAGCAAAAGCTTTCCGAAACAGAAGCAATCGAAAAGCAGGCTAACAAGGCTGAAGACAATGCAAACGCCGCCGAACAAAAAGCAGCAAAGTCTCGCGAGAAAGGTGCTCCAGATACAGCTAAGTTCGAGCAGTTAGCAGAGCAGGCAAGAAGTGCTGCAACTGAAGCTCGCCAGAACGCAACTACAGCAAGAGAAGCATTTAATCAGTACAACACTGAATACACAGCCAAGTTTACTGAATCATTCGTCACAATGATGGATGCATTCCTCTCCAAGAGAGCTTCAGCCCTCCGTCAATACGTCAACATCGGTAACGAACTCTCAAACACTGTTCTTGGTTTCCACGAATTTACAGACCCAACAATCACCAACCTTGAACAGAGATTAGATAATTACAAGAAAGTCGAAGTTTAAAACAGAAAATTGTTAAAAATCATTTTAAAAAATTGACTCAAAAAGCATCATTGAAGTACTACTCAGAATAAAACGCATCTATATAATTAGTATATAAAACTATTTTTTCGACTTTATAAATAAAATTATTTTTTTGATGAAAATAGTGCTGTTGAAGAAGTTTTTGCAAATTTAGAAAGATAAGAGAATTTATTTGAGATTTCTTTTTTCCCTATGGAACAATTTTCTGTATAAAAATGAATAAAATTATTAAAATCGTAATTTTCTATTAGTTTAGTAAATATAACAGTTGCTCCCCGAGTTGTATTCGAATCTACATATGAATCGGAAATAGTCACAGTCGAATTTTTCCCTTCAAAATTATTTTCGTTTGAAAACATACAATCGGCTGTGTTATTTTTAAATATGCAGTGGTGAATATTAACAGTGTAGATTGATCTAAATAGATATCTTGAACATTTATTTTCAATAACATTGCAATATGAAATCTAATGTCTTCCCAACTTTATCTGTATTGCCAAAATATTCAGACCAACCGAATTTTCTTAGATTTTTCAAACTTTGTCTTCTTTTTTAAGCGTATTGATAGTATTTTAGGAATATTTACTTGATGGCTATGGCTTAGTACTTTGTTCTGTATCTGTAAATTCAATCCAAAAAGGTTGATTTTCGTGTTTTACCAATGAAAAATATGGAGGAACTGCACTCAATAATGCCATTTTATGTTATAGTAAGATTTTGTAATAATGATAAATAATGGAGTTTTCTACTTCGTTTTTTCTCATATTACTAAATTCAATGCTAAAAATAATTTACAATTTCTATTAAGTTTGCTATAGCAAGATTTCATGAGATGTTGATTATATTTAGGAAAATTTCTTCCATCAAATGGTAAAGTATAGTTGCAAAGAACTTTTTGATATAAATATGAAAAATAGCAAGCCCTAGTATATAAATTCAATAATCTAAGTGATTGCAAATGATATCAAGCAGAATAAAGAATTGAATCAATAACGTTGAACATGAAATTATCATAAAAATTATTTGTTCCAAAATAATATTTGGTATATTTAGTGGTTTTAAATTTTTCCGTGATGAATAGATGAATCTAATATTAAATATACCTAAAAACAACTAAACCAAAATGCGCGCGCATTTTTTTCAAGAAATCATAAACTATTCAAATTCTGGATGCGAAGGTCAGTCCCTTCCCGTCAATCCTCACAGAAACTGAAGGACAATCAGTCTTTCTATGAAGGTGATGTTGACAAATTCCAGAATGGTTCCATCATGTCTATTAAGCTCAAAGATTTCATGACTTTCGAAAAAATCACTATTCAGCCAGGTGCTGGTCTTAACTTAATCATTGGTCCAAATGGTTCAGGTAAGTCCACAATTGTATGTGCAGTTGGTCTCGGACTTGCATCTTCACCATCAATTCTTGCAAGAACATCAAAGTTGTCTGGCTTCATTCGCCACGGGTGTTCAATAGCATCAATCAAAATTTTACTTAAAGCAGATGTTCCTTTTTGGGTTAACCGCCGAATTAAAACAGATAATTCCTCAAAATGGCGAATAAAGAACATAAACGGCAAATGGAAAGACTCTTCAGCCGGTGAAGTATCTCAACGTGTATCTGCATTACATATACAACTTGACAATTTATGCATGTTTTTACCTCAAGAGAGAGTTAAAGAATTTGCAACGTTAAAGCCACCTCAGCTTCTTACGGCAACAGAGCAAGCCATCAATCAGGAAGTTTACGACACTCATCAAGCTCTTTTGAAAGATTTTCAACGACATTCTGAGATGTCTCAAAAAATTAATGACTTAAATACAAATATTACAACATATCAATCTCGTTGTCAGCAATTAAGGGTCGAAGTCGACAGACTGGCCCAAAGAGACGATTGCCAGAAGCAAATTGAAAAATACGAAAAAGCTATACCGTGGGCTGAACATCGTGCAGCCAAAATAGAATATGCGCAATGCAAGAACGATTTACAAGTAGCTCTTACCAATTACGATCAAATTGCCCAGAATATCCGACCATTATCCGAGAAAAAGGACCAAATACAGCAAAAAGTGAAGAAGAACAACGACGATCTTGGCCGTGAAACCAATCTCTGCCATAACCTCAAATCAGAAGTCCTCCAAATGAGTAATCAGAAATTTGAATACGATAGAACGATTTCTGAATCGAAACAACAGCTTACAAGGGTGAAAGAGAACATGGACCGAGTCAAGAATGATGTTGACCAGCTCACCAACGCTATCCAGATCGCTGAATCCAAAATCGAAGGAATCGACCAAGATATCGAACCGTTACGTCAACAAAAGAGGGAACTCATGCAACAACTGAACGATGTCAAGCGTGCCAGTGCAGAAGCAGCCGGTCTTATTGAGCCAATTCGTAGAGAAAGAGGTCGAAAACAAAAAGACCTGGAAGAGATCGATAACGACCTCAGGAAGTACCAGAACCAAAAGAAACGTCTTCTGGATCACATAGCACAGAACTTAAGACGCCACGACGTCGTTGAATTATATAATTATATCGAAAGTCGCCGTAACACGTTCAATGCCAATGTTTACGGACCAATATGTGCGGAACTCAACTTTAAAGACGTCAAATACTCCAATATCCTCCATATGGTTGTTGAAAATCATTATTTATTTGCATTCCTGGCCGAAGACGAAAGCGACAGAGATTCTATCGAGAACTTCTGTCGGCAGAAGCATTTCACTCGTATTACCTTGCTTAGAGCTAGTGACAACTTCAAATTATCCCAACAACAGAAGATGTCGCAACAAAACGCTCCACCATCACTTGCAAGGGACGGATTCCCTTCCTACGTGATAGATACATTCGATGCACCTCCAATGGTCAAACAGATGCTTAACTCCATGGCTCAATTAGACAAAGTTCCCATTGGAGGACATGAAACAGCAAGAAAAAGCATCGGAAGACTCTGTGAAGATGTTTTTCCACAATACAACATTAATAGATATGTTCTTGATAACGTTGTCTATTACATCAAGCGATCAAAGTATTCCGCCAATGTTTCCACACTTAGTATTTCTATCAGACAATCAAACATTTGGAGAGAAGCATCAGCAGGAGCAGAAAACATCAAAATGTTGCAAGCTAAAAAACAACAGATAGAAGAATCAATGAATAAACTTGCAGAAGAAGAAGCGAAGCAAAGACAAGAAGCAAACAGATTCACAAGCCAAATTGAAACACTTTCTAATGAGATCCAAGATATAAGTAAAAGAATCAAAGATCACGAAGGAATCAAAGAGAAAGTTCGTCAACTGAAAATGAAGAAAGAAATCAAACAAAAAGAATATGATGAACACCCAAGAAAAATCGAACAACTCAATCAAAAGATTACAAAAGCTATTGATAACTTTTCAAATCTTTTGATTAAAATCAAAACAAAACTTGTTGATTTCAATGTTCATCGAATTAAATACGATGTTTTGTCACAGAAACGAGATATTCTTCAAGCGGAATTCGATGATTGCAACATGGAATTGCAGCGCGAGAGACAAAAATACTCAGAATTGGAAAGAAACATCAAAGTTCTGAAAGAAAGACGTGATAATCTTCACAGGAAAGAACACCAACTTAAAGAGATTGCAGAAGAAAAATGTCCTCGTACACCAGAAAACATCGCAATGCTGTCAACACTTTCATCTGATGTAGAATCATTGAAAGACCAACTCGAACAGTTCAAATCTCGTCTTGCAAGTTTCTCTTTCATCAATGAAGAAGCGAAACAAAGATATGATGATGCAGAATCTAAATTGAATGAAGCAACAAATAGTTTGAACAAAATCTCTAAAGATGCGAATGAACTCTTGGAGAACTGCAACATTCGTTTCAGCGAATGGAAGCAGAAGATGTCACTTGATGTTAAGAAGATGTCTGAATCATTCTCTAAGTTGATGTCTACATGCAATTACAGAGGCGAAGTCAAACTCGGTTTCGATGATGCGAATAAGATCGACACATACAAGTTAAACTTGTTAGTTGCATTCAACAGAGAAAGTCCTCTTAACATCCTCTCATCAACACGACAGAGTGGTGGTGAGAAAAGTGTTACAACACTTATGTTCCTCCTGGCACTTCAAGACTGCACTAAGTTCCCATTCCGTGTTGTCGACGAGATCAACCAAGGCATGGACGAAACAAACGACAGGAACGCATTCAATCAGATCATGCAGTACACAATGAGTCACAACCAGGAGAGTCAGTACATCTTAGTCACACCAAAGTTGCTGCCTAACTTGGAAGAGTTGGCGGGAATCACAGTTATGGTTGTTATGAACGGTCCTTACATCGACGACAACTTGACGAATCCAATCACATTCATGACATCCGCAGACGAAAAACAACTTCAACAGAGACAATCTCAACAAAGTCAAAACGAACTTGAATAATATTTATTTTTATTTTGATTTATTTTTTGTTTATTTTTAATAGAAATATATATATTATTTACTAAAAATACAAAAACCTAGTTAATATGCAGATAATTATTTCATGATGTCAGAAAACTTTTTTTTGAATCGGAGTTGAAATTCTATTTCAAGTAATCAATGTTTTCTTGTATATGTAGTTGATTTTGAATAATACCTGTAATTAATTTTGGCAAAAAGGAATTTTTTGACAAAATTTTTATGTTTTGAAAAAGTCGACTTTCTTTTGAGCAATACAAATAAAAATTTTGAGTTTGATCTCAAGAACTCAAAAAGAACTTAAATTCAGTTGGTCCGAATACTTCGGCAATACAAATAAAATAGAAAAGACCTTAAATAGAACATCATTGTCTGATACAACAAGTTCTAACAATTATTACTTCCATCATTGTTTATTTGTTGAATGCAAAGAAAAAGGTGCAATTTACATCGACAGAACAAACGAAATACGCACATTACTTGAAGATTCCATATTTAACAACTGTAATTCCACCTTAAATGGTGGATCTTTAAACTATTACTGCATTCAAAGAGGACAGTTTGTTCAACAGCGAACATGCTAATATAAATCAATATCAAAACAAAATCAAATGGCATTTCTTCAAATGACAGAACGTCACCCCCTTATAATAAAAATTATGCAATTGATGTTTCTATTTTTAACTGTGGAGCAATAATGACAAATGTATTTAGAACAATTCAAATAGCATGTGGTGATCTACGTATATCGAATATCAATTGCACAAATAACAAATGTCTTCAATATTCATCAATATATAGTACCGCTGTAGGAAGTCTTGGTAGATGTAATTTCTCCACGTTCAGGGAAAATTACAAAACTTCAACTTATTCACTTGCATTTACACAGGATCAAGTTGATCACAATATAATAATTTCATATTGCAATGTTATTGGGAATAAATTATCAGGAACTCTATTTAGATCGATCTTAACTGTTCATATTCAACACTGCATATTTAAAAGTAACACAGCCAGACGTATGTTTTCAAATGAAAATAATGGTTTTGGGAAAAATTCGACTGTGACTATTTCCGATTCATATATTGATTCGAATACAACTTGGGGAGCAACTGTTATATTTACTAAACTAATAGAAAATTACGATTTTAATAATTTTATTCATTTTTATACAGAAAATTGTTTTATAGGGGAAAAGGTCAGAGTTAAATTAAGTGATGGACTTAATGTTGTTTTTAGACGTGCATCAAATAGAAGACGGTAGAGAAAAGTAGTTTCTGTTTAAAAGTAAATCGAAATTGATTATATCATTTGGTATATGTTTTTAAAAGATAGCCATTATTTCATAATTTTTTCGAGGATGGTACTGGATAATGAGGATTAATCCATTCAAAGTAAATAATCAAAACTAGTAATTTATTTAAAACTTTTGAAGTCCATCGAATTAATTACAATATATTGTCCCAGAAACTAGATCATATTCAAGTAATTTAATAACTATGAGAGGCGCGAGATTTACATGATGGACAAGTCTATTGATTGCGTAAACACAACAATCAATGCAAATGAACAAATTCTTGAGCAGAGATCTAAATCCGAATAAAGAGTTGAAACGTCGATGCCAACCAGAGAGGAGTTAGATGGATTGCTTTTGAATCTTTTCCATGGAAAACCTAAAACTATGCAACCTTCAATTCCTAATTATTGCGGTTAATATGCTTACAACTGTAAAACTCCAAGGCAGAATCAATTTGTATGCGCAAACATTAATAGTCAATTTTTACTCATGATGGTTTACAAATATGAGAATGATACCGTTTATATTATTGATACTTATGCAAATTCATCAACTACAGATGTTATTGAACTAAAATCCGACCAGTGGACACCACTACCTACAATCATCCCTGAAAAACCAACCGCTCGTTGGGAACACGCAAAAAATGACAAAGTTTTAGCACTTATGCCAGTAGAAAGATCACGAACGTTCTTCCCTGCTATAGTCATTGCATGACCATGCGATCTTGTCAGTGATGGTAGCTCAGATCAAATTCGAGGTTATCAATTAGATGTCGGCGATGATGACCCCAGAATTATTCCAGAACAATTTGTTGTTAACTACCCAGAAAATTGGAAGATTTTATTAACCGGATAAAAAATAATTGAGGCGATCATGTATTGAGAGGAGTACCTTATTCAAATTTCATGTAAACTACTCAATTTGGCGGATATGTCGTATTTGCATTTCTAATTGCATTTTTTGAATTTTGAAAAATAAGTTTTTACTAAATTTAAACAAACATCAGCATAATTAAACAATTCAAGTTTAAACAAACATCGGCATAATTAAACAATTCAAGTTTAAACAAACATCGGCATAATTAAACAATTGTTTATACTTCTTTAATAATTTACACATATAATTGATTATTATGATCTTTTTTATGTCTTATTATGTTCAGTGATTTGAAGAGGATAAAATTAATAGAAATGAACTGTGAAAAACATGAATTGAATAAACAATAATGATTTTCCTTCTTTTTTATAAGTAAGTATTTCACCATTGTATACGCATATAAATAAACATGAAAGTATCAGCATATAAATAAGTAAATTTTATGTTGGGTCAGAAAGTTGATTAAATTTGATTCTAAAAAGTATATAATTCGACTTCTGTAAATTATTTCTAGTATACTGATAAGAGAAGTAGTAATGTATGGCTTTAATAAAGTCATTGCAAGAATTCAAAATTCCGTATTTAAATATGAAGCGTTTAGGTTCAATCTATTATATAAACAACATTTAAATCCTTCAGAAACTATTATTTGCTGAATAGGTGATTTTTCACCCAGCCGTAAGGGGCTCAACTTTTGAGAGTTTTACATGGCATTTGCCGGTAAATGCCATGTAATTTATTCTCAATTATTTCCAAGGGGTTGCCGGTGTATTTACCCTAAAATATTTGAGACAACTTTACATAGCATTTGCCGGCAAATGCCATGTAAAACTCTCAAAAGTGTGATCCTTATGGCTGGGTGAAAAATCACCCACGTTATGTTTCTATTTTTATTGGAAATAATAACAGATGAGAAGCAGAAATATATGGGCATATCATAAAATATCATATGAACCTATTGGTATGGTTTGTACAACTAGAATTCCAATGGAAATTCATATTTTGAGCCGCTCATTGAAGAAAAAAATCAAATCAAGAGATTCGACGATAATTATTGGGAGTTCTGATATTTTTGATGATGAAAACAAAATTACAAGAGACTGAGGAATGATTCGCATTGGAAATCTGATGATTTGATACTCCCACTTTTTGAATTGGTTTTGCAGAAATTTTCATGAATGTAAATCTTCCAATCCAACAAAATATTTTATATCCGCAGGCCAAAACGGGTCACCACCAGTTTGGAAGTAACCAGTCTGGTGGCTGGCCCTCAATAGATAAGCCGTCTGGCGCAATTCGGCACAAATTTACGAAAGCAGAAGATGAATTATTAAAATCGTTAGTAGAAAAATATGGTGAGGCGAACTGGGTAGTTGTTTCAGCTCAAATGAAAACTAGATCGCCGAGGCAATGCAGAGAACGTTACAAAAATTATTTATCTCCGAAAATACAAAACGGACCGTGGACTCCCGAAGAGGAAGCATTACTGGTAGAAAAAGTAAAAGAGTTTGGGCAGAGATGGGCGAATATTGCAGTTTTTTTTGAACCCAGATCCGATGTAAATGTGAAAAATCACTGGACAGCAATGGTTAACAGACAAATCAGAGAGCGAAATGCATTAGTTAAGAAATCATTGGTTGGTTTACTTCCTGAGGCAGCAAATATGTTAGTTTATCAACGACAAAATTTTGCTCATCTTCCAATACCTCAATATCAGCCAATGCAGCAAATCATTCCGCAAACTATGCTACAAGTTCAGCCTCAGCCAAAAATCGTACAGCAGCCTCCATCGCCTAAAAAAGAAGACTGTCCGATATTCAACCCTACAGAACAGCAGCAAGCTAATAGTAATGCTAATATGGAGTGGTTTGACCAGGATATACCTGATTGGTATCCTGAAAAAGAATCTCAGTCATTACACGAAAAAAACGATTTTGTCTGGGAATAATTATGTTAGATGTGTTTATTTTATTTAGAATGATAGATGTATGTAATAAATATGTTGTTATGATATATTAATATTGAAAACAAAGAGTTATTTTTAAAATAAAAATTATTTAATTAGTATTTTAAGCAATATAAGAGATATTTATGCAAGAGAGTAAAAAATAATGTAATGCTGAATCATACTTGGATCTAAGTTGGACAAATTGCAAAATATCTTTTGCATCAATCAATTCATAAGCTATATTATGTAACAATACAATGTAATTTCACTTAGAAAATGTTATTCTGTTAAACATCTCATAAATTTATGAGATCATAATCACTCATCTCTAAAAATCTGTGTATATACATAAAAAGAGTTAACCCTGTGTATTTTTGTGCAAAATGATGTATAATCATAGAAGATTAAACGGAAAAAGTGAACAAATATTATTGAACTGCATAAATAAAATCGTTAATTCTATTTGGACTGGTGTAATCTCTTAGTGCTACTTGAAAACTTTAAAATCTTTTGAAAATCTTTCCATAAAAAGTATATTTAATTTCGAATATTTATTGGATATATAGATATTCTTTGACATTATTAAAAAAAGATGATAACTTTTTTTGTTTTATTTTTTATTATTAAAGGGAGTATGTTTTTTTGATGTTTGTTTTTTTAAAATAAATAAGACTTTTTAGATCTTGTCGTAAGAGGAATTAGCAATAGAAGCACCCTTACCGCAAGTGAAGATGAATACACAAGCAGCGGTGACGCAGTTGAAGAACTCTGCCCAGAATGCAGCGTTCGGGAATGCTACTTCTCCCTTTGCGAAGAAGTTGTAAGCAACCATTACGAAGACGTATAAGAATACGCCAAGGAATACAATGAGCAAGAAGACAGCGCCGCCAGTTGTTGTTCCTGGGAACTTAGTACCAATTGGGCAGCCGAGGCGGGATTCTGTCTCGAGGATGATCTTGTACGAGCTTCCGAACATCTTAGAGACTGGATGCCAGTACATCTCTCCGGCTGGAACTGATGTGTTGCACCAGAAGTGGAGCCATGTCTCGTAGTTGCCCAAGCCACCGTCGTACTCTACGTGGAAGCCCTTAGAAGCATCGGATGGATCGTTGATGGCGTACTCGAGGCCGTATCTAGCATCACCAGCTTCGAAGCAGACATTCTCATTTGACTCGTCTGAGAAGCAGAGCCATGAGTGAGCCTCTGTAGCGTTTGTGAGCTTGTTGCAGTTGTATCCCTTAGGGCACTTGGTGAGTTTGACAGCGGAGAAGAAGATTCTGACCTTGGAGAAGGTGTCGGAGTTACCGATGTAGACAATCTGGTCGTGTGATGGAATGTCGTTGAGGTTGATCTTGTACTGTGTCTCGTTAATCTTCTCTGACTTCCATGTCTTGTTGTATGCAATTGGATCTGGCTTTGGTGTGATCCTCTTTGGAATCATTGGCTGGACAAACTTGGACCAGCAGGCAAGTTCTGTAATTGTGGTGTACTCAAACTCAGCGCCTTGTGTACCTTCGTGGTATGTGACAAATGGTTCAAGATTTGTAAGTGAAGTGATGTTATGGCCGATAGAGCATTTGAGTCTGATATCGACACCTGTTCCATAACCACCTTCGTATCTGAGCATGGCGAGGCCGTTGCCAGCATCAACCAACTGAACACCCATAGCGATATCACCAGCGTTGTGGCAGTATGTTGATCTCTTGATGTCATTGAGTTTCCAGCATGTCCACATGTTTGCTGTTGTGTTTGGTCCGTCAGTGCATGTGTTGCCTGCTGGGCACTGTGTCTTACGCCATGGTGTGTACTGTGTTGTTACATCGTTTGTGTCGCCTCTGATGACAAGAGTGCCTTCGCCGTTGTATGTCTCGTCTGTGACACGCTCGAGATCGATGTAGACGAAGTGAGTGCCGTTCTCAAAGAAGAGGTCGTTGTCTGGTCTTGGATTTGGTGTTGGTGTTGGGGTCTTGCCCTTCTTTGGAATCCTTGGTTCGGCTAATGGTTTTGGTGTTGGGGTTGCTGCACCGTCTGGACCGGAGTAGCATGCGTTCTTTGACTGTGCGTTGATCTTGAGAACGTTGCCGTCTTGCTTGGCGCGTGGATCAATCTTGAGATCGTTGGAAAGGAGAGATTTGTTGCATGTGATGTAGAGTTCTGTAGAACGGTGTAATGAGCCCTTGTATGTGACCTTGACACCATTGGTAACTGATCCGTCAATGAGGGTGGCTGTTGGAGCAACTTCTGGATCGAAGAGACCAAAGGCATCGCATGTGAACTCGGAACCAAGAGCGCCTGTATCTGGATCGCAAACCCAAACTGTGGCGAACTCATCACCATCACAGTGGTATGGATTGCCTGTTGTAGATGTTGGGCACTTGATGCCGGCGCATGGCTGGACCATGAGTGTCTTCTTCTGTGGTGGAAGTGGTGGAGAAATTGTGGAGTCTGTGATGACAATGCCTTCCTTGCCCTTGTTCATGTACTGGAGGTTGAGATCAATCTTGAACTCTTGGCCCTGTGAGTTATACTGTGACTGTGTAATGCGGCAGAATTCGCCAGATGGTGGAATTGGTTTTGGTATTTCCTTAAGGCAGATATCGTTGTTGTCAACAGATAACCAGAGTGTGGTGGCATCGAACTTTTCAGCAATAAGTGGCATCTCAACGTAGCCAGCTGGGTAGGATTGTTGGCATTCCCACTTGACCTGTGTCTGTCTGTCAACACCGTTGGCGTGGACTTCAAGTGTATGGACAAGGCCGTCTGTTTCGACGGTTGGAAGTTTGTAGTCTGGCTGTTCCTTCTCTTCACCGTATGTCCAGCATGTATCGATGGCTGAATTAGAGATATTGCATACCCAGGAGGATGAGTACTTAACGCCGGAGTCAGCTAACTTGGCATTGAATGGTGGGATGGAGTGGCCGCATGGTGTGTAGTAATGGAGGTACTTCTCACCATTGTAAAGGAAGTAGGAGCGGATACCAACTGGGCCATTGTTAAGTGTGGAGAAATCAACATCGATACCCATGTAGCTTGATGTGAAGTTATCAAGAATGGACTGGAACTTGCAGTCTGGGTCTTTCGGTGGCTCTGGTGGGATGTCTGATCTGTCTTGTGCGCAGCCCTCAGCATGTGACCATTCGATGAAGATCATGTGGCGGGATCCTGTATCATGGGTTGTTACGGTTGGTTCTACATCGCCTGTTTGAGACTTGTCGCAGCGTAAGGAGTGGGCAACATCGAAGAGCTGGTAGTCGTTCTCGGCTTCTTTAGCTGGTTGGCCATCAGCATAATAAATAAGTCCTTGATCGAGATTGGAAGTATTCTCGACGTTATAATCAAAATCTGTGGAATAAGCAATATTATAGCATTGTTTTGTAGTTGGATTGAAAGCAACAGCACGTAAATCAATATCATGATGGCATTGCTCTGGAATTTGATCCTTTGCAAGTGGTTTTCTTGGGCTAATATAATATTCCCATTCTTTGACTGTTGTCTTGATAACCTTGTGGTTTTCGAAAAGAGATTGGAAGTTCCAATACTTTGTGCCAATCTGGACACTGCAATCACCTTTATCGGTATTCATACCCGCAATTTTATTGTTGCGGATAGGTTTGAAAGCGATATTCTTCCGAATTGCTAATAAAGGAAGCATAAGTGAATTATTAAAAGTGACGAAGCCTTGCAGTTCAAATAAACCTCTCAAATCTTATAATAAACCGCCGGATACCAATCATTAAAAAACATGGTTTTTGGTTGATAATTTTGTTCTTCTCTCTGTTTTTAATATAAAGGAGACATAAAATGATCCCATCGATAAAATCATATTATTTTCTTTCGGCTATACAATTTCCGAAAATGCGTGATCGCCATTTTTTCAGATTTGGGGAAAAACTTGAGACAATAATTCTCTTTCCAGATGTTTTTGGAGTATGAAACGCTTGGTGGCAAATGACAATTTTTTACATCGGGAAATAACCAACACCTATTTATTGAGAAATTGGGATAAAATTGGGAGATATATTAAGCGTAGAGTATATGGTTTAAGTGATGACCGTATCTTATGAAATAATGATTGATATGAAAATAAAACTAAGCAAGACGAATTAGGAACTTCTTAATAACATCCCGACTGGATGTGTGTATAGCACTTATGTTTATTTTAAATCTAATGAATTTGATAACAATCATATTTTAAAAATACCCAGATTTTCCTTACTTTTACCACCCCTCTAAAGCTGGGGACACCGCCTATCGTTGGGAGTAGCTATTAAATAGAACCACCAAGGGTATTTTTCGAACTGCCGGTGTAGTGGAAACATCCGACATAATGATTTATTATGCCAAGGTTTGATTCCCATTAAGCCAATTTTTTTCTTTTTTGGATCATGAATTTTTTTTGGGTCACTATAAGATTTGTTTCATGTTCTAAATCTGCTGCATATGTAATCTATTTTTATTTACATATTTTTTAAAAATCTATTGGATTGCCAAATTTGAATATATTTAAAATCATAAAAATCCAAAAAAACTATAAATATATGTTTTATGCATAGTGCCGATACTCAAATATCAGATTACTTAGATCCATGAATAATATCCGAATTTTTTTTCTTAAAATTAAACTTCAAAACTTCTTGCAATCTTATTCTTCATCAATTGTAAATTTTTAAAACCATTTTTTAAAATAATTTTGCGTAAATTTTATTCTCATGTTGTTTTAATCGAAAATTGATACATTTTCAAAAAAATAATATTGACTTATGAAATTCATTTTTAAGGTGAAATAGTATTGTTTTTATTAAAGTATATGAATAATATATAAAAAATTAATGAATAATATAAGCAGATTTTTAGTTTACAAAACAAATATGAGCAATGCAATTTCAAACTTTTGCTGGCAATTTCGATATTGCTCAAGTTTGTAGTATTTGTGATACCTATAACATCGGCTTAATCAAAATTCGATTTTTCTTATGAGTTATTGAGAAAATTTGATTGCAATGAGAAGGATTTCGACGTTTTTGATAAACTAAGAGCTGAGCTTTAGGGGTTCAGTTCATTTATGGCTGTAGTTTGATGCGTAGATCTCTTTTTTATTGTAAATTCTTTCAGCATGGAGATCGAGAATGAATCTTTTGAGAACTTTATGAGTTTTTACACCCGTAAAGAGGTCCTTCGAGGAAAGATAGTCCAGACTACATGAAGATGTGGGTTAACCAAAAAAATCCGATGGTTTCCCCATATTCATGTAGATCTTCGAAAAAATGAGCACCAAAAAAGCCAAAAAAATAGGCTTTTTATTGGATTTGTACACTAGATCAATAATCTATTTAGGATCTGACACTCTTTTTAGCCAGAGATATGAGGTCCTTTTTAGGAAAACGATCTATTCATCCATAAAAAAAATGAATTATCGTTTTCCCCAGAAATTACATGGGGAGTGGTAAAAGTAAGGAAAATCTGGGTAGTTTTGTTTATTAGTATTTGCGAATAAAAATCATTCACCGGCCACAAGTCAATTGATTCATTAACAATTCTATATCTATTTCTAAGTTGAATCCACAAATTGATTACCTGACTACTTACTATATATAAGAAGCAATGTGTATGGATTAAAACAATATGGTGATAGTGGTAAACTTATGTTATGCATTTTTCCTTCTAAAAGTTCAAAATTTATTTTAAGATTACATTACGCATGAATATATAAATGAAATTTCTTTGTATGATACTTTAAAAAATGAATTTACATATAATATTCCCTTGCTGAAGTCAAATTACCTCTCAGAATCACCACAAAGAAGTAAATATATTCTTTCTGAATAAAAAAAGTGACAAAATGTTAGTATTCTGTTTCTTTTATGCTTTCGTATCATCAAAAAGGCTTTTACAGCAAAATTTCGAACTTGATAGGAATCAAGTTTTAAAATCCGTGCAAAGTAAAATCGAAAAATTTGAAATTCCTTACTTTGTTAGAATAATTGGTGCGAAATGCTTCATTAATTCAACAACTACACTCACAACAGTAGATTTTGCAAATGCAATTAGTCTTCTTCGCATTTCTAGCTCAGCGTTTGAAAACTGTGAAAAATTAGTTGATATTGATTTGAGTAATTGTATCAATCTGTGGACAATAGAAGAAGACGCTTTTGCGAAAACAGGATTAAAGACACTTCGCCTTCCAAATTACATTACAACATTAGGAGATCGTGCATTTCTAAGTACAAGACTTGTTCAGATAAACATACCAAATGGATTAGTCTCTATTGGTATTGCATGTTTCAAGGATTCACCAATTACTTTTGTAAATATCTCCAAATCTTCAAGTTTAGCTGTAATTCAACCAGAATCTTTCATGAACACTGCAATTACTTCATTTTTCATACCCTCTGGATTAGCATTGATCAGTACATTGGCATTTAAGAATACACATGTCATTAATTTTACGATTGATCCAAGAAATAGATTTGTTACATACGAAACAGTATTTTACAACAAGAATCATTCAAAAGTTCTTGCATCTCCACCTACTATTGTCGGAAAACTCGTTCTTCCTGATACAATTACTGAAATTTCAGAATCATGTTTCGAATACTGCGATGTACAAGAAATTTCATTCACAAATGTTACTATTATAGGTCCAAGAGCATTCTACTACTCATCCATTAAGAATATTGTCATTCCTGAGACAGTTAAAATTATTGGACATTCAGCATTCGAAAATTGCAAGAATTTAATGACTCTAAAGATACTAAACTCTGATCTTGTGATCGGATTGAATGCTTTCAGGCACACAAACCTTGTTTGCGACGTTATGATCCCTGTTCCTCTTATTCCTAATGCTATTGAGCAAGGAGTGTCAGAAAAATCATTTAATGAATGCAGTAATATAGCTAAGAAATAAATATTTGTATGTATTTCTGTTTATGTTTATTTTTCAATAAAAATTATTTTTATTTACCTATTTAAACCTAACACACTTATTTGTTTGTTCGTAAATATCATTGTGTTAATGAGTAATTTGATAAGTAAAGCTTTAATTTTGAAATTTTACAAAATCAATAATTTAAGTTAATCATAACATATCAGATTCATTAATTCGTAACTAAAAAGATTGAGATGTAAATAAATTAAGAAATACAAACAATTTATAAAAAATATACAATAAAACATACAATATTAATAAGTTAATCCAGTTGATATACTGGATACTCTAGTTGTACTATATGATCTCCACATTTCAATTGATCAAAAATGTTTTGGAGAGTAAAATTATTATATTTTGCAAATGTGTTTGGTTTTGCTGCCAAGAAATCAATTGACTTATTGTTTATTTGATCTTTGTTGCATCCATCATATGTAAAATATGATGCAGTTGTGTAATTTGATTTATTACTGTTAATTTTTGTTGAACTAGCAATATAAAGGATATTTTCTTGGAGTATTCCTCTTTGAAAGAATTCCATATGGTGTTCATCAGGAATTACATTATCATTAATTAAAAGTATTGATTTTCCTTTTGAAAAGGATAAAAATGAATCAATTGAAGTAAAATTATTCTTGTCTGATACATTACTAATAACATTGATGCTCATATTCATTGAAAACTTCGAATTCAATGAATTAAATTTGGAAATAATTTGATTTACATTAGAAGAATCATTTTTGGACTGAATTATGCCGATACTCAATTGGATCTCGTTTTTCTGCTGGTCTTGGAATTCTTTTATTCTCTGATAAACTTCTTGAATTCCTGTTTTCAAATCTATATTCTGTTTCCAGTATTTATTATGCCATGATGAATTCATATTTGGATTATGTCTTATTTGTGACTTCGCTCTTCTTTGAGGAAAATCAAATTTACAATCAGGAATTACTTGCGTAATTACGGAAGTAATGTTACGAATTGAAATCCATGAACCATCAGACATGTCTGTAATCATCTCTGCTTCATCAAAATGCTCCATTAATTTTATTAAATTCTGGCCAACGTCATTTACATGCAAAAACTGTCTAATTTCTGTTCCATCCGTTAGCGGTTTAACAACTTTATTACTAATACACTGATATATGAAATCAGGAACAACATGAGTCTTGGAACCAGGAAATTCAAAACCATAAACGTTCCAAAGACGGAAAATGCGGCCATACTGTGGATATGAAAGTGTTATATTCTCTCCATGTAGCTTTGTTAAGCCATAGGAGCTGTTATCAGCTGATAAAGAGCTTGATGCAAATGCAAATTTGATTTTCTTGGTAATAAGCCAATCGAATACGTTATTCATCATGTTTTCATTAGATTTATAGATATAGTTTTGATTGTCTTCTCTTTGGAGATATTTTGCACCTCCAACTTCAAAAGATAGGAAGAATGCAAATTTAATATGTACATCGTTAAATATATCTAAAGACCCTTTAATCCTGAGATCTCTATGATTTCTTGATAGGATATGAAGTACTTTATATCCTTGTTTTTGTAATTGCTCGAGCAAAACATTTCCGATCAATCCTCCTGATCCTAACAATAAAATGTATTCATCTGCATTTTTATGATTTAGAAGATCAAATCCAAATGGAATCAAATTTTCAAAATTTGAAGGACATTTAGGGCATGATGATTGATCATTAGTAGTTAAATTGACATATGAAGAATTTCTTGGATGAATTGGAGAGTTTTGAGCTAAAATACTGATTTGTTTTTGTAGATTTCGTCCGTTAATAGCAGTTACTCCAATAATGACCATAAATATGGATAGAAAAAGATCTAAAAGAATAGTTATCCATTCAATTTTTCTAAAATTCACCCGATATGGTTTCATCAAAAATAATGAAAAAATAAAAATCTATTTATTTGATGTTATTTCGATTGTACAAAGAATCTTTATGAAATTCATCGTGATTACGATGGTTTTGGGGAGTTTGTGGCAATTTTATAATTTAGACGCTGTTGCATTCAAATAATCTTAATTTTTGAATTGATTCGGATAAAATAATGAAAATAAAATCATAGCCTGATTATCAAATATAATCATTTCAACGGTATAGTTTGGATGAGTTATTATTGAATTTGGAATCTCAACGTTTTATAGTAAATGCTGATCAAGCCGAAAAATATCAGTTAGATTTGCTAATCTCCTAAAGAATTGTGTAAAAATCAGGACTAATGATGATGTAAATGAAGTTGGTTACCGAAATAGCTGCAAATTCCAATTCAGAAATGTAGAACCCTTTCAAATGCAACATTAATCCTTTCTTGATTAATGATCTGATTCATTTAAATCATATTTTAATTTTTGCGATCATGCATAAACTCGAATCTTTTGAAAGAAAGTGATAGTTTTATCAAAAGTGCTATCGGCCTAAAAATTGAAATTGCATATTTTAATAGTTTAAATAATACTGAACATAAGTTACGTCAACATGAAAATAAAACAAAAAGCGAAGTTTTACTTTTATGGCAGCAATTCCCGAAAACGTCGCTAAATATTTGACACCAGGCAGCACAGATCTTAATGCCGCCGACGATAGAAATGAGACACCACTCTCAAGAGCTGTCGTTGCCAAAGATGTTGAAGCAGTTAAATATCTCGTTGCAAATAAGGTAGACGTTAACAAATGTGTTAAGAAGGGTGAAGTAACACCTGTCTTACTTGCTGCACGCTCTCAATCCCTCGAAATTGTCAAATTATTGGTCGACGCCGGTGTCGATGTCAATAAGAAAACAAAGAGAGGCGAGAGCCCACTTCACGCTGCAGCTAAGGTTGGCCCAGTCAGTGTAATTCAATATCTTCTCGAACACAAGGCAGATGTTAATGCACATAACGATAGTTTTTGGACACCAATCTCCATTGCTTCTAAATTCTTGGATGTAGAAGCAATCAAGGTTTTCTTAGCCAATGGTGCCGATGCAAAACTCAAGGATATGAAAGAGAACTCATGCATTTTCTTGGCCGCATCAAAGGGCAAATACGACATCATGAAGTATTTAATCGATCAAGGTCTCGAAGTTAACTACAAGAAGGCTAACCTCGATGGCCAGACACTCCTTCACCTTGCTGCTGAAGGTGGTAACACACAATGTGTTGAACTTTGCCTTGCTAATGGCTCAGATCTCACAAAGAAGGATATGTTCAACAACACACCACTTGATAACGCTTGCTGGGCTGGAGATCTCAACATGATCAAGTTCCTTGTCGGAAAAGGTGCCAAACCAATCTCCGCTAACAAGTCCAAGAACACAATCTTAAACCTCTACTTAATGTCCGAGAAGGAACCAACAGTTGAAGGCATCAAGTACATCATTGGACTTGGTGTTAACGTCAACGAACCAAATATCCATGGAAATACTGCTCTTAGCATTGCTACAAGCAAGGACTGGAAGGAAGCAGAAAAATACCTTAAATCTATCAATGCCAAGGCCGGTACGCCACTTTAAGCAAGCCGCGGTGTTTTATCCATTAAAAACTCATTTTATATCCTATATACTCGATAATATATTAATAATTTATCAAACAATATTGAAATTTTTTATTATTTTGAGTAATGTTGAAATTAGGAATATCAATTTTCAATCATTATAACATGAATCTTCCAAAGATTCATGTAGCAATGAATAACAAGAAATTAAATCATCTTGAAATGAAAAAATTAAAGAAATGAAGAATTTCCGTTATGAATTACTTCAAATCTAGAACTAATAAAGTTACTATCACCTTTTGGTTGAAGTATTAGCTCGAATAAACTTAAATAGGATCCAAAATTGAAGAAACAGAAAGTGGGAAGCCATAATTATCCCATGTTGTACCAGTTGAAGAAATTAATGGTGTTGGTTTTGGAATTTCTTCATTAATATCTTCAACATGATCAATATCAACCATAATTCCTGATTTTGGCCCTGCTTTCTTAAGATTTTTGTCTGTTTGTACATTCAAATTAGTTACGGTGATATGTTCTGTTGGCGCCCATTGAATTTGTTTTGGTTTTGTCATTTGTATCTGAGATTTGTATTTTTCGGTATTAAAACGAGGACTTTTTGGTGTGACAGTTGGTTGGTAAAATCGCCTTGCTGATAGAGGTTCTTCAGGTTTGCATATTGCATAAGGTGTTGGTTCTACTGAGTCAGTAATTATATAATTATCAACGCAGACTACACTACCTTTTCTATCCATTATTGTTGAAACTGTACGCCTATTTTCATTTAAAACTGGATTCTTTCTATTCTTTGTGCTGGACGTTCTAGGACGTTTTCTATGTAAAGAAATAGAGTTAAGTGATGATATCACTTCGAGATTTTCTGCTTGAGGAGCATCATTTCGGTCAACAAGATAGCAATTTGCTGCTAACGTTAATTTCCATTTTTCAGTTTCTTCTTTTCTAATACTATCTCTTACTTTTCGCTCTGCCTTAGGTCTATGTGATGTTGAATTTTCATATAATCTTGTAAAAACATCACACATTCCTATAAAATAAAAAAAAGTCCTAAAATCTGTCACTTTTCGAAATTTGTCACTTTTAGATGTAAAAAAACAATGAAAAAAAAATTATATCCGGAGAAACAAACAAAAACAACAAAATTTACTTAGATATCTTCCAATTTTGAGAATTCTTCTAATGCTTCTGATAATGATTTCGGTTTGAACTGCATAACTTCAATAAGTTCAAATTTGTATGGATAAGAATCGAAAAATGAATAAAAACTACCATTAAGTGGTATAATTCCTCGTGATTCTGGGCCAATTCTCTTTGAAAAGGCATGGGAAAGAAGAATTCCTCTTTCTATGGTTTCGCAATCATAAATCTGGATATTATTATTAGTAATGTTGAGTTCATGGCTATTTGGACTATAATTCATGCGGATTCCTGTATTATTGTTAAAGATATTCTGTTTAATTATTGAATTTGACCTTGATTCAATGGAATCAAAACTTCTTGCAACAGGATTGATATCTTTAGAGAACTGTTGAAGGAGATTAATATCAAATATCTTAAATGGATCAAGTAATACGATAATTCTGATCTTATTCAATTGCAAAACAGCAAGAGGATGTATTTTATCGTTATAGAAGATTGGTGGTGTGAATATTTCTATTGATTTGTCCGGTCCCATAATAAATCCGATTGTCCAGCGAAGAACGTCTTCTCTCTTTTTAGTTTTGAAGGGGAAGAACATTTCGAACTTGTGGAATACAAGCATTGAAAGAATTCGTGCTATTTGTGGTTCAATTCCATGCATTGTGATGATTTTATCTCTCCAAGTGAAAATAACTGATTCAATGAATGGATATTTCTTCATTGTCTCTCGTATTTGTTCATCTTGGACACTCTGCTTGGAATTCAAATGTGTTTGTGATGGAACAAATGAATCCCACAATAATTCAAAGACTGGATCTTTCCAGTTGATGATTTTGATAATATGTGGCATTGTAGTTTGTAATCTACTGATCCACTCCTTCGAAACTGATTTATTATCATTTTCTAAAGTTAATGGGCCAGCAACGTAATTAAGCATCAATAAGCATGTCTTTAAGATCTGATTCAGAAGTATACGCTTGGTGCCTGTTGTTGATTTGATAGATACGTTAAAGAATATGCCATTTCCTATTTCAAGAAGTCCAATTTCGCGTTTACCTGTAAAAATATAGTCACACGGATTGTCTGGGTTAAAACGATTTGCAAAGAAAACAAATGTTGATGAAATACCTGTCTCTAGATCGCGATTATTAATATCTTCTTGTGTTTTGCATTCTGGATAATAATAAAACACTTTAACAGTCTCTCCTTCTTCTGGTAACTCACTTGAAAAGACAAAAAAGCTTGAAAGAGGCGAGGATTGATCTAATTCAGACATTTCAGGAGAAAATCAAAAAAAAATTTGGCAAATGACTGAATTGTCTGTCAACTATCAAATGGATAACGCCTTGCATATTTTGTGGGAAAGAATCAGGGAGATATCTAAATCAAAAGATTTACCCACTGAGTCTCGAGATCTTGAAATTTTAAGATTAATGGATCTGCAAAATGATTTGGATCTTGAAATCCAAAAGGAACATGAAAAGAAATTAAACAACCTAATACAATCATTAGACCTTGAAGAAATTAACGCTATTCCGATAATGCAAACCGGATTACAAGCCCATATCGATTTCAAGGTTAACAACAGAAAAGGAGCAAGAGCAATTTCGTTAAAAGTTAAGGATGTTATGGAAAATCAAGCAAGTTTCCCTGGATACGGAACGATCAAGAAAATAACCCCTCAAACGGCTAAGGATATTGCTGACATGCAAAGTAGAAGAAAGGAAATGCTTAACGAGCTCGTTTTAATTGAAAGAAAGGCAGAAAAATCTCCAGAAGATATAGAACGTAAAAATCAAATAATGGAAACCTTAAAAATGCAACAGGAAAGAATCAAAGGCGTATAAAACAATACAAACAATTTATAAACAAAACAAAACAAAAAAATTACAAAAAATATTTCCAAATAACTACATTAAAACTTGGTTATCTAATGTAGTTACTTGATATATTAGTTTTCGATTCACTATTGGGGAAGAGTTTCCATACCATTAATGGATCTTTTGGAGATGCCAAAGCAACCATACTTTTATCATGGGAAATCGCTGCATAAATCACTCTATCATGGAAAACGTTAATAGATGATATATTCTTCATATTTGAAACGCTCCAAAGCGAAATTGCGCAACTACTGAAGCCATGAGTTACTAAAAGCTCATTATACTTGCAATTCCAGAATATATTGCATACTTGCGAACCGATATCGGCGGAATTGATCGTTTTTCCGTTATTTATATCAAATATTCTTATCTTTCGATCATTTAGGCCTCCGCCGACCGCCATCAAGTTCTGATTTTCGTAGTTCCAGTCTAGAGCGCGTACAAGTGACTTTCCTTCATTGTATTCGCAAAAAGGAGTGTTTAAATTCCGAATATCCCAAATTTTTACGCCAGGGTTTTCTGCTGTTGTACATATTTGATTTCCGCTCGGATTAAACTTTGTTCTTACTGATGATACTTCATCAATTTTTTTTAAAATAATTTTTTGTGAATCTCGACTATCTATCAGTGAAAAAGTGCCGTCAGAGTTGGCCGTAGATATAAGTCCTTTGCATTCATCAACGGCGTTGATAAAGCATCTGCTGATGTTCAAAGTATATAAAAATTTATTATTTTCGATATCTCCTATTGATATTTTCCCGTTTGCTGTACCGATTATAAGCTGGTTTCCATCTGAATTAAACTTCAAACTTCGGCAGTTATGAATTTTATAGAAACATTTCAGAGATTGCTTGGAATCAAGTGAAAACAGGAATGGCTGTAAGCCACTTGTCATTCCAATGATATTTGTAGGTGATAAATCTAAAGGAAATTGATAAAAATCTGCTGGGATATTTTCAACTTGTAAATAAATAAAAGGAGACTCAGGAATATCTTTTCTTATTTGTACTTTATGAAGAGGACTTGCTAATATTGTTGGGGATTGCATAGGCGACTTTGGAATTATTTTTGAATTTCTAATTGGAGAATTTATATTTGGAGATTTAATTTTTGGAGATAATCTATCTGTGTATGGGTTTTTACTTGGTGAAAGCGGCATTCCAATAAGCCGCTTTATGAAATTCATCAATAACAAATTTTAAACGTTCACAAATTGTATAATTCAAAAATCAATGAAAATTTTGGTAAATTCAAAATATGTCACTTTTTAGATTTTGATGAGAAAAATTCATCATATCTCATCCAATACTGAATTACAGTATTCAGTACCAAAAACAAAAAACTCGGCGTATATTGAATATGTCTAGTCATCCATCAAAATGTAGAGAATCGAATTTCAACGCAGAAAAATGCAAGAAAGTACGATTGGACTGAATATTTTGGTAATACTGCCAAAGTTGATAAGACACGTATTAAAGAAGCATTCTCTGATGAAACAAGTTCTAACAATTATTACATTTTTATTTGTTTGTTTGAATCATGCAAAGAAAAAGGCGCAATTTACATCCAAAGATCTAACAATATTTGCACATTACTTGAAGATTCTGTATTTAACAACTGTAAATCTTCAAGTGGTGGATCTGTCAACTATCTCTGCTATGAAGGACAGATTGTTCAACAACGAACATGCTATTATCAATCAATAGCAGAATACAATGATATGGCATTTCATCAACTGGGTGCATATTCAGATTCCATGAAAAACTACGTTTATGATGTTTCTGTTTCAAACTGCGGAGAAAGTGAATCAAAAGGGCTTGTTATATTTAGTGTTTTTGAAGGAGATATACGTATTTCGAATATAAATAGCACAAACAACAAATGCAATCAATATTCATCAATTTTTAGTATCCTTCAAGGAGGTTCAGGTACTTGTAATTTCTCAACATTCAGCAAAAACAATCAAACTGGAAATTATTCACTTCATTTTTGGATTAATCTTGGTGATTATATTCAAACAATTTCTTATTGCAATGTTATTGGAAATAAATGCGGAACAGACAATAACCAAATTCTATTTCAATGTTATGATACAATTAATATTGATCGCTGCATATTTTTAAAGAACACTGTAGCTTACACTTTTGAATATGGTCCCTATGAAGGTTCCTTGACTATTTCCGAATCATATGTTGATTCACAGACAGTAATAACAAGTTCGGAAGCAACTGTTAAATTTACTAATTTAAAAGACAATTACGATTTTAATACTTTTACCCATTTTTACGAAGAAATTTGTTTCATCGATTTAAAAGAAATCTCAAATAAATTATCTAATCTTTCTAAATTTGCAAAAACTGCATCTGCATCATTGTTTTCCTCAAAAAAATAAAGAACCTATCATACCCTAATAAAATTATCATATCACAACTAGAAATAAATAAACTTTTTAAACATCCTTCGTGATTTTTCAAGAATTTGGTCAAATCAAAAAATGTGCAAATATGACATCATACATTTGCCTTCTAAACTTGAAAATTCATTATAGAAAATGGCCCAAATTCAAATTTGAATTCAAATATATCAGGAATAATTGATTAATGACCTTAAAATAACGGCAAAGCGTCTATAATTGGTGATTACTTTAATTGTTTTGGATATAAATTGATTATGAAATTTGAAATTAGATGATTTTATTCAAAATCAGCTGAAATTAGGATCTTAAGTAAATTAAATGAATAAATAGATGGTAACGTTTACTAATTATAATAAAAGAGCTTGTTTTTTTAAGTGTAAGTACCAGCTGTCTGAGCAACACTGACTGCGACATCTGGGTGATCTTTAGCAGCCTGGAGTAGTTCTGTCTTGTGGTCAACAGCGTAGTTTGCGGCGTATCCTGCAGCTTCTCTTGCAGCCAATTCAGAAATCTTGTTGCGCTTGAAGTAAACGACAATCATCCACCAAACCCAGCCAAGGAACACGCAGTGGAGTGTTCCTAAGATAGAGAAAATCAAAGCAACGATTCCGACCCACTTATTTTTAGGAGCACGAAGGAGATTAATTGAAATGATGTATCCGAATGATCCGTAATCAGAAAGACCGACAATAACGTAGATGCAGAAAGCCAAATACAAGAAAATTGTAATAATGGAGAAGAAATATCTTGCACCTTTCTTATTCTTCAGGGAATCGTAGAGTAACATCAAGCAAATTTCTGTGAAAACAAGTGGACCAAAAGCGAAGTAAACGCAAGCGAAAACAATGGAAGCTGCTGGAGATTTGATTTCTTCAGAAGCACATGGTGTAAGTGAGAGGAAGGAAATGAGGGCATTGAGGAACATTATAAACGTGAATGTGTACATTGTCCATTTCAAGAGCTGGACCATTTTGACTGCATCATTAGGTAATTCTTCCTCTGGGTAGTATTTGTAGATCTTTAAAATCATTGGGAAATTCCTCTTATGTGGGTTCAATGATTCAAGATTGCCGTTGGCACGTGCAAGTTCGATTTCGCGTTCTCTTTGAGCGATCTTTTCTTCTCTGCGAGCTAGAGCCTCTTCCTTTGCGGCTAATTCGCTCTCTGAGATTGTAATGCCCATGGTTGTATCCTTGTAACCTGGATTATTGTTAGGCAGATTATTATAATTTGATTCAGCAGCTGGAGCTGTATATGTAGTTGTGGGTTTTGCGTCTGTATAGCTAGAGCCACTCTGAAATGGGTTGTAGGACTCGTCAGTCGCGATTTCAAAGGGATTTGACATATTTGCAATTGAAAACTGACATCAATTCACAACTGCAAATTATTCAAATTTCAATAATATTATAATAACTTCGAAATTTAAAGTACTGGAATTATGTAACTTTCATTTTCCAAATAAAATTGTAATCAAATTTCTGATCTGGAAGAATCTATAAAATTTTTCTGATTTTTTTCATTTTCGAATTTTTTTGGAATTAAAAAACTGAAATAACGAAAAACTAGATGAGTAATTATTTTTGAATTTATCTTGTTAATATAATCTATTGTTCAAATTTATATAATACTTTAAAATTGAAATTTATTTCTCCAATTCCTATTAATTTTTAACTATAAACATTAAAAATCGATTCTCTGTATAAAAATATTATAAATGGTATGAATATTGCCCGGAAAATCCAATTTTTGAAATCGCTGTGTGAAGTAAAGTTCAGAAAAAAAGTTACATTCTAAATGGATCTTCGTCCACCACAGACTGTTCTTTCATTCAAGTCTCATCTTGTTAGCAACAGTCGTGAAGATATTCTTAGACAATTCATCGTCAACTACTTTGTTGATGATGATAAATTCTCCGTTTTTGAAAAAGTTGTTCCAAATAGCGGCTTCCCAGGAGGAAACTTCATTTCACGCGCAAAGTTTATCAACCCAGCAACTGGCCAAAAGTATAAAACAGAAGAACTTTACATTGGCGCTACAGTTGTCTTGAATTCCTGGACATTCCAACTTGACGAGGCCACAGAAGGTACTCTTCGCGCTATGGAAGCAAACTCAGATCAATATCCTAAATCAGACCTTTCTCAAACTATCACTTCCAAATTCTCGTTACTTAAAGGCCAAAAGGCAGAACTTGAGCAAAAATTCAAAGCTCGTGATAAACAAGGCCGTGGACGTGTCACTTGGGTTGTTGCTCGTAGTATCTTCGATGAACATGACTTATTTACAGATCCTCAAGAGCGATTAACATTATTGCGCAGATTCCAGTTTGCCGATGTCGAACAATTCAAGTATAACGAATTCCTCCAAGTATTCTAATAAATTACATGTTAAATAAACTGTTTTTATCTAATATATACAATATTTTATTGTTATTTGTCAAGGATATCACAAAATGCACTCTAAAACCATCTTTCTGGTGCTTATTGAAAGTCTTTAGCTTTATGTATCTTAATGATAATTTGATATTTTAATTTTTAAACAATGTTATGGGGTTAGCTTTTATTATTAAGAAACGTACTATAGTACCTTAAAAACATCGTATGCTGACCACACAAAAACCATAAGGCAAAAGAATAACAAAGAATTATTTGATAAGACATTTACAAATATACATTTAATTAGAATAAAAACAATTCATATCTTATAATATGCTTAATCTGTAACAGCAGCTACAACTGTTGACAACAAATTATCATATTGCTGGAAATTCTTTGAGAATTCCTTAGCCTTCTTTTCTCCATCTGTAAAGATCTTAACTGGTAGCTCCTCTGATAAAACTGTGGATGTTTTATTAAGACCGCGAGCCTTTAAGTAATTATTAACGATTGCAAGAGCCATTTCAATATCAGCATCATTCGGTGGCTGCTTGTTGAATTGTTCCAACTGAGAGTTGGGTACTTCGTTTAACATTTCTTGTCCGCATAATAAAACTCCTGCTCTGGTTTTATTTTGGATATCCTTATATGCATCGCTTTCTTTCATTGTATCTGTAAGTGTTTGCATATCTTTTTCATTAAGTTGTAAATCAAGTGACATGAGAAAAGAAAAATAAAAGGATTTTGTAACTAAAAGTGACAACAAAATTAAACGGATGTCAATCCTAAATGTAATTTTTCGAAATATTAATATGCAATTAAACACATGCATATCCTATAAATTTTGAGGAAATTTTGCATATTCGTTACAAAAGAGATGGGTGGATGTTGTTCAAAAGATAAAGATATTGGCAATGACATAAGTGATTCTGGGAGTAGTGATGCTATCATAACTCCTCAAGAAATATATTTATCTCAAAGAAGACTTTATTCATTTTCTGATTTTATGGATTCAGGGAGTCCAGTATTAAAAGATTATAAATTTATCAATGAAATCGGTAGTGGTGCACTTTCTAGAGTTTATCAAATTGTTTCACTCAAAGATAACGAAATACTTGCAGCTAAAGTCTACGATAATCAAAGAATTTCACGACCAACTCTAACAGGAGAAGATCCTCCATATGTAAGCATTCAACGAGAACTTGATATTATGGCAAAACTCGATCATAGATATGTAATTTCATTAATCGATGCGTTTAACGATGAAAATACAAATAGTTTGATAATCATTATACCATTTGCACCTTTGGGCAATGTTAAGACTCTTTTAGATAAAAGAGCATTAAATTCAGATCAATTAAATGCTTGTTTTCACCAAGTTGCTATTGCTTTAGCATACATGCATTCAATGAATGTTGTTCACCGCGACATTAAACCAGAAAACATGCTCGCATTTACAGAAGATTATTTTGCAATTACAGATCTTTCTGTTTCCCAAGAAGTTGAATCAGATGAAACAATGGTCATGGACATAAAAGGATCACCTGCATTTTTAAGTCCAGAAGAGTGTGCAGGAACTGAATTCATACCAAAACCAGCAGATGTTTGGGCATATGGTATATCTTTGTTTAGTTGCTACTTTGGATACTTTCCATTCTCTATTGATGAATGCGATGGTCTTCCAATTGGAAATACAATATTAATGGTCACAGAGAAGCTTAATGAAAAAGAGTTAAACATTCCTGATGGAACATCTTCTGATTTAATTGATCTTTTAACGCATGTTTTGGATAAAGATCCAACAAAAAGATATACTTTTGAACAAATTGCAAACCATTCATTCTTTGAGCAATCCAGGCATATTGATGAAGAAAATGCAAAAGAGTGCTTTCTTGAAGAAGAGCAGGAAAAGCAAAATTAATTTATTTTTTATTTTTATTTCTTTGTTTGTAAATATTTATATTATTTGCGTTAAAATTTTCAATGCATGCATACGGATTTTAAGAAAGAATTAACTCAAATAGAAATAATTTGTTTATTATTTTATAAATACTCTAACATTTTATATACGCTTAATGTAAAAAGGGGACTTATCAATAAAGAAGTGTAAGGGTACTTCTCTAATAAGTTGTTTCGTTATTTGGTTTAAAATTTTGTCAAATTCTTCTTGAAACTCCTCATTTTCAATTGGAAGCACTAATACATATTGTAGTTGAGGTTATTTCGGCTGTTTAATTAACATTTTTTTGGTAAACGTTGTATTTTGCTTTGTATTGTACTCTTCTGAACTCTTCGATTATTTTTGTGTCCTGTGGTATGAATTTTATGCTGTATTCATGGCCATCTTGAGTAAATGACTCATAATTTGGATCAAGATGCTGATATTCATCAATTCTGATCTCAATTCTAGCTTTTTCGCTTCCAATGAATTGGAATGCCATTTTATAGCCATTATAATAAGAAATTGAAACAAATGATTCTCCTTCTTCATTATTATCGATAGAAAGCATGCATTTTCCAATGAAATATATTTCTCTATCACCCAATTCCTTTTTGGCATCATCAAGTTCTTTTTCTTGAGCATTTATTGCATTGGATATTACATTTATGTTAGAAATAAGAGGTTTGAGTAGTGGACAGTTGCCAAATGCTGATAGTAGTTTAAGAGAATCAACTGGAGATAAATCTCCGCAATCAATTACGTCTAATAAGATAGTTATCGAAGATTTATTGTTAGATTTTGTCAAAAACAAAAATCTTGACGCTTCATCGGGTGTAAAAACGTAATTTGACTCTTTGACTAAACGATAGATGTGCTTTAGAGGTAAATTGAAAAATGATGGTTCTGCAATCAAAAATTTGAACATTTTGGCGTATTCTTCGATATCTGCTGATTCTATATCTTTTATTTTTGATAAATCTTCGATATAAGATTTAATAGTTTTGTTCGGAGTTAAAATTTGTTCATTTTTATAGCGAGCTTCATTGAAATATTGTCGAAATTCTGCTGCCCAGTTAGTAGACTTTGGAAAAACTATATTCATTTTTGTATTTGTAGGTGTTCCAGTTGAAAAATCTTCCGCAGACCAAATAAGTTCATTTGGATACAAATACATATCTGGTGTAATGTAATGATTCATTAATGTTTCGTATGTTTTGTTTTTTCTCATTAGAATTCGATGAACACCCGAATTTTTATTTTTCAGAATTTGGAGAATGCCATTTACCCTTTCTGCTTCTTTAAGTAAACTCCCAATTCCTGCAAAAACTTCCTCTTCTTCTTCGAGAGGGAATTCTTTTCGATAATTACCTAAAACTTCGAGAAAAGACATTTTTTGTTTAAGGTTATTTTTGAAGTCAAAAACATTCAATTTCAGCCTGATAGAACAATTATTTCCAAAAATTAACAATAAAATATTAATTTTTGCAATAATCTCATTTATATTCTCCATTCTGTTGCAATAAAACGTCGAAATTATTGGCTAAAACTTGGAACTCTTGAAGACTAATCAGCAGAAGCCTTTTTGCACTTAGACCCTCATCTTTGAAAAACGCGAAGCCTAAAATTCGTTATGAATATTTTTCGTAGTAATTCAATTTGAACGCCTTTCAATGTAGCTCAAAAATCTTGAAATACTACTACAATTAAGGATGTCAATTTGGAAGAAAAGTGAGAAAATTCCTAAAATGCTAAAAATGAATTTCCAAACGTATTTTTTTATCTCATTTTTTTGATTTTGAAAAAAATTTGGAGAGAAGATCTCTTCGTTTTTGAATTTTATCACGATGGTTTTAAAGTATATTAGACACATGTATTGATATTACTATTTTTGTATATTTTGAGAGAAAATCCCCAAAAAGTAAGAAAATCTAAGACGGTTTGAGAAAATATATAAACTATTGAAAATTTGAATTAAACTTCTAATTTGGAAAAAAGAAATTTGGAAAGAAGAAAATTCAAAAATCGAGATTTAGGCTCAGCATCAAATGGAGAACAAAATGTTTCTTCATATGAAGGAAAAAAATTTTCTTGAGAAGAAATAGAGTTTTTAAAATTTTATTGTATGTAATGAAATAAACAAATATTAAAATTATTTTTTGATAACAAGAAAATTCCCAACAGAAAATATTTGAGACAAAGAAAAAAAGAAAATTGAAAAATATTACTCTTCTTTATTTTCATGAGATTTTAAATTTATTCTCATAAAATTGACAATTTTATACGTTTAGATGAAAATAAGTGATTTTGCTTGAAATAAAAGTTATTGTTTTGCTTACAGCTATCAAATAGATTTTTGCTATTTTGATTTGTTAATCAAATTAATAAATTTTTTCTAAATATCTTAAATATCTGGATCACTCACTGTACAATGAATTGAACGATAAAAATAATACAAACTCAAATAAGTTTCCTGTTTTTCAACTAAAAAAATTATGCAAATTAAATTAAATTGTTTATTCAAATATAAAACAAAGATGAAGTAATTACAGTTATCATAAACTTTATGAATAACTCTGTAATTGGTTCAGATTTTCGTAAAAATATTTTTATTAATATCGATAAGAATACGTTTACCTACTATCACAACATATCGATAAACAAGAGTAGAGTGATTTTTATCATCGAAACTTTTTAAAAGCTGTAAGCTGGAAGGAAAAATCTTGTTTTTTCTGAGTTAGTTGTAGAACTATTGATGTACGAGTTATCATTGTGATGTAGAAGGATGTCAATGTACTGACTGAAGGATATGAAGTGAATTGAATTTCATTGAATTTCAATTTGATCAAAATTTGTTGAAATGATATGAATGTGTCAACATCTGTATCACTCTCTTTCACTCCTTCCCTATTCTTTCGAGAACGAAGCTAGCTCAGCTTTCGCTGAGCGAATTGACACTTTTGATGCCCTAAACGTACATATTCTCAAATTTATCGAAAAAATTATACCACCCAAACTAGTATATTCTTATTTTAAATATGATATTATCCTTAGAAATCACACTAGAATATATTTAAATCAACTTTTAAAAAAGTTCGAATCCTGCGCGTCTCACTTTTTAAATTTTCCAAATGGAAAATTATATTCTCCTAAAATGAAAACAATTTTCCGAATTGACATCCTTACTACAATCATTTAAAATAACAAAGGCATTCGGATAACAAAGTTTCCATTACATCAATTCCTTGTAAGAAATTTCTTATTCTCAATAAATTTCAAAGTTTTGAACTCCGAAATTTTGGACAAAGAACTCGAGAACTTTCCTCGACTGATCAAGTACTTTAACAGTTATGGAGATATCAAAGAGTCAGATCCAAAACGTCAAGAAGCTCAAATTGAAGAGATTGAGAAATTAATTAACCAAGTTCGAAGTAGATTAGACAACAGCAAACAACCTGTGAAATACCCCGATCCAAACCATTTCTACTATTCACGCCATTTTCAACTAACTGTTCTTGTTCATTTCGCAAAAAAGATTGACACAGCATTAGCTTCAGCAGAAGACGAAAATCTCAGTCAGTTACTCGTGTTATTGAATGAAATCGCCTTTGCATTATCATCTTCTGACAAATTAGTTATCAACGTCGAATCTCTTTCCGAACACCTTTTTTCAATTGTTGACAACGAAGAGAACTACAAGAAAGCTAAATGGTATCACGATGCACTTAATCATAAGATAGATTTAGTCACTTCATCATGGAAATCGAACAATTACAACAGAGTTTTAAGTGTTGAAATCCTTGCAGCTATCAACAGATATCAGAAATCAGTTAAATACTCTCCACCTTCTTATTTTGACCTCGCATTCAACGAATATATCCATAATCATCCGAAAATTACAAAAATGCTTGGCCCTGCCTCACAATGCCTTGCTGACCCCAACATGGACTTTGATTCGGCTTTCTACATGATTGACCACTTTCTTCAAGATATTTACAAAGCTTTAAATGTTGACATGAAAGGTCCATTGAAACATATAATTTTTACATCACTAATACGATTATTATTTACAGAATCATCTGTTTACGGAAATGGACTTAACAAACATCAAGAAATTGATGGAAAATTTTTGATTCGTTGCCATCGCTTTGCAAACCAAACAGTTCGTGACTTGAACCTTTCAGATGAAGTTCTTTGTGGGTTTACTCAAGGTCTTCACATCAGAGCTCTCTTTAAAACGAATAAAGTTGGAGAATTAAAATCTTTAGAAACAATTCTTAATCCTATTGATCTAATGTACCAAATATATTCTGTTCTTCAAGAAATTCAAAAAGCTTTCGCTCCAGGAAAAACAATTTCTTTTGATGACATGTTTACTTTGTTATTGGCTTGTATTTCGCTCAATCCACCTTCAAATGCCTACTCCATTGCGAAATTCATAGCACATTGGGATAAAATTAACTATTCAAACATTATTAGTTTATCAAAAAATTATTACATTGCTGCAATCGACCAGTTGATGAAGAATAATCCAGATATGTAACGGAATAACTCTTTTATTGGTTATTTAACTTTATAATATATTTTGTTTTGTATTTTATTATTTTTAAACGCGTTTTGTATATAACAACTTTAGATTTATTTGTTTCAGGAGAAATAAGAATACAACATCCACAATATAGGCTTTTTTGTTCTAATTTTATTTTGATGAAATTATATCAATGTTGTTATCGACCATTTGATGAACAATTATCCAGAAATTTAGATGAATAATCTTTTTATCGATTATTTTACTAATTTTGTTTTATATAATTTTTCAAGCTCGTTATTGATTTATAAATAAGTTCGGTTCTATTTAATTCATAAAAAATAAGAACATAATATCCATAACACAAACTTTTTTTAATATTATAATTTTTTTTTTGAAAATATTCTTTTTTATAAAAACATAATATCGCATTAGTGACTTTCTCTTAAGCTATATGCGATACGCTCAGCTTTTGACAAGGCTCGGAAGGCTACAAGTGTTCTTCCTCCCATTACACGGCCTGTCAGGTTTTTAACAACATTTTCTGCGACTTCGTGGGTTTCCATACGAGCAATGGCGCAATCTTCGCCTTCAATGATTCTCGCAGCTTCTAAATTACCGAATTCGAGGAGTAAAGCACCAAGATCGGCAACAGTTTTAATATAAGGGGGTAGACCTCTAATAAAAATATCTGTGTATGTTGTATCGATGTCTGCTTCGGCATCAGGTGACTTCACACGTAATTTTGGAAAATATTCTTCAATTTCAAGTTCATTTTCGCCAATATGCGCACCGAATAACTGTGCTCTAGCTCTTTTTGCATCTTCTGCTTTCATAAATTGTACATAGGCGCATCCTTTCTTTAATTCTGATTGAGCAATTTTAACTGTAATAATGTCACCAAAATTACTGAAAATTTCTGCAAGCTGTGCAGCTGTAATGTTTTCCGGCAATCCAGAAACAAATAAACAATTATTTCCTTGCATAATTGAAGTAATTACTTTTTTTGCACAAGAAGTGAGTACAATCTGCTTACCATCGATATTACTGTAGTTCAAATTTTGTATTGCGGCATTTACTGATTCTGGTTTTTCGTATTGAATCATAGCAAATTTTCCATTGTCTCTTTCCTTGAGAATAATTTTATTAATCGTTCCATATTCTGAAAATGTAGATTCCAGGAACTCCTCATTGGCTCCTGTTGGAAGATTTGCTATATGAAGAATTGCTGCTGAGTCCATTTGAATTTTATCGTCTTTTCGCTTCGGAAATCCATGGATTTTAGAATCATGATATGCTATCTAAGATCTAGTTCATGTCTTTTATTAATATATGTATCTTAATGCATGGTACTGCCAGCAGTAATTTCATTCTTTCTTTAATATAAATAATGATTTTGGAATCATTCTTGATTTTGAACTAATATCTTTTGAGGAACATCCTAAATTTAGATGAAATTAATAGAGTTGCTTAATTAAACAACTTATTCCTATATTTAAGAAAAATATTTTAATATTTCTTAAAATCAATCTGAGTAAATCAAAAAACATATATAAATATCTTTTATAAGCATTTATGAGCGGATATCCATTTCAGTGCTTCATAATTGTAAATTTCATTTACTATTATTGAGAAAAATCAGACATATAAAGAAATAGTATCTTTCTTATCAAATATACTGGCAGCAAGAGCATAGAAGTTTGGATTCTGTTCTACATGATTATCTGGAGCATGAAGTGCTGCAAAATTGTATATTATGACCAAATTGATACTTACAAGGGAATAATATCTGAAATGAGAAAAATTCTTAAAAGATTCAAGAATTTCAACAAATATCTCATGTATCCAAAACACGATGAAAAATGGAACATTGATCAGCGAAATTCTAAAAATATTAAAATTCAAAATTTCTTTGTAGTGATAAACAGCATTAATTACAACTAAAAGCAAGAGGACACCATATGTAGCACAAATAGAGTTCAGAACTCTCTTCAACAATGGTGAATTTGCTCCTTCTATTGGCCAAAGAAAATAATGAGTATTTTCAAGGCGAACGTAAAGAATATCGAACGCTGCAATGAAGAACACTAAAAGTAAAATGGCCAGGCTTATCGTTAAAAAGCCAATTCTTGGTTTTGGATTTATTGTATTGAAATATATCAAAAGAATACAATAAAAAGCAGATATACATATAATTATGGCTTCACTAAACTCTTGGATGAAAGAAAAATCTGGAAATAGGAAACCAAAGAAGATTTCGCATAAATTGTCGATTAAAAGGGCAAAAGAGAACAAACCAGCAAAATTCTGTTCAAATGTACGAATTTTTGTCTTAAAATCAACAGTAAACTTGAATATAACAAAGAGTAAATGAATGGTCGAAAATATTATGTTGAAAAAGAGCTGAAAATGCAGATATTCTGATGAAGAGAACTCCCATTTCACATTTATTACCGTATTAACATTGGTATATCTCACAATATTAGCACTGTACCTGATCGAATCGTAATTAAAGGCCGTATCTTTAAGATAACATCTGTATTTGCTTGTAGACGAATTGTAATTGTAAATCGGAAGATATCCTGAATCAATTTTTCTTATAATTCGACCATCTTTATACTGAATTATTTGAATTGGTCCGGTAATGATTGGTTTGTTTGTCTCAGTGATATTATTGATTCTAATATAGAGTCTTAAGTCTGTGTTGTATGATTGAAGGTTGGAAATTTCGGTAGATAACTGAGAAATTGAATTTCGAGTGAAAGAATCTATTCTTCTTGAGTGAGATTGCTTGAGATTCTTCTTTGGAAAGATCAGGGGAATTGCATATATAAACAAAATCAAAATAACTAGCCAAAGAAAATGCTCAAATTTCGAATTTGAGGTTCCAGCTAAATCTCCGATATCAGATGAGAGCATGTTATGATCTCCAGGTGATTCGTACGCTACTTCATCATCCGAAGTCATATGTAAAAATTCTGTGAAAAACCAATAGAAGAATGAATTGAGCGACCATACGTCAATTCAATATCATTATCTTATTTATCATAATATGTAGCATTTAACACAACAAACGTTCGCTTGATAGCATTTTTGAAAAATTTTATTTTCGATTTTGAACAGAGGTTTAAAAGATTAAAAAAAGAATCATATAAAAGAAAAATACATGATAATTTAATATAAATTAAACAAAAAATTACAATGGGTTTTTCATGATATAATCCGAAACGTATTCAGCGTCAGCATCATCAAGCATGATACTTCCGCTCTTGAAAAGATCAACTATCTGATCGAACGATGGTCTCTCTGATGGATCAGCAGCCCAGCAAGCCTTAATTAGGGTTTCAACGCCGACAGGAAGCTGGTAAGTGTGGGCGAAGGTTGTTGATTGCAACATGAGTGATGATCTTCTGGGAATCGAGGCCATCAAATGGGATCTGCTTTGAAGCAATCTCATAAGCGATAATAGCAAAAGAATAGACATCAACCTTTTCAGTGATTTCGTATCTTCCATTGAAGAACTCTGGGGCCATCCATTGTGCAGTTCCTGCGCGGTTGATGGATTGGTCGTTCTTGTCAGAAGAGCTGGAGATGCCGAAATCGCAAAGTTTGATGCGCTTGTTTTGATCGATGAGGACATTAGGGGATTTTAAGTCTCTATGGACGAAACCGCTGGAATGAATACACTTCATGCCACGAGCGATATCGTAGAGAGCTATTGTAAGGTCTGTTTGAGAGAGCATGTTGTTCTTGTGCAATGCATCGAACAAGTTTCCGTTTGGAATGTACTTTGTAACTATACAGTAAGGATATGAATCTGTGGCTCCAACTAATTGGACCAATGTTGGGTGGGAACTGGAGGCAAGAACGGTTATTTCATTCTGGAAGTGCTGAAGCTCTGTGAGGGAGAGTTCATGGCAATTAAATTTCTTGATGGCAACTTCCTCACCGGTTGGTTTGTAGATACCGGAATAAACAACTGATGAAGCACCTCTTCCGATATCTTCGTTTTCGATCAAGTTGTCATGTTCAATGCGGTATTGAGCACAGTTCTGCGGTATGGGTGAGAACATATTCAATATACTGTTATTAGCATTGTTGCAAGACTCAAAAAAGTTGCTGATGCTCTTCATACGTCTAAGGGCGTTCATTACAATCATGTTATTATTATTTTGAGTCTTAATGAAAGATTCAAAGGAGGAATAAATTGACTTAAGTTCAAGAGTATGGAGTCTACTCCATTCTGGTGATGCTGTATCAAAATATTTTGCACCGATGGGATCAAGTTCAGAAGACTGCTCTTGGAGGGAAGATGTCAAGTTGAGCATGATGCTTGGTAATGTGGAGATCTTGTTTTCAAGTGTATTCTTTGACCAATTCTGGAGCTGGTAATTTTGCAATAATTCAAGATACTTCTTGCAAATATCTGTAATAATATTTTTGTACGCATTATATTGGCGCTTGGAGAGAGTTTGGTTGGTTGCTACAGATTGAAAATGATTGGAGAAATTACGGAATTGACCAATAGCATAAACAAAAAGATTCCTATAAGCAGCCAATGTTTGGGTTATATTTTCAAAACTTTTGCAGACATTAGATATGTGTCTACTTGCGAATAGTAATGTTGGAGAGCTCATAATGTTTTGAAATTGAATTGAAAAAATTTTCAAAGGATTACTAAATCCAATATACGGAATAAATCATATCGCCAACATGTTCTGATCTTAAGTATAAATTAATTATGATTTTATCGAACGTGTTCCCCAGAAAAAGATTTGCCTAAATTTTTTTGAGAATAGCTAGAAAATATAAATACATATAATAAATATAAATTTTAAGATTAAAATTGAATAACCATAGAAAGCTATCAAAAGATATATTTGATTCTGCATAATCCATCTCAATATTAGATGCTAATTACGATTTCAAAAAATATTCTAATTGACAATAAAATTAGTCATTGACGATGAAAACAATTAAAATAGAAAAGTCAATATTTTTATATAATATAAATCAAGAGAATTTATAATTTGAGATCACACAATATTTTCAGAGGGATTTTAGCCGTATAAAATCAAAGATTTTCAATGCCGATCATTCATTAATGCGGCATCATCAATACAAATATATTTACTATTCAAAGATCCTACGAATTATTATCAACAATCATAATCGCCCATTTCTATAAATTGAGAACGGATTCTCTCTCAAAAGTTCCTTTTCAATTAATTTTTAAACGGACGTAATTATATTGTTATTTTCAATAATTTCTAATTTTTTTATTTGTTTACATTCATCCTAATATTTTAACTTGAATTTTTTTTTCAAGTCAATTTTCGCAATCCCATTAAATCAATTATGCCGAGTTTAATAATCTATATATATCCTTTGTTCATTCTTAATCTCAAAATTTTCCCGTAAATTGTGGTTAATCCCATACCAAAAGCTATTGTTTATGAGTTTTTAAGCATTAAAAATCATTGCCAATCATTAGGCTATCTATCCTTCTAGGTTTAACTTTATTGACACAATATTATTTCTTGAAAATTTATAAGTATTGTAATTGTATAGTTACAGCTCATATTTAAGTTAAACTCTTTATAAAAAGTGCTAAACTTCTAATACGATGCAAACAATCAATAAATATTTAATACAAAAAATGATGATACGCGATGAGTAAAGTTTGATTCCCAATAAGAAAGGATATCACTGTATAGTCTATTATCATTCAATATGCTGCTTATTAATTTCAAGTTAGTAACTCAATTCTAATTATTCAAATATTTGAACTAATAGTTCTGAATTCTCAATGGGCCTCACTCATATCATAAAAGAGTTTGTTGTTCTTGAGATTCCTTCAAGCAACGGAGATCATTACTGAAATAAGGTTATAAAAATACTGTCATTGATGAGTACTGAAAAAACGTTTGAAATTTTCTACCCTATGAAGGCTTCTCCTGTGAAGCGGAAAACAAGCCATTTTACACATACACTTAACCCTCCACTCCGCACAGGCTTCGTTGACTATCAAAATCCAAAGAAATATGCATCTTCACCCGAACCAAGAATTAGAAGCGAAACTAAAGATTTTTCTTACAGTTCTGAAAATAAAATCAAGAAACCACGAAAATTGTATCGTCAAAACATTCAATCGCCTCCAGAAGAAAATCCAAATTTATTTAAACCATCCAAAACTCCAAATTTCTTTATAAAAACACGTGACCCTCCCGAATTTCAAGATTTTACAGATGTGTGGGGTGAGTATTTAGAACTTAGACACCTTAAACGTATTGAAAATACAATTTATTGGAAAGTTTATTTCAAAAAATGGAAATCTCGATACTCTCAACAATTTGTTCAACGAATTAAACAGACTTCTACATATTCCAATAACTCAAGCAGAAAAGACAAAGATGAAATCAATGTTAATCCTTATAGAGAGATTGACACAATAGATCTTATTGAACGCGCAAGAAGAACGATTGATGAGATGACTTCTTCATCATCTTGGGTTCAAAATGCAGCAACATCTGTTTCAATTATTCAATCACGTAAATCCTCATATCAAAATAATTATTCTTACAGAAATGAATCAATTCATATCGGACAATCATCTCTTTATCCTGATCAACCGAAATCTCCTCCAGTTTCATATCCAAATGAACATTATATTATTCCTGTCGACAAACCAAGTCGCAATCCAAATAGATCACTTGCAGACTCTTTCTCAACTCTAGAAGATGAGTCAGATGATCCAAATAAGGGCCATTATAGGTTTAATTCGAGCGAAGAACCAAAATTTAGCGAAATCAGTGATGATCTTAGCAATGATTCATATTCAAATTAAGCGGGACTCCCATGATCTCATGTTATTTTATTGTTGTTTTTGAAATTAAAAAGTGACATTTCCATGATTTTCTTTTGTTTTTTTATTCAGCATTCGCTTGAAGATTCAAATGCTGACCTACATCCACCATTTCTCGTTGATTTCCGCGAAAAACTCCCTTCGTGGAGGTATTTCGGCGACATTTCGATAAATGAAAATTCAATTACAATTCTTCCGCCAATGAAGAATATATCAGAGCTCTTAATTTCAGAAATAAAAGTCCCTAATATGGATTTAAACGTCAGTTACGTATTCAATATAACAAATCCTCAACATAAATCCGGATTTGCAATTCTTTTCATTGATCCTGATACGTACAATGACGAAGTTAACGGTGGACCATCAATTTACGAGGGACTTGCTCTCTTTGGAACAATTTTCAACAGAAATGGTAATACAACACTTGACCTTGTTCTTCTTCAGAACCAGATTGACCATGAAATTACATACAAATCTCTGAAAAACATGTCAGATTATTCCTTAGACGCGAATCAAAACATTTCAATCCGAATTAATCTTACATTCATCAACAATTCGGTCACATTATATGTTTCCAACGATTCTACAGTCGAACACCTTGAAGAAATTGGTGATCTAAGCATCACAGTCAATTTAACAGGCACAGTCATGTTAATTACGACAGCCAATCGAAAATACGATACTCAAATCGATTTACTTAACGTTGATTTCGAGATTGGCGATCCATTCTACGCTTTATACATGCGAAAAAGATATGATCAAATATTACAAGATGGAATTCTCGACGACATCAACGCAACGTTCCGTTCCAAGAAGCTAAACAAGACTGTCACAGAATTACATACTAAATTCCAAGACAATTCCACAGAAAAGTCAATTTTTGACATTTTTGACATTTTTGAAGAACTTTCGAGTGCATCAGAGGATATGGCCAAGTACAGAGACGTCGCCAAGCTATTTTCAGGCCGTGTAGCTCCATCTGTTGCCAAAGTTCATAAAAGAACATCAAAAATTTACGATCGAATGAATAATTTAACAAAAATCATGACTTATGCGTTGAATTACACGCAGAACATCATGCAGTCATTCAACAACACGATGATGCAGAACAAAATCAAGTTTAACAAATCTATCAATGTTTTAGAGAAAGAACTTGAAATTGATACAGAAGAAATTCCAAAAAGTCAATTCAAAATGCAAAATTATTTCATGTTTGCTGCTGTTTTCGAACTTATCTGTCTCTTCCTTTTCTTCTTGATTTCTTTATGTAGAATGCCAAAACACACTTGATTTCTTTCTTATTTTGTAACTTTAACACTCTATACTAAATATTATGCGCTTTCAAACTTTTTTAAATAACATTTTTTTTGTTTATTGATGTGGAATAAAATTGCTTCATATATTCAAATCAAATAGTCTTGCCTAAAATTCTTATCTCAAGTTAACTGACATTTCCAATTTCAGAGTGTAAGTTAATTGTTTCTATCCCATTTTTGGGGTAAAAAAAACTTCATAATAATTTTGGCCTCATTATTTGTTGTTCAGAGAAGTATTATGAATTCTTGGTGTTACATGTGAATGAATACATCACAACTCACTAGTTGGATAGTAAAATTATCATTCAGAGCCAATTTTTCGATGATATTTATAAGATTAAGTATCTATTAAGGCGCGATATAGTTGGTTTCCATAAATTCTATCTTGACGAAAATAATGCTGGAGATGCGTTTTTTGCGAGTTTTGAAAGATATGATAATTTAACTGAGATTTCTTTTTGTTCTATTATACATTTTTCAATAAAAATATGAGAAATAGTATTAAAATCGAAGTCTTGCTTTAAGTTAACAAATGTAACAATTCCTGGTCCTGTTTTAGACTGTGATTCAATATATGAATCTGAAATAGTCAAAGTATAATCTTCAAATAATGGATAAAACATGTACTTTGCAATGTTACATAAAAATATGGAATGATCAATATTAGTATTGTAACTAGAATAGAATAGATATTGGCTCTTGCCTGTTCCACATTTGTTTCCAATAATATTGCAATAAGAAATCGTTTGCTTATTTGGATCTTTATCACCATAAAAATAAAGAGAATTACTTCCGGTTTGGTTGTTTTCTCCGAATGTTGTGAAATTACATGTACTCGAAGTCCCTGAAAGGAGATTATATATCGATGATTGGAACTCGCATTTGTTGTTTGTAATGTTGGTATTGGAAATACGTAGGTCACCCCATACAACTTCAAAAGTTATACTACCTTTTGATTCACCTTCCCCACAATTAGAAACAGAAACATCAAACACATAGTTTTTATAAGAGGGGAAAAATTCAACCCAATGGAGAAACGCCATTATACTGTCTTCTGCTTTTGATTTATAATAGCGAGTTTGTTGTTGTACAATTTGTCCATTATAACATTCATAATAAATAGATCCACCTTGATAAGTGGAACTACAGTTGTTAAATATAGAATCTTCAAGTAATGTGCAGATATAATTATTTTTTTTAATGTAAATTGCGCCTTTTCCTTCGCAGGATTCAAATAAGCAATTATAAACATAATAACCATTAGGGCCATTTGTGTCATAGATTGCTGTCCCATTTTGTGTCTTATCAACTTTACTTTTATTTCCAAAATATTCAGACCAGTCGCATTTTCTTGAATTTCCCTGCGTTAAGCTTCGGAAGAATATAGTTCGATATTATATCCAAATTATTCACTTTAAGCCGTTGATTTTTTGCTATTGACTTTATCCGAGTGTTTCATAAAAAAAAGTTACTATCAATTATTTCAGAGAGTCTCATCAAATTCAAATCCTTTCAAAAAAAGATAAAATACTAAGATTTCAAATATGAATACAAAATAACATTTTTATTTTACTTTATTTTGATTTTTTAAAAACAACAAATAAATCATGATGATTTTTTTTTCTCAAATTTGTTTGCAAGTCATTGGAATGGAGCAGCAAACAATGGTAAGTTAGGTTTAACATTTGCTTCTGAATTCTGGAATTTGTAGTCTTTGTCACAGACAATTCCTTGAATGTGTTGAATTGGAGCATCTGAATTTACTTCTGGAACTGTAAATGCAGGGCATTTAGGAGCGAATTTCAAGTCAGCGGACTTTGTATATGGATGGTTAATGACATCGAAAATTGAGTATCTTCGTGATGGATGAACGACAAGCATGTGTAAAATTAGATCCCACAAGACGTCATCTGCGCCTTCTGGTTTGTTCAGAACTGATGATTCAATTGAACGAACGATCTCGAAAACGTTATTTCCTGTAAATGGAAGCTTATTAAATGCGAGCTGGTAAAGAGTAACACCAAGGGACCAGACATCTTCCTTGCAAGGGTCGATCTCTTCTTCCTCGTCATATTCGCAGTCGTCGTCGACAACTTCTGGTGATTGGTATGCAGGAGTACCAACTACAGTAGCTGCACTCTGAAATGACCTACCAATGCCGAAGTCTGAAATTAATATTGTTCCATCAGACTTAAGCAAGATATTCGCTGGTTTTAAGTCTTGGTGTACAATATTATGCTGGTGAAGGAACATAACACCTTCTGCAATCTGTCTGAACAAAGCACAAATTTCTTGTGGCTTAAGTTTGACTTTTGACTTTATTAATTGATCAAGGTTCCCACAATTTGCGTAATCTACTATAAGGTATACAACATCTCTTTCTGGGACGTGTATTACTTCATGCAATTGAACCACGTATTTATTTTTAATTTGTCTCATGATTTCGATCTCTCTTTCTAGTTGATGTATTCCCATCGATGATCTTACAAATGTTTTAAGATTTATACGTTTAATTGCATAGTATTTGTTCGTATTTACATCAAGTCCAAGGAAAACTTTGGAAAAAGAACCTTCTCCAACCAAGCATAGTTCCTTATACTGGTTGATTTGCTTGATTGTTCCATTCCCGTTTTCGTACGTTACATCAACGACCTGTTGGACGGAGATGGAGCGTCTCATGAGAGTAAAATTTTAGCGTAAAATCAGAGAATTGTAAGCAATTAAAACTAAAAATACAATTAAGTTTTTTAAAAGAATAAATAACAAAACATAAAAAAATATACATATAAATATATTATAATTAATTTTCTAAACTTTGGATTCAGATAATATTGGAAGATAAGGTGCCAAAGGAGGTCTTCTTGAATTCCATCCACTTGGTAATCTCGTTGCTTGTATACCGTCTTCTTTCTTCTTACGAGGAGAATACGCGTTGTTTGTTGTCATTGGTCGTTCATGAGGTCTATTTTCGATATTTGCATTAGTTACAGCGAAACCACCACCTACAAACTGTGTAACCTTACGAGCACTTACAGGTCTTACTTGTGGTAATGGCGTTGGTCTCTTTCCTGCTGCTGTTTTAGCCCTCATTTTGACAACTTTCTTCTTTTGGTTGTAATAAGAAGATTTTTCTTCTCTGACCATTGTTCTTACAGTTGTCAGTTGTTCCTTTTGATCGCCAACGACGTTTCTTTGTGAGTTCAGTTGTTCTTCCATTGATCTCAGCTGTTCCGTTTTCTGCTGCAAAACTTCAGTTAAGAATTGGAATTCATCATAATATCTTTCACTTTCTGCAGCGTTTTTAAGATGTGTTTCTAAAACATCTGCTCTATCTTTTAATCTTGATTTTGTGTCTCTTAGTCTTGACAACTGATTTATCTTCATCATCAGTTTATCTCTCACGTCATGATTCATTCTTATCAACTGAGCCAACTCTGGATTAGTTCCATTCAATATTCTCCATCTGTGAATGTTAATTGGTCTTTCTAATTCTTCAGAAAGAGCTCTACTTTTTCCTTGTTCCAAAATCAAAGCTTTTTCAACTCTGATTATTTCTAATTGTAAAGCTCTACTGTGCCTTATAGAATCAAGAAGTCTTTGGTTAAGTGCTAGTTCTCTCTTTAAATCATCATTCAGCTGATTTATCTCTGCCATTTTCTTCTTAAACGATAAAGAACCGTTGTTTATTTCTGTTGTCAACAAATTTGCTTTTTCTTTGAGAATGTTTGCTTCATTTACTTTCTCAACAGTTGATTTATTGACTGATCTCGTGTAGTACTCTAAATCATCAGCAGTATGGCTCTGTGTTCTTGTATCTAGTTCAGCTTGTGATAATAAATAAGCCGATCTTTGTATTTTATTACGTAATTGCGTTGTTTCATCATCACATGCTTTTAAATCTTGTCTTAGTTTCTCAACATCAGCTTCTATTAGTCCCAAAGAATCTTCAACAACTTTCCTTTTATAATGTGTTGCAACGCATTTCTCATCTGCTTCTTTTATATCATTCTTTAACTGTGCAATTTCATGGACTAAGACATCAACATTCGCTGCAATTTCTTCGTTTTCTAACATGGCTTTTACATGTTGTTTACAAGCAAGATCTCTTTCGTTTTGGACAATTTCCATGAGACTTACTTGCCTTTTCGTCTGTTCATTAAGGGTATGGAGTTCTTTGGACCTGTCAGCATATGACTGCTCTAATATCTTGATTTCTTCGCCTGTTTGGTAGATGTTTCCGTTCATTGTTATCGATTTTTTACGGTAATTGTTAGTTTCGGTCTCGATTTGAGCAATTTTCTTCTGGTCTTCTTGCGCTTTAGCCTTCATAGCTGATACTTCGCCTGTAATGATGGCTTGCTGGTCTTGGACAACTTTCAAATTTTGTTTTTCTTTGGAAGAAAGGGAATGAAGCATATGAGTATCGGCAACAACTTTGTCTGATTGCATTTTAGTTGTTTTGGTGTTCATATTCACTTTACTTGTTTGGCTATTCAAGATATAAAGATCATGAGTATATTTAGCAAAGGATTGACGAGTTTGAGCTCGTTCATTATCAATATCTTCCTTTGCTTGCTTGCATTCGTTCAATATTTTGGTTAATTCTTGGTTTTCTGACTGAATATTATCCATTTCTTTCTTTTGTCCTTCAATATATCCATTCTTTTCCTCAATTTTGTCTCTTACACCTTGTATAGATGCTTGTATCTTCTTTCCTAACTTGATTACGTCTTCGTGGTCTTGAGTTTTGCTAACTACTCTTGCTAAGCTTATATTCTTATCTTCTTCAGCAACTTTCATGTTACTGTCTTCTGTAAGCTTGTCTTGAACTAATTCAGAGTTACTGATGCCTCTATCATGTATAATTTGAGAATTATTTGTAATTGTGTTTTGATTGTTAACAATAAGATCTTTAATATCTTTTATTTTGGAAACTAAGCTTTCAGACTCATCCGATAAGCTTTTATTTTGTTGTCGATATTGATTTGCTTCTTCGTTTATTTTTTGTTCGTCTTCTTTTAATTTGTTAGTTTCTACAAGTAATCCTTCTTTTTCTTTAGCTTTTTCGTCTATTGCCGCTCGAATTTGCTGCATTTGAGTAGTTTGCATCGTTATTTCTTTTTTAAGAGCTGCAATTTGATCAGACATTTCTTGTAATGATGTTTCTTGTGAAAATGCTAATGCTCCACCTTGTTCGACTAACCTTGAAAGGTTTGAAATTTCTTGCTTCAAAGTTTCAATGACTTCTTTACTTTTCGACTCTCTTTCTTGTGAGATTTCGACCATTTTCCATGCCTTTTCGAATTCTGTACGTAAACCTGCAATAGTACGTGCGTCACTTTGATTTAAAGATAAAGTACTTGAAATTACGTTTGCATTCGAAAGAATATCAGCATTTAGCTGTCTGCACTTGTCAATGAGTTGTTTATTTTGATTGTGAGATTTAACGAGTTCGACATGCAATTTTTCGTATTCACCTCTAAATTTTTCGAGAGTTTGATCATTAACGAGGTTGGAAACGATGAGCTGGAAGTCTTTTTCCATTTTATCAAAGGCTTCTACTTCATTATCGAGCTCATCGACTTCATTTTTCTCGTCACTCATTTAAACGAACTTTTTTTTCTCAATCGAAAATTTTATAAAATCATCAATCAAAAATAAGGATTTCTCCTTATATATTGCACTTATAGATGCAGAAGGAGGTGCTTAATCTTTACTATCTAGTATATGAGTAGATATCGTATCCAAAAATCATCAAAGAACTCATTCTCTTAAATTATTTTGGCAATATAAAAGCATTGAGTTATAATCTTTTGTGCGATTGAAGAGGGTACTGATTGATAATTGATGTTGGCACTCATACATGTTAATTTCGAAACAATTCAATCAAATGAAATTCGAAGGATGTTCTAAACATAATTTTATAAGCTATTGAATTTCTGATACATAAGACTGGAAAATATTTCTTTTATTTAGATGATACTTGAAAATTGCACAAATTTGTCTGCGAACTTGATAAAATAAGGCAGCGATAATGGAAACCATCACATGCTGCTCTTCATTTAATCCTTAATGCAATAAGAAAGCCTTTTTTTATAGATTTTTTTCCCTAAACAATTTCCTATTCAAAATTGAGTGTCAAACCGGTTTTCAGAAGATGCTGTTGTTTTTCTTTGGATTTTCTTTATCAATGACTTGGGCGGACCTTGAATTACGCCTACCCAACTATTACGAGCCTCTTCAATACTCAGCTCGTGATAATAGGAACAAATTTACAACAGTTGTTCCAAAATTGATACAAAATCAGAAAGACCTTAAGAAAGTACAGGAAAATATTCCATTCCTTGGCATCATTGACTGCTCTTTCGACACAATTTCTGATCAAACAACAGGAATTGTTGAATTAGAAAATACAATGTTCAAAATCTACAATACTAACTTTTCAAACATCGAAAATTGCTATGGAATTTATACAGTAGACTGCAGAGATTCCAAAATTATCAATTGCAGCTTCACAAACTTCAATCAAGGCGGTGCTTTGAATTTTATCAAATCTAATGAGATTTTCGTTACAAATTCAAAGTTTTCTGCAATCACCGGCAATGATACAAGAACAAGCGTCGCTATTTTAGACAATTGTTACTATTGTTTCTTCCGAAATTGTGATTTTACTAACAACGATGTTTTTGCATCAGTTTTTCAAGTATCGAAATCAGAAAAAATCAAATTCGACTTCTGTAACTTCCGTTTTAACACTCTTACATGTCCAGGCTGTATTTTCTTCTATAACAGCGAAAATTGCTTAGTACAGAACTCAGAATTCACGGATAATGTTTGCTTTACACATTCCGCAGCTTTGTTCTCTACAGGAACCTCAATTACCTTGAAACATGACTATTTCGCAAGAAATCAACTTAATTTAACGAAAGAATACATTCCTGAGGTTACTACTAAGCTAGACTTCTGGCAAGTAGCAGCCACAGTTACAGTTGTCCCAGCTTTCCTCATAAAAAGCATAAAATGTCCACATAATTTCAAGAATTTGTATTTTGATCACAATTATCCAATCAATACCACCAAATCATTCAGGTACCTTCTCAACTCGATCGATATGATATGTTTTGCCCAAGAAGAACTTGAATCTCCAGTAGAATCTGTTATTAACGTCCAAGGAGTGATTCAGACGACCAACAATGCTTCAATTGACATAGACTTCAACAGTATGGTCGATCAGAAGCAAATTATTGGCAATTTGGAGAAAGTTGATTACAATATTTCAGAATCGGAAGAATTTGACGAAATTGTCGACCATGCTGCCCAATCTAACATGCCAACCATCAGATATAAGACGAGCACCATTTATTCGTCACAAACAATCGCTTACGCCGTTGGAAAATTATCGTATTTCGCAATTGAACAATGTGAGTTCTCAATGTGCACTATTGGCATCACACAGCAATCGTATGATAGCAATGTACTTATCTTCCTCAATTTGTCCCACCACGGCTACTTTTCATTGACAAATACGAGATTTTCCGAAAATTACGCTTATTCTTCCTTGATACAGGCTGTAGATTGCAAAGGATTCATTGTTAATGACTGCAAGTTCAGTTACAACACGGCGAAACACTCTTCTTGCGCTTTAATTTACAATTCAGAAATTGTCAGGATAATGAATTGCAAATTCGATCGCAATGATGCATATGTCCACGGCGCCATCGCCATCTACAATTCCAAGGACGCAGTGGTCAAACAATGCACATTTAAGAAGAATTACGGTTTTTGCGGTTGCAGCAGCTTAATTTTCAATAATACGAACATGTCCATTATAGATACCATGTTCACACGTAACAACGTCGATCACGAGCGTTGGGACCTTAATTCGAATCTTTTTCCAAATTTGGATGACGAAACCATCCTCAAACCTCATGAGAACATCAGTGGTGTATACACAGCTAACAAGTTCTCAGTTTCTTTATCAGGATACGGAAACAGCCAACTTTATTTGGATAACGTCGGATTTTCCAACTCAGAAATCGAAAACGACATGAACATTACAGATCTAAAGGTAGAGTCATTGGATGTCTACATAGAAGAGTCCGTAAAAGTCGAAAAAGTTCAAAATTCGATCACTGACACTAAAAAGAGGTCATGCAACAGAAATATTGGTATAAACTGGACAAATACAAGAGTAACTCTATCTACATATTATAGATATAACGAATACTACGAGCCATTCCCTGAAATTGCAACAGATTACGAAATTATCAAAGATGGTGATAGTTACAAACTTAATGAAGTCAGTTTCTTCACTATAATAGACAGTCCAGAGAACGCAGCTAATGTATACAGCTGGGTTTACGACGAAAAACCAAATATTCCACAGCCAACACCAGCAATGACTCCTTCTCCGATAATTAAAGTGGTCGGCCACGGAAAAACGATAGGATTGGCCGTATTTGGCGGAATTATCGGTCTGACTGTAATAATTTTAGTTGGAGCCACGATTTACTTCTGCAAGAGACCTCCAGAGGCCAGATTGCATGACGATCCTAATGATCCAAACAAGAAAGATCGAAAGAAAGCACTTTTGGAAGAAAAAGAAAATGATGAAGCAATAGTTTCTTTATAAATTAAATAAAATAGTGATATATATTAATTTAAACATAGGATTTTTAAATCCATACCATTTGCAATAATAGAACAAATTCAGTTTCAATAAAATAAAAATTATTTGGATAAAATGGCTTAATAGGATAAATCTTTCATAATAATACGAATGACATGTAGAAAAGCTGTAAGTTTCTTTCCATTTAAAGGTGCATTTACCACTTCCTAATACAATCTCAAATTTCCTGTTTAAAGTTTTATTTTGAGAGGATTTAACAAAGTGGTATCTGCACACTTAAGGAAATAGGATTCTTCAAACATATAAATTTGCATGTCTATTAGGTTTGAATTAGAATGGCATTTTCTGACTTTTTTTTTTCAGGAAAAAAAGTCTTCATCAGTAGTAGGATATGACGGGTTTAGTGACTTTTTTTGTTACATCTATATATAGACGATGCATTAAAATATATTTATTTATAAATCATTAAAAAATTAACATTAATTTTAAAATAATTTATTTTTTTATCTTTTATAAAAGAAGCTATATATAGATGATGTCAGATATTCCGCGATTAATTAAACATTGTTTAAATCCTGAATGGGTTAAACTTCAATTTAAAAATGAAGATTGTGAATTATTAAATGAATATGAAAGCCAAAATAAGCTAATGAGGTATAAATATAATGATAAAGAATATTTAATTTCATGGAATCAATGGAGTCATAATCAAAGACCTCATAAACGAGAAGAAGAAATTGAAAATAATGAAATGGAAATCATTGATGACATTAAAGAGGATGAATTTCATATAAAAATAAGAAGTCTGTTTGACCTTAAGAATGATTTATATATAAAAATAAAATAAACTTCTTACGAAAAATTAAAACTTAGTTATGTTTATTATTTTATTTTTTTTATTTTGTATGAAATGAGCGTCAAAACTAACAACGTTAAAAAATTAGGATTCACAAACGAGGAAATAAAGGATATATTAGAGGAGGTAGGTTATGAAGTTAATAAATATTATTTAAGAAATTGTCAAAAATTTGCCGAGTTATTAAATGATTTAGATTATGATGGAAAAATGAATAAAGATGACGTTATAAATTTCTTATATCCCACATCTGAAGAAGAAAAACCTAAAGAACCTGATGTTTTCCCTGAATATTATGAAGAACGGATTAAAGATGATGAATACAATGAAATTGAAAGACTGAAAAAAATAAGAGATGAAATAGATGAAAAAATTAAGGAATTAAGAGAAGTTGAAAAATATAATGAAAATGAAGTAGAGGGTTTAATGAATATCCCAGCTTCAGAATCAGAAGTTCAGAAATCTCATGAAGAAAGATATAAAAATTATGTCTCAGAATCAACACAAAATTTATTAGATGGTGAAATAGACGAAACACTTTCAGAAGAAGGTACTAAATTTATTCGTAAACATAAGTTACAATTTATTGATAATGAAGAATACCCCTGTATCCTACTTTCACCACCTTTAGATTCCGAAAAATTCAAAAAAGCTCTTAAAAACGTGACATATGCAACTAATACGATTAAGAAAGAAGATCATGATATTTACACAAATTATTATTTAAATAAATGCACAGGTGTTGATAAAGTTTTTGATTTATTAGATAAAATATCAAAAGAAACCATTGGAACCTATAAAATTTTGTGTGATTGTGGTTTCATTGTTGAAGATACCAATAATGTTTCATATGAAAGAACAACACCGAAGGAAGACGAAGTTGAAAGGTCTATACCATTCGTTATTAAGAACATAAAAGATATGAAAACTTATAAACATTATATTTATTCATTTATTTCAGAAAAAATGGAAGCAACCCATAAAACATCTTCTCATCATTTTATAGCTATTCATACATTCCTTTTCAAAGTTGTGAAATTAAATAAGACAGGAATTAGATTTAATGTATCAGGGTACGCATTCTTGAGTAAATTAAAATGTATTCGTCACGTCGCAGATGATAAAAATTTATGTGTTCTTAATTCATTTTATGGGCTTTAAAAATAAACTTTATTTTTATTTATTTTTTAATTTTTTATTCTTACATAAATGAACAAAAACGGAACAGCTAAAATGAATGATAATCAAATTAGAGCAGAAGGTAGAAGGTTATTTAAACGCTTCTATAACATTCCTGATGGTGTTAATCCTAAAACTCGTAGAAGCTATTTAAATGAAGCAATAGATGCATATGAAGGGTTTGACATTTCATCAGAAAGTGAGAGATTAGCGAGAATGTTAAATGTTAATATTGATTTCTATTATTGTGATCCTCAACCAGAAGACGTGGACATAAATAAGGTAGACTTTCCATTAGTGGAATCAATAATGATAGATCCAGAATTTGAAACAGTAAATATTTTATTAACACAGAGTCCATGTGGAAAACTTCACGCTGACAGAATAACAGACGTTGAAGCACTCACCGGCTATAAAGTTTGTCCATATTGTAAAGAAGAAGTTTATTCTATCCGTGATGATCCAGAAAGGAAAAATCAAAGAAGATTTTTAAAGCATTGTGAGAAATGTAAAGAAAATAATGGGAGATTAATTCAAGACGTTCAGTTGCAAAAGACACAGCAACCATATGCACCACATATTACGAAACAGAAGATATATCAGTGGTTATTAGCTCACAATTTGCAGGAATATTATAAACCGACAAGATATTATATTACTTTTGACTTTGAAACATTAGAGACTAAAGAAGAATTACAACTTTCTGAGTGTGCAACTTTGAACGCTTACTTAAAACCATTCATGGTATCATCAACGGTTAAATTAAATGATAAAACATATACGAGGAATTTTTGTTTAACTTCGAGTGATTCTTTTATTTCTGATTGGATTGAATTTTTATTTTCAACCTGTTCATTAGTTGTTGAATCAAATATTGAACAATATGAAGAATTAATGAAGCCGCAAACGGCGGGGACTTTGTCCCATACATTAAATGAAAAACAGAAGGAAGCATTTAAAGAACTTCTAGATGAGGAATTCAATAAAGTGAATATCATAGGTTTTAATTCGGGAAAGTTTGATTTAAATTTAATTCTTCGTGATTTAAACACTGCAAAATGGAAAATATAGGGTGTCCAAAGGTGTGTTTAGCACAAACCTGAATACTGCGAATAGAAATAAACAAGTTACATATATATAAAGTTTATTTAAATATAATCACCATTGGATTCAATCACGCGTTCGCAGCGATCGATCCAGGCTTGAAAGACACGCTTTAAATCATCATGAGAAAATTGCTCAAATTGCTCTCTTACAAAATTTTCAAGATCATCTGGACTCGCGAATTAGCGTCCTTCAGCTCTCTTTTTTAGCGTGCCGAATAAATAAAAGTCAGAGGGTGCAATATCAGGTGAATAAATTGGGTTTGGAACAACTTTGACATTGTTTTCCACCAAGTAATTCATTACCTTATGACTTTTGTGAACTCTTGAATTATCAAAATGAATTGCAAACTTTTGTTTTTGTTGTTTGGATTTCTCAAACTCATCAGAATTGATAATTTGAGTAAGAACATTGTCAATTAGATACTGAGCATTCATCGTATTAGGTTTTTGAAGAATATCAATTGCGATGATGCCATTCACGCCCCAAAAAACCGACAACATCATCATTGGTGTGTCAATTTTTTTCTTCGGGAATGTTTGCGGATTTTCATCCTTCGGGATCCACATGATTTTGGCTTCTGTTGCATATTGAAACCAAGACTCGTCCCCTGTTAATAAAAAGTGAAACTTCTTGGATTGATACGCACCCAATATAGAGAGGAGCTCTTTCGAAGATTGGACTCTAGATTTTTTTTGAACTGAATTAAGGTTGTGCGGAACCCAACGTGTATACGCTAGTTTGTAGTTCAAATAATTGTGCAGATAATAACGGACTGTTGTACGTGGTATCTTTGTCATCTCCTCTATCCTTCTGAGTGATGCTCTTGGGTCTTCATCTAGCGCTTGAAGAATTGCTTTGATTTTTCTTTGATCCGGCGATTTTTTGTCAATTTTTATGATGGGCGCCTTTTTGTTCATGAAGTGATACATCCTAACATGATACATTACAGTGGAATAGCTAGGAGCATCCATACCGAAGCATTTTACCAATGTCTCGTAGATTTTTTTACAGTCTTTGCATTTTTTTGCAAGAGCGAGGATGTTTTCTTTATGATTCATTAAAAAAATGAAAAAAATCCCGCCAAAATTTCCCGCGAAACCGCCTCTTGTCTCAAAATTCATTTTATATCCCGGCATGGCGCCAAAATACAACATACTCATCATATACATATATTCATATTTTTTATTATATATTTATAATCAGCATATATCTCCTTTAATAGTCTCATATAGAGCGCTGTGCTAAACGCACCTTTGGACACCCTATAAAATCAATGCTGGGTTCATCTTCACAATTTAAGCAAATCATTGTAAAGAAAACAAACGTTCCATATGAATTGAGATTTATTGACATCAGAAATTATATAGCGGGTGGGACATTAGACCAATTCACTCAAGATTTCGGAAACAATAAATCACGTGTTAAATCCTTTTTCCCTTATCAATTCATCACGTGGGAAAATTACGAAGAAGAATTATATAAAAAGGAACCATTCACGAAAGATTCATTTTATTCAGCATTAACTCAAGAAACTATATCAGATAGTGATTATCAAATATATCTCAATGATGCTAAAAACTTTAAGAATATATTAAAATATTTTATTCATTATTGCAATAAAGATGTTGAAATTATGATTGACCCAATTGATAAAATTATTGAAGAAACATTTGTTTATAAAATTGACATGCTTCATAATCTTTCTTTATCATCGAATGCTTCAATGATTCGTTACGCTTTAGCATATAAAGACTTTAATCCTAATGAAAAATATCCTGAGGAAGAGATAGAATCAAGTTTTGAATTAACGAAAAAGTATTGGAAATATAAAATTGAATCATATAAGAAACAAGATGAAAAAGCAGAAAGAGATACTAAAAATAATGTTTCAATGGATGATTTTCAATACTATCACGATTTAGTCCTTTCATCTAAATGCAAAATGTGTGGTAAAGCGTTTACATATGCAAATAAACCAACATTGGATAGAATCGATAATGAAAAACCACATACCAAAGAAAATTGTCAGTTAATGTGTTGTTATTGCAATGTCGTAAAATCAAATAAAGATGAAGATGTTCAACGTTTAAGAATCAATTTAAGAAATTATGCATTAAAAAATAATTTACCAATGACTTTAGATTCAGTTGAAGCTTATCACATTCTCCGTAATGGAATTACTGGTGGTCTATCAAATGTTCAACACCGTGTTAATCTTAAAGGAATCACGCACATTAATAAACCTTCATATAGTCCAGAAACTAAAACTGTATCAAATGAGGACACTTCCAACATCATGACTCATTTCGTTGGTGTTGATTTTAATTCATTATATCCTTCATCATTTTCATCTAATCCTCATGATTTCATTCAATATACTGACCATAAAATGTATATACCGGGAAGATTGAATGGTGTTATCATTTGTGATACAGCAACAAAGAAAGCAAAAGCACTGGGAATAATTAAGAAGAAAAATACTTTATTCGTGGCTGAAGTAAAGGGTCACATTGATGAAAAATACATTAATGATTACATAAACTTTTTACCGATAATAAGAAACTTAGATATTATCACAGATGAAAAAACAATTGGCAGTTTTATGTATAATTACATGAAATCAAACAATCTACCAGTTGACCAGAAACAGAGGAAATTAACTCAGTTAGCATCAACACACAACCAATATCAACCATTTTCTTCTTATTATCTATGGTATCTAATCGACAGGTTTAATTTTATCATTGATGACATTCAATCAATTTTAACATTTACTAAAAACACTTGCTTTAATGAATTTGCGAACGAATTTATGAACGAAAGACAAAAGGCTGAATTAGAAGGAAATAAAGGAAAAAGTTTATTTTGCAAGATTTCGCTTAATGGATCATATGGTTACGATGCAATGAATACACAAAATTACGCAAAGACTAAAATAATGAATGCACAGAAGGCACGCGTTGCATGTATGTCAAATAAGTTTAAAAACATAAGAGAAATAGGAGAGGATACGTATCAAGTGATGCTCAAAGATAGATTTTATAGATGTGATACATGTTTACAAGAGGCATTTTTTACTTTAGATAACGCAAAATACTGGTATTTAGTTTTCATTTATGATTTTATGTATAAATGCATGGATGTTAATCGTTTTCATTTCATTGAAGGTGATACTGATTCATCTTATTGGGCAATCGCTGGCGATCCAAGTCTTCCTAACACTCAAGCATTTCAAGCAATTGTTACCGATAAAAAATTTTATGATAAAAACATTTTCAAATTCGCACCTTTTGATTTCTTCTGTTTTGATGAGAAATTTAAACCTAAATTAAAGAATAAAGCTGAAGAAAAAGCACATGAGAAAAAATTATTGGGTTTAGCAATTGAGAAACAAGGTGATAACATGGTGGCGTTATGTCCTAAATGTTATACTTCATTCAACAGTTCAATTGATGGAAGTGATTTTAAAAAGATTGCACAAAAAATGAAAGGTGTTAGTTTACGACAAAATAAGCAATTAACACCTAAAAATTATTTGGATATAATAAATGATAAAGTTATTTTCGATGGTCAGAATATTAATTTACAACTTAAAAACGGGTCAATGACTCGCTTAACAATCGGTAAGACTGCATTAACAGGAGCACACACTAAGGCTGTATGTTGTGAAAATGGATGTTGTATGCCATTTATTTAATACAATTTAAAATTTTATTTTTAATGAAATGCCACAGAAGAGACAAAAGGAACCAAATCGATTTATACCAAATGGTTTTAACTTTCAGATTCCAAATAATCAACCACAACGAATTTTTCAAATCCCACCACAGCATCAACAGCCGCAACAACGACCACCACCACCACCACAACGTCAACGGAGAAGAACATTCACCCCTGAAGAAAGAAATTTCAATAATTTGATGCGTCAACAAAATCAAGGTTTGAGATTTTATCCGGGCAGTAATGGTATACATATAAGGCATCCAAATTTAGATAGAAGATATACCGCTGAGATTCATATTTTACCTAATAATACGGTTAATTTTGCTGGATTTTATGATCATCATCAGGAAATCTGGACTCCACCATTTGATACCGTTTTAGAAGGAGGAACCGTTAATGATGCGATTCAATATGTAAATAATGGTTTTGATACTATGATTCAAAGAGGTGGGCACCCTTAAAACATTTATTTTATTTTTATATAAATGGATAACGCAGATTTAGAAAATTTAATTGATGATTTAGTACTTAATCAAAATTTTCTTAATTATTATGAATTAAAATCATATCTCCAAAAACATAATAAAAATATAACGGGTGATGATATGGATTATTATTATTCGTATTATAAAAATGAAATTTTGAAATATCATGATAAAATAATTTCTGAAATTAAAGACAAAATTAAAAATAATGAATATACAAAGGGAAAAACTAAATCACAACTTAAACAGTTGAAAGATTTCAAAAATAAAGTATTAACAGAAGAAGATATTGTTGAATTATATAAATTATATAATCCTGAGCCGCAAAAGCCAAAGGAACAAAAACAAAAGAAGAAAAAGCCGAGCTCTAAAGTAGCAAATGTTCAACAGCTAAAGGTGCAAAACACCCAGGTCCTTCAGACCATAAATGATGCACAAGCTTTAATTTATGATTCATTAGTTAAACCATATTCAGCCCGACTTTTAAATGAAGATCAACTTTTGGAATTCATCCTTCAACATAAACTCGAAGCGGGAAAGTATATCAAGCCTTTATATACAGCATATTTAAAACAAATGAATAGAATACATCCAGAATTAATGAAGGGAGGAATGAAATCCAAAACTTCATCATCCAAAATCAAAGCGGATAAAATTAAACCACTTACAACACCAAAACCTCCAACGGTAGTACCTCCTCCTTCAGTTAATCCTTCATCATTCACTTTATTATATCCATTTCAAACATTAAAGAAGCAAAAAGATTTTAAAAAGGATTTCAAGATATTAAATAAACCAACTGACCCAAAAATTCAACCATTAAAGGAAAAATTCAGTCGCCCTTCATTTGCCCCATATCCATATTCATACGAAATCGAGCATCTGGAATATTCAAAAGGAAACGTTACTTATTTATTCGCCATTAACATTAGTTAGTATGGCTAAGTCGTGTACTGAGGCACTGCGCGCCTCCGTACACCACTTAACCTTAAATATTTACAAAACCAGTAACGTATATTTTACAACACAAACGACAACACTAACTTAACCTTAAATATTTACAAACCGCCAACCACTAATGACTTCATTAATGTAAAAATAAACGTTCTCACTTACAAAAGTATTGCAACTCCTCCCATTGCTGTGCTTCACATAACAGCTCATAATCTTCTGACTCACTTTCTTCTTCATATAGGTCAAAATCACTGTCAAAATGAATGTTAGTAAGTTTTGACAAAGCTAATGAAACACGTTTACCGTTTGTATCGTATGCTTGTATAAACTTTCCATTCTTCATTCCTTCATAAACGCTCAAACTAACTTTACCCTTTCTCCCTCGTATCTGATAGAATGTATTTTCACGAGGAACGAAGAACAAATTCTTGAACTCATGACCGTTGTAGTTTGTTATCTCAATAGTTTTCGTCATTTATATAAAATAAAATAAAAAATTATTTAAAAATAAACTTAAAAATTAATGATATCACCACCCTCACACGTATGAAAACATAGCGCAAAAATAAATTTAGGTGAAGTGGTGAGATCTCACCTCTTTTTTCACCCTGTTGAATTCATTGCTTTATAACTCTCTTCCTTTCTCCAACTCTTCTAACTTCTTCTTAAGTTCAGCAATGTTGTCCTCATGAAGTTTAATCTTCCTTAATATACCTTCTCTATCTAATGGTTGCTTTATCTTTCTAAACTGAACTCTACCATCCTTCATAGTATGAATGTAAAAACCTTCTGGAATAGTTCCTGATTTAATGTATTCTACCAAAAACTTTTGTTTCATTGCTTCAGTGACTTTAGTCGTCATTTCAATCAAATAAAAATTTTAATATTAAATAAAAATAACGTTATTTTTCAGTAAGGAAACGCAGGAGTTTTACGATTTATTTGAGGAGTAGGTTCTGGTTTAAATGTTGGAGTCGGTTTAGGAGTTGACTTTTGAACAGGAGTTTGTACTTCCATAGGTTCAGGAGTCATTGAAGGTTTTGCTTGTGAAGGCATTGGAGTTTGTTTAACTTCAGCTACTTCAGTATTATTTACAACATTTGCTTTATTTCTTTTCAACATCATAACTGCTCCTGCTGTAGCTAGCAAACCTAGTGGGAGACCATATCTTATATAAGGACTTGACCAAATGCTATTTTTGACAGGAGCTGGTGGAACACCTAACCTTGGTGAGACTGCTCTTTGCCATTGTGCAGCTCGTAAGAAATATTCAATAGGTGCTCCATAATCGTTTGGTAAAGTTTGTTTCATAGATGGTGAAGGTTCGCGAGAGCTTGATGAAGAACTCATTTATAAGCTTTAAAAATAAACGTTCATCCTTATTCCTCACTGTCGTCCGTAGCTAAGTTATAGTCATCTAATCTTATTATTGGGATTCCATTAGCACGCACCTGAATGGCAAAGCAACAATCCCTCATAAATCCAATAAGTGGCTTTGGTACATTTTCAGTTGCTAGTTCAATAGGTCCTTTAACAGACAATTTGTATGTTATTGGAGCAGTAGATGTTTGACCTTGCTGGAAGCAAAAGTCCACTTCTGTTGGAAAACCACATAAGAAATGTGTGTTGTCATAGCTATCCCATTTATGTTCCACACTACCATCATCCACCAATGACCTCATAACATCTTCATTAAATCCATCATATCATTGTTTGTATTGCAAGCGTTCGCAACCATTTCATAAAATACAGGTCCATATGATTTTTCAGGTTCTGCAGGCATATTTCCATAAGCTCCCATGGAAAGCTGAAGATATTTAAACTTAGGATTCTCAAAATTAACATAATAGTTGTCTTTCTTTCTAAATAGTGCCCAAATACTTTTAACATTAATAGGCGTATAAGCTGCTGTAAATGTTGCACTTGAACTATCTGTATTCTTTGAGAATGAACCGTCCATAGGAATCCAATCCATAACTTTAACAGGAAAACATAAAGCCTCGTTTGTATAATGTTCTACAAGTTCTGTATAAATGTTAGGGTCTAAAGAGAATGACTTTGGATGAATGAAACATTCATTAAAATCCATCTTTGTTCGAAATAGTTGCTGGTTACAGTTGTAATAGTAACTGTTCCACTAGCTTCTACTGCCTTCGTTATCATAGTGAATGGTTCATTCCATGGAACAAATTTATTTGTCGGTGGATTTGAATCTGAAGCAAATGCAACTTTAAGAGTTGGATTGAAAGCAATGATATCATTTACAGATATAGATGTGCATTGTAAGGCGTCGCTACTGAACTTTACTTTAAGCTGAATGTTTCCTGCAAAAGCTGGAATAAATCGAATAGCTTCTAATGGAAGGAATCTTCTAACAGGAATTCTTAAACGAAGCTTAAAATCAAATGATTTTCCTGCTGTAATTGGACCACTAACAATTTGTCCTGTTCTGCATGTTCCCGAATGACTCCATACATCTTCATGTCGAGTCTTTGAGAAAACATCTACTTTCTTTATTTGTTCGGTAGTTTGTGAGTTTGAAGTTATATATGCTTCTTCTCTTGCGTTGTCTTGAGAATATACGATACGACCATTTGCAAGGATTTGATATCCAGCAACTGCATAGAAAGCGTCATCGAAACCAATCCAAAATCCTGGTGGGTTTGTTTTATTGGAACCTGAACCAATTTCTTTATCTACAATAAATTGACCTTCCATTTTATACGTAATGAATGTATTGTAAAGGTCCAACATATTTTCACCAGGAGGTGAGAGATTGAATGTTACCCATGTGTTATCTTTAGCAGTTCCAGGTTGTGATGGAATCTTTGCGTCAGAATATTTTCTATTAGTGTCACCAATTTGAACTGCATTGTCTATGATATCGAAATATGAGCGAATCTGATGAATATGCTCTGCTGGAGTAAATTCGTTTAACTGTTCGTTCTGCATGTATTTACTTCGGATAAAAATATCTATTTACTTCATTATTCTCACTCTTCTTCTTGGCATTCGTGGTGGAAGTTGTTTCTTGACATTTTCAATGAACTGTACATTCTCTTTTGTCTCAACTTCTTTCACTGGTGGGTCAGGGTTCTTTGACTCGGTTTGTTTTTCAATGAAATTCACGAACTTTGCAATAAGCTCTTGGTTCGTTATTGAAAGTACATCTGGCTTCTTTTCTTCTGGTTCTATTGACTTTTCAGTTTGAATAGAAGGTTTTATATGGGCTTCGCCCTCGGTGCCATACACCTTAATGTTGTCGCTTTCTGCATTCGCTAATGGAACCTTTCTTTTTCTTACGTATATTTTACCATCTTTACTCTGACTTACGTAATAGAAAGGATGTTGTATTCCTCTTGCGTCATTTAATATAATAGACTCTCGCTCTGATTTTGACAAGCTCATTTTACATCGGTTAAAGTTTTAATTTTTTTTTTATCTGCAGTCAAATGACTCAGACAAGTCATATGGACAAGACCCAAGGGGTCATAGATGTTGAAGCATTGAAGAAAGAAATTCGCGAGCAAATTTTATCCGAACTGAAGGAACAAAAACAAGAACAAAAGCCAGAGAGACCAAAGAGAAAACTTAGTGAAAAACAACTTGCTGCATTAGCTGCTGGAAGACAGAAAGAACCCACGTTTGCTGGCGAAAAAGCTAGAGAAGAAGCAAAAGCTAAGAAGCTGAAGCAAAAGCTAAAGAAGCTGAAGCAAAGAAAGAGTAAATGGTTTATTTTTATCCGAATTAAATGTATAGACAAATACCTTTAACTGTTGCGTTCAGTAGTGAAAACCCTGACGTCAAAATAAAGGGGAACAGAGTAACGTTTAAGTTTCCAACAGACTGGATTGTGAACATAAATGAAGAGAAGTACATTGGCATAACATCTATGTATATAACACGTGCTTTCAGAAAGGTTGACTTTATACTTCAAGTCGAGATAGAAAATGACGAACAGTCTTTAAGCGCCCAAAACATTCACATATACAAATACTTTAAAGACGATACAACATTGTTGCAATGTATGATTTCATTTAATGAGATGTTCGAGAAAAAGTTCAACATTGAAGTACAAACTTTACAGCCTTTACGTGAGTTTCTTGCACAACTGAAAGAAGAAGGTAGTCAGCCACAACTTATAGACTTTCATTATGAATTTAATGAAAATGAAGATGGAACTCATGACTGTCAGTTTGTTATATATTCACCATTCAATGAAGTAGCTAAAGAGAAAGAAAATCCATTACGTATAAGATTTCAAATCTCTGAACCAATGAAGATTTCAAGAATGTTTTCAATTATGATGCAATGCTTCCGAGGAAAAATGAATTTTCAAAGATTGTAACACCTGGCATTTGGGATAGAAAGCAAGCTATATTATATTCAAACTTAAGTAAGGGAGTTGAAAATGAGTTCATTGGTCATACAAGAACTTCACCACTTCCTAACCCTAAATACTATAAATTAACTGGCTTCAATCGTGAGTTTTGGATAGACATGTTCTCCACTCATGACCATAACTGCCCAGTGTTCTTACCTCCAGACCATAAGGACTGTCTCTACATTGAAGCACAACTCTTAAACTCTACATCGCAGTTTGTAAAATCTACGCTAGTTTTATTTTTTTCTGAAAATTTTTATTTGAGTGAAAGGCATGGAAGGTGAAGGACATTGGCAAACACTCGAACATGACAATGACTATGAAATCTTTTCAGAGTACCCTTATCCAATTAGACGTATAAGCAATAAAAGAGTTGTTAGTGAGTTTGACCAAGGAGATGGTTATATTTGTGTAAATTTAAACAAACACAAGCTGATGAAACATAGAATAGTTGCAGAAACTTTCATTCCGAACCCTGAAGGACTTCGTGAAGTAGACCATATAAACAGAGACAGAGGAGACTTTCATATCTCGAACTTAAGATGGACGACAAGAAGAGAAAACATGAGAAATATTTCTGGTTCAAATGGCTATTGGTTTGACATTGTTGACTCTCTTCCTGAAGACGCTGTTGAAATTATACAATACTCATATCACACGTTAAGAAAATACTACTATGTCCCAAGTGAAGATGTCTTTTACTATTTCATGGGAACTCAATACAGACGAATGAATGTCTTAAGACAGTATAGCAAAGATTATATAAACATTACAGATGTAGAAGGAAGAAGAACAAAGCTGTCTATTGCAAAGTTTAAGAGAGACAATGGTTATACATAAATGACAAAAATATATGACCTCATTATTTTTATCACGAATGACCTCATTGCTGACAAAAATAAATGACCTCAGAACTTCAACTTACGAATAAAGCTTGTTTTAGTCGTTATTGAGAAGTTAAACTTTTCACAAAGCAAGGACTAGAAGACTTACATAAGTCAAATCCAATCTCTTGACCATCATGAAGTGCTTTGTAAAGTTTCATTAAACTGAACTCAGAGTCTTTGTCATATGTTCCAACAGGTATGTGAATGTTCTTATCTTCATTGTAATAGCATTGTATAGCTTCAGGAAACATTTCATTAGCTGTTAAAGCAAGAACGTCTTGTTTTACACCTTTACAACGTGCATGGAATGCAACTTCATTTAAATCATTCGTGAGTAAGTCTATGTAAGTCTTCTTTCCACAAAATATTGACTTGTATGCTAAACTTTGTTTTCCAGGTGTTATTTCTGCGAAGTCAGAATGGAACTGACCTAATGTTTTACCATAAGTTCGCGACCGTATCTCTTCTTAAACTCTGCTGCAAGCTTTGGTATGTCTTCATTGAAAATATGCATGCTATCACAGTCCTGGTAAAATATTTGAAGTCCCATATCTTCAGCAGTACAGAATACTTCACATTATTCTCTTCGACATAGATAGAATATTTAACACCAAGTGGACAGAAGTTAAAGTGTCTGCAAATGCTTTTCGTTAGCTTGAAAATAGTTTTATCTGAACCATCCAAACCTTCGAACTTCACTATATGGTTGTAGTTTCTGATGGCATATCTTATAGCATCTTTGTCATTTACTATGGTTATTTTTGACTCAATAGGAGATAGAATAGTTTTACCATAAATACTGTTCAGAATGAGCTTTATATTTTCTTGCAAAGGATTTCCTTCTTTCTTATACTTTAACCTTAACTCAAACAACTTCTTTACTTCATCTCTTATTCTAATATCTCTGTTTCCATCGTAATAGTATCCTTGCAACACTTCACATTTGACACCTTGATATTTTATGAGGTCTTGTAATGTTATATGGTCAACATACATTAAACAGCAAGTGTTTGAACTTCTGGGAACGTTAAGTTCTGGATTTAGTTCAGGGTCACAAACTATTAAAGGAAAGTGTCTGGGTATACCAATCTCTGTTATCTTAATGAGAACAAAGAAGCCAGACATAAACTTTTCACCAATGGGTTCCTTTTGGTCGTCATCGAATAAATGTCTCATGAGATACTCTGTGCTTAACATCTCATCCTTCAATACTTTTGGAATTCCTTCTAAAGTATAAAGTCTTGCTATAGCTGATGGATATAATGAAACAGCATCGAAGTCAGCAATGAGTTTCTTTTCGCTCTTTTGTTTCATGTTATCTGACAGCATACATCTTCCACCTTGAATACAGCGTGAAATAAATTCTCTTGGTTTATTTGAGAGGTCATATAAATTTCCATTCGGGAAGTACACTCTGTTCTCAAATAATTTGTTAGCAATAGAACAAATACTAACGTATTCATAAACGTTTAAATCAAATTCTTTCAATATGTCATTGCGGAACTTAACAAAACCTTCTCTTAAAATTCTTACATCTTGTTTGCAATAAAATGTGCTATACTTTTCTAAGTCGAAGTGGTTCTCATCTATTCTGCAACCTTTGATGGAATCTATGTTTTTCATGAACGTTTCAATATCTTTTACAAACTTACATGCTTCAGAAATGACACCAGTTCTGTTGTCATTTGCTAACAAAACACTGCTGTAGTAGTTATATGGAAATACTTCTTTTCCTGTTTGTAAGTTAAACATAGCAGGAAATAGTTTAAGCTTCTTATTTATAACACTGTAAGAGTCTTTTATAATAATTTCCTTCCTTTATATAAGCCAGTTATTTGCATTGTTCGTGAACCTTTAATGATGGGAGTTCCTTTCACTTCTGTCATGTGTCTTAAGATGAAGTTTATATCATAACTGAGGTTATGGAAATATATTAAACTCTTGTCAGGAAGTCGCTCCAAAAATTCTGTTGCACAGTTCTGACCCCAAATGCTTTCACTCACTGAACCATCTTCACTGTCATAACAGATGTTAAAAGCTTTATGAAAGCCGTCTGTGCTACACTCAAAGTCAGCAAAGAAAACGTGCTCAGGAATGAACTTACATTTAGCTTTATTTACTTCTTTTGACTCTGCTTTCTTCTTCAGTTGTACACAATACTTTGGAGCATATGTCAAATCTTTAAATGGTGCAAGGTTCTGTTTATATAAGTCAGTCGTATATGTGAAAAGTTCTCCATAAGAAATAGGTTCGAAATATTTGCACTCCCACAATGTTTTCATAACATCCCATAGCGGTGTAGTTCTATCCATGCGAACTACATATTTATCTTCTCTCTTTGTATAAATCTTCATCTGTTTCTCAATGTTCATTCCACCACACTCCTTCAAGATTTCTATATAGTTGCGAATGAAATATGTTGTCATTGGAAGTCTTTCATTTAGCATGTAGTGGTCTTCAACAAGAAGTAAGTCAATAGTTCGAACAGTTTCACATTCTTTTGGTATGTATCTCTTTATTTCATTATATCTTGAGTCATTGAAGTAACCAATGGTAACATTAAATGCTATACCTGTTGTGTCAGAAATTTCTTGTACTTTACTTTGAGGAAAGTCTCTAACACGAATGACTTCTCTCATGTGGTCAATAGTCTCTCCATCTACTCCAGCCTGAATGCAAGCATAAACGAAACAATTGTCTTCTGTCATAAGTGTTGCAGTTCTTTTGTTCAGTTCATTGAAGATTTGGTAGCGTTCAAGATTTATAGGTAATGTGCAAAGATACTTCCAGAACTGACCGCTTCTCTTCTTATAAAACTTCTTTTCACCATTATCTTTCCAAAAGCTTTCTATAAGTGCTGGGTTTCCTGTTTGCTTAAGAGCTTCCAAAATGGCTTTCTGGTCATTTGTCAGTGTGCTTTCATCTCTATATGGTCTCTTTTTTGGTTTGCCTTTCTTTACATCTGACATCGTTAAGCCTTCATATTCTGTTAAATCATACATCTTTATTTCAGTAAGATTCTTTATGTTTGTCAAGAAGAAGTCATAGTGCATTTCAACAATACCTGCAGCATTTGCTTCTATCTCTGATATAAAGTTCTCCTTCAAGAGCTGATGTAGTAATGTTCCAATATTATTGAGGTTTAACGTAGAACATTCATACTTTCCACCAAGTTTATAACATACCATCCATCTTTGTTGGGAGTTTATTTTAATCTTCTCTAAGAGTCTCATGAAAACCTTACCGAAATGTTTGTGTAAGTAGTCTCTGTTTGGTTCATCTAAAGCTTCGATGTTAAAGTCAATGAGTCTATTGCCTGTCTTAACATTCCTCTTCCTATTCTCTTCATCTTTCTTTAACCATCTCTCACCTTCTTTTGGTTTGTCGTCAATGGAACGAATGACATCGTTAGCTTTGCGAACTTGTTCTATAGCACTTTTAAACATCTCTCTTCTCTGTTGTTTCAGTGTGTCGTCTCTTCTTCTTGTTTCACCAACGTTTGCATTTGTTATGTCAAACATTTCTCTTCTTACTTCATGAGGTACTGAACGTCTATGATATAAGTCAATAGCAATGTCATTTAAAGGAAATGCTCTTGCATGGACTTCGTCCTCGCCGCGTTGCGGCTTTATGAACTCATGAATTCTATCATAACTTATTGCACCATTGTAGTCTTTAATGAAGTCAGCGAGTGCTTTTTTGTTTGTCGCGTAATGTTTTGCAACATCTATATTAGCTTCTGTAAGAAGTTGTTTTATTTCCGAGTGTTCTAACTTAGACAACTTCCGATACATCTTTAGTAGGAAATAAAAAAATATTTTTTCGAAAAAATAAACTTAGAAAAATTATTTCTTTATATATTTGCCATTCCGAACTTCGAAAAGATGTTTTATACCAGCATAGAATTTTTCTCTAGAGCTTGGTCTTATATCGTTTTCATGACAATATTTTCTATATTCTTCATATAAAGCCTTTTTTCCATACATTTTATAAGGACAATCTAACCAGAATAGCGCATATCCATTTTCGTTATCTAGGTCTCTATATGTTTGTGGAATTTCGCTTTCTTCTGTTTGTAGAATTTCGCCTTCACTATTTAGTTCTATGTATATATATTGTGGAATTTCGCTTTCTCTATTTAGTTCTATGTCTATATATTGTGGCTTAAAAGGATGTGGGCAAGAAGGGTCTGGCGCTATGTAAAAAGTTAATTTTTCTGTCATCTTTTCTATCGGATAAAAAATATTTTTTGAAAAAATTAGATTAGATTTTTTTAAGTTATTTTTCAAAATAATTTAATATTTTTATTTTAATGAAACACATGCAAGATTGCAAGTTCTTTTCATACAATGCTCTCGCTACTGCCATCAAGAATGAGTTCAATGGTTCTGCAAACGTTAATGTTATCTTTAACAAGAAGTTTGTGAAAGAATCTAAGTTTGGTCAGTATGTCAGACCATTAGCTATCGTCATTGACCGCAAACGTTATACTTCACAAGAGTTAGCAGTAGTTTTGAAACAAAAGAGTTTCTTCGTGAATGTCAAATATACTCATTATACTGTTATAAAGAACTCTAATATTGACTTCTTCAGTATTGCTTTAAATCTTTCCGAACAGAAAGAATATAAGAAGGGTGAAACATCTGTGAAATATTATCCTTCATCTCTGAAGACAATAACGAACAAAGATGTTATACAGAAATTCTTACCAAAGGTTGAAGAAGCTTCTATTGACATTGACGAAGGAAGTGAAATGGTTGAAGAAATAGACCCTGAAGCTATTTAACCAAAAATATATTTTTGGTGAAGAGGTGAGATTTCACCTGTTTTTTCACCTCATTCTCTCTTCGTTAATGTTGTCGTGACTTCTTCGTTAATGTTGTCGTGACTTCATTCTTCCTCTTTGAAGTTATCGAAATATTCTGTTATTTTTTCCTTCAGTAATGGTAAGTCTTCTTTGAATGTAAGTATTGTGCAACCTTTGATGTCATAGTGTGTTTGAGGAAGAGTATTTTTGACAATTTCTTTTATTTGCTCATTCGGTGTCATTGAAATCGGTAAGTTTTCACGATAGAACCAGTTTCTGTCAGATTTATATATTTTAGCAAGGTCGTAAAAGCTTTTGTTGTTTCTTCTGACTAAATGCAACATAACCATATCTTTATCTTCTTCTTTCTCCAACTCTTCAGTATAAATCATATACTTATAGTTCTTTTCCTTTCCTTTTGGTACTGAACGCGGTATTCTTTTCTGTATGCTTTTGTCTTTGGATTCAATGACTTCATCTTTTGCTTGAAGTTTCTTTTCCATCTCTCCACGTTCTGCTTTATATAGTTCATCTAACATCATGAAAATATAACAAGCATAACGAGGTGAAGCCCACATTGCTACAGCGTTTACTAAAAGTCTATGAATATAATAACCTTTCAAACCAGGAGCCAAATTCTTGCGATTTTCATACGGAATCTCTTCCCCCGGTTTTTCGAGGGTAGCAAACATATGAGGAAATTCTTCTAAAAGTTCTTTTGTCTGTTGGTTTTCAAACCAATGATATGCTTGCTTTGTAGAACGAAGAGCATTCATTATACTTTGCATTTGGTACATGTCATCTTTGACTGAACGAATGAGACGTAACTGTTTGTTATACTGTATGTATTCGTATTCTTCATTTATGGCTTCATGAACGATAGCAGTTGTTGTGTTCTCTAATGTTGACATATCTGTCTTTACATACAAAATAAAAAAATAAATAAAAATAAAACTAACTTTATTTTTCTGTGTTAAAGAAATGTTAAAAATTCATGGTTACATATGTGAAAAGAAGTCACGAACAAATGAAGGTCATAAGATTCAGCACATAATTCTGAATTGAATGGTGTGTCATACATGTCAAACCGTCAAGAATTGAAGGAGATACGAGGCTATAAAGATTTTGGATATTTTCTGACACACACCCCGAAGGAAAAGTGACAAAACACGACGATAGAAAAAAAGTGACAAAATGAGAGAAAGTTGTTCCCCGACCAAAATGCAATCATGTTGAAAAAGTGACATTTGTAAAGTTAGACGATAGGATTTCCTGAAAAAGTGCAAGTCTTGTTCTGAATCAGGACAAGATTTGTCTTGAAAAAATACAAGATTTGTCTTGAAAAAATACAAGACTTGTTCTGAAAAAATACAAGACTTGTTCTGAAAAAATACAAGACTTGTCTTGAATCAGGACAATTGTTCTCAAATTTGAGAACTTTACAAGAAAAACTGACTAAAAAGTGCAAGTCTTGTTCTGAATCAGGACAAGATTTGTCTTGAAAAAATACAAGACTTGTTCTGAAAAAATACAAGACTTGTTCTGAAAAAATACAAGACTTGTCTTGAATCAGGACAAAACTTTACAAAATGTAAACTTTACATAACCGTTTCTATCGTACATGATATTTAGTTGACATTGTAAACTATCTTCATGTAAAGTATGGCGGTTTGAAACCATCGGGAACCTTCACTTTTTTGACGAACTTTCCGCAGCAATTTTTAAAATTTGTGAAAACTCAACGGTTTGACACGTGCCATATGTCATTTTACTCAGAATTTTGTGCTGAATTCAGCAAAAATAATGTTTATGTTAACATGTTAGATCTAACACGTTTTCTAACCTCTTTTCTAACATAACTATTTACAAGCGTTTTACATGGTATATGTTGCGATGGTTCATGACTTTAAACAGTTTTGTAGCTTCTATTTCTTCTTTTAGTACATCGAATGTTTTAACTATGCCGAAGGTTTCTTTATACTTCTTCTTGACGTCAGATAATAGGAAATCGTCAGCAGTTGGATAGTTTTTGTTCAGAAATTCTAACATGTCCATTTTATCTTCTGCTGGCTTTTCTGCTTCTTTCTTTAAGTCTGCATAGTCGTTTCTCATTCTTTCTATCTCTTTGTTGGAGTAGTTATATTTCCTAATTGCTGCCTTACATTTTGAACATTGCGGGTTCATTTTTGCGTTATACATTGAAATAAAACCAGCTAAAACAACTAAAGCGTCAATTGCTCTCTTCATCTCAAACATAGCGGGTCTTATTTGTTTGTTCTATACTTTGCCTCTTCTATCTTTATCTCTTATTTCCCAAACACATTCAGCAACTAACGAAACAAAGTTGTCGTAGGTCTTAAATTCTTCAGATTTATATATGTCAGAAACATTCTTATATACCATATCGCAATCTTTGTCCAGAACCTTATGGTTGCAATGAAAACCAAGGAATTCATAATTTACCTTTCGTATGAATTTCTTAATTTCTACTGAGTCAGTTGGTTTCACTTCAATTTCGTCGAATTCAGGAATAGTGAGTTTTTGTTGTTGGATTTCAGGTAGTTTAGGCAAATGGTCAATAATGTCCTGCATTTCATAAAGATATTCTTCATTTGTTTCATCGTTCGCACTACAGTCTAAATTACTTGTTAAAAGTTCTTGCTTTATCTTCTGGATTTCTGTTTCAAAAGTATATGAAGAAGGAATGAAGCTTTTCATTTCTACTAACATAGATGTTGGATTCATGACTAACGAGTTTGGTGCTGTTGTTTGAATTGTTGTTGTGCCGATTGTTGAAATCATATCTTTACATACAAAATAAAAATTTTTCTTAGAAAAAAATTAGCGTTATTTTTCTTTCATAAGGAAATGTCAAAAATTCATGATTTTCGAGAGTTTTAGACCATGTTAGAAAAGTGGTTAGAAAACGTGTTAGATCTAACATTCTAACATAAACATTATTTTTTTGGTCGTTTATGACAAAAATAAATGGTTCATTTACTCACAATATTTTTGTACAAAACGACCCCAAACTTTTAACTTCTTTTCTGCAGCTTCTAATGCTATCTTAGCGAGTTCATATTCTCTAAATTCTCTCTTTAAATCTTCTTGTTCCCATTGGTCTAGTTCGTATGGAGAATCTCTATAATCATAACATATCTCACGTTCATGTTCTAATTGTTTTTCATGCCTTTTTCTAACTTCTTGTTCGAACAAAGGTTTAGCATTCTCTACTGTATCTTCGAGTTCTTCTTCATCTAATTTCTCATGAACTTTCTTGTCTATGGAGTCCATAATTTTTCCAACTGCTATGCAATATTTTGGAGAAGCCCACATTGCTATATAGTTTATAAGTCTTGGGTCTACATACGTTCCTCTAACCTGTTTGATTTCATCAGGAATTCCTGCATGAATTTTGTATAAAAAGCAACCGTCTGTATTCCGACGGTTGCTATATTCTTCACAAAACGCCTTATAATACTCTTCCCAGGACTTATTTTCCAACAACTTTCATGAGATAAATAAGAAATAACTTTCATTTTTCATTAGATAACTGTTATTTTTGACGAAGTGAAGATTTGCACTTCGTCAAAAAATCCCTGAAATCAAGAATTAATCCCGTCAAATACAAAAAATGAGGGTAGAAATGAGGTTAGATCTAACCATCTACCCTAAACATTATTTTTGGTCATGGACTTCGTCCTCGCCGCTTTGCGTCTTTATGTTAAAATAAATGGTACCATTAATGATATAGGGTGTCCAAAGGTGCGTTTAGCACAGCGCTCTATATGAGACTATTAAAGGAGATATATGCTGATTATAAATATATAATAAAAAATATGAATATATGTATATGATGAGTATGTTGTATTTTGGCGCCATGCCGGGATATAAAATGAATTTTGAGACAAGAGGCGGTTTCGCGGGAAATTTTGGCGGGATTTTTTTCATTTTTTTAATGAATCATAAAGAAAACATCCTCGCTCTTGCAAAAAAATGCAAAGACTGTAAAAAAATCTACGATACATTGGTAAAATGCTTCGGTATGGATGCTCCTAGCTATTCCACTGTAACGTATCATGTTAGGATGTATCACTTCATGAACAAAAAGGCGCCCATCATAAAAATTGACAAAAAATCGCCGGATCAAAGAAAAATCAAAGCAATTCTTCAAGCGCTAGATGAAGACCCAAGAGCATCACTCAGAAGGATAGAGGAGATGACAAAGATACCACGTACAACAGTCAGTTATTATCTGCACAATTATTTGAACTACAAACTAGCGTATACACGTTGGGTTCCGCACAACCTTAATTCAGTTCAAAAAAAATCTAGAGTCCAATCTTCGAAAGAGCTCCTCTCTATATTGGGTGTGTATCAATCCAAGAAGTTTCGCTTTTTAGTAACAGGGGACGAGTCTTGGTTCAATATGCAACAGAAGCCAAAATCATGTGGATCCCGAAGGATGAAAATCCTCAAACATTCCCGAAGAAAAAAATTGACACACCAATGATGATGTTGTCGGTTTTTTGGGGCGTGAATGGCATCATCGCAATTGATATTCTTCAAAAACCTAATACGATGAATGCTCAGTATCTAATTGACAATGTTCTTACTCAAATTATCAATTCTGATGAGTTTGAGAAATCCAAACAACAAAAACAAAAGTTTGCAATTCATTTTGATAATTCAAGAGTTCACAAAAGTCATAAGGTAATGAATTACTTGGTGGAAAACAATGTCAAAGTTGTTACAAACCCAATTTATTCACCTGATATTGCACCCTCTGACTTTTATTTATTCGGCACGCTAAAAAAGAGAGCTGAAGGACGCGAATTCGCGAGTCCAGATGATCTTGAAAATTTTGTAAGAGAGCAATTTGAGCAATTTTCTCATGATGATTTAAAGCGTGCCTTTCAAGCCTGGATCGATCGCTGCGAACGCGTGATTGAATCCAATGGTGATTATATTTAAATAAACTTTATATATATGTAACTTGTTTATTTCTATTCGCAGTATTCAGGTTTGTGCTAAACACACCTTTGGACACCCTATATCATGACTGTTCTCGTTCATGTCTGATTTACATCTAATGAAAAGGTTTAGAAGAATTTTCTTATTCTTTCTGGCATATTTTTGTCTTTCCAGTACTCCCGCTCTAATGGACCCAGATGTGTTGGCTTCGACTCTCTCAAGTTCTTAGATGGTATAACATCTTCAACGCCTCCTTCATATCTTACTTTATAAGTGTCATCGTTTATGTTGTAGTCAAGTATTTCAATAACCACTCCTCGCTTTGCTTCGTCAATGGTTTCAGCAAGTTTGCCATTACTACTTTCGACTAATTTATGTCGAGGGTAAAACGCAATAGAGTCGTCGGCAGCTTTTATAAGATATCCATTACCTTGCGTAGAGTCTACGATATAATAATTTCGACTTAACCTTAAACGTTTCTTTGTCAACGGTTTGTCGTCAAGAACTACACGAACTTTTGTACCAGGAATGAGGGTAAATTGTGTTGAATTTCTGATATTTTGTGTTTGGCTTCGTTTCTTTTGTATATACTTTTCTTCTTGTTGTTGTGTCATTGAATTTGGTGTATGTCCTGTTGTAGAATGTGTTGAGGAATTGTAAACTTCGATGAAATGTTTCATTGTTTCTTCGGTAAAGTCTCGCTCTTGGTTTAAATCTCTGAGCGTTCTTATGAAGCGGTTAATGATGCCGAGTATGTTATGGTTATGGTCTTCAGTAGTGTAGTGAGTTATGTTATGCTTAATGAGAAAATCTGTGATTTCATTACTGAGATATGCACTGTCTTGGTCTGATGTTAAAGTACTTGGGCTATGTTCTGCTACAAACTTTTGTAAAACTCTTAACACTTCACGAGTTCCTTTATTTTTCATTGGATATGCATATGCTTTACGAGTGTTAACATTAATGAAGATGAGGAATGGTTTATGTCCTCCTTTTCTGCTTTGAATGAGAGTGTCAAATTGGTATGCGTCAGGAGCGTTGGAGTAAATTGGTAAAAAGTAGTCGTAAGGGTTTATTTGTGTTTGATGTACAACATTTTTGTCAAAGAACCTTTTCACTTCAGCTCTGTTAGTAAATCCCCAACTCTTTGCAGCTTCATTGAATTTCTTAAATGACCTCCATGGATGTTGTTCGAATACTTCTTTCAAGCTCATTTATGTAAAGTTAAAGATTTTATTCAAGACGGTAAGCCCGCAAAGCAGGCTCAAGCGCGTTCATTGAACGCGGTACCATGCAAATACAGTCACAAATGGTGGCATGTAATCTGCACCCGAGCCTGTTGGATTTGTTGTGAAAGTATGTGAATGATTTCCTCCTGGTTCAGTTGGTCGAAAAGTCTTTTTTGCTGAATTGTTATAAGATGGAGATAAAACATCATTGCCAGCTTCATACTCTGAGTTGTATAATGGATGGTCTCTTAATGAGTGGCTATGGTTGCCAGAAAAGTTTGTAGTTCCTGTATGAGTGTGCGGTGGAAGGTTTGCTTCAGTAATTTTCTTCGAACCTCCTGTTTGCTTTGAAGAGTTAGCACAGTATAAGAATTTGTCTACAATCTGCTGCCATGTACCAAAACCTAAAACTGTTGCTGGATTTGTTGAGTTCATTGACGTATAAATAGAGCCTATAGGATATAATGTTTCAAGAATCTGAGTCTTTAATGTTTGAAGCTCTGTTTTGTCTGCTTTCTTGTCTAGCATTGCGGGTAGTTCATATGCTTCAAAGTTTCTGGCATGATCTTCGATATTCCTGCAACTCTTATCTAAATTGTTAAGAGTATCTTTTACGCTTGTACTCGGATTCTCTAAAGGTGCACTTGAACCCAAATCATAGTTCAATATTATGTCGTCTGCTCTAACAGTAGTGAAGGATTTATGTGTATGATTTTTGTCGGCTTTACTGTCTAACATTGATGGTAGTTCATATGCTTCAAAGTTTCTGGCATGATCTTCGATATTCCTGCAACTCTTATCTAAATTGTTAAGAGTATCTTTTACGCTTGTACTCGGATTCTCTAAAGGTGCACTTGAACCCAAATCATAGTTCAATATTATGTCGTCTGCTCTAACAGTAGTGAAGGATTTATGTGTATGATTTTTGTCGGCTTTACTATTTAATGTAGCTTGAAGTTCATTTATATCGGAGATATTGTGTTTATGAGATTTCAAAACTTTGTTCGTTGCGTCAAGTTCATCTTTGTCGGCTCTACTTTTAATAGCATCTTCAAAAGTTATTTTTGCCTTAACTCTCAAAGTAAATCTTGGTTCAACTAATACACCGTTAACATTGAAAGTAGAGGCATAAATTTCATCGTTATAACTAAATGCTTCTAGCGCTTTACCTGTGTCATAATGTACAGTACAGCTTATGTCATAACCTTTAGCACGAATGTATTTATATCTTCTTTCATTAACATCTTCCGTCTTCACTTTTTCATCCTGTGTTAAATATCCATGGTAGTCCGTTATAATCTGTTCATCTGAAGTTATATAATGAACATGGTTTTTATCTGCTTTACTATTTAATGTAGCTTGAAGTTCATTTATATCGGAGATATTGTGTTTATGTTCTTTATCTGCTTTTTCGGCTAATTTCTCTTCTATCTCATTTATTTCAAGTTCATGCCTACCACCACCTCCCGAAGAAGTATTTTTCTTCAGCTCTTGAAGAACGTCCACTTCGCCATCTTTGGTGTCAATAATGAGACTTTGAGTTAAAACCTTTCCTGTCTTAATGGATGTTTGTAAAACTTCTTCTTCACCGTGTTCGGGGTCATGGTCGTCATCATATCTTGTGAAATCAGAGATGTTGTCATACATTAAGCATATCTGTCTCAAAAGTTCTGCTATTTGAAACTGGAACGAAAGATATACAGAACTTTCATCATCTCCTAAAGTCAAGTCTGCTTTCTTAAGTATTTCTTGAATGTATGCAATGAGAACAGAGTACCTTGGAAAATATTCGAACAATATTTCATTAGCTGTTGGTTTTGGTGGTTCTTCTGGAGTTTCTGCATCTCTTGACTTCAATGCTCTTGCTCTCAAAGACCTAAATGTTAGAGCACCGGGTTTTACAAAGGACTTTATAAATGCTTTAATAGTTCCTGGTAAGTTATTGTTAGCATTAAGTAAGTTCCTTATGCTTCCATCATGTACGTCCATAGCACTATGTAAAAAATCTATACTTTTCTTGTAGTCAGCAATAGACTGACTGTGATTTTTTAAAGATTTGTCAATACATTTAAGCCAATCTTCATGCATGTCTGATACTGAGCCAAGAATATCATTTGCTTCCTTTAGTGTATTTTGTGCTTCTCGTAAAGTATCCAATCCCGTACGTGCATTGTTTGCTATACGTCTTACAGTATCTATTTGACTCCTTGTTTCTTGCATCCAACCAGATAAAGTTTTAATAGTATCCGAACCATTTGAAATGAAGTTCAAAGCATTTTTAACGTCATCTAAAGCTTCTTCACCAAGTACTGCCCATATCTTTCCGATTTGGTATTGAAGAACTCCATATGAAGCAGCTGTTAAACCAGTATTTATAAGGTCCCATATCCATGATTTAGCAGTTTTTCCATCCTTTCCATCCTTTCCATCCAAACCGTTTTCGCCTTGAGGTCCTTGTATTCCTTGTATTCCTTGTATTCCTTGTATTCCTTGTGGTCCGGTGTCACCCTTCTCTCCTTTCAGTTCATCTTTATGTTCGTTATAATATTCTAATGTCATAAGGTGTACATCATTACTGCTACCAGCAACGCCGAGAATTTGTTTCTCATTCATGACTAAATTCTTTAGGCATTTAATGTTGTCGTCAAATCGAAAGCTCTTTAACAATTCAATGAGAACATTCAGTACTTTCACTAATGAGGCATCTACTGTAGAATTTATATATTGCACCGTTCCATCATTTATGATGGGAACCTTGCTTGTTGTAATGAATGGGTCATAAGTGTTAAAAGTATCGAAATCAATGACTTTTTTAGTTTTTCCATCGTCAATGACTAAATCATTGCCTTCAATGGTTAAAGTTGAGTTTTCGTTTACTAGTTCATGTGCTCTTCTTGCTTCATTTGTTTCATACGCATATGCAGCAATAGTCATATTTTAATGAGAATAAAATGTTGTTCTATTTGCAAAGTACAGACCCAAACGAATACGGGACAGTAAAGCTACAAACAAACTTAGGTCTACAGAATGAGGCGCTTGCTTTCAGAGTTGTTGACTTTAATACTATTGCTTCATTCGTTATAACTGACGAAACAGATTTCATGGAGTTTGAAATAGATGGAAAGAAGCACGAAATAAGATTTCACAATAATGTAGAATATAAGATGGAAACATTAGCTGGAGTGTTAAATGCGCTCATAAATACTACAATAAACAAGGAGAACGAAGAAAACTTAATGAATGTTAAACTTATTGCAGGAGTTTTGAAGTTCAGTTATGTGAAGGAGTTTAAGATACCAAGAATGAGTCATAGAGTACAACTTCTTTTGGGTGCATACCATATGACATTTCCTTTGAAAAGTGTTGACAAAACGATTGAGATGAAATCTGTTCCATACGTATGTTATGGTAATTGTTTGTACATTGAGTCTAAAATAGCTAATGTCACAGGCATTTCAGGAGTTAATAGTAAAGGTTCAGTAGAATATAAATCCTTCTGTTATGCAGTCAATTCAATGTTCATTCCAAACGTTCCTGTCATAGCAACTCATTTAGGTAAATGGGTTCGCATTAGTCCTCATAATTTGAAAGACATGCAATTCAGACTTGTTGACTTTCAAGGAGAGCCTGTAGAACTGAAGGCACCAGTGCGAATGACTGTTGAAGTTGACTTTTTAGAAAATATTAAATGCAACAGCTTACAAGAGAACTCAGAGCTAAAAATATAAAGTATGAATGTTATGTATTAGGTCATGAACTTTGGTTGTTGCTGTTTGATGAAACAAATGAATTAGTTATGTCAGTCAAGAGAACAGAAAAATATTGTGTTAGTGAAAACTGCACAAGTCAATAAGATTAGGTTTGCATTATGAAGATGAGTTCGATACTGTTGAAGAAGTTTTGGATAGATATTACAAATTGCTTTAATTTACTAAAAATATTTCAAGCAAATTTTATATTCTGTTGAAAGTTTTGTATACTCGTTCGAATATTTATACTTAAACTCAACTCCTGTAGTTCCTGGTGTTTCAATGATGCGGATGTTACCTATTTTCATGAATGGTGGCGTTTGACCACAGCATTCGATTTCAGGGTCGAGATAGTCAATGACACATTGTTTCCCTGTTATTCGTGATATAACATTTTCAAGGTCCTCCTTTGTTAGAATTATTTGGTTCTTGCTTATAAGATTTACCAAAAGCTTCTTATCGTCTTTGAGTAAAATTGTTTGGTATAACTGAAGAAGGTAATGGTCTACGTTATCTGAAGGATTTGTTTGAACATTTGTGTAAGGGTTGTCGTTGGCTTCTCTTGAAAGAATTGGTCCAGTGGTGGATACTCTAACTTAACATCTGATGTAGCGTTAGCGTTTGAAGCTGTGTTTAAATTCACGGCGCCATGCGCCAAGACCGAAGGTCCCGACTTAAGATCTGGTTCTTTTTCTTTCAAACACTCTGAACTATAGTTCTTTATGACAATATTGTTTGTCGTTCGTGAGTCAACATTTGATGTTGGTTCAATTGGAACATTAACGGCACCAGCTAAGATGGATTTGCTTCTCATTTCATATAGAATAAAAACCTTTTATATGTATGAAATGAACAATATACTCGACAAGGGTTTGAATGTAAAGCTAACGAATGAAAATATTGTTGAATTCACTGAGACAGGAGCTGTGTATAAAGATGTAGAACTACTGAACAAAAGAGCTAAGGGAAGAAGCAGGAACATGAACAAAGGGTGGAAGCCTATAAAAATTTATGTCAATGATGGCTCAGGAGGTTCAAACATAAAGTATGCAGAAAGTTATAGAGTTTATGCTCTCAAAGGTGAAAAGCCTTCATTTAAGAACAGCTATTCTAACGCATATCCTCAAAAGCTAACGGATGGGGAAGTGGATGATATGAATGACAGCAAAAATATTAACAGAAATGACGACAGAGATGCATGGAATTTGTTTACCATCAGTCAATTAAGCATAAGATTTAAAACAATGTTGGTCGTTCCCATGGAATATTTTTGACTTTAATGGTATTAGTCATGATATGAATCTCAAGGTATGAACGAGGAGAGATGAGAGACTTATATGCTTCCCAAATTTCTTCAAAAGGTAATGTTATACCTGACTGTTTCCAAATGAGTTCAATATCATAGCGTGAGAAACCTTGAAAGATAACGAAGTCAGTTATGAGACGTTTTATGTTTAAAGCAAGGAAACGCCATGTTTGCATAAGTATTGCTACAGTTAAATGGTAATGTCTGACTTTAGTTATGATGTTAGCTAATGGTGAGTCAGGCTTTGACACTAAACCTTTTCCGGCGAAGTCGTCACAAACGAGCAGAGTGTTTGAAGGATACTTTTTAAGGGGTATTTTGAAAGTTTTGATAGAATGTAGTTTGTCAGTCGTTTCATATCGTAAACTCCTGAGTATTGACGTAAGTGGTGTTTGTCAATAATTCTTTCCATCTCTTCTGAAGTCTTTTGCATTCCTGACTGTATAAACTCTACAATAGCATAATATTTCTCTTACGTCGAATGTAACGTTGAAGAAATTCAATGAGTTCGCTATCTGGAACTTTAACGACAGATGCTTGAACTTTACTCATGAATGTTTTCGCTGTTGAATCCATAGAGTCTGAAGTTGCTGATATAATGATTTGGTCATAGTAAGAGTCGTTTCCTAAACGCTCTGTTATGAGTATATGACGAATGAGGTTAAATGTCTTACCTGAACCCATCTTTCCACAATAGAAATACACACCATTTGAACAGAATTCATAATCTTTGCTGAAAGGAAGAATGAGAGAAGAGTTAAGTTTGTCTGTAGTTTCATTCATGTCTTCATCTACGTCATGTATTAAATGCTTCATTTTATCTCCATTAAAAATGCAAGTCAGAAATTTTCAGAACATAGCACCGAGTCTAACTGATAAGAGTATAAAGATATACTATGAACACGTTATGATGAAACCAACCAAAATTCAAGAAAGTCAGTATACTTATGAATATCCAAGACACTGGGTAGAGTATGTAGGAGGTGAGAAAGCTATTGAAATAAGACAAGTTAGAAGTATTCCAGCAGGAAGGACAATATTATTGAAGAACTTTAATGTTTTGAGATATAATGATGAAACAAAGAAGCAAGATAGTTTCCCTGTTGCTGTGTATGTGAACTTAGATACAGGAGATGACATGAAAGTTTTTAACACAAAGCTTCAAACGGTATGAAGAACAACTTATAGCAGAAGGACACCCATTACCTTCAGAAGTTACCATAGCATATAATTTTGAAACAAATGCAATAGATTTTAAAATTGTCTCTGCAAAGAAGTCAGGTTTTACATTTAATGAAGCAGATGTATATTCGAATGAAAACTTCAAAGCTATTGCATGGTTAGATAATGACGATTGCTTTAAGAAAATCTTTAAATTCAGTGACTCAAAGATGTCAATAGATGACCTTCGTGGAATGTTACCATCGACGTTTACAGTAGAAGGCTCAGCAGGATTGCTTACAAGATTGTCAATTGGTGGCGTTTGGTCTCGTGAGAACATTGTTATAAAATCCAGTATAAGTGAATTTGCTGAAGAATCAATATTATGTCTTTCAAACTACATGTATTCGCCGCCGAAGCATTATAGTATAACAAACTTTGTCAGTAAGTTTAACATAAGACTTGTCGAACCTTCTTCAATGAAAGATGTTGTGCTACCAAAAGACGGAAAGGATGGACTCATTATTGAGATGATTTTAATAGCATATTAAATGAGCTTGTTCTTGAAAGTCATTCATGATGAAATAACTGTTGTAGAAGATGTTAGCAATTGTTCAGACATTTTGAAGCGAATAGATGAGATAAGAAAGAAGTTAGATAGACCGCAAAGCGGTGAGGGTGAAGCCCGTGAGAATGTTTATGTTTCATTGACTTTCTCCAGTAACGAGAACTTTTATGAGATAATATTGAAGAGAGATGATTTTAATATGGTGTAAATGGTAGCTTGGGCAGCTTTAGGCGCAATGGGAACAAAAGCATTAGCATTTGGAGCAAAAGCACTTGGAGCTTATGACGCAGTAAATAAAATGAGTGGAGGAAGGGTTTCGAAGACATTAGATGCAAATAAAGGGAAGATTGGAGGCTGGGTTGCAAAGAAGTTAAGATTAAATAAAATAGGGCTCATAAATAAAGCATCCAATTTGGTTGCGACTGAGTCAGAAAATGCTTTAGGAAAGGACGATGAGTTTGCAAAACATGCAAAAGACTTTAATGACCAGATGAAAGGTGAAACAATGCATTTAAATAGATTCGATGGAACTAAAGAAAATGTTTCTTCTCCACCAGTAGTTCTTCCGTATGGTCCCTATGGAATGTATGGAAACCCTTACGAAAGACCATTTGACCCATTGACTGGTGGAAGTAGCTAGTATCATTACGGCCGAAGAAGAAAGACAGTCAAGTTGGAGACAGACGTGAAGAAAGCAACTAAAAAGAAACCAAGGAAGAGAGTTATAAAGCAATGAATTCAACAGGGTGAAAAAACAGGTGAAAAAAGAGGTGAGATCTCACCACTTCACCTAAATTTATTTTTGCGCTATGTTTTCATACGTGTGAGGGTGGTGATATCATTAATTTTTAAGTTTATTTTTAAATAATTTTTTATTTTATTTTATATAAATGACGAAAACTATTGAGATAACAAACTACAACGGTCATGAGTTCAAGAATTTGTTCTTCGTTCCTCGTGAAAATACATTCTATCAGATACGAGGGAGAAAGGGTAAAGTTAGTTTGAGCGTTTATGAAGGAATGAAGAATGGAAAGTTTATACAAGCATACGATACAAACGGTAAACGTGTTTCATTAGCTTTGTCAAAACTTACTAACATTCATTTTGACAGTGATTTTGACCTATATGAAGAAGAAAGTGAGTCAGAAGATTATGAGCTGTTATGTGAAGCACAGCAATGGGAGGAGTTGCAATACTTTTGTAAGTGAGAACGTTTATTTTTACATTAATGAAGTCATTAGTGGTTGGCGGTTTGTAAATATTTAAGGTTAAGTTAGTGTTGTCGTTTGTGTTGTAAAATATACGTTACTGGTTTTGTAAATATTTAAGGTTAAGTGGTGTACGGAGGCGCGCAGTGCCTCAGTACACGACTTAGCCATACTAACTACATTAACACTAGATATTTATATTGCATTCCGGTGAAAGGGAAAACAGAACAGGAAACAAGAAGAGCTATACAATACTTACTAGATCATGAAAGAGTAGATAATATAAGGGGTGATGGTGATAAAGGATTTCAGGCAGCTATGATTCATTATTTCCCACAAATTAATTTTTACTTTTCATCTTCTCCATATACGTTTCATAATAAAATAGTTGATGCGGTAATGAGAACTCTTAGAGATGTGTTAGGAGTTAACGGTCAGATATACTGGGATGGAAATCATGACTCCATCATACAGCAGTTAGTATATTATTACAATAATACATGGCATAGAACTATAAACATGAAACCAGTGGAAATGAAAAATGATATTTCAAAAGAATGGGAATATATTAGAAAGCAAATGGAAAGGTTAAATGATGTTAAACGTGAACAAATTAATTCGGGGCTCATGAATTTTAAACAAGGGGATAAAGTTTTGATTCATCTCGATTATGGAAAAACTAATAAATCAATGACAAAAAGAAGACGAAGATTTGACACAATAGCTGAATTTGTTAGATATATTAACGGCAATGCATTAGTTGAAGTTGACAATAAATTAATAGAAATTCCGATTTATTTTATTACTCCATTATATTTAAATAATATTTAATTTTTTTATTTCGTAAGAAATGAGTGACAACAAAGCAGCCAAGAGTCCTGATTCAATTAAGATTCAGAGTCCAGACAATGAATATAAAAAGAAATTAAACAGAATTAAATCGAAAATATGCTATTACAAAAAGAAGCCGCAATGCGGCGGGGCTGATGCCCATAAAACTAAAGGAACTGAAAACGATAAAGAGAGGAAAGAAATAATCGAAAAATTAGAAACTTACCGTTCAATCCTTAAACTGAGTGAAGCAAAATAAAAGAATTTAATAGTGTAATAAACAGAAATTCATCAAAAGTGACAGCTCTCAATTTTTTGACATTTGTAAATTCTAAATTGAATGAGAAAAATGAAATAATACTAAGCATAATACAATATTCTAGATTTAATTATAATTAGGAAAAAGTTAGTTTTGAGAGTACTTTTCATAGGCATATAGAATGAAATCTTCTGAAAAATAATATCACACAAACTCATATTATTTTCTAATATATAACTATTTTATATAAAAATCAAATTCAATGATCTTAAAAGCGAAGGATAAACCTCAAAATTTACGAATATAATGAGTGGGAATATAATGCTTATCTATCATAAAACCATATGAAATATCAATTTTTGCTTTACGCCTAATTTTTGACGATAATTAGCAAAAAATGTTAAATGTTAACACTCAGTCCATTTGAATATGAAAATAAAATTGACTTTGATTAAATGTTTTTATTTATCATGCAATTCTTCTTGCGACCAAAGATTTGAATAAAAGTTCAAAAAATAAGATAGCTTAAAAAATAATATACGGTAGTGTTTACTAATAGATGAATAGTATATAAATTCTATTAAAATGGATTTGATCCAAAAAAATATATAAAATTTGATCATAAATAAAATCGTTTTAAATTACTTCTTCATTTAAATTATAACAATTATTTTTGGTTTTATATTTTTTTGGATCAAATCCATTTTAATAGAATTTATATACTATTCATCTATTAGTAAACACTACCGTATATTATTTTTTAAGCTATCTTATTTTTTGAACTTTTATTCAAATCTTTGGTCGCAAGAAGAATTGCATGATAAATAAAAACATTTAATCAAAGTCAATTTTATTTTTCATATTCAAATGGACTGAGTGTTAACATTTAACATTTTTTGCTAATTATCGTCAAAAATTAGGCGTAAAGCAAAAATTGATATTTCATATGGTTTTATGATAGATAAGCATTATATTCCACTCATTATATTCGTAAATTTTGAGGTTTATCCTTCGCTTTTAAGATCATTGAATTTGATTTTTATATAAAATAGTTATATATTAGAAAATAATATGAGTTTGTGTGATATTATTTTTCAGAAGATTTTGTGTTCTTCTTCAAAATTTTATTTTTTTATTAAAAAGAATCTTTACAAAATATACATTTACTTTAATTAATATTTAAAAACGTGCTCTATCAAAAGTTCCAAAAATTCAATATTTTAGCTTTTCTGAGGTGTCACTTTTGATGAATTTCTGTTTACAACAATAGAATAAATAAATTGATTGGAAGAGATGAATTTAATAAAGATGAATTTTTAAACTCAATCCAAATTTAATTTTTATTCCTCTTCGACAACGTCTCTTCGAGACGCCAAACCCTTCTGGGTTCTTCTTTCCATCATTACTGCATAACCGCATCTTCTCGGTTTTCGTGGTTTGTTGTTTTTAATTCGTTCTTGCATCATTTTTATCATTTCCTCCCTTGTTATGATTCGTGGTAAATTTTGAGCTTGTGGGGTATCCATTTATATAAAAATAAAATTTTGTTATCAGTTATTTTATCATCATTTTATTAAGTTCATCTTTAGTTAATTTGAATGGATTCGCTAATGTTCCACCTTGAGCCACAACACTTGTCCCGGCTAATTGTGAAGAACCTGGGATAAGTACTCCATGAAATGATTTCATTGGTATCATTAATTTAGAAATAGTTGGCTTAATTAATTTTGTCATTTATGATAAAAATAAAATTGTATAATTTAAATTTTTTTCTTTCTCATTTTCTCATTTCTCATTTTTTCTCTTTTTCATTCTGTTTTGGTTTCAGTAACTTTAATTTTAACTTTGGATCAAATATTGGGTTTCCATCTTTATCTCTTCCAATAACACCATATGGTAGAATCTTCATTTATACTAAAATAAAAATTTAAATTATGCCGTTCTAAAGTTTGTGAAACAAACATTGAGCGTTCATTGAACGCGAAACCATGCATAAACTGTCATATAAGGTGGCATGTAATCTGTACCTCTTCCTGTCGTTTGTGTATATCCTGAAACGTTATGTGAATGTGTACCTGAACCGTTTGAAGTATATCCTTCATTCCATCTATTTTTATTACCGTACCAATATTTACCCCTGCTAGCGTCTCTATCAGACCATCCATCAGGAAATCCATTATTTCCATCAGGATATTCAAACGAATTAGTATAAGTATGACTATGCCAGCCCGAGTCTTGAGTGTTTAAATTAACATAATGACTATGAGCAGGTAAATTTTCGCCAGTAATCTTTTTACTTCCACCGGTTTGTTTTGAACTATTAGCACAGTAGAGGAAACGAATCGGTTATTTGTTGCCATGTACCGAAACCGAATACATCAGCTGGATTTGTTGAATTCATTGATGTATATATTGAACCAATGGGGTAAATCATCTCAAGAATTGTATTTAATCCATTATGAATATTGAATTTATTATATAATATTGAAACTGGGTAAGAAATTAAAATTGGTCTTGTCATCAATATTAACGTATTATTTTTGAAAATTGCTTTTCTAACATCTTGAAATTTTGTGATTTCAGACCAGTTTCTTCCATCACTACTGATATTTACTAAATCACCACATCCTAAAGCAATGAAATACCCATCAATATAAAATAAATTAGTAAATCTATAATTTCGAGTAAGTTTTGGAGTGAATGAATAAACCAATTCCCAACTTGGTGTTTTCTCTGGATCCTGTGAAAAATCTTGTGATAAATAAATATGTCTGTTATAACTTACAGGATATGAATAGACCATACCACCTGAAACAAGAACACAAACATTTGAAGCATAACATAAAGCTTCAATGTCTCCATCAGCTTGAAAAATTTGTTCAAAACGACCAAATGGTATTGAATATGATCTATAAATTTTATCATTTTGTAGGATAAAATACATGTTGTTAATGTAATACCACTTACTTGTATAATCAATTTCCAAATCTGATGACATCATACTAAACATATAATAATTTATCCCATCCTCACTAATGAAAATTTGATTGACTTCATAAATTAGTACCCATTTATTATTAACGCATCTAATAGAATTATTTGGATATTTAAATTTAGCATCTTGATTTAAATTACATTTGAACCATTGGATACAATCGAATGAATAACAAGGGCAAAAATCATCTCCAACCGTTATCATTCCCATAAATTTACCGTTATTATATTCAACATATAAAATTCTTGGATTAATGATTGGCTTTCGTGTATCAGGATTCCAAACAGATGGAATAAATGATTCATAGTTTTTAAAATCATTTGTTTTAAAATAATAAAGCACTCCAGCTGTATAAAATAAATACGTGGTCACTCCATCGAAACATATCCATTCAAAAGAATCTATATCAAAGGTTTTATCTGATGATTTCATAAAATTTAAAAATGGTGGAGTAAAATAGACCTCTGATTGTTTTATTTCTTCATTAACAAATGATATATCAGCTTTCTTTGCTAACTCAGTATTAATGAATGAAATAACTTTTTCCTTATCTGCTTTCTTCTCTAACTCATTGTTAACATATGTTTTATCTGCTTTCTTCTCTAACTCATCGTTAACATAAGTTTTATCTGCTTTAAGGTCTAAACATCCTGAAACCCATTCTGTATCAGCTTTAACTTTAAAAGTCTTCAATGTCCATTCATGATACCCTTCAACCTTTTCTTTAATTTCATTATCTTTTTCATCAACATAAACCAAATTTGCCTTCTTATTTAACTCGGTATTTACATAAACTAAATCTGCTTTCTTATTTAATTCAGTATTAACGTATTCCTTATCTACCTTCTTCATTAATTCAGTATTAACGTATTCCTTATCTACCTTCTTATTTAATTCAGTATTAACGTATTCCTTATCTGCTTTCTTCATTAACTCACTATCCACATATTCCTTATCCACCTTCTTCATTATGTCATTTAGGAAACCTTCTATGAATTCCTCATTTAAATTAAATCTTCCAATCTTCAAAACTTTAGGAAATGCATTTAATGCGTAATATCTCTGTTCTTCTGGTGGAATTGATGTTATATCATCCGTTATTCCATTAATTTTTGAATTCATAAATAAAATTTCTTTTATATTTGATATCACTGCACCACCTTTGCAAACGAATTCGAAATGGTCATTTTTCAATACTATCTCCACATTTCAACCTTTGCGTTTGTTCTGCCGTCTTTGAATTATATGCATATGTGGCGTATGTAATGGTCTGAAGGACCTGGGCGCTTTGCGCCTTAAGTTGCTGTTGTTTAATCATTTATTACGATTTAAAAATAAATATTTAATCCGTTATCTCATCAGCTATTTTCTCTATTTGAAATTGCCATAATATTTCATTCATAAATTCTAAATCACAATCAAATAGGTCAGTTATTCTAAATTTAATATTTGATAAATGTTTTGAATGAAGAATAAATGAATTCCCGGATAATTGAAACGGATATGATAAAGAAAATGTGTTTAAGTTGATGGATAAAATGTTTTGTATTGATGGGTAAGAGTTGAGGTCTAATGTTTGATGTGAAAATCTCATTGGGGTATTAACTTTATCACATTTGATTAAAATGAAATTGGAACCAGTGTCAGAATACAAAACATCCCCAACATCTTTTTCAAAATTTAATATCCCAACAATGAACGAAGATGAGGAGTACAAAATTTAATTTTCAGCGGAAATTTAATAAGGTTATTTATTTCATCAAGTTCAAAAAGTTTATCAGGTTTTGATTTAAAATTTTCTTCATACCATACGATAAATGATTCATTTAAATAACTTAAAATCATGTTAATATCCCATTTCGCTATCACATTATTTATATACATATCATACGTTTTTTCAAGGTCTACGACCCGCCGCTATGCGGCTCATGGTCATCTTTAATAAATGATATATAATCTGAAGGGTCTAAAAGAATGGGATTAAATTTACCACTCACAGAAACGAGAGTAACATTATAAATTCCGCTAACTGTTAAATTTAATTCACAGTTATTATTCGAAATAATATTGATAATTGACATTTTTTATTAGGATTAAAAATATGGTAAAGCGTTATTTTCCAGTGATAAATAAAACTAGAATAAGATTACCTCAAGAATTCATAAATTCAACGAATAAGAAATTCATTCATGTTATAAATTTTAGTGTTTTCAGAAAATATGAGTCAGTGTCATATTCATCAACAGGTTATATTTCACTTCATTCAAATTTAGTTCAATCAAACCCATATAATGACCATTTCATAAGATTTTCAGATGGTATTAAAAATGTAATTGATAGATTAAAATATGAACAGATTGACAATATCGAATTTTTGGAATTTTGGTTTAAATATCCCGATGGAAAAAAGATTGAAGTTAAAGATAAAGCTGATACTATAACAAAAACAATTACAATGACCGATCCGGATAGTGGGGAACAAAAAGAAATAAAACAAACGATAGAAACTGGTGAAAGGTCAATTATTATTGATTATGATTCAAAGGATTATTATTCGATAATGTTAATGCTTGAATATTAAATAGCCTTAACAAAGAATTTTTCAAGTGATATTTTATATTCATCAACTATTTTATTATAAATATCATTATATGTTAAATGAAGTTCAGTTGTTGTTCCGTTCTTTGATATCTTAATTGTGCTAATATCCTTTATAGGATTTATTTTTGCAACTGTTCCGCAGCATGAAACCTCATCATCTATGAAAAATTGAATCTTAACGTCTGAATCTTGAACATCACAAAGAATGGCGATAATGTGAATTAATGATTCATAAGGTAAAATAATTAAACCGGATTGATCAATTAAATTTATTATTGAATCATAATTATTAATTATTATATCACGGTAAATTTTCATTAATTCAGAATTAATGTCTATTTTATATGGGTTATCAAGTGGTGCTGGGTATGTTGGATAAGTGGGAATTTCAACAGGTTCTTTACCGGGTTCAGATAAAATGATTGGGTCTCCATCTTCTTTATTTTGCTCCTCCTCCTTTTTCGGTAAGTCACGAGTTAATAAATTTGGTTGAGTTGCTGACCTTGTTAATTCAGGGCTAACATTAACTTTAACATTTTGAATAATTCGTGATTTATCATCATTTACGTTATAACCAACCGTAATCTCTGCTTTTGCGTTAGTGTTCTTTTGACTAGTGAAACGTCTTCTCATTTATAATCGAATAAAAAAATATATTTAAACTTTTATTTTGCTGGAAGTTTTGAATCTATTATTCCCTGTATTTGTTCTTGAAGTTGATTTTTAGCTGGTTCATTGTAATTAATAGACCTAATATATTCATTAATTGCATTCTTATAATCATCTGATTTCTCAAATTTTCTTTTATCTGATTCCTTAACTAAATCATAAGTTAAACCTCGTTGCTGATATAATGGTTTCTTAATTAAATCTTTGAATGCTTGAGATAAAGCACCTGATGCAATTCTTGCTACTATAATTGGTTGGAATTGCTGTTTAAGTTCATCTTTAACATTTGCGAAAACTGGATCGAATAAAGCAACTTTAAAGAATTTCTTAGCTGAAATTTCAGGTCTAATATTTGCATATTGACCATCAAACTGGTTAGAATATCGTGGTAATCCATCCGGTCCCTCTTCAATAGCATTTAATTCTTCATTGAAATAAGAATATGGATTATAACGGTATGAATTAATTGGACCATTTCACCTTCTCCAATGTATTGTTTAACAGCTTTTCCATTTTCATCAAATTGCATAGGATAACGTTCATTATATGCTTTACGTTTAGGATAATCAGTTATAGTTAATTTATAACCATTTATGACTTTAATATTACCTTGACCATCAGTAACGAAAACTTCATTTATACCATCAGGTTTTCCATTTGGACCCGTAATGTCTGCTTCGTGTGCTTCCCAATTTGGACCTTGACGTTTGGCATATGCTTGAGCTTCTGGTAATGTTAAAACGTTTCTCATTTGTTTAACATCTTTTTGAAGACCAGCAACAATATGAACTAATTCTTTCATTCCATCAGGAACTTTCATAGTTCTATTATATGCACCCTTTTTGTTTGTTCCTTGTTTTAATGGAACCTGTAGAAGATTTGCTATTTCTGTCATGTTTAATTATAAATAAAAAATAAAAATTAATTATAAAAAGTTAATCAAATTTAACACTCCTTTATTTAAATCAACTATTATTTTTCCATGTTCACCTAATTGCTGATATTGTGTGTAAAGTTCATTAATGCTCATTGGTAAATTCACTTGATAAAGCATAACGTTCAACTGTTGACGACTAAACCCACTGAAAATGAAAAGGGTTGATAGATTTGATTTAATGTTTGTGCTTAATGCTTTGAAGTATTGAACAGCCATGAAGAATGAACACTGAATGTGTCGACATTGAGTTAATAACTGATTAAAATATGATTTCTCATTTGTTATTAGTTTTGATTTCACTGCATCATCTAGAAAAATGAGTGAATGCAAAAATTCTCTATCAAAATTTGAAATAGAAAGTGTTTCAAATAATTCATCCCGTTGTTTATCAATAATTTTATCCTCTAATCCTTGCTTCTTGATTGTATTATATAATTCTTTATACATTAAAAAGTTTTTTAAATAATCTTCTGCTTCTTCTTGTGATAAATAAATAATTGGAATTTTGATTAAATGCTTTAAAGATTCAAATGTATCATCTGAAGGTGAACCTGAACGGTTGATATAAATTAACACATGTGAATAGGGGGAAGTGTTAGCAATAATGATAATTTGTTTTAATATCGTTAATGTTTTACCTTTATTTTGTTTACCAATTGCTGCAGTGATTGAATTTAAGTAACATTCAGAATATGAATTTTCATTAATTTTTCCTTAGATAGAGCATTTCTATTATCACTCAATGCTTCATTAATCATATCATCTATGTATGTATTATATACTCCTGCTAATTCTTCATAAGGAGTGTATGAATTTAAATCCATTTAATCAAAAATAAATTTATAATTTTAAACATTTCTATTCATCAATATTTCATCATATGAACTTCTATACTGTGGTGGTGTACCTGTTGGATGATATTTCAAACCTTCATCCGGTGTCCATGTCCAATATGTAGTCCTAGTAAACCAAACCTGAGGAGGATTTGTCACCTTTGAACAGTAAGTGTCATTTTCACCCTGAATGATTGGATAAGCTTTCACTTGTACTGTAACTTGTGAGTTGAAAGTTTCTAATCCATCAAAGAATATACCCGCTCCATCACGTTGAACTGGAATAGTGCATAAGAATGAAGTTTGGTCTTTCCATGTTCTAGCTAATGGCGTGCCATCATCTGCATTCAGTGGTCTAGTTAATGAGTCCTCGTATTCTTCTGTGCATTCATTCACTCCATCTAAATCAGAAGCTTGAAGCATACGTGTAAAGAATATGTCGCCCACTGTGGTCATCGCTTGATCGGGGAAGTTTCTGGAATCTATAGTGACCTGAAGACCTCGAAGCATTGGATTTTCTAAAACTGTTCTTTGCATTGCATTCTTCGGAAATGCTAACACAACATCTGTAACATTATGAAGAGCGTATGAGAAATCTGAGCTAATACCTTCAGGAGTGATGCAACCTCCATTTAGTGAACGAACGTCAATATGTTGAGCTGGAATCATGAATGGATCTTCCTTACTGAATAAACGTGGTATTGCTTTAACTGATTCTTCAATTAAACCGTATCCTGGTGTAATGCATTTATCCTCTAAAACTTCCATCTTTGTGCATGAAATAATAACGTCATCAACTGTTGCGTCAGCAGATGTAGCGGCTAAGCTTGTAATTAATTTGGCAGGAAGTCCGATTTGTTGGAATTTGCGATCATATTTATAAACATGATTCATAATCTTTTCATAATTTTCATCAGTTATCTTTTCATAAACGTAATTTTGTAAATCAGCAACTCTTAACGGGTCAACCTGACAAAATACTAAAGTATCCCTGAAAACATAATATTTAAGAATGATATCACCAAATGATTTAGGATAATCATCGAACGCCTGAAATGCTAACAAATCATTTACCGGAATAATCATATCAAAAGTGACATCAACTTCTTCATTTGCTTTCTTGAAAACTTCTGAAGGGTCAATATATTTACCACATACTGAGTTATCATATTTTTGAACATTATTATATAACGAATGAACAAACTTTTTAACTTTCCTTTCTGATTTTGGTTTATATGTTGCAAATGCGAAAGATTCACGGGCGCAATCCATCTGAAGATAACCGGCATCACCTCTTTCGGTTTCTACTTCTAATTGTTTAAAGCTTTGATTTGATGATTTGTAACCAACGAATAAACGCATGCATTTAAAAGCGGCATCACATGTGAAAGCTTTATTTGAAACTAGAGTTGCTTTAACTTTGCGTTTAATATATGTGTCACCTAATTGGTTCACATCATGAGGAGTATATAAGAATTTCCGAAAAGTGACACCCCAAAAAGTGACACTTTCAATAGGGAGTAACACTTAAAAAGTGACAATTTAAAATTCACAATAAATAAAAATAATAAATTTTTTTAGTCTATTAAATTATTCTTTTCTTTGAAATCCTCTAAAAATTCTTCGAAATGTTCTAAAATATAATCTGGAGAATTATAACAAAATTCATTAATTTCTAACATATACGTATCTAACAATTCATTTGGAATTTCAAACGATCTTAAATATGTAATTGAATTTTGTATCTTCTCATTTATTTGAGAAAGTTTTTCTTCAGCATTTTCCAATAAAAATCTTAATGGATTCAAATTGGCTTCTTGATTCTGAACAAAATTTAATACTTGGTATAAACGTGATTGAACTTCTCTTTTCAATTTTGTTTTATAATCTGTCAATCGAGGCTCGCGAATTCTAATTGAAGGAATAAAACCTGTTTGAAGTAAATCGTTTTTAATACGATAAAAGTAATTGGGTGCAACTTCTTCTAAAAGATTTTTGACAAAAACATCAATTCTTTGATTTTTAACGCAGCCAAAATCGTGATATTTTATCTTTTTAAATAAAGATTCAGAAACGTTATTCACAACGGTTAATTCATTTGGTCTGGCAGCGGCTATCCACATCATAGCCAACAATTCCTTATACAAAATTCAAAAACTTGGGTGCAATCAGAACTGATTGCACCCAAGTTTTTGAACTTTCTTGAGGGAATTAAAGGGTGAGAGATTTATAGTCTATCTATATATCTCCCACCCTCTAATTCCCTCCCTGACAGCGGGAAACTTTGTCTGAATGTTAAACTATTCAGACAAAGTTTCCCACTGTTTGCGAAGGAATTGTTGGCTATGATGTACTGATTCATGATCAGTACATCATAGCCAACAATTCCTTATATAAAGTTCAAAAACTTGGGTGCAATCAGTTCTGATTGCACCCAAGTTTTTTGAACTTTCTTGAGGGAATGGAAGAGTAAGAGGTATACATTATGAATATATACCTCTTACCCTTCCATTCCCTCTCTGACAGCGGGAAACTTTGTCTGAATGTTAAACTATTCAGACAAGTTTCCCGCTGTCAGCGAAAGAATTGTTCCATCTGGTGCATAGAGTGTGAATCTATGCACCAAATGGAGCAAGTCCCTCGCGAAATTGCCCAAACTGCGTCGCATTTCAAAGATTGCGACCCAAATTTTGGCGATTTCTAGTAGAGATGGAGTATTTTGAGTCACTGACCTATATGCAGTGGCTCAAAGGGCTCCATCTCTACTTTGAAGCAAGGAAACTTTCCTCGAAATTTTGATAATTTGAAGAAAAGTTTTCAAGCAATTAACAAAGGATACTCGCTATGAGGTAAAAATTCTAGATTTTCACCTCATAGCGAGCTTCTCTTTCATTGCTTGAAAACTTTCCCAGCTTCAAAATTGGGGAAAGGGCTGTAAAGTCGACTCCGATACCAGCAGGTACCAGAGTATTTAAAAGAGAAGCCCTCGTACGAGTTTCTATGAAGACCTTCTCATTCAAGAAGATCTTAATAGAAAATCGTACGAGGGCATTGGAAACTCGCGTCTGGTACATGTTGGTACCAGAGTGTTTGAGATTGAAGACTCTGGTACTAACATGTACCAGAATTTATGATGAATTTAAGATGGACCATTATAAAAATGGTAGCGGTTTTTTCAAAAAAAATTAGATGAGATTTGCATAGATATAGATTATATGATTTATACATATGAAAAATAATATATAAAAATATAATTTTGAGGTCAGGTAAGTGGGGCCTCCAGGCACTTCGTGCCCTCTAGCCCTGAAGATGTTTAGTATAACTTTGTCCGGACAAGTAAGGGTCTATCGTCGCTACAGGAAAAGTTACAGGCGTTCCAAGGAAGTATACTTTGAGAAGCCTTCTTCTGGTCGAAAACATTATATAATGTTTCGCTTTTCACAAATTATATATGTTCATGTTTTGTCATGACTTCTTCGTATATTGTTTTTGTCATGATTTCATCGTAAATGTTTTGTCAAGACTTCTTCGTAAATGTTTTGAAGAACTGAAGTGTCACCAGGTCCTCGGTCAACTAACATCTTTTTGAAAATGGTGACAACATGACATTTTGACAACAGTCCAGGAAATAAACTTCTTCTTCGTAAATGTTTTGTCACTTTTCTGTCACTTTTCAGGAAAAAACATTTTTATTATATATAAATGAATTTTACAAAACCACCGTTACAAATCTACAAATGTTAGACCATTCGGTAGTTTCTTAAGTTCTCTCAATAGAATATCTTTACATCTACTCAATAGAATATCTTTCCTGAAAAGTGACAAAACATTTACGAAGAAGAAGTTTATTTCCTGGACTGTTGTCAAAATGTCATGTTGTCACCATTTTCAAAAAGATGTTAGTTGACCGAGGGACCTGGTGACACCTTCAGTTCTTCAAAACATTTACGAAGAAGTCTTGACAAAACATTTACGATGAAATCATGACAAAAACATATACGAAGAAGTCATGACAAAACATTTACGATGAAATCATGACAAAAACATATACGAAGAAGTCATGACAAAACATGAAAACATATATAATTTGTGAAAAGCGAAACATTATATAATGTTTTCGACCCAGAAGAAGGCTTCTCAAAGTATACTTCCTTGGAACGCCTGTAACTTTTCCTGTAGCGACGATAGACCCTTACTTGTCCGGACAAAGTTATACTAAACATCTTCAGGGCTAGAGGGCACGAAGTGCCTGGAGGCCCCACTTACCTGACCTATAGGGAACATAGAAAAATATATTGAGGGTATAGAGTTTGTGAGATGTCATTGGACAGAGTTGTATGAAAAATATAAAGACAAGGAAAATGTTTTCTTTATAGTGGACCCGCCGTTCTATAACACATGGGATTTTCAATACCAAGTAGACTGGACTTTGAGAGACTCTTTAGAAACTTTAGACGTTTTACATAACCATCCATGCTTTTACTTTACACCGATAAAAGTGGTTTGGAAACCGTTATGAGATGGTTAGAGGACATACATGACTATGATTAGATATGACAAGATAGAATATGAGAGAGTCCTATAAACCGAGAAAGTGTCATAACAAAGAAATTTTACTAGTAAGTAAATGTTTTGAATAGGACTACTTGTTTTAGGTTTTTTCCATTGTGTCATTTATTTATTGACAGAAAGATATAGAGAAATAAGATGAACCAATGCCTGCAAATGTTCAGCATATGTACTCGTAGAGATATTTTTATCTAATATTAAATGGACGCACAGAACTTAGCGAATGCACAGCAACCTGGACAACCAAACCCAGAGAATATTCCAAATGAAGTTAGAATACAAACTGCAATGGCAAACTATGGTCAAGTGCCAACAATGTACAAATGCAAACTGCCATGTCAAATGACGCTGCGTTAGGTTTGCCACCATGGTATGCAAATATGAGATGGAAAGAGTTTTTTATACAAAACCCTGAAGTGGGATATTAAACAACTTTATGCAGATGACGCAAACACAGGAGTTGACCCAGAATATGTTTTCTTACCAGAGGAGAAACAGAATGTATGAGCTCCAGTTAAAGAATGCTATGGAACTCAACAGGAAACGTAAGAGACTAGGCGGACATTAGATTTTTACATATAGTAAAATGGGTTTCTTCAGTAGTATTGGAAACTTCTTTTCGAAATGTTGGAAGAGGTATATGGAATGGAATAAAATCTGTCGGAAGAGGAATTTGGAACGGTGTCAAAAATATTGGTAAAAGAGTAGGTCAGTTTGTTGGTATTATACCTAAAGACCTGAACCAGAAGAACAAGCTCCTGTTATACAACAGCCTGAACCTGCACCACAGTCTAGGGCAACCAAATCCAACACACTCAACGTATTAAAAAATTATATTTTTACCGTTCGATAGTAGTTGTATATGAAACTAAGTTCTAAGTAAAACGCATGGAATTAATGGAACTATTCTCTCTTCTTCCATCTGTTGTAAACCATACTTGAAAGTCTGAAATACCCACTTTGGTGGTTCATATAGCTTTGTAGGTTTTTCGTAAAAGTCATTTGCCAAGCATAAAAAAGAGTTTTGTGCACCAGAAAATGAAGCATGAACTATAATAGCATCTGAGTCGAAAACATTTTCATATGTTCCATTAGGGTTTTCGACTTCATAAAAGTCCGGGTGTACTGGATATTCTGCCGGCTGATTTAACATCCTCAGAAATCTATACCATGCCAAGTTGTTATATTTTGTAGAAATATAAACGTTTTCTCCAAGGTCTTCTATTCTATTGATTTTAACAGTTGCATTTTTCCTGTCATATATAATATCGAGATGGTACTCTCCTTCGTCAATGTTATACTGCTTTGCATATTCGATATAGATGTCGTTTATTTTTTCTTGAAAAGCTTGAAGAGTTGTTTCTAAGTTTACAAGCAAATTCACTTTTTGTAAAGTTTCCCTTTCAAATTTCTCATACGTACGTTTTTCTTTGTTATAGTATCGAACTTCAAAAACCGACTGTAAATGGGAAACCATGTATGGCTTCTGAAATGAACTTCATTCTACGAAAGCCAATAGCTTTTGTGACAGATGGGTCTCTTAACCATCTTAACGGGTAGTCAAAACGATAGCCTTCATGCTTTACGGTCTCTGTCTCAAACTTTTGACCGACATTAGTAAAAAGTTCATCTAATGGTTTAGTTGTAGCAACTCTTGAATTTTCTTTTTCTATTGAAAGCATATTTTATCTAGAATAAAAATGTCAAATGAAACAGCGTCTATGAGAGAAATACAACACAACCGACAACTCATTATACAAGCTCTAAATAAGAACACAACAAACTTTTCAAACTATTCTAAGATATCTGAGTCATTGAAAGAAGGAAACTTAAAACTGACATTAAACCCAATGACAGATGAATTTCTATTTCAAGACAATAAGAACAATACTGTCTGTATAAATCCAACAAAAGGAACTTTAAACGAGAAACCTATAAAAGAACTTCTTTTGAAAGCAGATGTTGACAACAAAGCAGACAAAACATATGTAGACGATGCAATAGCAAAAGAAGAAGAAAGAGCTGACAAAGCTTATGCAACAAAAGAACATACTCATCCTGAACTAGCAGACAAAACATATGTTGACAATAAAATGTCAAGTGAAGTGACAAGAGCTGAAAACGAATATTCTAAAAAGACTCATACACATACCATTGCAAATATTGCAAACTTACAAGAAACCTTAAACAGTAAAAGTGACGTTGGACATACACATACCATTGCAAATATTGCAAACTTACAAGAAACCTTAAACAGGAAAAGTGACGTTGGACATACACATACAAGTTTTACAACTGTTGCTATAGAAAGTATTGAAGGAACGGTTGAAGAAACTGGTGGGGATGCATTATATTGTAAACCTCCTAACTTTCCACAAGGTTTAACATCGGATGACGACATAACGACGATGAGAAACATTAGATGTAAAGATGTTTATGTCATGAAGGATGAAAATAACGTTAAATTCACTGCTCAAGATTTATATGACAAGAAAGCAGACAAGAACCATACACATACAAGTTTTACAACTTTTACAGCAGATGATATTACACTAAACACAACCTTGCCAAGTAAAGCTCCAACAATACCACCGGCAACAAGTCTTGTAGATACTTTGATATCTAATGACAATAGTATTATACATCTAAGACAGGAACTCAATGTGCTTAAACAAATTTTGCCGAATCTTATTTACCCGGTTGGCTCTATTTATACGTCAATGAACTCTACCAGACCAGAAGTAGTACTTGGTTTTGGAACTTGGACTCAAATAGTCGACAGGTTTTTGTATTGTGCAAACTCTTCAAAGGAAACAGGTGGAAGTAAAACGATTTCAGGTGAAAATTTACCTGCACACAGTCACTACATAGATTTAAGTACATCTCAAGCAGGTTGGCATAAGCATAGATTTTGGGATTGGTCAGCAATGAAAAAAGGTAAAGGATATGATGTTAAAGACGAAGTTCAGTTTGCTATAAATTGTTTCTGGGGTAACACTCAGGGAGATGGAAACCATACACATCGCGTTTCAGGGTATACGCAAACAACGGGACAAAGTAAAGACTACATGCCACCTTACATGACAGTTTACGCATGGTATAGAAATGCTTAGTCGTCATTTTCAACTTCTTTAGCATATTCGTCAGGAGTTGTCTTATATTTGTTAGGAACTGTCTTTGAAAGTATACCACCTTGAACTTTGACAAGTTTGAAACGAGGTCTGACAATAGTAGTTTTATCTTCTGCTTGCAGTGTGTACATTTTGCCATGTTTGCCTAAAACTTCATAATATTCTCTTGTATACTTTCTTCTATTTTTACGAACACGAATGTGAGTACCTGTCGGGTTCCCATTGTTGTCATAGTCAATAGTATTTTCATATGGGTCGCGTTTAGGTATTTCTATTTTTTACTTTGTCACCTTTCTGAAGTTTGAAGCCCGGCATTCTTTCTTGTTTGTCTCTTTTGACTAAATTATTAAATATATAGTCTTTCTCTAAGTCAGGGTTGTTTTTCATTTCTTCGGGGGAGTGGTTTCCCAAACCTTTTTGTTTACGGTTATTGTAAATTTTAAAACTTGTCTCATCTTTGCCATGGAGAAGTGTCTATACTTGTCGTCATATGACATTTCATTTGCTTCACCACCTTGTGGTTGGTTTAAGTCTCTTAACATTTTTATACAACCGTCAATGACCCAAGAAGCAGAATGGTTTTGGTCGACAATGAAATATTGGTTTACATTTTTTGAACGCAGATAGTTTTTTACATCGTCTGATTTGAAAGAACTTTCACAGTCAGATGTTAGTTTTGTTGGATGGTATTTGTCAACGAATATTGTCAAAGCTGCTAAGATATCTAAAATATTTTTGGACTGTAATGGTATGGCTTCACAGTATCTTGTGTTTTGACCGACAAATATTAGCCAGTATGGTGGTCCATCTTCTCTATACCTCGGAATGTTTTCCAAGATATCCATAAACCAAGCATTTGGTGTTGAACTAAAGATTTTTACCATGAGTGCTTTCTTTGTTGCCTTAGAAACATAGGGGTCCTTGTTTGGATTCGTCATTTTTTAACCCATAAGAAATGGGTTTATTTGGCGCGTTAGCAGGAGTTGCATCCAGATTTTTACCCGCAGTGGGAACAATAGCCAGAGGTGTATTTGGAGTTGGAAGGAAGATTTTGAGTACATTAGGTATACTTAAAGAGAAAGCACACCTATTATACAAACTGTACAGAAAGGTTGGGATGTAGCACGAGATGCAACAAATCTTATTCCAAATCCTGAAACAAGAGGAAAAGTTCAAGGATGGATGGACAATGTAGGAAGACAAGCAGGAAACTATTATAACAAAGCAAATGACTACTATAACCAAGCAGGACACTATATGGACCAAGGTGAAAGATTCTTTAACAGAGGATATAACCATGCACAACAGTGGGTAAACAATAACCAACCTCAACCGCCTCAAAACGTGGGGAATGTAAAGTTTTTTACTGAGATGAAATGAACAATACAGCATTGAGACAAATGGGTTCAAGATGGATTTGTCGACTTCCAGCAGTTACACAACGTGTTTGTCAAGTTCTTCCTATACCTCAGGAAGTTTTGACCGACTTAAAAAAACAACAACAACCAGTTGAAAACAAACCAAACTAAAATTTTTTACTGAGATGAAATGACCGAAGAAGTTGAAACGGTAGATTTGACACCACAAACAAAAAGTTCAGAACCATTGTCAAAACCTGTCAAAGAACTTACAGATGAAGAGAAAAATTCAATAATAGAAAGTGCCAGGTCTGGAAATACAAACCCTAACTACAAAGTCACTTTTCATAAAAATGGAACGGCTAGTATCTCAAAAAAGAAACAGACTCTCACAAATAAAATATTGAAGTCTGAAGGAGCTTTCGAGACAACAGATGGAAAAGTTTACTTCACTGACCAACAGTTCATTATAGAACATCTCATTGACTTAGAGTCGAAATATTCTAAACTTTACAACAAACACAAAAAGTTGAAAGGAAAACAAAAACAAATGGCATATGATATTTATGAAGATGTTGACGACACAACTATTCCTGCAAGTGAGGTAAAGTCAGCGGAACCGAAAAGTGACGAAAAAACGATAGAAGAAGAAAAACCAAAAACTGAAGATAAACCAAAACCAAAGTTTAGTTTCCAAACTAAACCAAGTCAACCTTCATTAGCTGGTATGGGTTGGCGTCAAAGACTTATGGCAGCAGGCGGTTATGTAAAGTAAAGAGAAAAAAAATATTTTTTTATTTTTATAAAAATGCCCCATATAGAATGGATAGAAAATCTGCTAGAATAAAAGCAGAGTTGCAAAGTTATGGTTGGAGAGTTTCGAAGAAGTTTAAATATAGGAAGGGAAGACCCATAAAAGTCTATGACAAATTGTCTGGTCTTCGCTACGAAATGGATTTGGAAACAGCACGTGCCAATTATCCAAACAGACTAGAGAGGTTAGAAGAAGAACGTCTTATGGACATGCCTTTCGATGTTAGTGAACCTCAAGTTGAAGGACACGACGGCTTTGCCAGATTCTACTGGAAACATGACGAACAATTGCATCCTTTGAGAAGGAAAAAAGGAAAAGGTGAAGACGCACATGCTCCCATAGAAAGAACAAGATATGCATATGAAAAGTATCGTGAAGTTAGAAGTCAAATTACATCTGGTCGAACCTTTACAGTAAACTTTGACGAAGGAAAGAACAAAGAAGGCTTCATGGGTGTACTTGCTGCCATACAAGACGGAAATAAGAAAGGACACAATCTCAGATTGACCATAACAGATTTGGATGGTCACATTTACTATGCATATGGCAATGTCACAACAGCTGCAATGCTTCTTGACGCTTTCAAGACTACAAAGAGAGAACAAATGGTTGACTCCGACTCAGACATTTTGGATGCAATTGAAGGAATTGCAAGTGTCAAGTTCGAATGGTACCAACCTAACCCTCAAGCAGTCAGACAACATGTTTGTTAGATGAGAAATAAAAAATTGCATGAGGTAAAAACGTTTTTTAAACCATATATTTTTACATATATTAAATGCTTCAGGTTGAAAAACAAAGAACAAAAGTAGCAGATACAAAACCATTAGACTATATCTTTACAAATGCTGGTAGGACTATTTCAGATGAAGAAATTTCATCCCGAGCTTACAGGTTTGACTATCCAGTTCGTTGGCTTCAAAGTCCTTCAGATGCAAAGGCAATAGGATTTAGAAGAGTTTTGTTTTCAAATAGAACTAACGCGTTTATGTTTGCAGTATATTTTCACGGTCAGTATAAAGGTTCTGATGGTCTAATAGAAAAATTTGATGAAATGAAAATCTTTACAATTCGTTCAGACGAAAGTCTTGAAAAAACTCTAAATGACTTTCAAACTCAAATAAACAAATACTACTGGGAATTTCAAGAAAAATACCACTCTTTACTAAATGGAACATACTATCTGAAGCTAGAATACGACAAGATGAACTCTACAGTTTCATTTCAAAAGATTGAAATTAACCCTCCAAGAGATACAGAGTTTTTATATTGGGGGGTGGACAGGCGTTCTTGGGCACAATTTCTTCGGTTACTAAACCAGAACGAACCATTACCACCTGACGGTCCTTTTAAATTTATACTCCCACCAGCAGATTTGACAGTTTATAGAAATGTGTTTGACCCTCAAAATGTTATGTGTCATGCAAGTTTCAGTTCAAGCAACAATAGTTTTCTATGTATTGGTAAGGACTTTTATGACTTTGCTTCTAAATTCTACGAACCACCTAGTAACAGTTTCTCTGACTTTCAAGTTTGGTTCACAACAAATGGTGTGCAGCATATTATACCATTGTACTATGACTTTTATCTCGAATTGTCTTTCATATACAACTACGGAAAAGTGCTGAAAAAGTATTGAAAAATATATTTTAGGTGGAACCAGGTCCCTCGGTCCCTCGGTCATTTTAACTTCTCTGAAAAAGTGTGACAACATGACATTTAGACAACAGTCCAGGAAATAAACTTCATCGTACATGTTTTGTCATGATTTCATCGTAAATGTTTTGTCAAGACTTCATCGTACATGTTTTGTCATGACTTCTTCATCGTATTCTTTCACCCGTTGAATTTTGTATAAAAAGCAACCCGCGGAATTCCGGCGGTTGGTATATTCTTCACAAAATGCTTGTTTTGAGGTCGAGCCACTTTTGGCTCCACCGTATTTTTCAACCAAAACTCATGAATTTTCCCGAAATAAAAAATAAAGTTAGTTTTTTTAAAAAAATATTTTTTATTTTTATTGTAAGAACATGTTAGCAACAACAGCACCAAACTCGTTAGTCATGAACCCAACTTCAATGTTAGTTGAGATGAAAAGCTTCATTCCTTCTTCATATACTTTCGAAACAGAAATCCAGAAGATAAAGCAAGAACTTCTCCAAGGAGATTTAGACTGTAGTGCGAAAGATGAAACAAATGAACAGTATCTTTATGAAATGCAGGATATTATTGACCATCTACCTAAACTTCCTGAAATACAACAACAAAAACTCACTATTCCTGAATTCGATGAAATAGAAGTCAAAGCAACTGACTCGGTTGAAATAAAGAAGTTCATACGAAAGGTAAACTATGAGTTTCTTGGATTTCATTGCAACCACAAAGTCATGGACAAAGATTGCGATATGGTATATTTCATTGACATATATAAATCTGGGGAGTTTAAGACCTACGACAACTTTGTTTCGTTAGTTGCAAAATGTGTATGGCAGATAAGAGATAAAGATAGAAGAGGTAAAGTATGGAATGAACAGATAAAACCAGCAACTTTTGAGTTAAAGAAAACCATTTACGCCTTAGTTGTTTTAGCAGGTAAGGTTTCAATGTACAATGCTAAAATGAACCCACAATGTTCAAAATGTAAAGCAGCAATGAAGAAATATAACTACTCCGTCAAAGAGATAGAACGTATGAGAAACGACTATGCTGACTTAAAGAAAGAAGTAGAGAAACCAGCAGAAGATAAAATGGACATGTTGACATTTCTGAACAAAAACTATCCAACAGCAGAAGATTTCCTTCTATCTGATGTCAAGAAGAAATATAAAGAAACTTTCGGCATTGTTAAAACATTCGATGTACTAAAAGAAGAAATAGAAGCTACAAAACTGTTTAAAGTCATGAACCATCACAACATATACCATGTAAAACGCTTGTGAAACTTTATGGTAGAAATATATTTTTGTCTGATTTACGCTCATTGACGATGAAGTTTTGACAAAACATATACGAAGAAGTTTATTTCCTGTGTTGTTGTCAAAATGTCATGTTGTCACTATTTTCAAAAAGATGTTAGTTGACCGAGGGACCGAGGGACCTGGTGACCCTCATGAAAATTCAAGAGGTGACAAAACATTTACACTCATTTCGATGAAATCATGACAAAACATATACGAAGAAGTTTATTTCCTGTGTTGTTGTCAAAATGTCATGTTGTCACTATTTTCAAAAAGATGTTAGTTGACCGAGGGACCGAGGGACCGAGGGACCTGGTGACACCTAAAAACCATCTACCCTGAAATCGTGAAAAAATGACCAAATTTCATTATATAACTGTTATTTTTTTACGAAGAGAACTTTAACACTTCGTCAAAAAAATCCCTGAAATCGTGAAAAAATGACCAAATTTCATTATATAACTGTTATTTTTTTACGAAGAGAACTTTAACACTTCGTCAAAAAAATCCCTGAAATCGTGAAAAAATGACCAAATTTCATTATATAACTGTTATTTTTTTACGAAGAGAACTTTAACACTTCGTCAAAAAAATCCCTGAAATCATAAAAAAATGACTAAATTTCATGAATTTCCTCATATGTTTGCTACCCTCGAAAAACCGAGGATAGAGATTCCATACGAAAATCGTGAAAAATTGCGACCCGAGGAAAACCGAGGAACGAGATTCCATACGAAAATCGTAAAAAAATGACCAAATTTCATGAATTTCCTTAAGATACAAAATAGAAAAAATAAAGTTAGTTTTTTTAAAAAAATATTTTTTATCTTGTATGTAAGAAACAGAAAATGACAAACATTGAGTTTGAAACAGTTAGAAAGATAGACAATAACACCAAAGTGGTTAGAATTGGTGATTTAAACGTAAGATACTCAAAGAAATACAACAAATATTCTTTGTCAGACATTATATCTCCATCTGGAAAGAGACCGCAGGACTGGGTTAGAATTGCTTCAACTCAGAAAATTTTGACAAGAAATCCTGAGCTTATGATATCAGTAGCATTCTATGGAACAAGAGCATATCTCATCGACAAAAGTCTTATACCAATAGTTTTGTTATGGATTGACCCAGTTGTTGGATATAACTTCATAACATATGGTTCATTCGATACGGAACGTTGCAGTGAAGGCTTACTTTACATCGTTCAGAAACCGAAGGACTTCAATACAAAAAGATATAAGATAGGAAGAACATATAATATAACTCAAAGATATGACAGTATAGTCAATAGAGTTAAGGTTGTGTTCGTTAACGATATGAGAGCTGCTGAAACAGAACTACTTGAAAAGTTTGAGAAAATGTATGGTGCTCCACGAAAGGTAAAGAAACGTTTGAAGTAGATGAGATAGGTAAAGCTATAAAATTATTTGACGAAGTTGCTGAAAAATACATGTAAAGCGTTTATTTTTGGTCTTTTGTGAAAGTCAGGAAATAACGCTAGTTTTTTATAAAATATTTTTTTTATCCGGAATATAAGGACAGATATGTCAACAACAGAGAACACAACAACTGCTATCGTTCATGAAGACATAAATGAAGAATATGAGTACATACAATATAACAAACAGTTACGTCTCATTCGTTCGGTCAAAGACGATATGTACCAAATGCAAAGTATTTTGACAGCATGTTTTGCTCCAGATACTAAGAAACCACAAGACTGGTTTGAATTAAATAGCACTCATGAACTCCTCAGTGAGTTTGAACATGTAGAACTTAAAAAGATGTACCAAGACAGACAAAACTTACCATCACATCTAAAAGGTATATATGTTCATAAGTTCCTAGTTAGTTCAATAGCAATGTGGGCTTCACCTCGTTATGCAATCTACATACTTATGCTACTTGACGAACTTTGTACAAAGCAGAGAGAAGATATGATGAAAGAAGACAAAAGCCTTCAGAAAAGAATACCACGTTCGGTACCAAAAGGAAAGGAAAAGAACTATAAGTATATGATTTATACTGAAGAGATGGAAAAGAAGAAGACAGAGATATGGTTATGTTGCATTTAGTCAGAAGAAACAACAAAAGCTTTTACGACCTTGCTAAGATTTACAAATCTGACAGAAATTGGTTCTATCGCGAAAACTTACCGATTTCAATGACACCAAATGAAGATGTGAAACAAATAGTTCAAGATACGTTACCTCAAACACACTATGATATTAAAGGTTGTACAATACTTACCTTCAAAGAAGATTTGCCGCTACTGAAAGAAAAAATAACAGAGTATTTTGACAACTTCAAACAAGTAGAGTAAATGAACCATTTATTTTTACGCTTGACTTCAGATGGCTCAGGTAGCTCTATAAGGTAAATTGTCTTGTCAAATCCTTCTGGCATTCCGAGTCCTTCCTTCCAACATTCCAAGTTCTTCCCGACAACTGGAAAAAAATTTCCCAACAACTGGAAAAAAATTTCCTGACAACTGGAAAAAATTTTCCTGTTGTTCGTCCGTAAACCATTCAAATTTTCGAAAATTGAGAACTTTTTGGTCGAACGACAGAAAAAATTTTTCCTTCAGACAGGAAAAAAATTTCCCGACAACTGGAAAAAAATTTCCCGACAACTGGAAAAAGTTCTTCCATCCGACAGAAAAAGTTCTTCCTTCCGACAGGACACAAACGAATGTCCGACGTACCACCAACCGAGTCCATTCCAAAGCCAGAAGAACCGACAGCCCCAGCACCACAACAGACTTACTAAGACTAAACACTTACATTTTTCAAGCTTGACTTTTTACAATTTGAACTTTGTTTGCGTAGATGTGAATTCTGAAAGAAGTATGAGGGTCTTGTATGACTTTGTACTTCTCCCATAGTTCATGTCTGTCAAACTTACCTGCCATGGACTCTTTCATAAGTTCCATGAAATCGTCTTCGGACAATCCGGGGAAAAGTACAATGTCAGTAAGTATTCTCTTTACATCCTTACTTAAACTCTTGGCTGTCTGTACACAAATGACAACAGAGATGTTAAAGTGTCTGAGCTTCTTAAGAATTCGACACATGTCTTGTTCTCTATTCTTTAACAAAGGATGAGAGGCGAAATCATCTAAGATAAGAAGACATCTATGAGGGTAAGTCTTCCAATCGTAAGATTGCAATTTCTTCGAAATGTATTCTATCTCTTTCTGTTTGTTTCTGAAGTGTTTCTTCTCTAATATTCTCTGCATTTCCTCATTTGGGTCTTTAAACTTCGAATTTATATACTCATTTATAGCATTGTACTTCAAAACTCTTCTTTGGTACTTCTTTATCCAATCTAACAACTCAGAGTCTTTTATACATACTAACTTAGACTTCTTTATAATATCTTTGAACGAATTGACGGTTTGGTCAAATTGACCAGAAGTACTACAAATGACAACTAACTCATAGAATGGGTTCTTCTCATCTAGTTCTTGTTGTTGTGCAGCCATTTTAAGATAAGTGAAAGTCTTACCCGACCCAGGTGGTGCAATTAGACCTGTTATATACCATTCTGAGCAAATAAGAACTTGTCATGTATGGGTTTTATCTGAGCATTTTCCAACTTCCTCTTGTTCTTATTTAAAACATTCTCAAATTTTTTGTCAATGTCAGCAAACTTTTTTTCTAACATATTTTTAGAAAAATTAAAATTTTTATCTTTTAGAAAATGTCTAGTGATTTCGCCATCTATATTCGAGACAAGCTTTTCGACAGCAAAACATCTGTCGACCATAAAATCTTACATAGTGTAAACAAGAAAGGTGAATTTGTTCTAAAGTTCTGTTTCTGGGAATATGACAAGAACCATAAAACATTAAGCAGAGAAGTCTTAAAATTTGTCAATGACAGACTTGTTGACAGAGATGACGCCTCTTGGAGAGATGAAGTCCAACAAAACTTCTTAGAATGCAAAGAAGACACATGCACTGTTCTTGAAATGAAATAGAAAACAGAATAGAAGAGCTATTAAAGGACAAAGAACTTTTACAAAAATATGGTTCTGAGAAGTTTGACATAACTCCACCAGAAAAGAAGAAGAGAGAAAAGAAAGAAAGAAAGTAGAAGAAGAGAAGAAAGAAACCAGAGCCAGTTCCAGAGAAAAAGAAATTTGACATGTAAAATAAAATTTTATTTTTAGAACATTTCTGGGTCAATGTCAATGTTCTCTTCCTCTTTAGGAGCAAACACTGGCTTAGACTCTAAAATCTTTTTACCCAATTTACCTTGAACTTCTACAACTTTAGACTCATAATATTCATAGTCGTCTGCTTTTTTGGTTCATAAGGTATAACAAGTTTGTATGCTTTGCCTTCTTTAAGGTTTGAGAACCTTCTGTCAAAACTTTCTTGACTGCTAACAAACCTTCTATGTCTAAGTCTTCAAATTTCGCACCATTTTTAGTCACAATAGCAAACTTAACTGGTTCGATGTTCCAAACTTTGCTGAATGAAGACTTTTCAAAATGGTAGAAGTAAACATTCAAATATGTGAATGGGTCTAGTTCTTCTTTAAGTCCTGACATGTACTTGTTTACTGAGATGAATTTTGCCATCTTTTCTATCGGATAAAAAAATATTTTTTTTTAAATTTACTCATAAAATTTTTCTTTGTATATACACCATTCTGAACATCTAAAAGACTTTTGACATTTGCCAAGAATGTTCGTTTAGACGCTGTCATATAACCATACTCTTGACAATATTGTTTTATACGAGTCGTACAATGACCTTTCATCTAAACACTCAAAGTCAGTTTCATTTATGAACAGTTCATATACACTCTTGTTTGCTTCTAACAATGTTTGTCTCTCTTCGGTATGTGGAATTTGTCTTGGATTGAACTTTGAAATATCTAATGTCATAAAATATGAGAACAAGTGGTTGTAAAAGTCAGATGTCAAAGTTTCTGCTAAGTCGTCAAAATATTCTGTATCTGCATATGAGCTTCTGACGTTCTGACAACTACATATCTTCTGTCAGAACTTTCTAACTTCATCGGAACAGCATTGTTTGAAACCATAATGAAATTTACAACATTTTCACAAACTCTTTGGTCTTTATATTTTCTTTCAACAACTCCAACTTTGTCTGTTATAAGACTCTTCAAAGCATCTGAGTTCAAAACTTTTGTTGTATCTATACTTTGAAGTTCGTTACATACTATAAGTTTCATATTCTCTATTGAAGAGTTAAATTTACCACAGATGTTTTCTAAGTTTGTCATATTCGGATTCGAATAACCTTCTAACAGTTTGCACAAAATATCTGTAAAGAATGTGTTCTTACCTGTTCCTTGTTTTCCAATTATAATGAGAGCAGTTTCATTTTTAGCACTTGGATGTTGTAAGATGTTTGCAAACCAACATAAGATATACTCATAAACCTTTTCGTTTCCATTGCATATAATTTCTTTGACATGGTCTAACCAAGCTTCTATAATATTTTCTTTCCATTCTACTTGTTCGTATTTATATCCAGTGAAGATAGAATAGAAGTTTGGAGAAGGTGTATAGAACTTTATACCTCGAACTGAAAAATCTTCTAACTTTGACAATAAGATATCCCAAGCATCTAACATCTTCATGCCAACTTGTACAACTTTTATTTTCTTAAGTTTCTTCTACATTCTTGTTCTGAAACTATTGTTGCTCTTGGTTTGTTAAAGACTACATCCCATTCTTTCATAACATAACATTCTGGGGCAGAGTCGACATAAATGACTAAACGTTTCAAATTCTCGACTGCTTTGTTATAGTCTCGAAATGGACACATATTTCTGAATGCTTGGAAGTCATAAAAATCTGAACATCTATTCTGTACATTTTTATAAAATAAAAAAAATATTTTTTTTATTCTTGACTTTGTTGTTGCATTTGTTGCATTTGTTGTTCTTGAGCTATTTGTTGTTTGAAGTTGTTCTTGTAATACAATACTTTCACCAGTTGCATCTTCCAATTCGAAACTTTCTGCCGTCATTGACAAATACATAGGACATAAAAGTTTTACAGGAACAAAGTTTGCGTCAACTAATGTCAACGTTATACTTGCCAAAGTGTTTTGAGTTCACTAAGGTTGAAAATTCTGCATTCGAATGAACAATAGGCAAACCAGCAGAGAAAGTATTGTTTATACGCATAAGTATCTTTTGGTCATAATAGTTTCTGTCGACATTCGAATAACACTTTGAACCTAAGTTTGAAACAATATATAAGATTGGTGTGCTTAATGTCAATGGAATAGACATTCCTTGTATGACACCTTTTCCTGTTATAGGAAACTGTTGGTAGTAAAAACCAGAAATAAGTTTTTGTATTATAGCTCATATCGTTTATAGTAAACTCAGTCGGACATCCAAACATAATGAAACCTGCTCTAGTTGCAGCACATGTTACACCCGTACTTAAAGTATTAAATAAGTCAACAAAACCTGTTGGTGGTATATCTGAGTAAGTATCTTCAAAGGAGTATTTTTTACATTCACAACAATAAAGTCTTCTGGTGTCAAAAGAGCAAAACAGGCTTTAGTCGTCATTGTGTTTAAGGTTAGTTTACAATATCGTCCTTGAGGACTTTGTAAGTTTGTTGTTATAGAATTATATGACTCAGGGTTTTTAGTCGTAATAGTATAAACCATTATTGTCTTCTGCCATTTATATATATTAAAAGTTTTTCTGAAAGTGGAGAAGAACTTCATCTAAACTTTCACATGGCGTTTCTTGAAGTTCTCTGTCTAAGAAGTTCAAATATTTTGTAAAGACATAGAACTTTCCTTTGTCTACACGAACAAACAAAACAGGGTCTTTCATATCGTTCAAAAGTGTGTAAAGTCCTTTACATGAAATAAAGTCTATATTATTTTTCTTCAAACATCTTTCAAGAAGTTTTGACATTTTTACTTAGCAAATAAATTTTAATGAAATGTTGTGTCGTCAAATATTTTTATGACGTCTGGGAAACTATACTTTAAGTTTCAACGTTTCACCTCCTTTCATAACGTATATCTTGTCAATGACATTATATGAAACACCACAGCAACTAATGTCGGGTTCTATTTCTTTGATGTTTATATCGTCTGCCTCTGTCAAAAGTTTCAATAGTTCTTTCAAAAACTTCATGAGGTGCAATGACATATGAGTTCACTTTTACAGGGTTGTGTTCGACCAAGTTTAACATTATACTTAAAGCTTGACAAATCTTCTCCTGAGTTTGAAGTTTGTCTTTCAGTTGTTGGTAGTCGTTCGAATATCTGCAACAGAACTTAAGTCTCTGCTAACTTCAGGATATGTTGTTGTTCTTTTACAGGAACAATTGTTATACCATCTTCGTCTTCGTATGGTTTCCCCACTTCAACATCTCTGTCTTTGACATTGACAATAACACTTTACTGTTTGTTTGAGTTGGTGAATTTAACTTCACATCTGCCACCGCCATTAAACCTTTTGAAACACTTACGCTTCTATTTTTCGGAAATGACATTTTACTTAGAATAAAAAGATGGACGTATTCGGATATCTTATTAATGAAGCAGAACAAAGTTTATACTCACAAACATACAAATACATTGACAGAATAGTTCTTTACACAAACAATGGAAAATGTTATAGAATAGCAGTCTTTGCTGAACCTAAATATTTTCATAAAGCAAAGAAAGTTGGTATAACCGAGATGGTGAAAGTTCTTGAAGCAGACAAAAAATATAACTTCAAAACTTACAGATATTACTAAAGGAAAGTTTATAATACAATATTATGTCAAAAACTGGCGTACTGTCAATATTTGACGGAGAGAAGTCAGTTCAAGAACAACTTACTGACCTGCTGCCAAAATCTGCTCGATGGAAGCTGTCGTTATTGCCAATCTGAGGAGCCCCAGCAGGTTTCATCGAACGAATCTTTCAAAAGAGCATCTTCCGTGAAAAGTGCTATTGGTTTTGTAAACTTCTTTGCTTTCAATTCATCTGGACCGTCTCTGTCACCAGTATATTGTATTTGTACAGTACCAACAGTTGAAATACCACCCATAAAGTCTTCTGAGTCAGCAAATGGAATGCCAAGCCAAAAGTTTGAACGGTCTCCATTTGTATATTGAGTTTTTTGACCTCCTGTATGAGTCCATACTTTCACATATGGCATAATAGAACTTTGCATTTCAGGGTTAATGGTTGTTGTGAAGTTGTTGTTAAAGTTCATAGCATCTAATGTCAAGTTGTATGACCTCATATCCTCAACTGTAGAATATTCTTCTCTTGGATAATATTTGCCATCTATGTTTATATGATATTTAATACCGGGGTTGTAGAAACAAGAATAGTCATTTATAGTTCGTCTGAACAGTACAAACATAGTATCTGCATGTTTCATTGCAGTTGTTAAAGCAATATCTGTTCTTGCACCTGCGGTCCTGGATTTTGGTTTCCAACTTCACCTGCAAAGTCTTTGACAGATATTTGG